CTGAATTCAGTTTTTCTTTAAACTGTACCGAGTTGACAATAAGTGGGTTGGCTCTCCATATGTCTTGGCCCTGCCGGATATTACTGGCCCGCATGCTGGTCACTATCAATGCATGGTCCGTCCAGTTGCTATTCACATGGCGGACATCGGGTGCCGAACACAGCAGGGAGAGTGATGATGACGCAAATATATAATCAATTGACGATGTGCCTCGTCCGTTGTAGAATGTCGTCGTGAGGTTATTGGATCCGTCCGACGGCAGCATCAGGTTGACAAAGTTTTCATTCAAGTGTGCGCACCACTCTTTTGGTGCTGCTTTCATGAATGATGAGTCGCGCTGCGCATATGAATAGTTGAAATCTCCAAGGATAAACAACCTATCACCATGCGGAATCATATTTTGCTGTTGCAGGATTGGAAGGAGTTCGAGACTATAAAAGTCTTTCCGATCCCTGTAGGCGGCAGGCGCGTAAAAATTGATAATGTTGAACGGTGGAAATTCATTATTGATGTGTGTAACCGTCACCAACAATATCCGGCCGCTTTGCGACGCAAAGACATGTTGGATGTTGACAAGGGGAGAAAAGTTGATAATGGCACAGTGTTTACTCCATGAACTGTCGCGAGCACAGAACCGTTGTTGTAAAGTTTTGTTGTGTTCATCGTTATGAGTGCCCGTATCTTGAAGTGCCAGCAGGTGCAGGGCTTGGCGGCGTAGATGACGGATGAAGTGTTTTGTTTTGTTGGGGTTGTGTGGGTCATGTTTGACAAGATGTCGAACGTTTAACGAACCAATAGTGAGTGTCATTTTTTTGTTTTTGTTTTTTTTTTTTTGGTTTGTTTTTGTGTTTTCTCTGTTTCTGAACTTCTTTGCTTTCCTTTTTTTTTTTTTTTTTAAAAATAAAAGGGAGGGGTTGATCTAATCAGAGGCCATAGTCTCCGCGGACGAGTGACCGGTGATCAAGTCGTTGGCGTGCTGTGGACCGCTGTCGGGGGACGTTGACTCAGTGGCGTCGAATTTGTTGTCGTCGCTTGAGTCTTCACTTTGCTGCTGCTGGGGATTGTGCTTCGAGGCCGAGGCACCCGATGGTGTGCTGATAGGCGGCGTGTTCCGGTGCTCTTCAAGTGTGAAGGCGGAATCCGAATCTCCTGCTGCCGACGGAAGCGGTTGGGTAGCATCCTGGGTCAATGCATCCACTTCGTCCGAGCAGAGTATCATGTCTTCTGTTTCATCCTTATCAGTTTCATCGGAGGATGATTGAGATGATGATTCATCGTCTGTTGGGGGTGTGAATTCTTCGTCTGAGGTATCCGTGTTGTCGCTGAGCGGTTCTTCGGTGACCATGGGTACATGTTTAGGCTGGGAACTTCGACGTTTTGAGTTCCCTTTGGGTTGTTGCTTTGGTGTGGCCTCGTTGACCTTCGAGTGTAGCTGAGCCTGGTTTTCACGCTCTTGTTCACAATTCGGGTTTGGAATGGTAATCGTCGTTTTGTCCAAAGCTGACTTCGAGTGAACATTATGAGAGCGATGATCAGATTGTGTATCACTTAAATGTTGAGCTGGTGGATGCGATTGTTGGGTTTTGGTCTTCTTTGGACCTTTGCTGGTTGTCGTCGACTTTATTGGCGATGCTGAACCAGTCGTCGTCTTTGGTTGTTTGCGCGGGAGTGCGTTGTGGGGATGATCGCATTCTCTCGCATAGTGACCGATCATTCCACAGTTGAAGCATTCTGGTTGAACGCGGCTTGGACATTGTTTCAGAGTGTGGTCTTGGGAGTGACAGTATCGGCAGTAATCACCCATGGATTGCCAAGTAGCGTAAAAAGACCGTTCTCGGCCTTGCACGAGACCGAATTCGACCTTGTGGGTGAGGGGCTTGTACGACTCTGGGGTGGTGTTCTTAGATTTCATGAGCACTGCGTATCCTTTACCCTGGAACCAACCACCCTCTACAGAGCGGTATAATCCAAGTTGCAACACGTGTCCGAATTGGGTAAGTGTTTGGCGCAACAAGACCTCCAGCTCATACATTTTGACGCCTGTAGGCAGTTTTTCGAGTTGTACTTTGGTGAGATCGTGTTCCGGAGGGAGCGATCTTACAGCCGGGAAGTGAACATCACCGACGGTAACGCCCTTTTCCAGTGCCAGGTTGCAGATGTCTTCGTCTGCAAAAGTCATCTCATACAGGACTTGTTTCTTTTCGCGATGGTGGATGAGACCTATGGCCTCATCCCAGTTTTCAAACGTTTCTCGAGCTGCTCGGAAAAACGCGTCCTCTTTGACTGAGCGTGTCGACATATCAAAGAAAACACTGTATTCTTCCGTTCCTCGACGAAGTAAATGGGATGCGATTGGTTGACCGTCGGCTGCCATGCTGCCAAGTGTCATTTTTACATCTTCAGGGACGTATTCGTTAAGCTGGGTTATCAGACGACCTCGACTGATTTCCGGACGTTTTTGGGTAACTGCTTGAGCATACGTTCGTTTTGGATGTGTTGGTGGATTTTCCTTGGGTTGGTTGGAGTCACCATCAGGAGTGACCCCAGGCACTTTTTGAAGGGAATCGGGAAGAGCCATGCAGAAACTGAAAGAAAAAAAAAGCGGCTGAAGAAGCGGAAGGGATTGCCGATTTTCTATGTATGTGTCTGTGTTGGTATTGTTTCAAAATCCGACACATCATTACATATTGTTCTGAAACCACTTTCTCAGCAGTTGATAGGTGATGATCCAACAGCGGCCAGCCGCAATGGGTCATGACGGCAGTGACCCACGCGTGCCATCGATGTAGACATGAAAGAGGATAGTGATATATTATAGTGGATGCTCGAGACATCACAGTCAGGCTGCAAAGATTTAAGGTTTTTTTTTTCCTTGTAATACTGCTTTTAAATTCTTTGAAGGCTACTCACGCGCTTTACGTCTCATAGCAACATATCCAAGTTTATGTGACGATAACCCATAAAAGTACTAAGATGTTGGCAATTGTGTTTCTTCTACGGATTTACCCCACATTCATTCAGAAAAATGTGATACTACTGGTTTGGGATCAAATAACCTGTTTTACTGTAGGACCCTTACAATTAATCGGAAATCCCATTTTCCGGAATTATAAAGTGCATTTGATTTGTCCAACAACGAAACCATTTCGGATAACAGAAGCAAAACGGGGTAAATTTAGCGTATTTATTGCTAAATCGGTCGGTCAAGGCACAGACGATCAATTATACTCGCGCAGAATTTACTGCCATCGTGTTTGTGGTTAATTATAGATAATTATAGGAGACATTCTCAGGAGGTTCTGTTAATGCATAGTCTTGCAAGAAGAGCTGATGATGATAAAGGGGAATGTATAATTTCTCTTTCTTTTATACGATCGTGTATAGTGCGGCATTAAAATCATCATACTAGAACTGACGCACGCTACAGCGGATTCGCATCTCGACTGCTACGGTAGGGGGTGTAAAATGGGTCACTATAATTCCGACAAGGCTTTCTCTCTACCAATGTTAGTATTCATACACTTGGCCTATAGCTTATTAGAAATAAAAGCTGGGCGTGCAGAATACTGATAACATTAGAGATCGGAATAAAACATAGTACTATATAATACTTTGGATGATGTGATTAATCGCGTCACTGAACCATGGACAGAGGTTATTACATACTTATGCTGCAAAGAAATATATACGCTACCAACGACAGAGATAAGAAAGGGAGGATAGCCACTAGAAAAACAAGGTTTTTTGCATCGCGTGTAGTAATCCTTTTTTAAAATTGGATACTACACCTCCAACTGGTGAAGACACAATGTACGCAAGCATTTACCCTCTCTATGATCGGCTGTCTCATTTAATTCATAAAACTGACCAGAAGCAGCTTTAATCGGCTAATTTTCATAAAATGTTAACTGAAAAAGTGGTCGTATTTTACGCCGCAAGAATGTTGGGACGACCCATCCTCTGGTTCGCATCCATCCGGTTACCAAGTAGAAGTCGTTATGCTGCCAGCTTCTATTCAACAAAAGAACTGTTGGATTTACTCGACGCGAATCCCATACGGTGTTCACCTTCTATTCAAACATTGGCACGCAAGTCATAACGCTCAATTTTTATACGAGGTAACACAATAACGGGTCATTTCATATGATTTTTCTGAACGTGTGATGTGTCTTGTCTTTATCTAATTGTTGTATCTAATACATTTGTAGTAAATTGAGAACACCATTGCAGCATGGGATACATACCAAGCTTTTCGACTATGCAAAAAGAATACGCCCAATAATCATTGCTAGCCATTGTTTATACCTATCTTGCTAAATATGTATTTTATACATATAATCGAGCGACAAACCATAATGGTGTCATTGACTACCTCAACAATACCGCACCCAGACACGGGTATCGATTAACCGCACAGGTAAGATTCCGAACAAGTAGTAGTGGTGCTACACTGAATGCTTCGCGTGATATATATCCTTTTACTTATTTTATAACAAACACCACTGTGCCTTCATTTAGGCAGCGAAGCCGTACTTTAATCTAAGTAGCACTTTTATGATCTCCTACAGTCAAAACGGTGGAAAAGCAAAGCCCACAGCAATAGCAGTAGCCTTTTTTCTATCTTGTAAGATGCAGTATCAAAAAAATAATAAAAGGTGGTAAGAAGACGCGCCATTCTAACTTGGAAGTATCTCGCGTAAGCTTAGAATTGCTATACTGCTCAGCTAATTGGAAACGCAGAAGTAGAAGATCAACCGTCGCGCTTGTATATTCTACTGTCTGCTAACAGCTCTTCTGCGAAAAGGGAGGAGATATACTGGAGGGAAGTTATAACTTCGGGCCGCGTAAGTCTCGTTCGAAGTATGAAGTCTGTAACGCTCAACCGGTAGTATATATTGATGTACACGGTGAACTTTTGAAAATGCTGCAATAAGTAAGCTCAATAAGGTATGTAGTAGATATCATTATGGAAGGCTATTTTGCAAGGACATCTCAGTGAACGCTGCTTTGCTGACTATCTCTAACGACAATTCGCAGATCTCCAGGTTGGGCTATCGTCGGCTTTTCATTTGACTTCTAAACTTGCCCGTGGTGAGTCAACTTTGTGTTTGCCGTTGACAAATCACTCTTTTGCATATACACAAAGTGAAAAATAACAATGTCCACACCCAAATCCGTTCTTCATGGTGGCTACCACACGGCTGTGAGCCGGTCCTGGCAGGCCGAGCGCAACCTTAACAAAGAAATGCTCATGTACCCCATCTTCATTACCGACGATCCGAATGCTTTGGACCCCATTAATTCGTTGCCTGACCAATACCGCATTGGCGTTGATCGTCTTAAAGCATTTATCGAGCCACTGTACCGCAAGGGTCTTCGATCCGTCATGTTGTTTGGTGTGCCTCTCGCTGACGGTGTCAAAGACTCTACTGGCTCTAGAGCTGACGACCCTACCGGCCCTACGATCCTAGCTGTGAAGCTTCTGCGAAGCGAGTTCCCAGACCTGTTTGTTGCCTGTGATGTCTGCTTGTGCGAATACACTTCCCATGGCCACTGTGGTGTCTTGCGCGAGGACGGTACATTGAACAACGACTTGAGCATTGAACGTTTGGCTAATGTGGCCGTGGCGTATGCCCAAGCAGGCGCCCAATGCGTCGCCCCCTCGGACATGATGGATGGCCGTATTGAGGCTATCAAGAAGGGTTTGATGAAGGCCGGGTTAGCGCACAAGACTATGTTGATCTCGTATGCTGCCAAGTTCGCAGGCACATTCTATGGCCCATTCCGAGAAGCTGCCAATTCCGCTCCAGCCTTTGGTGATCGTCGATGCTATCAGCTGCCACCTAACGCGCGTGGTTTAGCAATGCGCGCAATCAAGAGAGATATGGAGGAAGGCGCAGACATGATCATGGTCAAGCCCGGTTTGCCGTACTTGGATATTGTACGTGAAGCGGCAGATACGGCCAAGGATTATCCTATTGCTGTGTACCAGGTCTCGGGTGAATATTCTATGCTGTACCATGCATCCAAGGCCGGTGTGTTTGAACTCAAGACTGTTGTGTTGGAGTCCATGACGGGCTTCTTGCGTGCAGGCGCAACATTGATTCTTACCTATTATACCCCCCATCTGTTGACTTGGCTGGATGAACAGTAAAAAGCAAGCATAAGCTACTATTGGAATATGTCAGAAACAAAAAACACAATAAACCGGCTAAATTGTTGGATCTTCGGTGAAATATTGTTTCCGACCTTCAGAAAAGTTTTTGCATGTGAGCGGATGACCAGCTAGCTTTTATTTTCCTTCTTCCTTCTTTTTTTTTGCAACTTCCAAACATGGCACCACGACGCCACGACGACTATGATTATGAGGACGAAGACGAAGAGTTGTTATACGATATGAGCAAACTCGACCATGACGTTGCAACACGACAGAGCGATGAAGATGGCGAGTTTATTTACAACCAAGACGCGCCGTTGCTCACTGGCTCTTCGCGGGCAGCAAACAAAAAAGGATGGCTTACAAAACTGCGGCAAATGATACCCACATCCTCAATTGCTTTATCATCTTTCTCAAAAGCAAATAAACGATCACCATCATCATCGACAGCACGACGAACTGGACGGCGGTGCTGTTGTTGCCGACTCTCGCTCTGTCTTGTAATAACGACCCTTCTTACCGTTGCGTTTTTCATTTGGGGATTATTGTACTTTTCACCCGCCACATTACCTGAACCTACCGTTCCCGATAAATCCACAGATACCAATGCTCGGTTTCTCACATTGAACATATTCATGCGACCACCAGGAGTGAAAAACAACAAGTCAGACTACAAGGAGCAGCGGCTTGACTACATCATCAAACACATCTTGCCGCACTATGATGTGATTACTGTCCAAGAGGCGTTCGCGTTTGCCAACCGACGAGTTGACAGGCTGGCTGTAGCTGCGCGTGAGATGGGCTTCAATTACCAAGTTGCGTCTCCACGGCATTACCCCTGGCAACTGGCAGCTGACGGCGGCTTGCTCTTGCTGTCCCGCTTCCCTATTGCAAAATCCGACGTCATTGAGTTTCCGCGAGGTCTCCATAGCGACTGGCTATCTTACAAGGGTGCACTACATGCTCTGGTGGAATTGAACCCACGCCGGTCCGTGCACGTCTATACCACCCACACACAGGCTTCCTATGACAGCCAAGGTCAGCTAAACGATGATGATACCAACATGCGCTTGAGCCAGTTCGCATACGTGCACAAGTTTATCTCGGAAACGGCCAGGGATGACGGTTCGCCTGTCCTCATTATGGGCGACTTGAATGTCGACGCATCCAAGCATGACCAAGAAAAGGTCGCGCATGCAGTGCATAGCTCAGATGCATATATCAAGATGGTCAGCATTCTGAACGGCACAGGTTTACCCAATGGCGACTATGAGGATTCCTGGCACATTGATACCATGAAGGATGCCGTATACGAGCAGTTTGGATACCATCCTGTCACCTTTGGCAATGTAATTGCGGATAAGGATGGCGGAAGTGATATAAAGCCTGCAGAGACAGTGTTGACGCATTGGGATCAAGTGACGACGGTGCAGAGTCTCGATCGGATTTTTTGGGCGGACCGGTTTTCGGATACGTTGGCATTGAATAATATCACGATTGAAAAGTTCCTTGTTGCTGATAACAAGGATCTGGCCGAGGAGGAGAAGAAGGACATTGAATTTACGCAGATATCCGATCATTATGGCCTGAGTTGCCTTATCGAATTAATCTAGTCTTTTATTAATATATAATACTACTCAATAATAGAAAGAAAAAAGAAGAAGGGGTGTACATAGCGGTGGTGTCGGTGTAGTAGTAGTAGTAGTAGTGGTAGTTGCTGATGGTAACGTTGGAGATAGAGTGAGAGGGTGTTGCGAAGGGAATAAATTAGGATCGTTCAAAAAGGAAATAGGGAAAACTTATGCCGAAATGACAGTCTGTAGCGCAGTGAGGATGGTTGTACATTCGCGCTTGTTGTCTGCAAAAAGCTGGTATGAACCTTCCTTCTGGGTTTCAAGAACAAATGCGTTTGGTACAAACGTCTCGCGTTCCTGGTCAATGGGGCTAAGGCGCGTCACGGTTCTCAAGTCGATCACGCTAACAGGCGTTTGGCTCTGTTTGCAAATAAATGTGGGTCATTAGCCAATTAACGCTTGATATACAAGCGAAAACCTGCCTTACCAGCTCATCGCGATAAAACATCAAGTTCTTGCCGCGGATCATGATGTATCGCCGTCTCCAAAACTACATGAAATATACTCTTTTCAGTCAGCTCATTTGCTACTTGGTCACTGCATTCTTTAATCTCACCGGACTCGAGTTCGGCTGAACGGAAGCATATCCGACCAACATGACCTACAATGAAAGCAGTTATCAGTACTTGAGGTCTCACACCTACAGAAGTTGTCTAAATAGGCAAGAGAAAATACATTACATCCTTGCTTTTCTCGGCTTCTTCCATACGTCGCTGCATAGCCTTTTGCTCTCCCAAACGACGTTTTTCCGCCTCGGCCTTCTTCTTGGCTTCAGCTTCAGCAGCCTTCTTCTTAGCAGCGACCTCTGCCTCGGCCTTTTTCTTTTCCTCCAATTCCTTTTGCTTCTTAGCAGCAGCCTCAACCTGTTGTTTCTTTTTAGCTTCTGCTTCTTCCAACTGTTTTCGTTCGTGTTCCTTGTGTTGCTTATTAGCGGCCTCTTCCTGCTGCTTTTCCAGAGCCTTCTGTTCCGCTTCTTTTTGTTGCTGCTGCTGCTGTTGCTGTTGCTGCTGTTGTTGTTGTTGTTGCTTTTCGAGAGCCTCTTGCTGCTGTTTTTCGAGGGCCTTCTTTTCGGCCTCCTTATGAAGCTGCTCTTCATGCTGACGTCGCAAAGCTTCCGAGTTGTCTTGTTGTGGGGACGGAGGGAATTCTTCGCTAGCATCAGCAAAGGACTCTGGCTCATCGGTCACTTGTTCGGGGTTGGGTGGCGTTTGTTGCGATTTACGACGTGCAGCAAGCGAGGATCGTTTGCGTTCAGACATGGACGGAGGTCGAGACCGGTTTGGTACCTGATTTTCGTTCAGCTTGAGTCGAGTGCGAATATTGGCGTCGCTCACGTCGTTTTGCGAAGACGCTGTAACTTGCGCATGATGCGACTTTAATAATGCTGCCACCGATCGACTGTGTACAAGTGCTCGAGCTTTGTAAAGAATGAGTCGAGAGAAAAACGATATTAGCTGTTGGCAATAGCTACTCGTTATTGCATGAGCAAGATATAGTGTATGATCCTGTTACCTCGTCGGACACCACTATAAAATTGCAATTACACATGCAGCTTGTTAGGATATGATGTACTCAGAAAGGACATGTAGGATGCAACCCCCCCCCCCCTCTCCTTCTAATTATTTACCTGACTTGTTCGGACACCCAGGTGATCAGAATGAAACGATCGTCGACACGTACGAAACCATACAGGACTTCATTGGAAAGATGCTGGCGAAACTCGCTAAAAAGCAAATACATGATTTTCATGTTTATGCACGCTTCTCTTTACAAAAAACGCACCGTTCTTTTATAAAGTATTTCCTACCTCAAGCCTCCAGAGCCTTTAGAGTAAAGCGAAATGACATCGCGGGTATCATTGTAACCGAGAATCAGCCTTCATAATTGTCGTTGTCAAAGCAAGATGATCGTTATTTTCTGGGAATGAACTGAGCGCTGTCCGGTACAAGATATTTACCAGTTAGTGTCGTCATATTGTTCAATTTCGGTATAAGCTTGAACAATCTTGGGATCAGACAAATCGCACATGATGAAGTATCAAGGTTCAAGAAAGAAAGGAAGGAAGGAAGGAAGAAAGTGCAAAAAATAGAAACTAAAAGTTTGTTTTTTTAATGGTGCAAGTAGCACGACTTTAAGTGTTGTACTACATTGATACAAATTCCACGCAAAAAATGACCTCCGGAAGGTTAATGGGATATCAGGATTACAGACACATAGAAAGAAAAGGTATCAAAAAAAAAGAGATAGAAGAAGGGACTATAGAGAAGAGGGGGTCGGAAACATGTACAAGAAGAAGAAGAAGTAGTAGTGGTAGTGGTAGAAAGGGAATATATAAAGTAGGTCGAAAAGAGAATCCCCATACAAATCCATCTTTTCCGGTATCACACAAAAAGAATATGAAATTTTACAAGAGAGAAGAGGAGTCGTTTGTTGTTGCTGTTGCTGCTGTCCTTGTCGTCGTTGGTGTAGTAGGTGTGCAGCTTAGAAGGTCTCGTTCTGGTTTGGACAATGTGTGGTTGCATGTAGTCCGTATTCGTCACAGTTTTCGCAGTACTAGTAGACACTGTTAGTTGTCACTATTCATTGCTGATATCTACAAAAGCAGCTGTGCATACCGGTCTTTCAGTAGCGTTCTTATTGCTGCTGGGTGGCAAAACCGCCTTGCACGTGTAGATCGTATGGCCCGCCACTTCGCAGATTTCGCAGAAAGGTCCGTCGTCTGTGTGTGGTCCATTGCTGCTACTGCTGCTACTGCTCTTGCTCAGCGTATCGTTTTGCTGCTGCTGCTGTTGCTGCTGCTGTTTTAATGTCTGCTTCATATCTGCCAGCTCGCTCTTGAGTCGACTTGTCTGTTTTCGTTCCTTCTCAAGTGCTTCTTCGAGGTCGGCTTCCTTGAAAATCTTGGATTCAATCAACGACTCGAGCTCGGCAATATCCTTGTTCAGTGTCGTCACTTGCTGCTGTTGTGCACGTTCCTCGTCTGCATGCTTATCTTTGAGCTGGCGCACCTCTGTGTTCTGCTTGACCGTCATGACTTCAATCTGCCGCTTGGCTTCGCTCAACTGGCCCTGCAAGCGTGTGATACGCTCCTCATCGGTCTGGCAGTCATCCAATCCTGCAGGCTGCGTCTGCTCTGAGTGCAGCTTTTCGACTTCGTCCATGAGCTTCATGCACTCATTTTGTACTTGCTTGTGCGTCTCGCTCAATGTCTCGAATTCCTTAGTAAGACGCTTGTTTTCCATTTGGAGCGCCTCGACTTGCTTCTTACTATCGCCGCCAGACGTGAGCAACAGCTCGGCCTGCTGCTTTTGCTTGCTGAGCATAGCATTTTGCGCCTCCAGCTTCTCGATCTCTTGACGCAACATGCCAAGCTCTTTGGTGTGCTGCTCGCGTCCCTTGGTAAGCGAGTCTGTGTCAGCGCCGTACTTGCGCAGATCCGACAAGGCTGCCTCGGCGCGGTTCAGGCTGTCCTGGGTCGTTTGAAGATCGCGCTCAGTCTTTTCCTTGGCTTCGGTCAAGCGTCGCAACTCGCCCTCAGTCTTTTTCTGGCTTTCGACAGCGGAGCGGACATCTTGCAAGTACTTGGAACTGACATTGCGCTGCTCATCATAGTCTCCCTGCAACCGCGTGGCCTGCTCCTGCAGCTTTTCGTTCTCCTTGGCCAGTTTGTCGCTCTGCTTGACCTGTTCGCGCAACTTCTCAGTCTCGGCCTTAAGATTTTCAAAAAGCTCCTTCTCCTTGGCCAATTCTTGGACATTCATTTCGACGTTCTCCATCAAGCGCTTGCGTTCATTGTCCCAGACATCCTTGATCTTCTCAACCTCGTCCGACTTGTCGCGCGCGTTCACGAGCTGCTCGAGCTCCTGTTTGAGCTTGGTGATTGTCGTATGGAGCTCCTCCTTTTCGTGAAGCTGCTTGTCGCTCTTGCTAGACCATTCCTTCTTCAGCTCTTCCATGGTGGACTCGTAGGTCTCAATAGCCTCAACACCAGCCTTTCGGAGCTCCTCGCGTTCGGATTCCAGCGATGCCACCTTGCGCTGCTCATCCATCAGTCGCGCATTGATAGCTTCCATATCGACACGATGTAACTCGACCGAGCTTTCGTACAACTCGATACTCTCCATGCCGGCCTTTTTCAATTCTTCGACAGACTGGTCCAATTGCTCGATACGTTTGCGGTAGTCTTCGACATTGGCCGTCTCGCGTGCCAAGTGTTCCTTGGCCTGGCTCAGCTCACGCTTGATTTTAGCGTATTCGTCTTGTGAGACGCAATTCTGATGCTGCAAATACTTTTGCTCGAGCTCCTGCACTTCTTCTCTGAGCCGCTCCTTTTCGCGCTGATGGCGGTCACCGTCGGCCTTGGTCCGACGGACCTCGCGCTCGCGCTCCTCGGCCATGTTTCGATGCATTTCGACTTGTTCCGACAACGTGCCCAGAAACATATCCTTGGCGCGCATGGATTCCATAAGCGAAGACATCTTTTCGTGTACTTCTTCCATTTCAATTTCCATTTGCATCTGTCGCTCTCGCATTTCGCCAGGGTCGTCGGAATAGAAATTGGACGTGGTCATGACGGCTTTAGAGGCCTGGGCAGCAGCAGCATTGGCTTCGGCCATGGCCACTTTTTGCTCGAGCTCGTGCACCTTGTGTTCCATCTGAGCTCTGTCCTTGCGTGCTTCACTGACTTGCTCCTGAAGTGCATCGCGTTCCTTGATCAGGTCACGCTGTTCCTCTTCCAATTCTTGGACTTTGGTCTCGAGCTTCTTTATCGAGGACTGGATCTGCACCTTTTCTTGGTCCCACGACTTTCGCTTGGCTTCGTGGTCCTGCTTGATCTCTTCAACAATTGCCTTGTGGCCCTCCAACGTGAAATATTCGTTGTTGTCACCACTGCCCTCCTTGTCGTCGCCGCCACCGCCAGCGCTTTTGCGGAGTATCACGGAACGTTCTAAAATTTGTTCCGCCGTCTTGTTTTGTGCATTCTCTAGCTTCAAAAACTTGTTTTCGGCTTCCAACACCTCAACACGAACTTGGAGCTGTTGTAAACGCATCACAGCCTGGTCCGGGGCTTGTGAAATGGCTTCGCCCAGCATCCGCTCCAAGCGCGCGTGTGGGTCAACAGGCTCTTCGTTGGTTGACGTCAAATTGGCAGGCACAGGCGTGTCGGTGAGCATTTCATGCATATCGTCTTCGTACTCGTCGTGCAAGCTGTTGTTAGTAGGCGTCATGGCAGGTGACGGGATGCCGTCTTGCTGCTGCTGCTGCTGTTGCTGCTGCTGATTCTGTTGTTGTTGTAGCTGCTGATGTTGTTTTGTGGTCGTATTATAATTAGTACTGCTCGTACGACGGGTCGGGGTTGGAGATTGAACGGAAGATGCTGTCGAACGGCGTACACCGGCAGTACGAACCGAAGCACTCGACGAGGATCGTTTGGATCGAGTCAGTTGGGACGCAGTCATGCCGACATAGCGTGCAGCTCGTGAGCCAACCCGTTGGGGTGGCGGCGAAGGAGATCGCATGCCGTCGTTCAATGACGCCACTTTAGATGCCTGCACAAACAAGCCTGTTTGCGGTGGACAGGCAAAGTAGCGCATTCTAATATATGTAGGATATATAGTACAACATGGATAATATAATATAAAAAATTAGTACTCCTTATTTTCTCAGTGGACACAGGCACACACACAGAGAGAATGGAGAGAACTCAGTTGTCTGCCCGCGGTTTGCCTTTATCACCCAATACGACAATGTAGTATATTTACCCTGCCACAGATCCGTCGTTTTTGCCTGTGCCTACAATATCAAGCTGGATACCAGCCCAGACGCCTTCTTTAAAGTTCGTTGTGCCCAAGAAGCGAAGGGTGCCGACGATACCCATTGAATCAACGGCAACACGGTCGCCCACACGGAGCTGGTTTTGAATAGGACTTGGTGGTGGCGGTGGTTGCTTCGACACCGGACGCTGTTGCTGCTGCTGCTGCTGTTGCTGTTGTTGCTGCTGTTGGCGAGTCGGTTTAGGCGATGTAAATGAAGACCGAGGTGTTGTCATTGCGGTTTGAGTAGACCCAACAGACGATAAAGAGTAGCGTGAGATCGAGGTAGGTGATTCGACCTCCTCATACGAAGAGATGGAGGTACGTGAAAGACGGGACGACTTTGAGGACTTCAAGGTAGGAACAGGCGGTGGTGCCTGGTCCGGCTGATGCTTTCTCCGTCTCAGGTCAAGTGATGGCTGTCGTGAAAGCCTCTTAGGCGGCGGTATGCCGCTATTGGCACCGGGTATTCTTGACATTCAAAAGGAAGTAGGGAATAAGATAAATACAGGAAGAGGCTTATAACGGGAGATACGAAAAAGAAGTTGTAAAGGGGAAATAAAGAAAATAAATGGAAAAAGAAAGAAAAAAAAAGCTCAGGTCATGCGATGCGTAGAGTTGCACTGGAAGAATGAACTCTCCTAGCGTCTTGTCCAACCATTCTTTATATCGGTACCCCAAAGCTCCATGTGTAACGCGCCATCCGACGCTCTCTCTCTCTTTTACAGCGTCACGCGGAAAAGCATCACGGCTGGATATGTCACATATCACGACATACAACAGCGACTTCCGCTCGATGCGATAGAGCCATGGCAAGTGTGTGCTGAATGTGTGCGTGTCTGTGGTATGTGGCCTCATTCAGTGTTTAGGGAGCAAGGCTATTACATGAAAATCAAATGGATCGGACATCACCATTCTTGCTGCTGGTTTGTGTGTGCAATCTTATCTGTGCTGTGCGGTGCATAAGCACACAACAAAACACGATATGCATCCAATAGACACATTAATTGATTGTTTGGTTAATATGGTTATAACCGTTGAGTGTTGAATAAACAGCCGTCCTCTTTGTTCCGGCATGTAGTAGTGCTCTTGCTTCCAGTGAAATGAATGATGAGAGCGTATCATATGGAGCTCTCTTTTTCATGTATCTTTTTGCTAACGAAACCCGACCGCTCTCTTTCTTACTCAGTTCTACGCTCTATTAGCCACTGTACGAAACTCTAATTTCTTAATGTTAGTATATGACGTTCCTGCCCCATCCCTTGGAGTTTATCCTTGCTTTTGATTGCCCTACAGGTAGCTGCTAGCTGCTTGCGCTATGCATTTTTTGTTTTCTACAATATATCATACACCTACGCAGTTAACCAAAAAGTATAATAAGCGCCAAATACAATGCGAGTTGTCGCTATTATTAAAACAGCCGGAGCTGCTGATGTCTTTATTAAATTGAATCTTTGCGAGCCCGGGTCTGGATCGAAACGTCATTACCGCTTAAGGAAAAGGTTACAGAAAATTCCCTTCCGATCAACCTTGGCGAAAAGACGGGAAAAATATCATACTTTTTGGTGTTTATTGATGGATATTGCCCAAGAAATCTGGAAAGAGCAAAGGGTTAGGAGAAGTGATCACAAAATTCATGCTTGTCATAAAGACCTGATATGCGATCTGGGCTAAGAAAAGAGAGAAGGCGAGAGAGATAGAGAGCACAAGCAAGTTGCCATGCAGTGCAGCGTATGACAGAAAACTATAGCATCTCAGAGAGGAGAGAAGGCATCGCTTTGTGCTCCGCCCTTTCGACGATCAACTGCTATATATAACGGGTGCTTATGTTCATATAAACCATTTGAAAATGCTGAATAGTTGATCAAGCACGACTGTATACCATCTGATCAAGTGTATGACAAGTATATGCATCGATCGCCGCTGCTCTCCACCAGAACAGCCTTGTGAAATAAGCACGGTTTGTGTGGCGATGCTCGGATCTGCAATATTCTTTATAAATGACAGCCAAGAGGATTTACCGACGGCCAGGAGAGAAGATGTACCTGTGGACTATTTATTTGATTTATTCTGAGTCGGCGGGAATGAGGTTAAATCCTCATATCTATGCTTCGAGCTAGTTAGAGAAACCCAGTAGTGATATTTTTTTTGCCAGGCACTATGATCTGCGGCTGTCATGACAGTTCTATCCAAAAGAGCTCGTAGGACGAAATGCAAATTCCTGCCGTATTGAATAATTCTATTAGTGGTCCTGGTCGATGCTACTGTAGTATACATTGCATTTCATTTAGCTACGTCTCTTATACCTCCTTTTTTTATACAGTTAATAAGGGAAAGACTGCTTAATGTCGTTTTCCTTACTGCAACAGCAACAGCGACAGTGACAGTAGCTACCGTGTACTTTATTTAGCATTGTATACACAATGAACATGTTATTGTTATTGCGCTTTACATATAGACCTTCTTCTGTGGCTGCAGTGTATGCGAATGCCTCATTATTAATGATGAAAATATTTCTATCAGCACGGCAGCCACATATATCATATAGACTTGTATGAATAGAAAGTGTAGTGAGTTATTCTTAGTGCAGTCGTTTACACATAAGATGTTTGCTATTTTTGCAACAACTCAATGAAACACATGTAGCCGTAGTATGGAACGACGCAGCAGTACGTATACATTATTGTTCTTGCGGTTATTGGGAGGGAAAAGAATCTTTGACAGAGGAAACAGTTTTGCAGATGAAACTCTCCACTAATGTATGACTACAAGGAGGATCCATTGAAATGTATCAGCTACTACACAGTGGGGGCAAATATACAGGTTACGATTTGGGTTATCTACGAAGAATACGTTACGTGGATGGATAACGGGGAATAAGAAACACTAGGCATTGTGCTGAGCCTACCACCTTACCCATTGATACACTATTGATCAAATCTTTTCAGAAAAGTTCAGTGACAGCCACAACGACAGTGCCCGCAACATCTTAATTCTCACAATCAATTTCAAATAGAGCGCAAGGAGACGAAGGTTTAATAATGGTATTCGTGTTGGTCGCAGGGACGGAAGCGAGTGTCTAGGAATTCTGCTGCCCGCCTAGACGAGTACCGCGGCCGAGTAACCTTTCCCCCTTCTTGGTGCGGTTGAGAACCTGCAATGCTTTAGCGGGCTATTATGCTCCCAACACATGCGGACCATGTGGCTCACTGTAAAAAGTCCTCTGGCAAGTAGACTCATAAAAACACACTGCACATTTGGACTAGTGTTAGTGAAGTATCACAAACGTAGCCAACCTTGCCTACAGGTTGAAATTTGGGCTGCAATAAACGCGACCTCTCTATTTCCCTTCTGTCAAACCATCGTTGGCACTACCGATCTGTTGCTAGTGGTCCGTTTTGCAGCAGCTCGTTGCAAATAACTAATTCTGATTGTCTATAAAAAATTGGTATATAATGTTGAATTAAATTGTATGCTGCCATGAACTATCGATCATTTCATTTCCACGATAGTATAATCCTATTGCAATTACATACTGGCTATATCATAATAGACCGTATCACACAGATCACCTTTAATTTTTGAGATGTGATCATTCACGTTCACCACATACTCCTACCAGCTACGAAGCTAGCACATACTACTGGTCAGAAACAAGGTCCCCTTGATGATGATTTTAACTGAAAAGCATCTTGATAGTCATCATCCATACTTTCAAAACTTTAAGCATGTCGACCATGAGTGGTATAGTTGTTCTCATCTACATATTTAGTCCTGTATATACTTATGAAATGAAAGAGCATCTTGCTCGTTCCATTGTAGACTGCAGACATCAAAGTTACGCCTGCAGTACACCAAAGTACACTTGTGCAACTGTAGTCTCCTTTTCGCCAAAGTCCTGTTGAACGAACAAGGGGCGCCAATACTCCAGTCAGATGGAACAATTCAAAGTAGAGCTACCATCCAACTGCAAAATAGATCATCATCATCGCAACCCAAAAGAGATCAGTCATGGCTGAGCCAAATCGATCTATTGACGGAGTTGAGCAAAACGACAGGAAACTTGTGTTTGTGCTGTTCTTGATATCCCTACTACACTCTTGTGTGTTGGTCCCAGGAATGCACAGTCATATAAGAGCCAGAGAAGAAAAGTAGTTTAGACAAAGTAGGGGAAAATCGGTATAGCATGTTTAATCTTTGTCTAGGCCTTGGAGAGTGCGCAGAAAATTGCTTCGCGCTTGTGTTAACGCGGTGGAGCCTGTTGTCCTGCAGGAAATGACCAAAAAAAAACAGCCGAATGATCACTAAGCAGCACCGAGCAAACAAATATTACCTTGAAAGCGGACGCACCTGTTAAGTTGTACAAAGCGAATGAAATAGGACCACCAGCCTATCATCTGATTTATTTTCACACAATCGTGTCTCTCGAAGTCGTTTGCTCTTTATTGTTTGTATCGACACCAACGGCAGAGCATTTTAGTGCAGTAGAAGAAGCACCGGAAGCAGAAGTATTCACTGCTTAAAGGATCTCAAAGAAAGCAATCACATGAAGCTTGTTAGATTTTTCAAAAGATTGGCTAAATTCACATAATGACAAGTATTCAAAAGTTGGAATTATTGAAGAAAAGCTCGACGTGTGCAGAAAAAAGAGCTCACATATTGAAAGAATTGACCGCGTAAACTTTATAAATCAACTTAGCCGTGCCTGGCTCTGCGTTCTTACCAATGCTCACGCAATCTACGTCTATACAGCGGTTTACGGATCGCTAACCTGGTGCTGTTTAATGTTTTTTTCTCTGAAACGAGCGTGTTGAAAAACGCTGGATCACATGCAGTTATATATGGGCAGTTGAAATAGGACAATCTTGTGATTGTTAGTTCGATATGGGGTCGATATGCAGCAAGTGGTCTCACTGCTTTGCTGTTGGTAATGCGACTAGGGCCCCTGTACAAGCTTACACGTCGTCAATGCGTCGAACCTTACATGGTATCACCGACAGACATATCGTCAAGAAAACAATCTCTCTTAAACCTGCATATAATTTGTGCGACACTGAGAACACCCGCAACACCACAAAAACTGGTCTTTGACGATTGGAAACAGGTAATCTGGACTGGACGAAACAAACAACTGAAACTTCGAAAAATAGTCCATTAGTATAGGTGTTGACGCAAGTTATTTTTATATTAAAAAAGTGACAAAGCAATCTATTGAGATGCTCGAGTAACATTGGAGCATTGTATACTATACTACTGATAGTAGACTATGGGTGGTGGATTGACTGCAAGAAGTTCAAGACAAGCAGCTAAGCAGCTTGCTTCTCAATACCTCTGTATATAATCAATCTGAAAGCCCAGTAAGTTAGTCGACGTCTCGAGAGCCAGTGCTGCTGATTACTAAAGTGACCTCACAATATGATATCCATCAAAGGCTTTACAAAACCGGTAGACATTTCTTTTCGCCATGGTTATAATATATGCAGTTGTTGTTATGGCAGCACGATAGGAAAAGCGGTAAATGTTGATACAGCAGCATGCTGTAATTAAGTGATTTGCTTCGATATGTAACGAGTCAGCGAAAGAGTACTACTATTGCTGGCCACGATGATTACAATGGTATTATAAGGATATGCTACGTCATATTATTCATTAGACTACGTCTCTTTGTTCTTCCCCCCATCTCTTGGTTTGGACGAAAGGCAGACAGGAAAAGTGAACAATGTTGCCCCTTATTTGAATGCAGTGTACCTTACGCGGATTCCATTATTTCATGGTGAATTTTAAATCAGCACGGGGGCTGCATAAAAGCATACATTAGTAGTATGTATCATTACCCTCGATATGCTGTGACTTGCATGATATACTGCAGTATGTCGTCCGGGAACGACAGCAGCGCTACAAAGAAAGATCTTCCACTAGCGCCACCGTATTTTGGCGTGCCAAGCCCCAAACAAGCGTAACAATAGAACATGTGTTTAAACGAGTGGAAATGGGCCTTTTGCGCGCGGATGTTATTATTTGTAGATCTTTGGCACAAAAGAGAAGGGAGCAGACTATAAACGAATGGAATGGGTGTTATGTAAATGCTGGTGTGGATTGATTGTAGTTGCATATAATGCAAGGTGAGTGTGTGTAATTGAGAGACGTGGTAGCGCTAGAAGGAGGAAGATAGAAAAAGAGGAGGAAGAGAGGGAGAGAGAGAGAGAGAGTTGAATAGATGGTCAGTGACTCCAGCCCGTACACATGTGTGTGTGTGATGTGTGATATGTGTGCAAGTGAGAGAGTCAAGTGCGGAATATGGGCTGTAAGGAGGACTGCAGAGGGAAAGGGTTAAAAGCTAAGGGGTGTGTGGATTGCAGTTGGTTCGTGTGTGAACCAAGAACAAGTCTTTGGATAAAGGTTATCCAAAAAAGGAGAGAGAGAGAGAGAGTGTGAGACAGAAAAGTATATGTACAAACTGTGGATTAACGAGAATGAATCAAAAAGAAAAAAGAAGAAGTAAAGGATGTTGTTGGTAGTAGTGTGCGGTGGGTATTGCGTGCTATTATGTCGTTTGCTGCTGTGCACAGTTTCGCATAGTAGGCGGGTAAAGAAGAAGAAGAAGAAGGGTGTTTTGAGTGTTCGTCGTTTTGCCGTTCGTGTGTTTTGGCTTTGCTTTTTAAGGTGAAGCACCAAGTTTCAACACCGAGCATAGGCGTTGCTGCAGCTCGATCAATGATGGATCTGACGCCGACGGAGGATGGGCTGTGGCCATTTTAGCAGGAAAGTATGGCTTATGTTCATCAATAGTATGGAACGAGGTAGTGCGTGGCCTTTGTTGAGGTTGGCGCTGATACTGGTGATGATGATGGGTAGGAGGCTGGAGACGTTGAGGTTGAGGAGAAAAAAAGGTCGGCAAAGGCAACGAACTTGGTTCGGGCGCATTATTGAAAACTGGGCCCGCATAGTTGGTACGCACAACTGCAGCACTGTTGGAACGTCGTCGACGTTGTGGTGTACGGATCGTTGGCGCACTAGACATGAATCAATTTAAAAGAGAGAAGTATCTGGGTTACGAAGCGGCACGACCAGAAGAGGATGACATGGTGGAGGTCCGCTGGAGATAATATACCTTTTCGTCAGCTCGCTGTCGCTACGGCTCTGCCGTTTCGACACAGCCTTTTGCTGATGGTTATGCTCAGCCGACTTTTTCTTGCTCGGTTTCTTAGGTGGCAATGACTGTTGCAATTGCAACGATTTCGAGCGTTTTGGTGATGGTGCGGTGGCAGAGGTCGATGTTGAATTCGAAGAAGTCAGAGTCATTGTGAGTGGGGCGTTCTTTTTTATATTTATTTATCGAAAGAAGTATGTTTTTGGGGGTAGAAAGATAATATATTTTTTTTGAAAAAGAAGGGTTTTTATACACGGTTTGTTCTTAGATGATGGGTAGAAAAAACAAGGAAGCTGTATAGTTCAGAGAGAATAGAAAAGGTGCGGGTTCATACAAACTAGAAGAGGGTGAAGAGAAAGAAAGGACGAGATATGCAGCTCTGTCTTGCTATAAGCGCCCTTGTACTTATACACACTAACATCGCCGCACGGGTGTCTAACTCCGCTGATTAAATAAGAGAAAGAACAGGTGATGATTGATTGATTTCGCTCTGTCCATAGCCACGTTCCTTGTTCTCCCTTTCAGTATTTCTGGCTAGGAAAGAAGCTTATCTGTGTACTATCTCTCTTACTCTCCCTACAGATTAGTATCGGTTACTGTCGACGATACAATGAAGAACGTTTATGCTTGCTCGCAGGACTCAAGTTTTATGCAAGATGCTTCATTGGTACGGGGTAGTATCAAAAGAAGCAGCCCGCGACACTTGTTTTCTGAAACATATCGAACCAAATGAACGAAAGATGTCATCATTCTTCGTGGAGCCGCTTATCTTCTTTTGAACTGTTCCACGAGACATGCTTGGTCTTTTGGTATGGGAATTGTTGTGTTCTTCACACGCACGCGCACAAACAATGGCACCACTAGCTCATGCTGCGAGCTATTGACCAAACGACCAGATGCATAACATACAAATTAGTCAAACGATACGAAATTACACCTTTCCATTCAGTGCCAGTGGTGGTATTTCGGTACAACACCCACACCAACAGTCTGGCGCTTCTTTGCTCTCTCTTTATTCTAAACCAATGAAACTGCTGTCTGTACAATTACTGTCATGCTCGTCTTGTGGTCGTCGGAGTTAACAATACATTAGGCTTCTTTGTTATCAGGTTACAGTTGGTTTCCATGCATATTGATTTGCGTGTTGCATAATGGGAACACGACAAGGGCAGGGTATTATATCTTGAGCTCATAGAAAGGAAACTTCACTACATTCTCATTGCTACAGAATATACTTAATATGTTTAGTAACTTTTTGAAAAAATATGTACTGATAACAGTAACAATATATGCAATGAGAAAAACAATCAAAGGTTTTCATTTCAATTAGACATGCGAGTACTGTAAATTTTTTTCCCCATTGCGTTTATAAGTCTTATACAATATCATATATAGAATGAAGTTAATTACATAGGCAGACATAATGAGCTAATCATACCAAAAGGTGCCCATGCCAGCATCGCGTTTTTCTTCAACAAATTACATCCGGATTCTTGTTGTATGAGCTATTATATGTTGATTTTTATACGGCTTATCAGATCATTAACGTCAGCCACACCAGATAATGCTCATAGTTCTCGGTAAGCCCTTCATGTAACTCGGCTAGCCAAGTACAGTACGATGACTAACAAACAGGGCTAACTAGGAGAGCTGTATAATTAACTTGACGATTATACATATAAGACAGTAATCCATGCTTCTACTGCGAGATAAAGGCCTTATTACGTTTTGACAATTGATATAAAAATCAGAAGATATACCAAGAAATGTAATCGAAATAAGGACTATGCTCAGTATAAATGATTTTGTGACGTTATACGTATTTTAAAAAGTTGAAAAAGTAGAAATATAAGAGAGATACAAATCGAGAGAGATCTATTTGCATTAGCGAGTCGCCGAGTCGTAGCTTCGTAGGTTTTGAGATGAAGCAAAGTGGGACAGACTCAATACCCGAAGGTGCGAAGGCGACAAAGAAAGCTCGTGTTTCGTTCTCTTGGTAGCTCCGTTCGAGTGTTTGTCGAATTACTGGAAGTTTGTAGTGTTGACCGCTTATTTGTATGTACGCACATCATCAATAAAAATATGTTGACTAAGAGCGATCAACAGTTTGTACTTCCTATGAGCACTTTTTGATGAAACGACATGCATGTTTTGACGGACTATCTATCAATGATAGAAAACCTTATCATTACCAGCATATAACGAGAAAGCTATCTTTCGCGCAGTGTGTGGTTTCTGCAGCAAGACCGCTATATACTTCTTGGTATAGTGTTGCGCTATCGCTGTAGACCTCTCTTATCCACGCTCGCAGCGTCTACCTTGCTTCAACGATACCCAGTCGTGCTACCTGTATATAACAGTTTCTACGCGTATTAGCTGCCACACTGACACTTTGCTATCATAAAACATAAGCATGCGAGCTGTACCTGGTTGACCATTCTGCACTGTGAGATGCCTGAACCGGACACAGCATTCATCACATATTTTTTCATCCCATCTTTTGACAGCGACATCCCTTAACTCGGGCAGCATGCAGTTCCGGAGCTCTAAATTCAGGATTAAATTCGTATCGATATTATGTATAACTTTACGATACATCGTCATATTTACGGGATATATATTATAGATATTACTTACAGGCTGTCCACGGACGACAGTCCCTCGAATTGGGCAATTCTTTATTGACTACCATGCTTCAGCATTCAAGAAGTGCATTGCTCAGATCTTGTTCGCCGGCCACCCGTTATTATAGTTTATATTTTAAAGTACATGCACTGAAAGGTAATCAGTTGAAACAACTCATGCCGCCTGGCATAGTTTTAGATTGGCCAACGTGAACGGACAACTGCGATGCACTCCAACGCGTCTTAGACCGTGGTGGGAAAGCAACACTTCTACACCGCCATTAGATGCACTATCAAGAAAACTTGTTTCCACAAAGTCGACGAGATCCTCTTCTTTGTCTAGCCCAAATGAACCGATACAATCGCGCAGCTGCGGTGGAAATAGGTGTTGAAGTGCTGCACTGCACGTCTTCAAATTTTGCACCAGATATCGGCCTCATAGTAATAGTGACCATGATCTGCTTCCCTTTGTAAATGGAAAAAATATAACATGACTTAACATGCATACTATATCGAAACCCTGCAACGTGCACTGTTGTCAAATCGAACGACACTAGTGTACTGATTCCGCGGCTTATACTGCGGTACGAAGCCTCACTCCACAACCTCATTAGGTGCACTGTCAATAAGAGTTGTGTGTAGGAGCCAACCTATGGCCAAAAAGTCAACGAAGTCTTCTTCTTTATATAGGTTTGAATAAATAAATATATCCACACAGATGCAACGGAAACATGTATAATAAAGCAGGTTATTTGTTGTATACATGTGGACTTATGAATGGCTGAATGCTGCATCAAGAAAATCATTAAACGAAATCAAGGGTCGCATCTCACGAAAACAAAAAAATATGTAGACAAAGAAACCCCGTGCCATTCTTCTTAATCAACAGGTCATCGTGGAGCACTTGATACAACGTTGAAACTACTCCAAGACCACGACTGGGACGGGAAGAGGTTAACGATGCCACTGCATTTGTCGGCAAAGAAAAAGTCCGATGGCTGAGAGCGCACAAAACCAACGTGTCCGCAATATAGATCGGCCTCTTTCCACAACATGGCTGCCCAAATCTCCAAGAAGAGAAAAGTATGTACTATATAAATAGACCCGATGAAACTCGTGTGTGTGCCTGTGTGCATGGAAAACGATGGATGGATCGGTAGATGGATGGATGGCATCGATACGATAATTTTTTTAAAGAGGGGTTGAAACTGACGATGGACATCCCCATGCACACACACAAAGACATGAGCGACTTGAAAAAAAAAATGTCAAAATCCTAACCGTCAATTTTGTTTGGTATATCTTTCTCTAGTTCGTACGTATCACATTTAACAACAGCCTCAGCATAACGACTCGTATTACTCTTGCAACAATCAACGACATGCTTACACTCATTTACATCTATCACTTTTAACAACATAACTATATAGGTCGCTGACGGTGTCTTCTATGCTGAATTGAACGAATTCTTGACCCGCGAGTTGGCCGAAGATGGCTACGCCGGTGTCGAAGTTCGCAACACCCCCGCACGTACTGAGTACGTCGTCTTCCTTTTTTTTATGAGAACATGCAAGAGATAGACGGACGTTTGTGTGGCTAACGAATTAGCAACATACTCATAAAATAGAATCATTATCCGTGCTACCCACACCCAAAACGTTCTTGGTGAGAAGGGCCGCCGTATCCGCGAATTGACCACTCTTGTCCAGAAGCGTTTCCGTTTCTCTGAGAACGCTGTTGAATTGTACGCCGAACGTGTCCAGAACCGTGGTCTGTGTGCCATTGCCCAGGCCGAGTCTGTCAAATACAAGTTGTTGAACGGTCTTGCCGTCCGTCGTGCCTGCTATGGTGTCGTCCGCTTCGTCATGGAGTCTGGCGCCAAGGGTTGTGAGGTCGTTGTCTCTGGTAAGCTCCGTGCTGCCCGTGCTAAGGCCATGAAGTTCGGTGATGGTTTCATGATTCACTCTGGTCAGCCTACCCGCGACTTCATCGTCACTGCTGTCCGCCACGTCTTGTTGCGCCAGGGTGTCCTCGGTATCAAGGTCAAGATCATGTTGGATAGCGATCCTTCTGGTCGCCAGGGCCCCAAGAACCCCTTGCCTGATGTTATCACCATCCTCGAGCCCAAGGTAAATTAATTGCGATGGAAAGAGCTTGGAATAGAAGACAATCACCAGTGTTTACCAGTATGGCGTGGTGTTAGCTATGACAAAGAAAAAAGAGAGCGAGGAACTAATATAAGGTTTTGATATGCTATGTATAGGATGAGTCCTACATCGAGGAACCCGTCAGCCAGGATTTCGGCAGACCCGCAGAACCCGTTGCTGAAGCACCCGCTGTGGAAGCTCAGTAACCTGCATTATTTCAAATGAAATAAATCAAAACAAAATTCATGTACATTTTACTCAATTTGTGATCGAGCATCTGATGTTTTCATGGGGGTGTGGTGAGTGTGCTGGAAGTGCGTAAATTACATACAGAGTTTCCAACAAGTAATATCGCAGTTCTAGTGCTCGAAATTGGAGACTCTTGAGCAGCCTTCCCCTTCTTACTAGAGCTACGTAGTCTCACACTAACTTTGATTAATCATGAAGCAGAGATGGCTCCCAATACCGTGGTGGTTTTATGCTCTTGTAGTTAGGTACAGTAGTTACAGTAGCAGGAGCACCCACCTGTGACAAACCTCTTGTACGTTTCATATTTATATGGAATGGTTATTCATCAAGAAATACAAGAAGTCTATATCTGTTTCTTCCCATTCTCGAACACAATCATGATGTTCATTAATTTTATCTGAACTATTTCTTTCAACAGAGTGGAACTCTGCTTTTATCAATGAAAAGATGCATTCTGTCCTCATAAAATTACCAGTGTGCTACGGGACACTTTTAAGTTACTATGCCTAAAACTCACTCACTACGTGCTCAGTTATATCCACAACTGTAGCAGAGGGGGGGGTAGAATCAACGTACTTATGACTGCCATTGTGTGTACCTCATTAAGAATACATTTACGGCTTAGTATCTTACCATCAAAGATGGAATTAACTATTATGATGATGACTGCAAAGATAGAAATAATTGACATGATCCAAGAAGCACGACAGTAACATGAGCAAACGAAATATTGTCTCGTAGTAGAACTGGAAGAAAATAATATGATATCTTGTATATTCAAGCCGATGAGGCGAGTTTCGAAAATAGTAGTTGTTGGAGAACACTTGCACTAAATCATGTTGCTATGGACACATAATCAGCGACCGACATTGATTTTTCGTGTTTTATCCGAGCTTCCACAACACGCAGCGCACCACAGACTTCGTCAAGTCGGATCCAGACTCAAACAGAATAAACGTTGGTGTTAGGGCATTTCGTACGATTTAAAAAAAGTATAAGAAAGACGATGATATCGTGGGATCGAGACAAAGAAAGCCAATTTTTTACTTTTCTTAGGCGGACACCAGTCTATCATGTCTGATAATCTCAATTTAAAGACCACACGTGTGATTCTGCTAAGGTTGTGAGAAAGGACAGCATGAACAAATATATCAAATACAAGAGGGTTGAATTCGCGTTCCTGCAATTGAAAAGGTGCACAGAGTCCAACATTCTCTTCTTTACACAAAAATCTTCTCCTTGCACCGTGTCACCACCTCAAACTTGATTGCCATATATGCCCACATCTAAAGTTTTCAAGAGGAAATGTTCTTTATAGACATTACACCGATTCGCACGTATACACGCTTCCAAAAGTATTCAAAGGGAATCCACATCATAGAATTGAAGGCTACGAGATTACAGATAAAGAGTCAGCCATCGAAGGAGTCATATACAAATGTCCGTGTTGCAGTGCACTTTTTGTGGATAATCTTGATCAGCTTAGAGAACACGTAGAGAACGTGCAAAAGAATCTGCAGCAGCAAGGTAAAATTGGTATAGACATAACACGCGCGTGTGCTTGTTTAAATAATTACTCTTTTCTTGTTGATAATGATAAAGAAAATCAAGATCCGTCCAACGACACAACCACAATTCCCACCGTCAGACCTGCGCTTTCCATGACAAGACCAAACAACAAAAGGACGTGCGACGTGCGAAACAGTGTTAGATGCGTGTCTACAACAGGGTAGCACCGACAAGAAAAGAAAAGAACTCTTATTTTAAATGGATTCATATTCACTGCAAACTGTTCTCTATCCGAAATCAACACACAAGCAAAGAAACCATCCTGGCACACTCGACAATCTTCAACTGATTGCAGCAAGAAAACAACACTACTATAACCCAGCCATAATATACCCGACCAACGCGGATTGAATGACGATCAATCCCAATCTTTGTGTTTGAGCTGTAGCCCATCTATTGAAAACGGGATTATGGAGCTTGTTACTGTGTCTCCCTATACCAAGTTGCTCTAACAACGACATTATGTTTTATTGATTAATGCAGGATTTTAAATTTTAACAACTAAAGTTGTTATATTCAATTAATCCTACATGTAAAGATGGACCACCCCAGTCTATCTTTTATATCTTTTTATTTCAAAATCAAGAATGCGTCGTCCAAGTATTCCTATCCTAGCATTAGATATAAAAGAACCTTCATTTCTTTTATTATCCTCCATTCCATTATGAACCTCTTCAATAATTTCTTCTTTTATTTAAGCTTTACAAAATTAATTTTTTATTTTAGTTCTAATAAATTGGACTTTAATGAACATTTAATTGTTATTGATTAATTCCCATAATAGCAAGAAAACTGAATCAGGAATTCAGGGATTGGTTAATCAATGAAAATATGCAGTCATTTATGGCCACAATCCTTGCTGGTGGAATTATTCACAACACTGGAAGTTCTGAAGGTGTTATCATGAATAGGGTCAAAGTACAGTATATGAAAGGCCCAAGATAGTAGAATGTACAATGACACAATGTTTATAAAATTGGTTATTTTTAGATATCAAAATCAGATTTTATATAATAAATAAAAATAGATAATACAATGGATTATACACCACTTATTATAGATGAAATGATAATTATTATTACTAATTATTAGATATTTTTTTGAATTGAATTGGCCTATTATATATGATAGATTTGAACATAGAACAGAAATTGAGTATATTAAATTATCAAGAAAATAAAAAATATATTATTAACAAATTAGGTTATACTCACTGCGCTCGTAGGGAGGTATCCATAAGTTTGAAGTAATGGATTTTCTTGTGGATATACTATAATCCATAAGAAAATCCATAACTTTTAAACTTATGGATACCTTACTTGCAACTTTTCTTCCGTGAAAATCCATAAGTTTGAAGTTATGTAGATGATGAAAATTCAATTTCATTATACTTCTCTTTATTTATATTTCTATTACTTTTAAAATCAATTTTTCATTTTATATAATATTCATTTTCTTCTATAATTTTGTTTTTATTATGATATATAACTAGTTCATGTACAAAACTTTGAATAGCTACATAACTATATTAATATGATATTTCTCTTTATACATAATAAAAACTTCAATTTTACAGTATATAAACAATAATTTGAATTTTTGTAAACAAGAAATGATTTATTTACAATTGGTTTTTATAAAAGATAATTAGAAATAGATAAGCACTATAGTTAATGTATTTTGCAAGTTGTTTAGTTTATTAAAGGAAATGATAATGAAATGTCCTTGCCACCTCTAATTATTCAAACTATCCATTGAGATGTATGGCCAACAACAATCACAACCAAGGATGGTAAAAGCTATTAATTGATACTTAGGTATCAAATGTCCTCGTAACATCGTGTATACGCTCAGACATTCCCGATTCTGTTTCTGTTGGTGCCATTACGTCAAACTTCCAACTGGAAGAGATGAGAGATTTGTTGGGCGCAAGATTTTTTTCGACCTTGATTCAATCAATGAAGCTTACTCGATCTTGGGTGGGAAGGCGACGTCGTCTGGAATTGCACTGCATGGTTTACGGCAGCTGCATACAAAATTTAATGATATGCATGCATATTCTACAGCAAGAGCATCAGGACCAATAACAAGGAATCACACCTGCCACCCTTACACGACGTTCACCATCAGTAAATACAACACCAGCAAACAAGGAGGTGGTTTGATATTCAGCAACATTGCAAATTGCAATCGAAGTATTGTGCCACAGTACAGTGGACCCCCTTTAATGTCAACCCTCAAGTACAGCTGAAAGTGTTGACGCTAACGGGGGTTGACGTTAAAGGGGGTGGACTATTTAGGAACAAAGTTTAACCGTATAATAAAAGTATTGAACCAGCGCACCCCGACACACTGTAGTACCGTACTGTATATAAAGAATAACTTCTGGAAGATTGAAATGTTGTCAAAATGTCTAGCTCTACTTCAACTACCACACTACGTGAGTACGTCTCCTTCACTAACGAGCAACGCGATCTGATTGTCGCTTACAAGAGCTCGAAGAAGGGCAATACACTGCAGATGGCGGCAGAGTATGCCAAAAAGGAGTTTCGCTTGAGTAAGGTCCCTAGCAAGAGCACTATCTCCAAACTTATCAAGCGAAAATCCACTGAAGCTCCTGGTGACGAAAGGGACGCCAAAAGGATGCGCAATAGAAAAGGACAATATCCTGTAAGTATGAGTATATAGTATATATATAGCAGTAGTAATATATGTTTGATTGAACTGTACTGACAGCTATTGTTTCTCTTCGTCCATCTGAAATGATGTTCTGTATATAGCAAGTTGAAGAAGCAGTGTTGCTTTGGATTAACTGTGCACAAAAAAATAAAATCCAGATAACCTGGGACCTGATTCAAACGAAGGCCCGGAACTTTGCAGAATTGATTGGAATTCAAGCATTCAAGGCATCAAATGGCTGGGCGGACCGATTCTCAAGGAGATATGGGCTAAGTGCACATAGCATCCATGGAGAAGCGCAATCAGCAGACCTTGATGCCCTTGAAGCACAGAGGGATACTATCCGTGCCAAGCTTGAACGATACGAGAAACAAGATATCTATAATCTTGATGAAACCAGCTTGTTTTATCGCTTGGAGCCGAAGACAACAATTGGGACTCAAGGGTTCAGCGGCAGAAAACAAGACAAGACAAGACTCTCAGTCGCGCTTCTTTGCAATGCAGATGGTAGTGATAAATGGGTTGATCCCATTATCATTGGTCATGCTGTATGTCCAGACTCGGTCAAGGTTGATAAAAAACGCAAGGATGCTGCCTTTCATGGCTTCAAGCAAAACTTCGTCAATCAGAAGGCTTGGATGACTAGAAAGTGTTTCCGAGAGATTCTGAGAAAATTCGATCGAGCCATGGGTGCCAGGAAGAGAAAAGTGATCTTGCTACTAGACAACTTTTCTGGACATTATGTCGATTATGAACCTGTCAACGTTGAGCTTTTGTTCTTGCCTCCCAACACGACATCCATGATCCAACCTCTCGATGGGGGGATTATTCGGTCCTTTAAGGCACAGTACAAACGACGACAGCTGGAAAAGGCGTATCGTTCCATTGGAATGATCCAATACGGGAATGGTCAAGTCGTGGGCCCCGCTGAGAAAGTTTTCATTATCAATCAACTACAAGCGATGAGGTGGATTCAAGCGGCATGGACGGCAGTAACCGCCGAAACAATCCAAAACTGTTTCCAAGCTACGATCTTCAAGTATCCAGGAGAAGGAGATAGTCTTGCTGCTACTGAAGTTGCCCAAGCAGAGGAGACAGACAGATGGGAGTCGGAGGCTCAAGTTCAACAGCTTACCTCTACCGGAGCTGTCAACCGTGATCAATGTCCTGATGTCAACCTTGATCCTGAGTATGAGCGCGACGTATACCTTGCATCACTTACAGAACAAGAAATCGTTGAGGAGGTGACAGCTGTTGCTGAAACAAGTGTAGAAGAGGTTGTTGTTGAAGAGGAGGAAGAAAAGGAATTGACGGCTAAAGAGAAATCTGAATGTATCAATACTTTTCTTGAAATTTTGGATAGGGAGGAGGAACTCCATGACGCAGTAGTACATGCCATACCTCAAATCCAAATAATTCGAAATAGATATCAAAAGGCAATGTATGCTACGCAATCATCTCTGACAAGATATTTTCAACCAACGACAGAATAATTTTTTTTTATTAGATATGTTTGACCTCAATAAGAAGTCAACCCTGGCTAAGGTGTTGACATTGACCTTATGTAGAAGTTGAAATTTATCTCTGCTAAAATTTGAGGTTCTCAGAAAAAGGTTGGCCATATCGGGGTTTGACATTAAAGGGGTTGACATTAAAGGGGGTCCACTATCATATTATTTTCTTCCAGTTCTACTACGAGACAATATTTCGTTTGCTCATGTTACTGTCGTGCTTCTTGGATCATGTCAATTATTTCTATCTTTGCAGTCATCATCATAATAGTTAATTCCATCTTTGATGGTAAGATACAAAGCCGTAAATGTATTCTTAATGAGGTACACACAATGGCAGTCATAAGTACGTTGATTCTACCCCCCCTCTGCTACAGTTGTGGATATAACTGAGCACGTAATGAATGAGTTTTAGGCATAGTGATCTAAAAGTCTCCCGTAGCACAATGGTAATTTTATGAGGACAGAATGCACCTTTTCATTGCTAAAAGCAGAGTTCCACTCTGTTGAAAGAAATAGTTCAGATAAAATTAATGAACACATGATTGTGTTCGAGAATGGGAAGAAACAGATATAGACTTCTTGTATTTCTTGATGAATAACCATTCCATATAAATATGAAACGTACAAGAGGTTTGTCACAGGTGGGTGCTCCTGCTACTGTAACTACTGTACCTAACTACAAGAGCAAAAAACCACCACCAACACCATGGTCTTGGGAGTCGAAGTTAGTGTGAGAATATCTAGTCCTAGTAAGCAGAAAAGGCTGGTCAAGAATCTGTATTTTTGAGCACTGGCACTGCTACAGCAGGTGACTACATCAGCATTTTAAAGGAAACATTAGAAGAAATGGATAAAAATAATGAAAGAGTAACATATTATTTGATTGCGACAACGCCTTAATACACATTTCCAATGATATTGCAAAATATGTCGAGTATCGTGGGTATCGATGTGCATATCATTCTCCATATTCTCCTGCTGAGCTTAACCCAATACTGTAGAACAATATTAGTCTGTTGCAAAGAGCAAGATCAAACGCCAATGATTCTCACAACAGGGGACCTTATCGACAAAAATTCCTGAAGCATGTAATATGTAAAACCAACAGATCTTATTGATTCGTTTCTCATTTACGAAGATATTTAGACAAGTGTCGTAGAAAATGAAAGCCTGTAAAGCTTATATGGTAGCGACGACAGGTAACTAATAACAATAAGTATTTATTCATCGACGAATCATCAAAACGTGATAAAAGAACGTTCAAAATGGTCTTTATTAGAAAGCTTTATTCAACATTCGTACTGTTGCTTCTAAAAACAGGTGACATCTGTATCAAGAGTTCGCAGAAAATACGACATTTGAATTCTAAGCAAACGACTTTAATTGTGGAACATGTGACATCAATTTTGCTGCCAAGCGCCATTCAATTTTATTGGCCTGCGGCATTGATTTCTACTGGCTGCGACATAACTTGTTGTAAAGCCTGTACAGCTGAAGCTCCTGAAAATTGCCATTAGTCGTTTTAGAGAACCGTCTCACGCCTGCTTTACCTTCCCTCCCTTTTCTTCTCTCTCTTTTCTCTCTCTTTCTTCCTTTCTTTTCCCCTTTCAAACACCACGCACAACACACCCATAACCTTATTTTGAATGGTGAGGCCCATGGTCAACGACACAATGGAATATCGACTCCCAGGGGCATATCACTACGAACGACGGTCGTCCGAAAAGGAGGACACAGTATCATTGCCACTGGCGATTGTATCCTCTGTCTTGTTTCCTTCAGAAGGGATCATGGTCCAAACCACACATACTTCATTGCCTGGAGCTTGGGTTAAAGACGAACAGCAGCGTCAAATCATGTCATCGTTGACAGCAGCAGCATCATCATCATCATCATCTTCATCATCTTCATCGACTACTACTAAAACAGCCCAGCAACAGCAAGAACAACAAGAAAATGAAGTGCAGCAAGGCCAGCAACAGCAACAGCAGCAGCAGCCTGCACCGTCACCATCCACATCAACAACATCATCATCATCGGACAAGGCGGAGTATGACAATCAAGTGGACGAACTGCGAAGGACAGTCGCAGAACTACGACGAAAAGCTGAGCAGTTGGAACAAGCCGATATAATGGTCAAAAAAGGCATAGAAATCGTGGCACGCAAACGAGTGATCGCGCAGCATAAACGCCGGCGGCAATCCGAATGGGATTGGTGTGATAGCAGCTGTAGTAATAGTAGCGAGGAGGATGACGATGTCGGCGACGGTGTAACTCAACGACGGCAACATCCAAACAAGAAGACGCTCATCTTCGTGGACGACGAAGGGGGCGAATGGGAAGTGCTTTGATAAAAGCACCACTCTATTTCCTTGCATATTGTATACCTCTTCCATCCTTCTGAGTAACACAGACATACACACACATCCTTTTATACATAGCATATCCTTGTGTTTCTTTCTTCTTCTTCCCTTCTTATGTTTATAAATATTCTCTTTTTTCATTACTGTTTATATTATTATTATTATTATTATGTAAAGAATAACCCCCCCAAGGAAAGAAAAGGGTTATATAAGCCATACACCCAAATTAGCGCATGGGATAGTAGGATTGATGTGGATGTGGATGAGGATGAGGTTGGTGATAGTATGCTTGCTGTTGCTGTTGATGCTGAGGTTGAAAAGGTTGCTGATGTTGGAGTTGTGGTGATGATGGCATCATGTGTTGTGGTGCTTGCACGTGAGCTGAAGAACCGCCAGGCATCATCATCATGGAAGGTGGGTGGTGCTGACCTCCCCCTCTATGGCGACCGCCATAAAAGTGTTGCACGTACTGTTGTTTTAACTGTTGTTCTCGTTGGTATGCCTGCATACGGTCCCATTCGTGCTGGAGTTCATGCTGAGGATAGTAGTAACCGGCGTAAGGTTGTGGTTGTTGCATGTCTGGGTTGCTCTTTGCATGCTTTAGTCGTTGTGGAGCCGTATTTGTCGACGAGCTACGCTGTGGTACAACCAGAGGTGACGATACGCTTTGCTGATCGTCCTGCTGCTGGTAATGCTGCTGTTGCTGTTGCTGTTGCTGCTGCTGCTGCTGCCTCTTCTTTTTCTTCTTGATGTTCGGCAAAGACCGGGAATGGCGCAGACTACGGTGCTTCGACTCCTCTTTCTTTTTGTTATGCTTCTTGCTTCGAACGCTGTTAGCGCGGCTGCTGCTATGGCCGTCGTCGCTGCCTTCGTCGTCTCCGTCAGCATCTGTTTCTCTTGGCTTGGCCTTGGTGGGTCGCTCAATGCTGCTGATGCTACTGCTGCTGCTGCTATTGATGCTGCTAACGCTAGATCGTCGAATACTAGAAGGCTTGGATGCAGGTTTGCTGCCACTGGTCTCCTTCTTTTTCTTGCCAACAAGTTGATCGTGAGCTGCAACAACAGCCTCAGGTTGTTGCTGTTTCTTTTTGTACTGGTGATGACTACGAGTCGAAGAGACAGATTCCGTCGGTGTAGGTTGCTGTTGATCGTGATGCTTCTTCTTGCTAGACACTACCGGCTGATGACTGGACGAAACTGTATCAGTCTTTGCCGCATGCTTCTTCTTTGGAGTAGATTGCTGGCGTTCAGCGACATCATCCTGTTTCTTTTTGTTAGAAACTTTTTGTTGATACTGGTGCTCCAAAGCTTCCACTTTCTTTTGTATAGGTTTCTCGTCAGAAGAGACATCATGACCGGATGATACAGAGTCGGCTTTCTGTTGCTGCTGTTTCTTGCTGCTTTTCTTGGATGTCTTTTTAGTAGCGGCGGGAGGAGCTTCAGCTTCAGCTGCAACATTTTCTGCCGATGAAATTGAACCAGTGCTTCTCTGACGTCGGTGCTTCTTTTTGGAAATTGGTGCAGACGACGTTGGCACAGGCTCTCCATCCGAAGAAGAAACTGAGCTAGCAGTAGATGCAGTAAGGACTGGCGATGTCGGTTCTGAGCGACGTGGTGGTCGGGACGCAGAAGAACTCCCAGAAGACTGTGGAGTTTGCTGTTGTGCGAGAGCAGGTGGAGGTAGCGGAACAGGTGGCATACCAGTTGGTGGTACTGCTGGGGGAATCATACCATTAGTGCCGTTGGCACCGTTATACATCATCGGATCCATCTGAGGATTATACATCATCGGATCCATCTGAGGATTATACATCATCGGATCCATAGCAGTAGGGTGAGGCTGTGGAGGGTACATCATGGGATCGCCCAAACCGCCACCGGGAGAATACATGGCTGGCTGCATGGGTGGAGAAGATACATTGTACATCATCTGTTGCTGTTGCTGCTGTTGCCGCATAGCAGCCACACGATATTGGTGTCTGTGTCGATCCTTCATACGCTCAATCATGTTTTCATTAATTTCGATCAACTCTGCTTCTGGATCCACACGGGTTGCCCAGTTGTTGACTTTGCGCTCCACATTCAGGCGATGATCCTGGCCTCGTCGTGCCATAATTGGCTGCATTCCTTTTGTCATGCGCATGTCTTTCTCGCCCTCTTCGTCTTCACTAGAGTCCTTTTTATCGTCCTCATCGTCGTCTGATACATCGGAATCTAGCACTTTTTGGGTTGTTGGCGGTGGTGGTGGAGGTGCTGCTTGCTGCTGCTGCTGGTACTGAGTAGAGGTGTTGGAAGAAGGATTAAGGAGCGACGCAAACATGGAGTTATCGTTAAATGAAGAGGTATTGGTGGTAATCGTATTACTGTTGTTATCGTCGGTCAAGCGTAAATTGTTGAGATAGCTGCTGTAAATGCTGTCACTACCAAACATGTCGGAGGGTCTGGGTGCGGCGTTTGTCGGTCCATTGCCCAATTTGGAAGCGGTGGTGACATTTGAAGTGACATTTTGGTTCTTTGTTGTGGCCGTCGTGCTACCGCCATGGTCCAACGAATTCGACAAAGCCAAGTACATTGACAAGTCGTTTTGCAAGTCAGGATCTAGTTTGCAAATAAGGTAGAATAAGGGGACGCATGAATTGTGTGTGAATGCATGCATAATGCAAACGGTTATTCTGCATATCTTGCTTATACACTAGTCTGTTTGTAGCGTACCTCTTGATGGTTGCTCGGCAGGTACAGGTTTCTTGAGCTCAGCAAAGATATCATCGAAAAGGCTTCCAGCGCCCGGACCAGCAGGCGCAGCTGTAGTTGCTGTTGCAGTCGTTGCATAGCTTGCAGTTGCTACAAGAGGCTTTCGCACGACTGTTGGGGCCGATGCATTCTCTTGAGCTACACCAGAAGGCGCAGCGGGTGGAGGAGCTAGTGGCACGGACGAGCGACTCGTATCAAAGTCTAAATCAAGCGTCAGTGGCTCGAGCTTCGGGGCACTCGACACGGGTGCAGAAGACAGTGCCTTTGCTGATGCAGCCGTCCCTGGTGGTGGTGGCGCATATGGGTCTTGTTCCTTATTCCGACGCGACTTTTTGAAACTGCTTATCTTTAAAAGGCCCATCGTCGATACCCCTCCCAGTCTGCTGTTGGTTTGTTTGTAGAAAGAAGAGAGGAAGCAAAAAGAAGTAAGCGGGCAAAAGAGAGAAAGAGAGAAGAACAGGAAAGAAAGAACGAACGAACGAACGAAAAAACAAATAAAATAACGGTGCTTCCAAAAGTGATTGTGTTGTGTTTCGATTGCGGGTGCAACAGTGTATTTTTTAGAATATGCTCGGGAACCCAGACCAATCAGCTAGCCTGTACGACCACGCGAGCTTATGGTGCGCATCCTCATCTGGACCGGGACAAAAGCGCCAACATGAACTGATGCTGATTGTTGAGTGTGCCGCGCGTTTTTGATACTCCCCACCCCCCGAAAATAGTTTTAATATTTGGCGTAATTGTGCCTGTAATTGTTGCTGTCCGCACAGCCCTCTCGCGTGTCTGCTAACAATACTTCTTCCCTCCTCCTTGCAATGCACATCTGCGACATACACACAAAGATGCATGGTAGCAGCGGTCTGCCGCAACGTCAGATTTTCGAGAAAGAGGAGGGCGTGTGTGTGTGGTGATACAACATTGGTCAACCTGTCTATTCTGTCGTTCCTACGTGTCGATAATTGCCGATCAAGGAGATGGATACACGTGGAAATTGAGAAGCTGGCAATGGGCAAACTGCTGCTGGCACCATATTTTCAACTCGAGCGGCTGTTCTTTCTCTGTTTTTCAGATGCTATGAATGCAATATATGCAGCGGAATCAATAGAAAATAACAGAGAAAAAGATCGCTTGTTGCTCCTTTATTTATATGCAACGATGGTGTTTTGTGCGTCAGCCCAGTAATACAGGGAGCCCTTTGTTTACTGCATAGTATGATATGCATCATGATTTCAAGCTAATTTCCGTCTATGCGCACTTTGACCAAGTAGAGAACGATCATCGATCTCCAAAAATAAATCCTGGCTAGGTAATATTTTTCATGTCCGGAATATTGATTAATTGAAAAAGTTAGCGGCGACGCTGGACAGGGGTGTCTCTCACTCTCTCTATTTATTAATGAAGGAATCGATGAAATGTAGCACTTATTACTCGGTGATAGCTGTAGTTCTCCCTTTGTTGCACATACGCACTTGCTAAACTTGGCTTAAACTTTGTGCTTCCTTTGTAACAACGAACAATCAGCGACAACCCCCGTTTCAAGTGCCCAGGGCATCGCGACAGCAGCCGACCACATAGTGAACATGAAGGATCATGCTGCTGGTAGGTGCCAATCCTTCAAACTCACAGGAAAAACGTGGTTGTTGAAGAGGTGCTCTTGTTGACGATTACAATAGCACCAAGCCCACTTGGCAACCTAGACTGCGTTCTACGAACCCGTTATTAACTCCCCATATGTGTCATCAGGGTTATGTAATGATGATATCATGACCACAATATAATAGTGTGAGAGCACACGCGAAAGCCACCTATCAGCGACAAGGCAAGACGGTGCTGGAAGAAAAGCAGATAGTAACGGGGGCGTTAGTATGTTGAAACGGGGCATTGTGCGCACTGCGTATCAAACCTTTATTTCAGACCCAATGCCGAAAGTGCTATTTTTCGCATAGAGCATAGAGGTATCTCAGCCAGCTTTTCTTTTTTTCTTTTTTTTTTCTATTACGTATACACCACACACAACGTAAAGCACTGCCTGTACAATGACAAGTCAAAACAGCATATTTCGACAACAACAGCAATTATACAAGTCGTCCCATTATTTTGGAAAGCCAAAAACACCTGCATTCTACTCAGCACCAATCTCACCGTTGCATCAAGAAGATCTGCAAACCAAAGGTATGTGATATAAAGCTACATTCCAAAGGAAACAAAAATCTAACAAAGCTTTAAACATGTTGTAGGTCGTAAGCGACGAGCATCTGAAGATGATTTAATGGAAGACACATGGGTTAATTCGTTTGAACAATTGGACGTTGCAACATCACCCAGGAGTAAACATGACAAAATGCTGCATACGATCAAACGGAATCGGACCGGTATTGAGAAACAGCAACAGCAGTTTCCATTGGATAAACTACTAGGTAGAGTGGCTATCTGTTTGAGCAGCCTCGTTTGAAATTTTCGACAAACAGACTAATGTTTCTCGATATAGCGCCGCTGGATAAAGGGAAACTGATTGAGTTGATCAGTGAGCTGGTGGAAGCCAATCCACGACTGCAGCCCGAGATCCATGGCATGATACAGCCTCAACAACAAGAACAACAACAACAACTGCAGCAGCTGCAGCCAGATCTGCAGCACCAGCACCATCCTCACAACGCACCGCAGCAAAACAAGCAGCAGTAGCTGCTGGTAGTGTAGTCAAGAAACAAGAGAGACATGTTCTCTTCCTAGCAGTCTGTATTATGTACATATTTAACCAAGAAAAAGATATACCCCCGTTCCGCTGTTTGCATGTCTTCTTTACGTATTATTATTACTCTTTTCGCATAAAAAAAACTCAAGTCAAATCATTTCCCAGACAACGATTTTTTCACATGGCCTACCCCACAGAATTCTTTCTTACGCGAGTGCGTTTACACACTTTTTTTTTCCCTTCAAATTGTGGGGGTGGGGAGTGCGCAAACACGCATAGTTTCTTTCTCGCGCTTTTTGCTGCTCCTTTCCTCTTTCCCTTCTTTCTCCCTTTTTTATAACCTATCACGGTTCCTTTTTAGATGACGATATCTATCCACCAGTCCACTGATGCGAACGCCCGAGCCGCCGCCGCACGGTTGGCACAGTTGAAACAGCAGCTCAACCTGACTCCGTCGCCCATGTCATTGCAGGCACCCAAGGATATGGCGGCAGAACGAGCTGCTGCCGGGTTTGATATCGAAGCGCTTAAGCATCATTGGCACGGAGGTGTCCATCAATACCAACTCTTGGTAAAGCATTGAAAAGCAAGTCGATGGGACGATCATGCATTTTTTTTATTTACTAGGCCGCTCTTCCCCCCCCACCTCCCACCTTATTCTAGGAAAGAGCATATAAGCTCATCAAGAGTGACCCTGAACTCGTCGTACAACCACCCCGTAACTTTATGGAGCTGACAAAGGACGAGTCGCGTGAATTGTAAAGTGGAGCTCTCTTTTGTATGCTACCTTCAGCTTCTTGTATGAAAGACTGCTAATACTTGTTCCGACGCCTCTTTTCAGTACAATGGGTCAAATATACCGAACTGTCAAGCTGCTACAAGATCCAGTGATTCGCAGTCAGGGACCCGAGTTCACCGAGGCCATTTTCCAAGCACTAGTCAGTTACTCAGAGAGCTACTCCATGCGCATAGGTGTACACCGAGCACTTTTCCGTAATGTGCTTTTGATGCTTGGCAGTGACGAGCAGCGCGACGCCTGGCTTGATGCAGTGGATAACTATCGTATTTTTGGGTGCTTTGCCATGGTATGGTTCATTTTGTACTATCTCGTATATATCTCGACGTTTTACTTACGCACGCCATCCACTTTTTGGAAATTAGACCGAGCTCGGTCACAGTTCAGCCCTTCGAGATATCGAAACAACTGCCACATTCGATCCCAACACCGACGAGTTCGTGATCAACTCGCCCACCATCACTGCCACTAAATGGTGGATCGGTATGGCAGGCAAGACTGCCACGCACACCATGGTGATTGCTCAAACATATATTGGCGGCCAACACCATGGCCACAACTGGTTTATCGTCCAGCTTCGTGATACCGCGTCGGGTGCGCTCCAGCCGAACGTTATTGCCGGCGATATCGGACACAAGGTCGGCCGACCAGGTCTGGACAATGGCTGGATCCAATTCCACAACGTGCGTATTCCTCGTTCGCAGATGCTGAATCGATGGGTTGACTTGGACCGTCAAGGCAACTATACTCCCGCACCTTCTCCCGTGGTCATGTACGCTACCTTGATCCCCGAGCGTATCATGATTGTCATGAACAGTATGTTGATGGTCTCGCATGCCCTGACAATTGCCACGCGATACAGCGTTGTCCGTCGCCAAGGTAACCAGAACCAGCAAATCATGGACTACTTGTCGCACTATGGCAAGTTCGTGCCGGCTATTTCGTTCATCTACATGGTGCGCTCTGCTAGCTCGACGTTGGATGAGCAATTCAAGATATTGACGGCTGGTGGTGACATGGATCCAGAAGTGTACATGTACCATATGGGCGACATGCATGCTATTTCGGCCTGTTTGAAGGGTATCACTGGATGGTACGGCTCGGATGTATTGGAAACATGTAGACGTGCGTGCGGTGGCCACGCCTATTCAGCATACAACAACATTGGCCAAATTATCAACGACTGGGGTGTCTTGACAACAGGTGGTGGTGACAACGTTGTGTTGCTTCAGCAAACGGCACGTATCTTGCTCCATCAACTGACGCAAAAGTTGGACCATGATCAGTATCCTCAGTTGAAATTCAAGAGCTCCACACACTACTTTATCCGTGCCAAGGAGTACCTGGCCAAACCAAGCTGGAACGTCACTGATGTGTCTGCTTGTCTCTCAGACTTGACCTTGGTCGAAGAGGCATTGTTTACCATTCTAGTCAAGCGGGTACGTGTGCTATCTTTTTTAAATCGGTTTCCTCGGCCTATGGTTCGCTGATAGCTGTTTTACAATTACTTTGAGATAGCTTAATAGCATTCGTGAAGAATTGAAGGCTGGTGCTACTCAGAATGATTTGTTGTTGGATTCAGTGCGTGTGGCTGAAATGCATGCTGCTGCATTCTTGTATTCTGATGCCGTTGAAAAGTATGGTAAGCCGGACCCTGCACTTGAACCCAGCGTGGCACAAATTATGCGCCGTATGACAGCTGTGTGGGGCTTGCACACCTTGCACACCTACAGTGACCAAGGATTTAAGGAAGGCTTCCTCAACCCACAACAAGTCAAGCAAATAGAGAAGCTTTATCTGACGGTAAGATTTTTTGGGAATCACCTTTTCTTGTATCTCACTTATAACTTCCTCTCTCTCTCTCTTTTTGTTTACGCAGACAAGCAAAGGGATGCGCAAACAAGTTGTCGGCCTAACAGACGCGTGGGGCTATCCTGACTTTGTCTTGAAGGCGCCCATTGCCAAATACGATGGTGATATTTATGAGCGTAAGTGTTTCTTTTTATTAGAAGAAAAGCCATTCAAGTGTATTAAACTTCTGTTCTACCACTTTAAATATAGCCTACTTTGAGACGCTACTCATGTCGAAGAATAGCGTTGATGTGCCATCCTATCATGGCAGATACATCAAGCCACTCACGGATAACTAAGTTTTATTTTTCTCTGCATGTATGTTTACATACCATGTTATTGTGCTCCTTTCTTTCGATTAAAAACCAGTCGATCTGCAAGACAGCTCATTTTGCTTGGGAATAAGGATATTCAATACAATTGCTGTTGTTCCGTCGTCTTTCATGTAGTATGCTAATAAGATTAAATCGAATACTGTATTATGTAATAGAGGGGAACCCGCTATGCTCATTCTTGTTATCCAAAGTGTACAGCGACTGACTCACCAACAATTTAAGCTAATGCTTTCTTTATGATACAGCAAAAAAATTACCTTTTTGTCCATGGAACATTCTTCCGTGTCTTGATGATTTGAGGCTTCGGCAGTTCCGGCAATAGAAATAGAATTCTGATGGCTGCTGCGACAGTATACACGACGTGTTATAGATGTCGAGAATATCATATTGTATTGAGGTCCACGACACCAATATTTACAACAATTCGCCCTTATCTTGATGATAATACAGACCTTTCCATCATAATGATAGCTTGAGTGTATTCCGAACACAGATGATTTGGTTAACACATCGACCATGTGTTGACTGGCTTCGCCCTTAGGAATAGAGAAGGTAGCAGAGATCCTTTCAGTAACCGCTGCCCCGACAATGTTTCGAGCTCGAGAAGGATTATCAAATGGTAGATCTGGGATGACCGCCTTACCGGTGCTGTCGTATATACGCATGCGTGAAGTTGGGTGCTGGTATCCTTTTCATAGATAGTGATGGTATACTTGTTGACTTGATCAAGACAAGCCTGTCGTGGCGAGTGCTGCTGTTGTCTCTGTTGCTACAGTATTTGAAGAATGGTACGGCAATGAGTTTAATCGACGAATAGCGCCTCAATGACCAGGATCGAAATAGTGTCGCTGCTGGTCCTGCTGCTGTCGCTACTACTATGTAATGTTGTCCGCTTTCGCCTTTTGACAATCCGAAACGCCTGTAGGCTCCTTCCTAAAAAGTGGTCTTCGAACGCCTTGCATATTCGCGCGGGACTGATGTTAATACGGTGCTGTTCCTGATATCTAGGCTCAAAGCAAAGAAAAAGGATATGATCCAAAAAAGAGTGGCCAGATGGGCGATAGTCTTCATTGAGGTGTACTTTCTTTATACCCGGATATGTACTGTGGACATAAAATGGCTATCGCAAAGTAGGAAAAGGTTGAAATGATCAGGGATGAGTATGTGTGGGAAAAAAGCGAAAGAAGAACGAAAAAGCTGATATGTCCACCCATATAATATCTGATATTTATCTAGGATGCTTTATTAGTATCAGGTAGCTTACTGGTGTTTAATTTTCAAATGACGGACGATAATAAGATGCAAGTTCTTTCAAGTTTATCTCAAGCTCTTCATTAGGTACTCGACTATATACTGTAGTACTCAACAGCAGCAATGATGTACTTTTGTTGCCAGATGTGTGTACATTTATTGTTAAAAACCTGGGTTACATACAATAGACAACAATAAGTTATGACGTATAATTGGTTTCTTGATCAGCATGGAACATTCTAAACTGCTCTTGTGCTGTAATATCATAACAGTGTAAATTTGTATGCTCATCAATAGCTTGTAATATAATATACCCTTTAGTGTACTGTATGACTATATATGCTTAGAAAAGGTGACGACAACCAAGTATAAGATAGAAGAAGAATCCAATATATATTGAACGATGCTTACAATTAGCAAATGATGTTTAAGGAATACGATATATTCTGGTAAAAAAAAGAGGTCTAATAGTATGAGACATTGGTTGCGCTGTAGTAATGGATGTGAAGATGGTATTCTCGGAGGCGTATACAAGGATCAAGAGATATATTTAGTGAGATGGAAATTTTCATAGTGTGTGTTGGAAGGGGGCGGGTGAATTTCTAAATAAATCAATAAAGTGCACTACAAACAGATGACCTTTCCCTTCATTAAAACAATGTCATTGTCTTGTTTCTCGGAGGCTGTAAATGGTGGACATACAACCACACGCACAATTGTGGCATTATCTGCAGAGCCATTCTGCGGTACTACAAGCTCATCATTGAGCTTATCCTCACCCTCCACCAATTGTATCGGATCGACAGGATTTTCCTGACTATGCATGGCAGCACTGAGTTCGCATGCAAGATCCACAAACTTGGCGATCTTTGCCACGAGCGCCTGGTGGCCTTCGGAGGAGGAGTATATGTGTGACAATTTCTTGGTGAGACGTTCGACCACGTCGTTCTTGGCTGATGCAATGGGCTTGGCAGCCGCTTCGTTTGTGTTCAATGATTTAACGGCCAGCTTGCACATTTGCTGGCGCAGCCGCAGTGCCCAGTCCCTGTCATGTGGCTCCATATACTCTTTGATTTGCATGAAAGCGTCGTTGGTGGGTAAACCAATCATGATTGGACTACTGTACACGCTTGCGATCAATTCCTCGGTCACCAACTTCTCGACAAACAAACAAATAATGTTATAGTCGAGTGCGCCGTTCTTCTTGCTAAGCTGGTCAATCGTTGGCATCAAGGCGGGCCAGCATTGTGTAAAGTAACGTGTAATAACCGTTCGGTCGGCGGCGTATTTTTTAAGGGACAGCGGCAGTGCAGAAATCTTGGATTGCAGCATGGTAAGCTTGACTCGAATGGTGCTAAAATCATCATCAGTTGCACGTATCGTCTAAAAAAAGATCATGGTTGGGTGAGTGAGTGAAAGGCGCAGTTCAAAAAAAAAGCTTAACAAGAACCAAACCCTTCTCAAGGGTTGCTGTGCAGCAAACAAGCTGTTAAGGTTCTTCTATTTTTCTCAAATCTGCTTAGGATGCATACCATAACATGCTTGTGGAAGTTGGCAGAGATACGGTTTAGTTCTGCCTCTTTGGCATCGAGCGTATGTTGTAGCTTGTGATACCGGCTTTCAAGCTCCAGCGATTCTTTATCTCGACTTAGCTTGAGTTCGTCCAGCTCGCTAACTAATCGAGTCACTCGATGCTTTTGCACAGCAGACTTGGGGATCTTCTTTTTCGTGGCTGTTTGTTGGGCATTGCCGGCTCCACTGCTGTTACTGCTGCTGCTGCCATTGTTATTATTACTGTTGTTGTTGTTATTACCGGAACTGCCGCTATGAACAGAAGCAGAATCTTCTCGGAGAGAATGTGTAGGCGGTTCTGGTGGTCCAGACTGCTGGTGCTTGTGTTGTTGATTATGATGCTGTGATGAGCTTGTGCTGCTCTCGTTGTTGACTGAGGCGTTTTCCATGTAGAGATATGCTGTGTATGCTTCTTTAAGATCGTCGTCGACGGAAGGTACCCGCGAAAATCGCTTGTAGAACGGAGTTGACTCCTTCCGCTTATTATTATGCTTGCTGACAGGCGGTCGCGATGATGACCGTGGTTGAGTAGGCGATGGAGGAATGGTGGGTAATGGCCGGTCGTGTAGAGAAGGCTCTGACTGGGCCGAAGAGTGTCGTGTTTGATTCTTGTTGCTGTGATCCTTGTTGCTGTGATGCGACGATGAAGATGCGCTTAAACTCATTCGCCGGCTAGGTCCTGATGCAGATGGCGTTGGCTCCGAGTTTAACGAAACGTTTGAAGAGCGAGCGTTGGTGTTATCTTTAAATAGGTTTTTTAGGCTACGGCCTGCGTTAAACGGTGACGAGGATACCATGTGAGTAGTATAGAGTTGGGTTAAAAAGAAAACCCAAATCTGTATCAAACTGCAATATTAGTTCTTAAGCCGCAAGGTGATAGTGTGTGACACGAAAGGCTGCGCCTCCTTCGTATCCCTTTATTTCTTGTGCCACGATGCTTACAATGAGGCGCTGCCATATTACCGCCATTTAAGCTCCTGTGTGCTGTAACTATGGGTACACATCTTTCGTATGATAAACTACCGTGTGTATAAGCGGGCGATTACCAAAGACCACTGTCGCTAACAACATTTTATGATCTGTGAGTCATGAAGCTCTTTCGCTGTAGGTATTGATCGACGTGACAAACATCCAGATACTATTCTAGCAAACGCTCATATCATTTAGCAACGATGTAATGAAGTGATTTCTTCACGTGTACTCTTTATTTAGTATTGATTTGATGTCAATTTTACTAGTAATTTTACTACTGTTACTGCTGTGATTGTTTTCGGTAATAGGGACACTTGAGACATTGTCGACTATGCTTGGAAGTATATTCGTGAACGCAAAACAGGACTGCAAACACACCTCCCGAGTCGTCCCCATGAACATGAGTCTCGTGACACATGTACATATTTTCGAGGTATTCTTGGATTGCCTTTCGTAATTGACCCTTGTTGACTGCATTTTTACGTGAATGTCGGCCCGCACCAGTGACAATGTAGACAACATCACGTTGCTTTTGAAAGTCATCGAACCATCGCTTGATATGCTGCTTAGCTTCTGTAACATGCTGTCCATGCAAGTCGATAAACCGGCTTCGGTGTCGTGGGTCGCTATTGCAAGCATTAAATATTGCCTGGCTTGCTTTGGCATGTTCTCGGTTCATCCATCGGGAATACTCCAGGGCACGGCACTCATGTGTCTCCGCTTCTTCTTGGTTGCCTTCTTGTCTGGCTTTGGCTGCTCGTTCCGTTTCCATATTCATCTTTTCTCCATATTTAAACGCCTGTGCTCTCTAAAAACAATTATATTATGTCGCCAAGAGGTATATATATGTATACATTATATTAGGAAAGGCTTTTTGCTCAATTTTATATCGAAGCACTATGACTAAGTATCATTGTTTTGAATTTATGTGCTTACCATAGACTTGTATCGTAGTTCATTATTCTCACTACCAGAGGCTACGCGTGGCAGCGTTTCCGGTGAAGGGGGTGTTCGCAACTTGTTTAGCCACATGGCGCGTTGGCCGGATGCAGTTTGTTGAAGAGAGGATGAAGGAGGCGACTTTGCAAATATATCTTTGCGCGCATTATCATCCCATTCCAATTCCCTGGGCGATTCGCCGTGTTTGTATGCGCATGCCGAGCCTGAAGGACATTCTTTCTTGTTTTGCCTACATATGATAGATGATACCGAACACTTGAGCGTCATGGTTCTTTCGCTCCATTTAATACTTCTCAAACAGAAATCACATAGTACTTACCAATAGTAGCAAGTGCTGACATACTGCAAGTCTTCGTGAGCGTAGCGACATACGCTACTTTTTCTCGTACATCCTGCACCGTACCAAAAGTGCGAACATTTTCTAATCTTCTTCTGTACCATTGTAATTTTTTCAGTTAATGTTTTTGCCCCCTGCAGTACAAGTACAGCTCCAGAATAACTCTCAGAATTCAGTACATACTTCGCTTGTCATTGCGCTTTCATCTTCAAGCGACGATGACATAGAAACGTTATCCTCATCCTCGTCGCTCAAATCCGGAAGCTCGCATATATATTTCACATCAATACGGTCTTGAGGTCGGTGCATATACAAACAAGCAGTGTCATTTGAACAGTATCCTTTTCTCCTGGAAACAAAAAAGATTAATTGGTTACAGTTTCTTTACATTCTTTCTTTCAAGAAAATTACAATCTAAATTTCTTCTTAATACAATACCAGAAATAGCAATCCTTGACCTTACTGGTATCATCGTGTGCGTACCAGCAATTGTAACGGCTACACTTTTCATCTGTATTCCACCACAGCCGACATTTCTTGGTATGACGCAACTCCTTTTCATCAGATTCAGCGCAGCTCTCATTATCATCGTCACTTAAATGAAGCTATACAGAGGGGAGCATGAATTCAGTATTTCAGTTAGTAAAAAACAATCGCTCCAGCACGATCACGCTTTGAGTATAAAACAAAAAATATCATGAACATTATCTACCACGTGTGTACGGATAACACCACCCCTCGGGGCTCGACCAGTTTCATCCACACATGAGATTTTTTTTTCCTTTGGTTGACAAGCTGGTGGGGGAGAGACTGCAGGTTCTCGACGTGCAGCTGTCGCATAGTTGTAGTCAGATCGAATGACGTTCTTGATGAGTAGTTCTTTCATACGCTCGGTCAACACGGGGTATCCTTTCACATCAAGGGCGCCGGCAATCAAATCGTCAATGTTCTCAACCACAGGCTCCTCGTGCAGAAATTGGCAATGTTTATCCTTGAGGCACAGACCATTCGAACGCCTAAAAAAGATATCATTCAGTACTCATTATCCATAAAAGAAAGAATAATAGCAAGTCATAGCACATACCAGTACTTGCAAATCGGAACCTTTCGCGTGTCCTTGTGCGCAAACTCGCAATCCTCTTCATTCTTGTATGGACATTTCTGTTGTAAGAAGCTTAGACAAAGTTTGGTCTTTCGAGCAGGTTGATCCTAAGTACAAAAACGGTACGTTTTGAGTATCAAGATGGAATTTACAAACAAAACATTCTATCATCATGCTTCATGCTGCTTTTTGTTTTCTGTATTTACCACGTCAATATCAATGTTTATATCCCGCTCTTGATGAAGGTACGGACAGAGCACTTCTTCACATTTGTGTGAATTCCTAATCAATGGATATGCAGAGATTATTAACCGTGTGATAAGGAAATGAAGCGTTTACTCGATTAACTTGGTAAATAAAAAAGACGGGACTTACAGATAAGCGTAACAAAGATGGACTCGGCTGAGATCCTCATGGGCGTAATGACAGCTTTCTTCATCAAAGACACAGTTTCCTTTTCGAAAGTACTCGCAAATTTTTGTTTTTCGGTTCAGTGATGAGCCCTCGCTGGATGTGCTAGCAGAAAATGTGTTGTCATCCTCTTGCCGTTCCTAGTTACAGCGATATCACATGCACAATCAGTCAAAAAACCCTAATTAGAACTGTCATCGTACTACAATGTTAGAGAGAGAGAAAACGACATACCATGGTGCTCTTCTTTGCCGTTCTGAACTGTGCTGATGGTGGTGAAGTTTTAACAGTCGCTGGTCGTAACCTAGCTGCTATGGCATAGCTTTCGCCATTGTTACGCTCATTCACCTTGCTTACAGCCGTTTCATTGGCAAGATATTTTCCTCCGTCGTCGTTGTGTTTACCGCTGCCAAGATCAGGGAACGCTTCTTCATCTCCCAAATCGACACGCTTGACTGGTTGTAGCGGAGACGAGGATTGTTCTAGTTGCGTCCTATCGTTGGCGTGGAGCAAAGCACACTCATCATCGTCTGGACACTCGAAACCATCCCTGTACATAATATGCAGTAGGTATTTTTGTGACATCAGTAATACGGCGTCGTCGTTACAGCTTATGACTTTTGCGGGTTTCTTTTTTTCAAACACAAAACATACCATGCTTCACGTTTCTGCACTTTGCTAATATCTTCATGAGCAAAGTTACATTGCTGTTCAGTACGCGGGCAGTCACCGGTCTTGTAATAAATGCACAGTTTTGTTTTTCTTAGAGAAGTATCCCGTTCACCGCCAGCCTGCTTCTTTTCTCATCAAAAAAGGAAATGGAGTGAGTGCTTCAGTGGGTATGGATCACAACACGCATGCATTCTAAGAAACCACCCAACTGCTCCTTCTGCTTTAATGATATACTCACTTCAGTGTGTAAAAATTTGCATTTATTTCCGTTCTTGCATTGGTTGAACCCTTTTTTCCTAGGCGGTGTGCAATATCAGCAGTTAGTAAATAATAGTGAGAATCATACCAGAAAATGGTGGTTTTGAGTATAGCTTGCTTATATCTCTCTGTGCACGGGCAGTTTACCATTCACGACAAATTACAACTCGACTCGTATCTTCATGAGCAAAGGTACAGGCTTCTTTACGCGCACAATTACCAGCCCTGTAGTACTGGCATAATTGTGTTCCCTTGATATCATTCTCGACCTGCAACATTTGTTTTGATCAGTGTCAACAATTTTATCATCACTTAATGATTGTTGAAATATAATAAAAAAAGAAGAAAAGAAAAGAAAAGGGAGAAAAGAGAACAACAGAAATGTTTTTAAAATTATGCGGGCGGAAATGCTACTTTGGCTTACTTTATCACCACTGACTGTTGCTGTTGTTGTTGTTGTTGTTGTTGCCGTTCCTGCTGCAGTTGTCGATGATAGCTTGTTGGAAACAAGGTTCTTGACCGGTGTGCTTTTATTCTTCTCTGCCATAGACGCCCATGATAGCTTTGCGGATTGAGCTGCTGCTGCTGCTGCTGCTGATGTTGCTTTTGGTGTTGGTAAGGAAAGCATATCTACTGTAATCGTTGACGAAGACGATACGGATAGTGCTGATACTGCTGTTGGAATGGTTATTGTTGATGCCATACTTTGCATGTCATCGCTGCTCGATGCTGCCGATGGACTATTTATACTATAATTATCACTGCCAGTGTAATTACTAAGCGTTTCATTATTTTCTTCTTGAACAATGGCACTGCCACCACCCGTGATTGTTGTTGTTGTTGTTGGTTTTGAAGGGGTATTGGCGGTGGTAAGAATAGCAGTCAAAGAAGCAGTGACGGTGGGAAATTGATCATCATAGTACAATGAAATCGCCTTATATTTCGCGTCTTTGATGGACTCCATGTCCAGTGGCCCTTTGATCAATGCATAGTAGTAGTACAAAATCAACGACTCGGCTTGTGCGGAGTGAGGGATCCGCTGAGTGATGGTGGACATGCCACGTTTCTCTAGGATTGACCGACTGACTCCGATGGCATACTTCCACGTCTTATACTCGATATTGTCGTTTGCCTGACGCGATCGCTTAAAAGCTTCGATTTGGATTGTATCCGTGATCCACGATAATGTCAGCGGGTCATACGCCAAACTGAAAGCAAAATACGTTGTCAAGGCGTCGTGCTGGGCTGCTTTCATTTTCTGAAACAGAGACAGCGTGTTTTTGCTGTTGTTATCGCTGTCGTCAATAATGTGCTTGATGTTTGGATATGTTGGCATGGTAGGGAGACGCAGTTTTCCGAGTAGCGTACTTTCTACTGCGGCAGATGCAGGGATATCATTATAGTGCCTGTTGTCTTTGTTTCTAGCTTTGATGACCGACGTTAGCAGTTCGCGTAGTTGTCGTTGAAAGGTAAACGTAAAATCAGGATTAGGAGCGTAAAGGTTTTCTAGTTCGTCGTCGTCATTGTCGTCGTTGATAGGCGGTTGACACTGAATGACGATTTTTGGTGATAGCTCCATCAGAAAGAGGAAAAGGCATCGAAAGGTGGGAGAGAGAGAGAGAGAGGTGGTGTAAGTGCGGGTAAAAGAAATTTACGTGTGTGTGTGTGCTGGATTTCAAAGGCCTGAAAGGATGATGGCTGCTCTGGGCTTAGCGTCAAATGGTGCGCCACCGTTTAAACGACGCAAAAAGGATCATGCAGTTGCTGCACATAGTACATAAACCAGTCTTTATTCTAGGATCACACCATCGGCGGCGGTGGGGGAGAATTTACAATAGACACACAGAGGCATATTGGGCAAATAAAGATGGGGACACAGGTACACGGCAAACACTCCTCCTTTGTCATCGCCTAACACACTGGTTTCTTCACACCTGTATAAATTATTCAAGAAATTCTGTGCAGCAGGCCTCAACCTGCTTTCTTTGTTATTGCTTGTACTACCACATGTGGCAGCAGACCGAGAATGATGGCCGGTTCCCGTCACAATGTATACGATGCCTCGGTGATCCTTTAGCTCGTTCTGAAACCAGCTGACAATGCTTGCCTTAGCTTCATCTACGTGCATCCCATGAAGATCAATGAACAGTGCGTCTTGCTGGTTTCGCTGTTGAAATATCCTATGGCTAGCTCGAGTATGGAACTCATGCATCCGTTGTCGGTAATAGTGCCCTTCGTCCGAATAATACTTGGCATTCTCCCAATCTTTTTCGTGATAACATCTTTGCGAAAGCTTGAAGTACTTGTTCATCTTATATCCATACTCGTTGGCTTGCTTTCTCTGGTTATGTAGTATATAGGAATATAAGGTTGCCGTTTTTTTGTGTATGCATGCATATAAGATATATAAGAACAGATCAACTTGAAAATTGAAACACTCCAGCAGCAACAGTTCTCAAGCGTACCTCTTTGCGGTAAAGTTGCATTAATGGATCACCCGTTTCAAACCACGGTATTGGCGCTGGCTTCACTAACTGCTGGTCAAGTCGGTCATATGCCGCCAGAATCTTGGATCGCATGCGCGTCAAAGCGCCACTGCCCAGAAAAGAAGGGTGCTTGCTTGCAGCGTTTCGTCGTACAATTTCCGCATAAGGCGTAATAATGCTGCTATTGTTTGTTGTACGCTTGACTGCTCCTCCTGAGCCATTATCATTATCGTCATTACTGGCGTCAACGTCCCCGTGCTGAGCCCCAAAGTTCCCGTTGCTGCTAGTTACCCAGAAATTAGAGCTCATGCTAAATGGTAATACTGTAATCATCACCCAGATTAAAATAAACTTACTGCTCAGGTACCCCTTGTATGTCAGCTCTGCTCGAAAGTCGGGGGCATGGGCTTGATTCCTGATTCTATCAATTGGCAAAATTCAATACACATAATACGTGGTGCACTCTTAGAAAAGCATATTTGTACTGTTTGTCAATTTACCATTCCCGTGTCGGATTCCGATGCTAGCTCTTTTGGGACATCTCCACGCCCTTCTATTTCAGCTGCTCTTGTCTTGAATTCCATATTAATATTGCCATTGATAGCAGCCGTACTCGGTAGTAGCAAAAACAGCTTTTCCTGGTGATCAACACGTGGTTTCGACGGCATGTCGGTGGAGTCGTCCGAAACAATAGTTTCTTGTTTTTGAAGTTTTGTGCTGGGTGAATAATCCGGTAGACTAGTTGCTTTGCGCTTAGTAATTTCGGCATTATTGGGCGTGTTGCGTTTGACGACAGAGGCATAATTAACAATGTTTCGGTTGATTGCTTCTTGTTTTGAGCTTGTTTCACGATTATTATCATATGCACGCGGCGAAGTTGAGGTTTTTACAGATTCCTCCTGCTGCTGCTGCATAGATTTTCCATTGTTGCCATCAGTTTGCGGCTTATTGTCCATATGATGCGGTCGCTGACTAAACTTGTTTGATAGTGGATTGATGATGGTGTTGATTACAGTAGTGCTTTCGGTGAAATGTCGAGTGGCGATATCGGGCATACGTTCATAGCATAAGGGCTTGGTTTCTTGATGTTGTTCATCGTTTATATAGGCATAATGAGGAGTATCGTTGAATGTCATAGGGTCGATTTTTGGAGAAAGTGTTTTCGCAGCAGTAACGTTTCGTTTAACGATGGATGCATAATTGATGGTTGGTGCTCGTAATTTTTTGATTTCTGCAATGGATGGGCATTCTCGTTTTTCGCGTTTTGGTAATTCCGGAAACTCATCATGGAGCGTCAATAGAGTTGTATTGTCGGTGATGCTGTTCTTGTTGGTGCCATCGCTAACACTACTAAATTGAACCCAACGAATAAGCCGACAAATTATAATTATTCCAATTTCTTTTTTGCTGAGTACTTGCCTGAGCTGATTATATGGTCCATCTATTATATCTTTCAAGATATCTACGCTATTTTCATCGTACATATCGCGTCGCTCCCTGACAGCAACAAAAAAAACACTGTAAGTCCAGCTATTAATGACAGCAACCTATCTATACTCACCAAATCGGTACACGCTGTTGTTGTGTAACGTTATCCGAGCTTTTTGTAATCAACTCTGCATATCCTTTGCTTTCTGGCATATCACCAGAGGACCAAGCACTCATATCACCTTTGGAATATATATAGCAGGACTCTTGTTCTTTTTCTTCGTTCAATGAAAATGCTGAGCTGCGATCGTGGCTGTATCGTCGATAATGATGATGTGGCGGACTCTGACTTACGTAATCGTCCTCTATAAATGATGGTGAATAGTAAGAAGACGACGACGAGCAGACAGCTTCGTGTTCATCGATCTGATGTCGCACAGCTCGGTCTACATCGGAGACACAATACTGCTCATCCTCGTCGTAGTACTGAATGTCGTCGTCGTTGTCGTGCTGACCGGTGATGTCGTAGTGATAGTAAAAGTTCAAGTAAGGAATATAGCCATATTTTTCAATCTGCGTCGGATCTGTCATTATTTCAGCCTGATTATCAGTATCGTTGTCGTATTCGCAGTCAACGCTATTGTCTTTATTGTTTAGATAATCGTTCTGCTCGTCGTAAGCATCATTATCATCAAAATAGCCAAAGGACATGTAAGGATCTATTGACTGTGCAGCTTCCTTCATGATCGTTGCGGCTTGTCTTTCAGCGGCCTCCATAACGTCTCTGTCGACCGAGCCATTCATGAATAAGTGGTTGAAATATCTGAATTGGTTTTTGTCAGTCATGTTAGCCATAAATGTGGCTACTTGTGCTTGATGTTGGGATGCTGCAACGATGCGTACAGTGGTCCCCCGCTTTTTGCAGCAGCGGTTTTTGGTGGAAAAAACTGCAAAAAGTGGGGAACTGCAAAAAGTGAGGATGAGTATGAGATGTTACACAGACTGAGTCTATTATGTTAATCAAGTGTCAATGATAGTAAACCAATTAAAAGTGTCGGTGCTGTGCTGAGGCTACTTATTATAACTCAACTCTTATATAAAAGGCTGTCGTCTCACTCTTGATGTTTATATACTGCACTATCAACACCTCCACACCACTATAGTAAAAGCGAAATACCAAAAGCTTACTGAATAGCAAAACGATGCTATCTATCAGCACTACATGTAGATGTCACTGGTTCGAGACTCTGTGTCCCAGGCTCCCGAGTTAATAGCAGGAAATTGCAGGTCCCCATTTTTGGCCTGCAAAATGCAAAAAGTGAGGAAAATGCAATTTTATTAAGTAATGAGCGGGTGTGCTCCAAAAAAATCTGCAAAAACTGAGGATCTGCAAAAAGCGGGGCTGCAAAAAGCGGGGGACCACTGTAGCATTTGTGCTAAAAGTGGATGCGGTGGTTGGTCGAGCGGATCATGGCGGAAGTTGTCAGAGGCAACGACTGGATAGCCCACAAGCGCGAACGCCATGCGCAAAAGTGTTATCAAAGATGTAACAAGAGAGGAGGAAAGGGAAGGAGTGAGAAGTGTATTAAAAATTTAAAAGGGAAAGAAACGCTGGGTATAATTTTTACTGTGCCCTTGCTTTTCCCAATTCGAGTAGGACCTTGTGTGTTGCGTGACTTACCGCCGATTGTTACCACATAGGGCATTCTTTGTCTCTGTCTTTAAACTATAAGAAATACACCCCAGCTCATTTCAGCATTGTATTAAGCGTAAAGTGTCTTATTACTCAAACATCTTGAAATAGTGTAGCCATGGCATTGTCATGGGATGATTAAAAACTTTTTTGTAGCACGATTTTACAACGAGTTGTTTAACTTTATCTTCTTCATCGTTACACCTCTGCGCTATAGATATCACATTGACGTCAATACTATATTCGGACTCGCGTACCGATGGAAGTCATAGTGCGCCTAATTTGAAGTGTTCCCTACATTATCCCAAAACGTGGTTTAATGTATAACTTTTAATGTCTCTCGCATCATCCACGACACAAAAAGGCAAAGTGATCGTACAGCGCTAATGGACTTCATGACTACTTGACAGTGTTGATAACCCATCGAAAAGGTGGTAAGATACGCTGCATCCATAGACTTGTAGCGCGAACACTCGCTCTACCGATCATGGTGCCAAGTAAAAGTATCACCATCAAAAATTCAGGCATGTACAACTAAAAAGGAACAATATATGCTGCATTTAGCGAAAAGTATTTCAAAGTCGATCATGTCAACAACACCAAACGGGATAACCGACCGATCGAATTGCAATATAGTATCCACGGGCTAACATATATAAAGAGACTGGCTCAGAATTGGTGTTGTATTCGCACCTTTTGTTATGCGCCCACAATCTTCATCATGATTATGCCAGTATACTCACCTTGTACGTAGAAGTAATTGAAAAGCCGGCTTTTAGAGCGCGTGAACAAAGCGCAGAAAAATATGACGGTCATGAAAAAAGCTGATACTGCCTGTCAGTTCAACATATATGTCAGACAGCTCTTAATGTTGGATTTCCAAAGATTTGCGAACACGGGGTGGCAATAACCGAGGTCTGACGGTAAATAGCTTCAGCTCAGCATTCATCGCTTTCCGCTCCTTGCTTCTGTTCTTCCTCTTCGACCGTGTTCCACAATTGGCAGTACTTCCCGTAGAAGTCTGATGTGCGATCTGCTCGTTCTTTCCTTTTCTTTTGGCTGAAAAAGGTAATATCAAGGCATGAAATGCTAAATCTAAACCTTAAAATGAAAGAAGCACAATTCTTACCTTGAAAACCTTATCGGCATCTTTGGCTTTGACAACAACGTTGGGATCACTATCTTATTTTGAAACAGGCGATCATGCTACTGTTATGAGCAAGCGTCTCACGCTCGCTCAACGAGCAATGGGAAGCGACTGCAAATTAGTCTGGGTTTTTCGCGCGTACAATCTGGGGCCGGTGCCGATAGGATTTGCAAAGATGCAGCATGTTGTGTTTCCCTAGGTTATTCCCTGTCAATGAATATAAAACATAAATCTTTGAGCTATTATTTGTATGTCAGTCGTGAACAGAACAAGAATTTAAAAGTGTTGCGATGCAATAAGCAAGCAGCTGTCAATTTTCAGGAACAAAACTGAGGAAGAATACGTACCAAGGGTTGCATGCGAGAAGCAATGCAAACTGTTACACGAACAGCAAAGACTTGGCGAACAAGTAGGCAACAAGAAGAGTATTGATGGTTACGACGAAATGATTGTATCCGTAGGTAGCGGTTCGCTCCATTGCTATATCTTCGCCGGTGCCAGTTGCAGATCAAGACTATGTGCAAAATGTTGATTTAATGATGATAAAACAGAAAAATGAAAAGTACCTTACAAGTGCAACAACATTCTTTCGGCCATCCTGGAAATCGGCATGCACAGCAGGGTTGAGATCCCGGGAGGACACTGCGGGGAGATGTACAAAATTATCATACTGGATGTCGGTAGTGGTGATGGTAGCGGGCGAGCTCGCAATTGCAGCGACCTACTCCTTGAAGGCGGCTTATCGGAACTCGCCTCTTATATGTATGTCATTTGTACAACTTTTGACCTCTCTTAATGCCAATGTACAACATTTTTAAAGACAACAACAAATACTGATCCAAGCATCCTATATTCAAATCTCTTTTCGGCAAAAGTTCAACAATGAATATTGAAAAACTTACATTATGTCTTGCTTTGAAAGAACTTGAATCAAATGATACGCGCGCTCAAGTGACAAACGAATCTAGAAATGAAGTACGTTAACCACCATCGACAGCTCCAGACAAATCATGAAAACATCATTGTTGAACTACCTTTTATTCTGTATTTCCAAAGGCGGCACAAAGCTAGTCGTTCAATGTGCTTATTGCTCGGAGCTGTCGCTTTCATACTGAAGTATCGAGTCCTTCTTAAAATGCGCTTGACTTCCTTAGCTCGTATTCCTCGCGCTCCTACAAAAGCAGTATATTTTAGAACATCAGTCAAACTCGCAAAAGACTTAGCAGCACGAGACCCCGCCTTTTAGCGGAAAAAATAACCGTACTTTTAGAGGACTTTATGTAAGCTGCAGGAAAAAGAAGGTTACATTCCGGAGTTATCCCCCGGGTTAGGTCATCACTTGTCTTACTATTGTTCCTGCAATATGGCTCGGAGATAAGTGGGAAATATATACTTATCCTCTCGTTTGAGAAAGGGAATCAATACAAAGGAAAACAACACAATGACCAGTTAATTGCTTTACCAATTATATCTGTCCAGAAAAACAGGAGTTCTTGATTACATACCAGGTATATTTGCCGATGTTGCCTTGTAGACGAAGCACTGTTCATGGTCGACGAATGACAAGAGAATGCTGTATTGGTAGATCACTGCGTGCACATACCACGGCACCTCTCCACCAGCTTTCAATCCATCCCCAGTGTTTTCTTGATTTGTTTCCTTTTTGCCAATAAGCATTTTTTATTGAATATCATGATCGCTGAAGATGACATGAAGCGAGGTCCACTGCAAAGATGCCTCCCTTGTTATCCCCAACTATACTTGTTTCTGCAAAGCGATAGTTTTGTTGCTGCAAAAACTCGTCTACGCTAGGCTTGAGTTTGCTTTGTTTACTACTGTGTGCACCTGAATGATGCCCTGTTCCCGTGATGATGTAAACAATGCCTTGATAGTTTTTGAGTTTGTACAGACGTTCTTCAATCATATCCAGAGCCTCGTCGGTGTGGAGTCCATGCAAGTCAATAAAGGCCTCATGTTGATTTCGTTGCTCAAAGATGCGTTGACTGGCTTCTGTATGCATTTCCTGCATGAGCCTGTTGTAATACTTGGCTTCATTTGAATACGCTTTAGCTTTTGCACCATCGCCTTGTAAATAAAATGCAGTGGCTCGACTAAAGAACCGGTTCCGCAGCATGCCGTAGTTGATCGCTTGTTCTCTCTAATTGTTTGTGTATGTGTCATTTGTTTCAACAGTTATTTCAGCCTATCCTTTTCAGCCCTGGATAGTTCCTCCGCTTCTTCCCCTCACTTGACTAACTATGCACTGTTTACCCCTTTATGAATACATAGGCTTTCAAAGTAAAAAAAACACGTACCTGTTTGAGATACTCCTTATTCAGCGCGCTACCTGTAATCAGCCACGGAATACTGACAGGCTTCTTCAACTGTTGCGTCAGACGGCTTTCGGACATTGACAAGCCCATCTTTTTGGCATTCACAGGTTTCGACTTATTGCTTCCAGTGGCCTTTCGTTTGGCGATCTCAGCAAAGTTGGCAGGCTTTGTTGTAGTTGCAGGAGCAGCAGTAGTGGATGAAGATGTCGGAGTACGGACTTTGGCAGATGCAGAGAGAGATGGGAAATCCTCCTGCTCAAGCTTCTTCTCGATAACGGGTTTGTTAGTCATGTTATTTTTGCTTGGCGTCGTGGGTGAAATGGACTTCTTAGGTTTTTGGCTCTGTAGTCCCGGGTATTCGGATTCGTCAAAGCGAATAGGTTTGGCAGCAGTCGACTGGTGATTCTTTTGGCTGTTGATCTTGTTGGCTACTTCAATGACATCGATATGATGGGAGAACTCGCAATAATCACCTTTCAAACATGAGCCTTGTAACCTAACATAGTGAGTCAGCAAGAGTTGCTTGTGCGTGCACACAGTATAGAGACTCGCCAATTTATAAACAAGAAAAAAAAAGAGGGATGAGGGACTGATCTTTTCATCAACTTACCAGAATTTACACACTTTGACTTGAAGATCATGCGCAAACCAACAGTCTTTCCGATAACATTCACCTGCAAGAAAATGTCGACACACCTGTCTCTTTCTCGATAGATTTGGTGGTGGTGACACGTGCTGTTGTTGTTGTTGGTTCTGTGCTTGCGCCACCTGCTGTTTGCGATCAAATAATGATTCGGTGGCCCTGTCCAGATCATAGCCATGCTCCTCAAGTGTTGCTGTCAATTCTGCTTCGCTCAAATCCGTGAAAATCGACTCGAGCATCTGCAAAGCAGACATGTCCTCACCCACATTATCCACCTGCGACTCTTCAAAAGATGGATCCGTCAACGATAGCTTGTTAATATCATGGATGGTATCCGTGTCGAGCAATGCCCCATGGTAATACTGCAGAGTCGGATCAAATTCTTTTTCATCCTCGCGGGAGTAGGGTTCGAACCGATCCCACCATTCTTCACCATTAGCGACATCATTGCTATTGTTATTGTTGTTACTGTCGTTCCCCCAGATACTCTTCATGGTTGACTCAGGCGGTGCGGGAATCCAAGAAGAGCTACTGCCGTTCCACGGACTCAGGGTTGCCGTAGACATGATGCTAGAGGTGGGCGGACGAGTAGGAGTGGTGATGGGGGCGTGAGTAGTGGAGGAAGGGGTAGTCATGTCATCGATATCAAAATCATTTAATAACTGGGCATTAAGGAGATGGGTGCTAAGTACAGCATCATCGTCGTCGACATTTTCGTCGTTGTCAGCAACAACAGCATCATTGATACAGCTGCTGCTGCTGTCTTGGTGACAATTCCCTCGTTGGTCGTCGTCAAGATTTTCTCTCGTGTTGAATGGATCAAATCGGGCTATTGTTCGCTGTGGAATAAACGATGGGGCACTAGCATCCAGATGAAGAGGATGCCGCTCCGGTAGTGGCGATGCAGGGGCTTTTATCTCCAAGGATGGATTAGGAGACGACGCCATTAAAGGTGCGTTCCCAAATAACTGTTTGTTCCAGAGCGAGACGTTTGGAGCAAGTGTATTTTTTCATATACAATGAGAAATCAATGAATTCAAAAAATTAGTTTTTGCACTCTTTGTTTTTAAAGAATCTTACCTGGAACGTGCGAGGATAGTCTGTTTGAGTGGGATCATCAGCTTTGGAATCGGACGGTGGCCTGGTTTAAAAAAGAAAAGAAAAACAAGAGAGGAGCATTGATAACGACACGAAATAAGAAACTCAAGCAGAGCACTGAATTACAATAGAATTGTCAACAACTTACGTTTGCAGTAGTGGGAAAGCTGAATTCCACTTTACATCGAATCCAGTAGGATTAGACATTCAGAAAGTAAAAGAAGAAAAGTTTAAAAGAAAGCGAAGCTGTTCGTGTCTCCAATGCAACAGATTACAGGAATTTCAAATAGCGGAGAACTAAATTTTTAAGGTTGGTTTAAGATAAAAAATGTAATGCTTTTATATACATAGGACGAAGTAAAAGAAGAATAAAAAAGACAATAACAATACGGGCTATGTACAATTACAAGTATGAGATAGAAAAATAGATATAGCAGTGTAAGGCTAAAATAAGAAAAAGATAGCTGTATATATGTGGATGTGCGTATGCCTGCTTCTGGGAGAGTCGTGGTTTTTGTTTTGATCCTTCTTTCAGAGATGGGCCAGTGCATTTCTTCGACGCATTGCGTAGATGGGCAGCTCGACAGTGTCACCAAGTATATCCACTTTTATAGCACGCGATGGGTTTGTCCTTAAGCAGTGATCGATGTAAGTTGGCGTTAGCTGAGAAGGCAGCAGGATAGCGACTTCGTCGAGTTCATCATCGGACGGGAGCTGGTGATCTGACAAGTGATCATCGCTGGAAGACCAGGAAGTAGAAGAAAATGTTGAATCCATCATGTCTGTAATGATGTGATTTGTCTGACTGGGAAAAATTTGGATATGAAAGGAAGAAGAAGGCGATGAAAGATGTGGATAGGTGAAAAAGAGAGTGGTTTCGTGCGTGTGTGTCTGCACAGGATAGTTCTTATATTAAAATCAGCAAAGAGGAGAAAAACATGGCGCTACATTTTCCGGGCACCTCACGCCACGATCATGAACATCACCCCATATTATCTTTTGTGTGCGTGCTATCTGAACCTTAAATGCGCTTGCACTGTGCAGCAGTAAGCCGGAGATCCATTCACAGTGGACCGATGGTACCGTTGATGCGATCAATCATCATGCTTTGTCATGAATATGCGTTGGATTGCTTTGATATATTTCAAAAATTCAAATGTATTCCAAAAAATTCAACATTTACTGGGTCAATATATCAAAGATTTCACGGTCTTTCCGTAATTACACAGAGCTGTTTATATATAAAATTTAAAAAATCACCCTACTACTGTACAAGCAATGACAGAGCTACTACATGTGTGCACATCTTACCCACCGCTGACAAACACACCATAACCCAGATCCTCAACATAGCAGCCGGGGAATCGAAAAGAACGATGCGACTTATTGTTAAGGTTTTGTGAAAATGTACCCATCAGCACACCGCAACATACACTGAGGACGACAAACCACGGATTCAAGATACCGAGGGGTTTCGTTCTGTTCGTTTTTTCGATTAAAAGCTTGTAACACACACCAACTGCTGCTGCTTGATTAAAAAAAAAAGTCCGACATGGCGTGTTTTTTATTTGCAACAGCGGATCGAATTGCTCCAACGGATGAATGTATGCAGATAATAAAGTATGCACCGGCTAGAAATGCTAAATTATGTGGGGCGATCACTCTACTCGCGTGGCTTGATCGAGTCCTTCTAGGATATGTAGCATGCTGCAATATTAATTTAGTCCATTTTCGTCACAGCATATATTATTGGTGATTGGGCCGGACAGGTACTTCTAGTAGTCACTATTGCACTAGTACGGTCACCGTTGCCAAAAACTGTGCACGTTCCTACTTTCAAGTAATGCAGTACAGAACTTTAAAAGAAGCTGGCATCAAAAAGCCACCTGTGAGCGTATATCGGAAAGGTCGGCATTGAACACAGCAGGTACAAGCCATAGATTAGTCACACACTGTATAAAGAACCAGTGTGGATAAACATGCTGCCGTCTGTTTCAGCTGCTTGAAACAAAGACCTTTCAGACGTGGTTATAGGTAGCAATGGCTTTCTCTGTGCATGCGTACAACAGCATCCACCTAACGGTGATGCCATATGCAAAATTGAATAGGCTAATATTGATAGGTCATCTGTCACTGCATCACCACGGCTACCATAAAGGCCTTCAGTGAAAAGTAGCTTATCAATGATGACGGTAGTATGGAGCTACTACTGACGCTTGTTCTCATGATTGGTACCCCATTCGAAACAGGTCTGGGCAAGATACTCGACCTCATTGAAGCTTCTACAAGATCGTAGATTTGCCATGAAAAGAAAAGAAGGATAGGAACACTTCCCAAAGAAGACTTGACAATGGCGAGACCGTAGCTGAACGCTGTCGACGTGAAAGAAGAAAAACGAGAAAAGGCCGACTCAATCTAATCCAAACTAAAGATGGTTAGCAACAAAAGAGAAGGGAAGCTTTGACAGTTCGCGGTCGGTACGTAATCACACAAAAAAGGAAAAGTCAGACAAATAAACGACCAACATGAAAAGATGCACAGACGAGGATCTACCTTGCAGATAATAATGTAACCTGCAAGTCAGCAGCTTTATGCTACCTGGTGTTATTGACATTTGCTGCTACCAAGCCCCAGAACTTTTGCAGAGAAATCAAAAGCTCTCACAGGCTCACTTCAAGTCATGAAAGGTACAATGCTATTGGATTTCTCCTATTACTTCACCCTCTCAGGGTATCAAGACGCGTAGATTGGCAGAGTTTTTGGCTGGTTGGTTAAGCCAGAATGGAGGGAATGTTCGCATTCTTTTTGAAATTTGAAAAAAATCAGTTTCGTTCCCCCATTGTTGTTTTGTTTCACGAAACACGGTGTACCCGACTCCTTTGGTAAGCGAGCGCCTATGACGGGCCCATGTGGAAAGACCGATTGAGGAACTCTTCCGGTTCTGATCCGAAAAAGAGAAACCAGAGGCCAAAACCAATTTGTTTCTCTTTACGTGCACAGCCTCAGGGCACGCCATCGTCGCTTGGAAGGGTGTTCTTGTCAGTGAAGCAGGAAGCAAAAGCAAAAGCCCTTGTCGAAACATGGCTGTGTAAAAATGGACGGAAGCTTTGTACTACTCGGGTCGGGACTATTCCGTCCTTTTGTTTATGTTCGAGACCGCTCACCATTGCTAAGGTGGGCGTACAAGAAAAAGAACAATGAAGCGGCGATGGGATACAGTCGGGGAAATGAGTTGCTGTTTTTTTTTTTTGAATGTGAAACCTAACGCCGATGAATTGATCCCATCTTTTTGTGAGCGGGCTTCAAGAGAGAGAGAGAGAGGGATCAGACCTCATCCAGTAGTCTAACTCTCACCAGTCTAGACCCATTGGAGTTAAGACGCACTATTGTTGAACGATGCGTCCAAATAATCCGGTAAATCTGGAGTGCTTTAGAAGCAATAGAAAATTCGATCAGTCAATGCTATCAGCAGCAACGTCAAAAGGCTCGCTAGTTACTGGATTCGCAAGGGCGCGCTCTTTCCTCGTCAATTGTCTCAACACAAGAGACCCGACTCTTCGTCTCCTTCGTGGCCCCCCACTGCTCGTCGATCTCGTGTAGCCATGTTTCATATTCACTTGTGCTTTTTTTAATCACAGCATCGTCAGCAAATCCTTATATAAAGCGACAGGAACAAGGCCTTGCAGAATTTTTTCTACATCTTCTCTCATCAAACTCGCGCACTCTCTCTTTCTTTGTGCTGGTCCACATTTCCCTCATCTGTACATATCATACATCAAGTCATACAACACAATGCGCTCAAACACCTTCACTGTCCTTTTCACTTTGCTCGTCGCCTTCGGTGCCTTCTTGATCGATGCCCGTAAAACAGAATCTGATGCCGCTGTGCGCCGTCAAGCCAACCGTGTCGACAAACGCAACTCTTACTCAGGCCAAGCTACATGGTTCATTCCATCGATCCACGGTGGCTCCATGGGTGCCTGCTGGGAATATGAAGCTGATGATGAATATGTTGTTGCTATGGTAAGATTTCTACCTCCTTGACTTGAATCATTTGATTGCCTTGACAACCAGTCTCCTAATGCAGTTCCTCTTTATCTGTCTCTATAGAACTCAGTGCAATATGGCGATATGACAAAGCAGAGCGGCTGGTGCTTCAAGAAGGTTCGAGTCTACCACCAAGGCAAACACGTTGATGCTGTTGTCAAGGACGCTTGCCCCGAGTGCAAGTATGGCGATTTGGACTTGACCCCTCCCGTATTCAAGGCCCTTGGTGATTTGGATACCGGTATCCTCGATATTACCTGGCATGAAATCTAAATAAAGCAATCTATGGTGCAGGCCACTTAAAAGCTTTATTTTACTTGTTAATAAATATCTATATTGTCTGGAACAAAATTACTACTGTTTGCTATGATTTCAATTGATAATATGGTAACCGGGAAGAAGGAAATCCATGGTCGTTTATTTGGATATGTATAATGGAACAAATATGGTAAAGCTGCTATGGGTTAATGTCATGTTGGACAAATTCATTCGTCTTCAAGCTAGTGGTATCTTCAGTTCCTCTTCCTTGCTCATCCAAGCACAGAGTTTCAAGCATATTGTATGAGCTAATTTCCAGAGTAAATTAGTCCAATGCTCCTCTTGAGACATAAATATCCGTCGGAAATTCATGCTTTGTAATCTTATGCTAAAATGCTCTGGGAAGCTTTCAAGGGCTTTTAAAAGCTTCAAAAAGCATCTAATTGAAATCCCAAATTTCCGACGTTCACCGCATGTGACAGCGACCTCTCGTAATGTTGCAACTTCTGCAAAACCAGTAAATTTCATGGCCGCCGAGTGTTGAGACAACATGAGCAGCTAAATTCCACAAGAGGAGACGGGTTGTCTGCTCGTTTCATATCAATCTCGAGATGTCGTAGCGATTTCAATTCAACCAAAGCAGCACAGAGCAATCCGAATTCATGCTTGTATTCCTGCACATTCCATTGTTCTGGGAACTCGATGCTAGAGACAATTGGGCAAGTGTCCAGCTGAGGACTGTGGATAACGATTGTATGAATTTATTGGAAGTTCTGCAGTTGAAAGATCTCGATTTTAACCTCCAAAAGTGAGGTGGCCCGTTTTATAGTAAAGACAGAATGTCTGCCCGCATCGTATTCGACCAACAAGTGCAGCTCTTGAAGCGACGCTCTTTGCGGACCAACAACATTTGCAATTTGAGAGATATAGTCTACCAGGTAGCCTTCATATCTAAGGCCGCCTACAAAGTCATCATCCGAAAAGCTTCCAAATTCGTTTGCAACGCAGCTATTCTCCGATAAGCTTCCACTCAAGGTTAAGTGAAGATGTGGTAATCCTATTGTTGTAATTATTGCTCCTGTTGTCGCTGCTCTTGTTGTTCTGCCATTTCACTGTCATTATCCGCGACGGTGCTTGCATTCTCTAGTCGTTGGGGTAATGTAATGTCTCCCAAGCTTTCATCTTTACCGTCAGTTCCATTTAGCAATAGACAGGTTCTTGTGTTGGGTGAGCTCTTGGGTTGATCATGTCCACAACAGATTCTGCTTTCACAGTAAGCAACCACAGTGTCTGTAGATAAAGAGCTTTACTCAGGGTTGCCGAGATATTTATTGCGCAGCAAAAGCCATCCAAGAGAGTCAATGATTCGAGCTTGAGTGCAGCATCAGCAGTTCTTGCCAGAAAAATGACTTGCAATTAACGTGTATAAGCTGAAGACAAGTAGATATAACTGCGATAAGCGGGAAAGCTTTTGGTAGAAACTGTTAAGTGAACATCAGAAGCTGTGAGGATTGTTGCAACGTGCCCCAAGAAGCTTTTAGGTAAACTAGGCATCGAGTCAGCGTTGTAGCCTATAAAAAATAACAGAGTTTTTGTATTATGTGGCATTGCATTGATCTTTGATTCACAAGAAAATCTTCCAATCAGCCATAGTATTCGTGTCACTACTGACCTGCTAGTTTCAAAGAGTTTACATTCTTGACTCTTTCGTTTGACATAAGTAAGGATCCGAGAAACCGAGAACCGAAAACATATTAACGAGTCGGGAAGAACAAAGGACGATTGTTGCTGAGCATGAAACTTTTAGTACTGCAACGCCAATTCATGCACATTACATCACGTATGGTTCGCCAAGCTCAAGTCCCCTTACCAGACCAGCAGTTAGAACACGATTCATACTTCACATTCAACTACACACAATCATACTGTTTATCTACAATGAGATAATGCCCGTCTCTTATTCACAATCGTTGCTATGTATACACTACGATAGCTATGTCTTCCCTTCGATTTTGCGCAGTCATTGTACTACAACCATGAATGATCCCGTCCTATTTAAGTCCGCGAACTATAAACTCGGCTTTCGGGACGGTTCTTACGTTCATTCTACTCGGTTCGGTTTTGGCAGAAAACCGACCCAACTTAACCCGTGGGGATCCTTAAACATAACAGTTAGGATTGCGTCAGATGCACTTTTCTGAAACACCCGGTTACGGATGTGGTGTCCGACAAATGATAGAGTGCTGATAACCATTTCGGGAGTCAGCACGCTGGACCTGCCAATACAAACGTTCATCCAGGTATCGGCTTATTCGTACCAATTTTTGCAGACATTAATGCATATGATGCGCGCTTCTTTAGACAAGAATATCGTGATGCTTTCAAAAAATTTCTGTCGGCAAGTTGCTGGTCAAACTAACTCAAGCTTATTTGAGTACTTCCATCTTGCTCATGGTAACTACTTTCATCATCATCATCATCAGCGCTCATAGTAGTCAGGCCTCAGTTAAACACGTCCAACGCTCGATTTAAGCCTCCTTGCTCCAGATTAGATTTACTCGCTCGGATACAGCCCATGCTCAATTTGGGTGCTGCATTCGTCTTGAAGCGCTAGAGCAGTCTATTCAGATTCTGCATAGGCAGTCGATCGCAGATCAAAAAGCTCGGTAAACAGCGACGATCTCTCGTCTGCCAAAATACCATCAATGGCGAGCGCTCATGAGACGATGGTGCCATTGTATTTAGATCGATTAAATGTGGCCTTGGCTTAAATATTAAGATTTTGATACTTCTGTTGGCTGTCGCCAGTTTTGCTGGTATGCATTATTGTAGTCCTGTCGTTAGCCATTCTTGCAGAGGACGCGTTTGGAAGAGAGTAATCCAGAATATAAAAAAGGGGGACGGGGGCATGAACTTGATCACTTCCTCCACTCCGAGAAAGGAAGCCGTGTTGCTTCAAATAGGCTGATGATGCGTCTCGGGAGCGTCAGTATGTTCTGCAAAATCAATTCGTTACTCGTGCTAGAGAGTTAATGACTTTACTCGTGATGTATCACCAAGCCATCGTACAGATGACATGACTCAATTCTTTGTATGCTGTAATGATAAATGTATGATCATTGCAACAGTAAATGCATTAATACTGGTTCATTCATCGCTTGGTGTAGATGGCCGTGACCTTTCTTTATAATAAAACAGTCTCTGTTGCATTACTAGGCGTAAAAAACTGCTTTGTCATATATTTCACGATTTTGTTCTATCCATGTCGTCTGCTGTATGCTTGTATGTTTTCCTTCACATAATCGCAGGATGTCAGGATGGGTGCATAAGCGAGGCACAACAGTCAGAATACTGTATGTGTCAAACAATACGTTGTCTTCTCTTCCTCTCGGTCATCAAAGGTATTCACAATTTTCAGTATGTTGCATGACCAACCTCCTGGACGAAAATTTTCCTCAACGCATCCACGCCCTACTGCATGAGTTGAGTAAAAGTAGAAAGCAGTCTATTAAAATATTTTCGCATCTTTGTATTTAATAACAAAAGCGTAATATAGCATAGCATAAGTACACAACTAATTCATATTTATATAAGAAGGATGTCAGAGCTCATTTAATGCAAGCAAAGAAGGAAAAAAGGAAGCATAGTAGTATGTATCTTGAGACAGCTAAGAAGCATATGCCCTTGTCCTTTCGCAATACGCAACAACTGAGAGGTAGTAAGGTACGTGTCGCCATTATTTTTAACAACATTCGGAGATGTAGTCCGGCAAAAGGCTAAATGATGAGTATCCTTGTTTTATTCTACATACTACAAAAAAAATGCAACAATTTGATGCGTCAAGAAAGAAGGGATACGACGATCATATTCTTACAAGCAGGAAGATGCATGCAAAGACAAAGTAACCTACTACGCAACATCCTTGTTATAATTGATGTTCCACACCGGCAGCTGCATGACGCACATACAGAAATAGAAGTTCAAACAAACAAAAACCTCGGCTTCTTACAAGGTAGGAGGCTTATTATCGAATACTTTATTTCTCTGTCGTTGGTAGTGTCGAATACTAAACTAAGATCGCTATGCAGAAAAACTCCGCCGAATAGCTATCATGTACATAATTGTCTATCCCTTCCTCGGCCATCGGTGAGTGCAACAAACGAGTAGCAAGACTTGCAGATTAGCACTTGAATTGGACGAGCGCTGGTGCATATTTATTTCTAGTATACTGTAAAGCATACTTGGAGTAATGTTTATCTGTAGAAGCCATATAAGCAGCAGTTATAATGTTTTCGCTTTTAAACTTTTCGCACACTATCAGTCAAATAATACTCTTCTTGACACGATACTTGGGCGGAAAACTCCCGATTTCAAGTAAAGTGGTTTATATACTTTTTCTATGTAGCAGTAAGTGCAAACAGCATGCTATGTAACAAAAACTCCTTTTTTATCCTTTCGAAAGCCAGATCGCCGGAGAAATAGGGGAAGACTGAACAAGCATTCAACAAATGGCATCCACTGATGGCAGGTTTAGGTTCACTAGGCTGCGTATTACTCTTACATAGCCCGTATTTTGGGGATATGGTAAAGGCTCCCCTGAAAAGCATCCCTTCAGCCGACGACAGCGAATTGACAAGCATCGATACAGGAAAGTTATGCTACCTGTTTCTTCTTTCTTTATACACGTACATAATCACCCCTTAAAAAAACAAGAGTGTGTCCAGGATACTGCTACTAGTTCAAATAAGATAGATATCCTTCCATCTAGTATACGTACACTGCATAGCACCACTACTACTATCGTTGCTATTAACACGCCGTTTTTACCATGTTATAAAAATAAAGGAAGGGGTGACAATCCTCTTTTTCATTTTCTTTTTAAAACACAAAGCTCGAATCTCGTTCTTCCTATTTTGCCCTCTCGCGTTATTTTTCTCTCCCTATTTTCATTTCGACTCGAACAAAAACAAAGCATGTTATCGTCCCTAAGCCTTACCGCCGTTTTTGTTACTACTATGATGACGCTTTCATTATCTATGGCACCAGCTCAAGTATGGGGCTCGCCGATCACTGCTACTAGCAGTATAAAGAAACGTGGCGACTTAGTAACAGATACTGTGAGCAGTATTATGCTTGTTGGAGAGGCAACCTTTTTCCATCCAAAGGAAGAAGGCGGTGAAATAGGTATATACATCAAATCTTTCCGCTACGCTTCGTTGTTAAAAATATACATAGTGTCTAACTGGATTATTGCCCTATAATAATCATAATTTGTAGGATCTTGTGGTCCTAAAGAGAATGACAAAAGCAGAATCGTTGCTTTGGTAAATTTTAAGCTTGATCCTTTTTTACATGTGTAATACTTTGAATGAGAAGAAGGCTTACCATGGCACCTTCACATAATAGAACAGCAAGATGTATGGCTCAAATAGTATCAGCAAATATTGTGGCAAAGAGGTTTTGATCAAGCACGGAGACAAAGAAACCATTGCTACCATCACTGATAAATGTCCTATGTGTGGTGATGGTAACGGCATAGCTCTTTGGAATGAAATGAAATACCATCGAATTTTTTCTAACAACAACTTTACCTATGTTATCATTTAGGCTCTCTCGATTTAACACCAGCCATATTCGAGGAGCTTGGTGCGCTTGTTGAAGGTGTCATTGATATCATTTGGTGCTTCCTTGATTCACCCGAATGCAAACCTAGTGGTAGTAAAAAACATGGGGACAAGCAAAAGGAGGACGATGATGATGATGAACGAACTTAAAAGCTACCACTGGCTCAGTGCATCCTTACGTTGAGACATTGCAAGTAGAAAGGTTGTTGTTCAAGTCCTTTTCTCCATTTATTTATCTATTAATGTTATATATTATGTCATAGTCTTCTTTTTTACTACCCTCCTTGTTGTTGTTTTAATCTATATACTTTTACCAAAAAATCATTACATCTGCTTGTTGAGTATGCATGCTGTATACTTTAAGTAATATGTACGTATTGCGTCCTTGATTTATATGACTCAGTTTAATTTTCCAGCATGGATATAGCAAAAAAAAACTGTGTGGTATCAACGAAGAGGGACAATCAATAAGATCGTACAACCAAAACTTTCTCACACAAAATTATTTGGTTTCAACTGGGCTGTTCCTAAGAGCACCCCAAAGTCGCGAAGTTTGTCGACCCGCTAAACTACTTGTTTGAGGAAGAGAATCTTTCGCGAGTCCGCTGGGTATTTATTGCTATAGCAAGATTTCGAGACCGAAAAGTAGCGATCGTTTTTGCGATACTGCTGGGAGTGCTCTATTAAAATGCTCTGCCGTTGGTGTTGATAGAAACATAAAAGAGCAAACGGCGTCAAGGGACACGATTGTTGTTGAAGAAATAGGTCAGATTACGAGCTGGTGGTCCCGTTTATTCGCAATGTACACTTAGAAGGTGTGCCCCTTCTCAAGGTGATACCTGTTTGCTTGGTTGCCTGATGATCATTAAGCTTTTCTGGCGAAACCCCGGTCTGTACCTACAGGTCAGCAGCCGATTTCCCAACCGAATCGATTTCGCCTTGCCGTTGAATTCACACATATCAGTTGAGGCCTTTTGGTCTATAAACACTTTCCAGTAATGTGCTATTACACCTGTGCCCGATAACAACGACGTGAAGGTGGTCTTGGTGTTCTAGATCCGCATGTCCAACATGCAGCACTACAGCTCACTGGTGGATGCTGCCTGTGTCTCACATCAATGTAAGCACTGCACCAGCAGAGTCCTTTGTCTTGCCCATTGTCCGCTATTGCTTGTGCACTCTCTCTCGTTCGATCGATGCCCTAATTCCACCGGCCTTCTCTGATGGGCGGTCGACGGAGCTCAAGGCTATTCCCTCACTGCGTGTTCGTTTACAAACGGCGAATAAGTTAGGGCTACAGCCCAACCTTTTTGAAACCACCGTTGGGAGTTGTTCTTGAGCTGCCTATTTTGGTCATGTGTCCCGGCCTCCCGTCTCAGTCGCCTATCAGCCAACCATACAAGTGGCAGATCATATATGTCAAGGACCTCTTTTATTTCAATCGTACCTTAGCTCGCTTTCGGCGCCTAACACCAACACTGCGCCTGGGGCTTGCTTTGATTACATTGACCGAGGTTCAAGGTATATCGATCCACACTTCGAGCTTTTTTTTTCGACCAGCTGACAGCTTAACCACAAATCCACCAACTCGTTTTTCTTTATCCTTCCATGGCGCCCATCAACTTTTATTACCGACTCTTAGCGATGGGCTCGCTCTCGCCAAAATCGCTACCAAAACCGTTCACGAACATAATCGAGCGTTACCCACCGCCCTTCCTTCTCCATATCCTCGGGCACAAAAAACTTCGTAGCCATGAGCCTTTAAACCAGTGGATGCCACAACTTTTCGACAATGTCTGCCCAGTATGCCACGAGCGTGAATCTGATCAACACATTAGCAGACACATTAGCTAGGTACACGGATAGAATATATACAAACAACCGACCTTCTTATTGCTGCAATATGGACTTTCCGAGGAAACGCGAGAAGTATGAGCTTCTACATAAATGTCAGGAAAAAGTAGCAAGGCATTTATGCACACCAACGGATAAGGTAAATTAGGACGATAGCCCTTATGATAGGGAGATTGAGAACATGTCGCTGTTCGCGGAGTAGACCCATCAAACGTATGAAATAATAACGGTAATCTCTGCCATTTTGAGCTTGATAAGATATGGGCTAGACTGAAGCATGCAAAGAGATTGCCACAGTGTGCTATATGTAATCAAATTGGGTCGATCCATGCTAAATGTGTGCAATACGATGTTCTTGCCAAGTGAACCCGCCTCTGTTCCGCCTGTGCAGAACTAGACATACTCAATGCAGTAGCTTACACGTTAGAATTGTGCTTGTTTATATAATTAAGCTACTATAAGGCACTTGCAGGAGGATGAGAAAAAAAAACGGTTCGTGATACAAAGATAGAAGGCAAGCTCCACGAGATATGAGAGATGTGTACGTTTGTCGGACATTCACACAATTCAAGCAGAATGATGGTGCCACGTTCCTGTTTTTATGATAGAGAGAGTATGCGGCGTGACACACTATTAATACGGTTGCATGAGCTGAGCAACAGCACATACGTATTTATTAGCTATGGTAACGAACCTTGTGGTGCAATGCAACTTGGTGCACTTTGCGCCACTTTATGCATTTTCAAGGTAACGTACAATTACACAGGGCGGATGATGGTTGAATTCACTACTACATGGTATGGTCTGCACACAGCGGGACCTGGCTAGCACCCTCAAGTGCTGAAACGAAATTCGACAGTTTCTGTTTTTCTACGAAAGTATGGCTAAATGTTTTCCTTTTTACCCACAGCAATTATTTGGCGGAAGGGGGGCTAAATAAAGAGAGGTGCTATGACATCAATGCACCAACGTGGGGACATTTTACTAGAAGCGGACTTCCATTTGCCAAGGGAAACGTGTGCCCATTATGAACCTCTTTCATGGTATGGACATGTGTATTCACTCCCGCCATATACACACACGTCATTTAGATTCATCCACCAAAGCAAAAGGCAGAGAAGGTTCGCACAGACGCCCGCCGCACTTTATCCAAATTCAAGCGAATGTTTTTCTTTGGTGTAATACCAAACACAACAAACAACGTCGTCGTCTATGTTTAGCTAGCAGCAGCAGCAGTAACTATACTACATTTGGAAGCCAATAATAACAACAACAACAACAACGAACCATCATCATGCGCCTTTGCTCTTTTTTTGTGTCTCAGCCAAAAATTTGGATGAATTTTATTTTTTTTTTGGGGGAGGGGAATGGGGAAAGCCGGGGGAGGGGGGGAGCACAGAAGTCAAAAGGGGGATAGTTGGTTGGGTGTTTGGGAGAATAGCTAGAAGAGGTTTGAGTCATAAAGAAACAGGGCAAATGATGCCCAGAGAGAGAGTGTATGTGTGCTCGTGGGGAAGTGTGAGTCAGTGAGTAGGTGAAATAGTGTGTGAGCGCGAAGAAAAAAATGGCTTTGAAACAGGCCAAAAAAGTCTTGTGGTTCTTGCTGTGATTCGTTTCGTTTCCCAGAGTCAGATGAGGAGGTGTGAGATCGCTTCTTGGATTTGAAAAGTGCTTTGAAAGAAAAGAAAAGGGATTGACACCTGAGAACGTCCCTAAACATATAACAGGACTGTGTGTTCTGCAGCGTGTGTACAATCGGTAGAAGAGAGAGAAAATATAGTACAATAGAAGGGGAGAAGAAGTGTAATGTGAAAGGGTGTGCACAAACCGGAGAAAAAAAGAAAGCATTTCCTCGATGGAGAAAAAGTACCTTCACAAATAAACCCAGTAGAAGAAGAAGAATAAAACAAAAAAGAAAAAAAAAACAAACTTTTTACAAAGAAGAGAATGTTGTGGATTGTGTAAAAGTGGTTGATGGAAGAAGTGGTGTGTAAAACGTGGAGTATAGTCGCGAAGGATGCTCTTGTCCGAGTGGAGCAAATGGAATCAAAAAAAAAACAGTTTGTGTCGAGAGTTGAAGAAAGAAAAGAAAAGGAGTAGAAAACGGGGAGTGTGTGTAGTGCGATGGCCCAACGCGAGGTTTAGGAGGACATCTTGAGCATCGATCGCAGGCCACGCTGTATCTCGGAGAGGTCGGCGTCCAAGCTGTGGGCAGTCTTCATTCTCGGAGGAACGGAGGTGGAGGGATGCTGATGGTAGTAGTAGTCGAAGGTGGTGTTGGTAGTGGAAGGAGTAGCGGCAGCAGCAGCGGGAGGGGTCGCAGTAGTGGAAGGACGATGGCGAGGCACCAAAAGACTCATGAGTTCCTTGGACTGCTGTTGCAAGTCGTCCATCACAAACATGCCATCGTGGTCAAGGTGTCGGGAAAAGGCCGGCGGCATGGGCAGAGCGCTTGGAGCAGGTGCATTGCTGAAGCAAGGGCCACAGTAGACTTGGCCATCATTGCTAGACCGGCGATTACGTCGGCGGCTTTTTAAAATAAAGGAAGCAGAAAATGTAATTAGGAAGGAGAGAAACGACATTAAAGGAGCTTTGGGTGTATTTGGTATATCTTCTATTCGGGAGAGCGAGTTCGGGAGAGAGTAAGAGAGAGAAGGGGAGAAGAAGGGTTTACCTTTGGAAGCCACTGTCCGAATCGTTTTCGGATTCACCCGAACTCGACACCGGGCTGGTGCTCAAGATGTCTACCTGAGACTTGTGCAAAGCATCTGTCATAGAAGCAATGTCTTTTCTGCGCTCGACTCGACGAGCCTTGACGGGCATCACCAGGCGACGCTGTTGTTGCTGCTGCTGCTGCTGCTGCTGTTGAGGGTGACGAGGATAAACGGAAGGAGAGTTGTTGTTGGGCTGCTTGGAAGATGGCTTGTTATTCTTCCAGTCTTGCTTTTTGTTGGCAAGCTGCTTTGGCTGCTGCTGCGATGAGTCGGTAGAGTCGGCGGAAGCTGCTGCGGCCTTGTTCTTGTTATTATTCTTTTTCTTGTTGCTGTTATTGCGTTGCTGCTTGGGCTGCATTGCTGGGGTTCTGGAGGGAGCATTGGGCTTTGATGCAGCAGCTACTGGCAGTTTTGCAAGATTGTTCTTTGGACGTGGAATAATTGCCTTGTTATTGTTTGCCATCTTGTGTTGGTCAATGTGAGTAAAAGTATAAAACAAAAAGTGAAAACAAAATAAAAGCAAAAAACTATGTAAAAAGAAGAAAGAAACAAAGAAAAGGAAAAACGTGTTGCGTGTGAGGAGACGGTAGTTTAGTGACGAAAGAGAGAGAGAGAGGGAGATGAGAGATGAGGAGGAATAAATGAGTATGTTGATAAGGACTATAAGGGCTGTATGCTGCTTGCCGGTATCAACATATACAAAATTCGAAGGTTAGAAAAAAGGGTGTTGAAAGAAAAGAAGAAAAGAAAGACTTTGTCCGTCGAGCCCAGGGTTTAAAATAAAAAAAATCTAAAGAACCAATCAGAGCACGTTGTCCCACAACAGCAAAAAAAAAAGTCAGCAAACACTCCGAGACACACACACACACGCCTTGTTTCGCCTCATTTATGATAGGGTACTCTTGCTCAGTCATGGTAAAGCCCTTTTCGGTAACCATGGTAAAAGTGGGTTTCCATGGCAAAAGCAGGTTCCCATAGCAAATGCGGGTTCCCATTGCAATAGCGTATTTCTATCGCAACAACAGAAAACAAGTAAAAGGTTTGTTTCCTTGGAAACCACAGAGCTCTTCTTTCGCCGAGGGCCTTTTTATTCTTCTGTGTTCTGAACAGACTTGACTAGAAATAGCCGAGTATAACACCGTCATCCCTGGGAGGACAAGGACCGGGTTTATGCCTTTTTTATCTGTACTTGCACAGTATGTGCGTTCATGTATCCCTCACTAGCTAGTATAGAGTATCCTGTAGGCGAACTGACCATGTACTATTACCATTTCTTATCCCTGCCAAACAGGAATGCGAATTGGGCGTTACACCAAATAGGAAAGCGTCTTATTTTCACGCATGACATGAGAACAAAAAAAAAGAGAAAGTAGTAGTGTATTGTGTGTGCTGCACATATCACTCCTTTTAGTCGTACTCTCTGTCTCTCTTTCTCTCACTCGTGCGTGTATAGTCGTGTGTAGAGTGTGTATGCTCATCTTATCTTCCCCCTATCTTTCTTTCCTTCCTTCCTCTTCATGTCACAATCACCTGACAGTAGTAGTAATAGTAGCAGCAACACTGAATTCATTCGAACAATGCGGCTTGCACGACAAGCATCCCACGATGTGTTAAGAAGTCGACATCAGCTACATCTGCCCTCTCCAATGTCAGTTTCAAAATCAACTCGTCTCACATCCTCCCGCTCGCGCATGTCTGATTCGTCAGGTGATGACGAACTGGAGACGCCCAACTCAGTGCCTCGTTTTTCAATATCATCCAGTAGTTCAACGCAGACGACACTGTCAACCCCGCGAAGTTCGCTTCCTTCAGTTCATGAGAAGCAACAACAATCGGGCTCGTTATGGATCGGCCAACGTGTCTTTGTAGAATCTATACGATTAAAAGGCACTCTACGATTTTTGGGCACAACACAATTCAAATCAGGCGTTTGGGCTGGCATCGAACTTGATCACGCTGGATCTGGCAAGAACGACGGCTCAGTGGATAGGTAGAGTTGATATACAATAAAATTCATTCAATGTAGCACCGGCTGATTTGATTGTTGTATATTTAGCATTCGATATTTTAATTGCCCACCAAAAACTGGTATTTTTGTGTTAGCAAGCAAGGTCATTTGCTGTCGCACACAGCAGCAGCAACAACAACAACCACCACCACCGCTTCACCATCATCCACAGCATCGCATTAATACGAGCAATCCCGTATCACCAAAATCTCCACAGCTACGAAAGAAAAAAGCACTTGCAAAACAAACATCGCTACCATGTATAAACACTGCTCGACAACAACAACAACAACAACAACAGCAGCAGCAGCACTTTCAGCACCAACAACGACCTCGACATCCACTCTCCGTTTCACCTAAAACTAGCGGCATCCCTTCACCCGAAATGACTCCAACCGCAATACATGAAGGGTCAAAGATAGATCCTCCTGTCATGCATCAGGATGAAGATAAATTTCATCTCGTATCTAGTATGATTGACAGCGACCACGGTGGCAGTGGTGGTAGTGGTAATTCTTCTACCCTTGCAAATGCGAAAAAGGAAACCGACCTTGCCCCAACCGAATGTTTCCAGTGCAAACAACACGAGCAACTACGTGTTGATCTCGAAACAAAGCTCTCGGAAATGACTGCAGCATTGACGAGTAACACGGATATCACTTTATCGTACAAGAACAGGATCAAGGAATTAGAGCAATCAATAGAGGAGCTCAAAAGGGCAGGCATGGAGACCATTGAGCTGTATGAGGGTGCGACGCAAAAGCACGACGTGGATATGAAAAGACACACTGCAAAACTGGCACAGGCACATGCACGCATCCAGGCCCTTGAAAATGAACGGGATCGACTCAAGTTGGCCAAGGAAGATGCAGAGACGGTCTTGTCCGAATATACCCAGACAGAACGACCCCAGCTGATTGAAGAACACGACCAGAAACAACAAAAAAGTCAAGACGAATTCAAACAACTCAAAGCTACACTCGAACAAGAGCGACTCTCGCAGCAGTCTGCAGAGCGCGAAAATGAGCGGTTACGAGAGAAAGTGACTCAATTAGAAAACGAACTTGGTGCAGAAAAACACTCAACCCACCAACAACAGCAACAAGTAGAAACGGAAAATCAGCAACTCAAACAAAAGTGTCAGGCGCTGCAGGAGACGCTCAAGCAATCTCAAACGGAATATCAACACTTGCGCGACCGCGTCAAGGAACTGCCACCGACCCCGGTAGGTCTTGCGTCTATCCCTGAACAGCAGCTGCAGGCACAGTTGAACGAAGCACGCACTATGTTGGATTGCATGCGCCAGGAACGCGTCCTAGAGTCCGAAAAACATCGTCGACAAATCAACACACTCAATCGCGATATCGCTGAATTGGAAAGCTTGATCGAAGCCAAGATCTTTAAAGAAGCGGATTTGTTGGAAGCGTTGGATAATGAGCGTCGTGTCGTGCAACGATTACTAACTGAACATCAAGGGTCAATTGCTGGGCATCGGAGGAGAGCAGCAGCAGCAGCAGCAGCAGGCATGTCAACCACACCATCTGCACGGAGTCTTTCGTCTACTGCCTCGTCATCTTCTTCTGGCTCCATATCATCCGCAAGTATACCGCCCTCATTACCCCGGCCAGCAGCTGCAGTCCCACCTATTCCAACAACGGCACAGCAAGAAGATGAAACGCCTTACTGTGAAGTGTGTCAGGTTTCTGGCCATGACCTCATGGGCTGTTCTTCACTACTAGAACAAATTCCACCTTCCACAACGCTTTCTTCATACCAGGTATGTAACCAAGTGTATCATGGATTAATTTAAACTGTAATGAAAAGAGGTCATTTATTTACTCTTTTTTCTGCGTATAGTTACCCTCTAGTAGGCAACCACGAAGAAACGAGAACAAGGCCTTTTAAACAAAGCTTGTGCTGCAGCTAATTTATAATACTTTATTAACACACCCTACTACTACTATACTACTACTACTACTACTACTACTATTACTACATTATTACTCTCACCACTCGCACTCGGACGCATCAACCTCTTCTCGTACTTTTTTGCTCATATAAAACACCCTTTTTTTCCAGCGCATCACTATTTACCTTCTTCATCATCATCATCTTCATATAACCGCCATTAGTATCATACGCTACCAATCACTCCACATAGCTTTCTTTCTCCTTCTCATATCATTTTGTGTAATTTGGTTTTTCCACCCTTCCCCCTTCCCCCCCCTTATTCCCCCTATTTTTCTTTGATGAAAAAATATATATTCTGTACATGTCGAAACACTATATTCTATATTTATTCCAAAGCTTTTGAATATACAATTTTTCCAAGGTTCTAAGACGCACACCTCAAATTAATAAGGCGCAGTTCAAAATTGTTCTGGTCGTGATTTTGGAAATTAAAGTCGCATTATTCAACAATTATAAGTCGTATAATTCAAGAGTATAGGTCGCATAATTCAAGAGTATAAGTCGCATAGCAACCTTAATTCAAGTCGTGAAAATGAAAGAAAAACCAAGTCGCATATTTAGAAAACACAATTCATGATGCTTGAAACTACTGGTAGCAAATCTTACTCTTGATGCTTCATTTCTACATAGCTAAGCAATCTGAGTTCTGTATGTTGGAGAGATTTGGCGAACACAGAAAAAGCCCTACTTAAAAAAAAGCTTCAACTTTCTTGGCAATTAGCCATTGGAGGTTTTTCTGCTACACTTTCCTTATTTTTTCGCTTCTGTATGATAATCCCGGTTACAAATGAGCTCTGCCAAATTTTATTATGAAGGTGGTCACGGAAATATTGTTGATGAAAGTGGCCAACCGGAACCCATGGACTATATCATCAACGAGAAAGAGCACGTTCTAGAAACTCTGACAACTCATACTCAGTACCTTGCAAAGATGCCGGATGAAGTAGCTCCTGCCCCAAAGGTTATACTAAAGGTTGAAAATGACGTGAGAGCTTAAGTTCTGTTTAATAAACCTCAATACTTTAGAATAATGAAGCAATGCGAGATGAACAGCCTGCTGCAACTGATCCATTAAAAAAGAAGCGTTTATTCAGATCAAGATTAATCGAACGTATGGAAACGTATTGCAGAAAAGCAATTATCCGCTTCCAAGGCTGTTAAAGAGCTACATATTGACGTTCGTGCTGCTCAGAGATGGGCTAAACAATATGAAGATTTTTAAAAAGAAGAAACGGGTTTTGAAGGGTGGAACACAGAAGTCATATACAAAAGCTAGTTGACAACAATTCGACTGTGGTGGTAACCGAAGTGAAGGACAGTTTGACCAATGCAATCTATCGTTCAAACTTGCTCAACAACATGCAGTAGCCAGGATAAATGTTGACCATAAGCTCTTTTGTAATTATGTAAAATAAAGTCATTGTACATAGCGGCTTTATTATTTGGTAGTGGCAACAATCAACATACCTTATGCTATTTCCTACCATCACTATCTCTGTACTATTACTATGTTAATATTTATGTTGATAAGCTTTGACTTTGCCTATACATACTGACTTTTTACGTAACAATATTAGTGGATCTGCCTTTACGCTTCAGAACTACAGTATAGAAATAATCCTTTCAAACCTTAAACAAATCAAAATCGGACATCTTCTTGCTTTTGTGTTTGTTCGACAGAAAATAATTGATAAACAAAGAAATGAGTTTTGAGAGAGCGACTACTGTATTGGCACACTCTTCTCTGGTTAAGCAATCAAAATCGAGATACAGTATAAGACCGTTCGCTCCTAAAAATTTGGGGTGACAATGTATGATGACAAAAATAAATGATATTATGATTTGAAACAACACTGGTATACTGTCTCATTACATTTCCCTATTTCAGAAAATGATAACAGGGAGGGATATTAGGAAAATAAATCGTTGAAAAACAACAGCTTCTCCCAATATATTGTCTATCGGCACGAATAGATAGATGAGGATACATACATATGTACCTTCATCTCAGAGAAACAACATGTTGGTTGCGCGCAACATAGTTAGTACTTCTGTGGTATGTAACTTTCATATGTACGGCTTTCTAATGCAATCGATAATGTTATCATAATTGTTTTTATTATTTTACCAAGAATCTCAAGTAAAGTGGAATAAGGATACTGTTTGAACTTACGCTATTTGCATGTGTCCTATAGATGCATCAATCAAAATTGTTTGAATCCCGCGGATACGTTAGCAGGCGGTCAGCAGCCACGACGTTGTCTTTGGAACAGGGATTAAGCCGCTGTCATGAACTTCAGGATCATATTGCGAGGGTTACATGGAACAGGAACGATACTTGAACGTTTCAGAAAAAGAACTAGAATCGTTGGAGACGCCACATCGTCCGACTCGGACGACGAGTCAAATCTTGATATATATCCAAGTTCCAACAATTCTGAAGCAAATGAAGCATCGTCATCATCATCATCATCATCATCATCATCATTAGCACAGTTACCTTAACCGCTATCACGGCCTTCATCATCACGATCGTAACGTCGACAGGAGGAAGTGTCATCATCACCGCAACAGCCACTTTTTCGACCGCCTAGACCGTCATCATCACGCTTACGACGGCAAGCATCGTCGTCTTCAGAAATGAAGTCAGAGACATCATCGCGTTGGTTATTGTCGTCGTCGTCGTCAGTGACTCGGGAAGCACAAAGATCACAACTACCTCCCAGATCTCAAACGGTTGCTTCTTCATCGCAGGTGACAAGGCGCGGAACCCAAGCAAGTTTAAGTTCTGGTAAGGGAATAAGGTTTCCATCCGTATATCTAGCTATTCTGGTGCCGTATTTATTTCTTATTCTAAAATGTGGAATCTGATTTAGTTCCACCATCATCGCAAGCATGATCATCAACTCAACCAGCCTCTTCTCCTGGACCAGAACACCACGGATACTCCACGCGGTCTAAAGCGGGTAAGAAATTTGTATATACAGTAAAGCAAATGTATACGATAAGATGACGTTTTGACGGCTATTTGTGCAATTAAAGACAAAGGGAAAGGTCGGTGGACCGAAGCAAATCAAATAGAAGATGGAGAAAAAAGAGAACAAGATGAAGATGCTTATAAAAGTGGCAATGACGAAGAAATGACACTGATGGCATTGAAACGGACAGTGATCCTACCAGTAGCACTAGTGGCTACAGTAGTACTAGTAGTTATAGTGGTGATGGCAGTTATAGTTCTGAAGAAGATGATAGTGACGAAGACGCGGATGGAACAGAAAATAAGAGGAAACTCGGGCGCCGAAAAAGAGGTTACGGCAAGAGAAGGAAGCCAAGTGCTGCTAGCAAGAAGAGAAGAGCAAAACGAGTAAAGTCAAACGAGAGGAAACGGCGCGGTAAAAAAAAAGGAAGGCAACAACGACATGTGATGAGGACCGGGCAGTACAAAAACCAAGACATAATCCAAGCCCTTCGCAAGGATCAAGAAGCCGGTCAAAAGGACGTCCCGTAAGACGGTCAAGAGGGTAGGATTATAATTTTCTCATATTAGAATCTATGATTGCTTTTATGTTGCTTCTCATTATTGACTTCATCGGACACAGGTGTTAGCGTAGCAAGAACCACTCTTAAGGTAAAATTACAGTATATATCTCTTTTCTTCCGAGCGAGCGCGTGTTTATGCAGCACATGAGGAACCTTGACAACTGAAACCAGCAGTAGATCCCATTGTGCAATAAGGATTTTCTCAACTATCCGGCATGATTATCGCTACGCCAATCATATGATAGTACTGTATGATAAGTGATTTCATGATGAGTGTGTACTTGCTGAATTTACATTTGCTGAGTAAGTTTTTTACTATTACTTTTTATGATCATCATCAGCCTCCCCGCGAGCATGTATGCTATCATACCACCTTCATTTCTTTTACCATGATAACGCTAATTTTCTCTCCGCTAACGCAATGTCTATTTTAAAAACAGTAATAACATCCAACCATCATCTTTGGTGACCACAGTGGGTCTACTATTACCACAACAGCTGTTCCTGACAATTAGCACAGCGACAACAATCGTAAACGGCATATCTATGCAGCGAATGACAAGGATGGAGAAGAGGTGATCGATGGGAAGATGTTTACAACAATCAGGAGGGAGAAGTTAATAAATGAAAGTCAAACTGGGGAATCACTGGAACACTTGTTGGACTTTAGCGAATAAGTAGATGAAATGCCTAATTAACAAAAAAGCATCTTTACAATAGATAGTATCCCTCACCCTTGTTATCCCCTCTTAAAAGTGTACAAGTCTTATGGAAATCCTACCCCATCCTCCTAGTGAATCAGGGTTTCTAGCAAAATACTGGCAATATCAACTAAAAAGCCATCACTCACCCATTAAAAAATAGATCAATCGGGACATACAAGGTAACTTAGAATAAAGGCCGACTGATATGCTGCGGATTCAATTTTCTCCTTTTTCTACAAACAACGCAAAAAAATGGATCCCATAGGTTAGTCAACTTTCGGTTCTGATTGTTTCTTCATTATTTCATAATCAAATCTAACTTTATGTATGTAAATTAACCAAAGTAAAAGGTCAAAGAAGATTGGTTTCTTACAAGTATGAACAATGCAAATTACTGGTAAAGCATCGAGGCGCGTTCGCAATGCCACCAGCTGTCTCTGGTGCAAGACAGGTTCGCATTCAAAAGAAAAGAGTAAATGGAATTATATACAAAGAAACAGACCAAACAATTTATACACGCGTTTTTGTGAACTTTGAAGTTACAACCCAATGGAACTTTTCACGTCGCGGTAATTGCAATGTCCACTGATCCTCTCAATAAAGCCGGTACTCAACTGGCTGGATATGGCGCCGTGTTCCTCGATGACGCAATGAGCCTTGTTGCAGGGCACAATGAGGGCCCACACACTAGTGGTGTACTCGCTCTTTTACTTGTATGTATACATTCTCGTTCTATGAAAATCATAAACAAGAAGAGTAACCAAGCTGCATGTATTATATATGTATATAGGCAATCAGACACGTATTGCAAGTCAGTCCAGCCAACCAATCCTTGACAATTATTTCAACAAGTCCAGCCATCGTACACAGTTAAGTATAACAGTTGTTTATCTTTTGTGCATGGCAGCACCTTGAAGGAGTGGTTAACTGTGACAATGGTCACGTGCTAACGTTTCTCTTCACAATTTCTAAAAAAAAGTCTCGAGCCTGGGCGAAATCCTCAAGAGGAAGAAATTGTATGGCCATCTCATCCCGTGTATTGGCGCCATTAACGATCTACTCAAGAAGAAAACTGCTCCAGTTCACGGTTACTGGGTAAGTCGACATAGTAAATAATGTAGAAGGGATGACCCCGTGAAATAAGAACTTGGTACTAATATAGACGCGTTACTTTTGTTACGAACACAACAGATGCAACCGGGCGCCCGCATCGGCTGGATGGAGGACTTTCATGAACTGGCGCGCAAAGCTGCTAGTGAAGCGCGAAAACTCAAGTAAAGTGACAAGTTTCTTTAGGTTTTTCTTGTTCTGCTAGTTATAGTTTTTATCTGGGTTCCTGTATTCTTTTATGTCTTACGCTCATGCCATATATACCATATAGGATAGCAGGGGATACTGTTTACCAATCGGCTCCGTTACCTCAGCCTTTGATCCCAGTTGCTCCTCCTCCGCGTCCACCATCTCCACAACGTCCTGTAGATAATTTCATCACGGACCAAGAGTGTGGTAAGACAAAGCTGATGGTTTGATTTTATGTGTCAGTGTAGAACATACAATCTCGATCTCACACTGATGCATCTCGCTAATACTCTGCTGTCAACATATAGAGGCTGTTCCCAGACGACTTAACAAACTACAAAACGAGCGACAACAGCTCCTGGAGGCTCGCCGAGGAGACCATGACATGGACGAACGGCTTGTCCAAATTCTCGCCGAGGTTCGAATCTTTTTTAGTTGAGAGGAAAAGAGGAAAACTAGCTAATCTGTTTATTTGGTTGTCGATCATATAGCCAAATCAGTTGAAAGATACGGCATATCACGTTGCATTCATCGCGTTGTCTGTGGATGGCCCGGACGAATGTGGCTTCCAGGCGGGTGGTTATGGAGTTGTTTGGACAGACCATAATCGACCCAACCAATGCGGATATTATGAGAGCCCTGGTGCAGGCACTCTCATCTTTTTATTGTTGGTAAAAAAATAAGACTAACGAAGGATATAATGAAGCGTTACAACCAATACAATTCTCACATTTACTGTTATACAACTAGGCTGTCAAGGATGCTCTGGCTGAATGTGCGCGCAACCAACGACTCATCATTGCAACATCGAATCAGGCGATTGTCAATTGTAAGTTATATATAGGTTTATTTAGTTATTGCTTGTTTTTTTATTATGCCATCAGTATGTGTCTATGAGAACCTCATTATGCAAACAATTATGGTATTGCTAGTTTTGAATCGTAAGAAGGGCCTCAAGAACAACCCATACATGGAACCTTACATTCAAGAGATAACGCAGGAGCTGCAAATGCGGGTCGCGCCCACCCACTCTGTACTGGTATGAATGTAATGTGCGAAAGGAAAAGGGAGAATACATAAATGTAGTTACTTACATTGTGTGTGATACAGATTGACGATGGTTACCTAAGATTGAGCTGGGCAAAGGGTTTTTACAATCTGGCCAGAAAAGTCGGGAAGGAAGGGCGCAAGTTAGGGTATGATTCCTCAATTTCCCTTTTTGGTTCACTAATGGATTACATTGTTTTACTCCCAATGTTCTTTAATATTTGTTTTTTTAAAAAAGAGCCAATTATTTCGCCAGTGACACTATTGGACCTGTTCCTCCTCGAGTCTCTTTAAAACCACCAACTCGATGGCAACCATCTCAACCTGGTCAAAACAAGACATCTTTACCATCGTCATTCTCCTCTGTGCAAGTGCATGGAACTCAGTTGCAGTCACCGGTGCGGATGCCAAGCTTGATGCACGGCCAACCTCCTGTACAACCGCAAGTGTCCAAACCGAATCCGCCATCGATCACGCGCCTTGATGATGGAGAATTTGCGTCGTCAAGCGTATCCATTCCCGGATATAATCAGCGCCGCCCTCTCGATGGTATGCACCCATCGCGAGCAGCTGCTCTTGGCTTGATCGACCCGTTTCCATCATCTATGGTAGCTGCATCTGATGTGGGACGTGACTATACCAATGAAAAGAGTATTAATGCTCGTTCCTACCAAAACACTCAAGCTGCAGTAGTGTTACCATCATCATCGTCATCAAAACCATGGGCTCCCGTTGCCAGAGCCGAATCTGTTGTTGAACCAGAAGAGTTCTATGATTGCCAGACTGATGATCCCATCACAAGCGACAATAAGAAACGCGAGTACTTGGCAATGGATGAAGATACGGAGGGTATTTTTCAAAAGGAACAATCAAGCAAAAAGGTCAAGATTGGAGATGATAGTGATGGATCCAGCGCTGGTGAGCTGAATCGCAGGCAAAGTGTCAATGAGTGGTATGCTGCTGTTCCCAAATCCATGCGTAATTGGCTGGATAAGTTGTTCGGCAAATAAATCTCATTTTCCACACCCGTCTCTCCAACACAATACATTACCAAATTAACGTAGCCTACTTTATAAAAAAATGAGCTCTGCTGCTGTCGACTTCCTTTGTACGAATAATAAGAAGGCTATAATAAAAAAAAACTGAGTGGTAGTACCAGTTTTCTACAATCTTGGTATGACAAGAACCTTCTTGAATGATCAGCCTCAAACAATTGAATTCCAGTTAAAATAATACAATAACCATGCAACTGCTAACTACACATAAGAGAAATTGCAAAACGCGCTTTACATGACACGCTATAATACGCGTGTGTGATCGCAGTGTCGATGTTGCTGCCAGCACATACAGTACATGTGTATGTAGTCGGACGTATGCCTCAACCTGTGTATGCTATGTACTAGTCTAATTCATCATTTTGATCCAATTAAACAGAATATGGTAATGGACAATCCTGCATATGGACCTTAAGAGCCCGTGGCACGTTACATTTGGTGTTCTTTGACGTCGGTACGGTTTGGAATTGGGGGCACTTTTGAAATTTTCCATGCGCGAGCTACAAGCAGGACAAAACGTAGATGTAAATACTCGTCAATCAAGTATACGGCGAAGCCCCTTCTTCTCAGCATCCTACGCATGCCAATGCCACGGATTGGCTCAATATACTCCTGATGGACACTACACAATGAGCGCGCAGAGACAACAGCGCAAATGCACTCGACACAATATCTACCTTTCCAGCGACGCAAACCGAATTTACTACGATGCTAACTGGGAGGAAACTCCAGTACATACCGGTTTGACAGCTGACATACTCTCCAAGACAACGCGCAGCTACAATAGAGTATGATATTGAACCTCTCATACATAATGATTGATAATACAGTAGATGGGTAGTGTACCTAGCCAAGGGAGAAGCACCCATACCCGAATAAAGCCAATACAAACTTTATTGTAGCGTTCTTTTTCTTTTATGTTATTTAACAAGAATTACTATGTACTAATAACAACACCAATAGAATACAAGGGTTTTCTTTTTCCTAAAGTACTGTTACATGTTGAAAAAGTTTTCACAAAGCGTAATACAACCCCGTTTCTTGGAGTACATGTCGTGGTGGAGAGTAAAGGACGCCGTTATCCCCAAAGCATCCCATCTACCCAATCTTTGAAGTTTCCGACAGCCGTATGCCAATCATTAAAGTCCAATAGTTGCTTCAGCGAGGTTTTGACAGTTTCATCTTCGCCATCATGATCATGATCATCCACTGTTGTTTTTCTCCTTTTGTTTGCATCCAATGATTCATCCCTCACTGCATCATTATCGGATGTTTCCTCGATAGGACGCTTCTTGGTAGCGCACTGCTCTTCTTCTTCTTCTATAGGTGACGGGTTATCAAGCAAACCTAGCATTGCTGCACGTGCTGGATGAATTCCTTCCAGATGATGCTCATTTTCAAGGTTTGAGGTAGTACCAGTCGGCGAGTGCGCAGTAGGTGGTAGGACAGCAGCTGGCGGCGACAACGGGTGGTTTGCGTGATCCGTGAAGCCCTCCTCTTTTCTGATTTGGTGGTCAGTATACAAGCCAGCTGTAAATGGTTCTTCTGCAGCAGGTAGCGACGGCAAATTTCGTCGTCTGGAGACTCCTTCATAATTCCTGGTTTTTTTTTTGAAAAACGTTGAGACCGGTATGAATAGAGTTATACACATACGTGTGACAGCATTCAATGAAAGTGTGAAGATCAATCAATACTACCTTTGTTTGCGACCTTCCCTAGCTACAGTCTTCGCGATATCATAGAGTAGCTCATGCCAGGGCTTATCTTGGGTGCCCTTGATCTATGTAATCATCAGTGACAACATAACAACATAACATTTCCTATGCTTTTCCGATCACTCCTATCTTAATTACCAGAAAGAGTTCCACCGACGCTGTTCTTCCTGAAATCAATTCGTTGATTTCTTGAACATATGGTGTCAGCAGTGACTCAAATGGAATTTTCTTACTGTGACCGCTCATATCTAGTGGGTTTGTTATAGAATTGATGATTAATGATCTCTGTGATATAGCAACAGCGTCCACGGTGATAGTACATAATATTAAAATACTTTACAGTTGTAGACAGCCTGGTGTTTCATGCCTATGAGTAAAGGTCGATCCGGGCGGCTTGCAACCAAAGCATCTCGCATAGCCTAATATATAGATGTATATATTAACAATCAATTTACGATCGACTTCAAATGCTACACAGGTACTTTAAACCACAAAATAGCTACTTACCAGTAAGATAAATATCGAAGTACCATTGAATGGGCCATCATAATAGCCTACTTGATTTGGAAATCCTTCGTGAAACCATACAACACCGTAGCCACCCAGTTGGTTTCCATTTTCTTTTGGAGAGTCTACCGACATTGCCACAGTTACTATTATCTGCCCAAGCTTGTCTGGGTCCTGGTGATTACAAGAGGGGGTTTCTTTTAGTTTCAGTAACCATTCTTTAAGCAAATTCGTTTTATATAACCATACATGCCCGACTTGGCACTGGAATTGCTGCAGGATTCGCTTTCGCTCATCCTCAAGTTCACTTAAACTCCAGTCTGAATATCTGGACCTTTCTCGTTGATATGGTACGTCTTCGTGCGCTTGGATTTGCTGTTGATGTTTTTGGCTCGAGAGTTGCGGAGACAGTGCTGGTTGGAGAGAGTACTGTGTCTCCCTGGTTTGTTTCATTAATCTATGTGTATAATGCATGAGTAAAAAAACAATATGTAAAGAACATAACAGAAAAATCTTACCCCGTTTTCCGAGCATCACTTGCTACTTGCATAGACAAACTATAAAAGCCATTCATCCAAGCATTTACTCCATTTGCGGTTATCTTTCGTTCAAAGGTTTTAAAAAAAGCAGTATAACAAGGGTCAGTATGTCTTTTTTTCCTTCTTTGAACATATTTCAACAGACTTTGAATACACACCAGAATAGCGCGTGTCCGTGCTTCTCTCCTTTGTAGTAAATTTGTAATATTTTCAACATCCGATTCCAATAGTGTACTCTTCCTGCTGATTGATAGAGGCGTCCCGTCGTTTATAACTTTTGTAAACCGAGAAAACGTTAGTATCAGTAAAAATTGAGGTACAATCACATTCATGCCCCCCCTCTCTCTATACTTACAATTGACAATTGACTGGTTTTTAAGGGCGATAATAAGAGGTCTAGTACGTGAGCATCTGTCAAGGACAGCCTGTACAGCCTATTAAATAAAGAAACTGAGTAATGCGTGACGTTTCAAGATGTAAATGCATGTTGCTAGTAGTAGAAGATGTACTTCAGACAATAGATGTCTCGCTTATCGCATACCTGTAAGAGGAAAATCATAGACTTCGAATCTGGACCATAATGACTGGCGAGTTGGATTTTGTAGTTACATCTTAGCCAAACGACTCCATATCCTCCAAGCTGACAATTGGATGCATCCGGCTGCTCTACGGACATTCCAATCACAGCTATTCTGTCTTCCCCTCTGTTCGTAGCCTATAGCATATGCGAAGCAGCAAAAATATCTTTCAGGTTAAGATGCTGTTTTTTTTTCTTTTGGAACAGAAAAGAAGGCTCATCCTACCACTGCGATTTCCATTCCGTATCTTTGTATAAGTTTTGCTCGTTGTCTGTCTATATCTTCAATTGCTCTTGTTGACAATCCAGCACCTAGGAAACAAAATGGGTTTCGACATTGCACTTTATATTCTATTGACAGAAAATTCTCGGGCTTACCATGGCCAGCCGATAGCGACGGTGGAATTTCGGGTAGTCGTACTTCGGATTGCTGCCGTTCGTTTCGCGGTAAAGAAGGTGAACGACGGTCAGGGGCGGGTGATGCTGATTTAACTGCTTCTTCCCTAAATCCGGATCCCTTGTCCAACCTAGTGTGTGTTTTTCGGGTAAACAAGGTTAAAACCCCCAATAAACACAGAAACATAGTAAGCATGAACCAAAGATATTACTGTACCAGAGTTTGCGGGCTACACTTGCTACGTCTTTTGCCAAATCATAGAACCTCTGAACCCTTGAATCTCTAGTTTTTCCTGCATTGAGCTTTTAAAGTAAGAGGTTAGTATCATATACGGTATTACTTTATATATTTCCTTCTACGCTCAACCTGCTACAGCTAACATTTTAGTCCACAAAACGAACAGCTTCTTACCCAATAGCTGTGCGTTGGAGCTGTTCTTGTTTTGATATAATTTTCAATGGACTTAAGATGTGTCCCCAGATGAGAGTTGTCCTTACTAATGGATGGTGTTTCGCCATTGATAACTACGATGGTATTACAAGCATTAGCAGAAAGAAAGAAACCAACAATGGCAATATGTTCAAAGAATATATTTGGTTCGTTACAGTTGCAAACTAGATGGTTGTTTGAGGCAATGATGAGCGGTTTACTAGAATCAGATTGTCGAAGCACGTCTTGCACAGCCTATATTTACATATCCATCCCATATAAGATAAGACATGAATATTTATTAAGAATGGACGAGAACAGTTTATGCAGTTGTGTGTAATGGGTTGGCGGGAAAATCTTACCTTCAAAAGAAATATCAGGCTTCCCGTTGCTGGACCGTTATGCGTGCCAAACTCATTGTCACGTTCTTTATCCAACCATACGATGGCATAAGCACCCGCTTGAGTATTTTTATTCGTTACGCTATTAACCGACATTGCAATAATTGCGACTTGATCTGAGTGTACTCGATACTAAAATAACGGATTTAAGAGCAAGCCGGATTAAAAAGACGTTCTATGGATCCGTTGAAAACATGCATAAACGTGCGTAGGAGTCATGAACGAGCAAAAAAAAAAAGAACCGAATGTGCGAACCTCATTGCCAAATTGCACTTGACCGCCGATCGCTGTTGCTCCAAAGTCGTCGCCACATTTATCCAAAAGATCCTTACGTTCGCCTTGTAGTTCACTTAATTTTCTGATGTTTGAAGCTCCTGTGGATTATGTTTAAAAGAAATAAAAGCATCAGTTGCAACCAAACTAAGAAAACGTCTGTTTTGTTCTACCGAAGCATATAATTGACGTTACGTTTTAAGGCGTTCATTGTATGCTCTTTACAGTCGTCAGACCAAAAAGGGAAAAAGGCAGAGTAAAAGTGGGTATGAGATTATTGTTGGTTAGCCGAGAAGAGATCGTCCTTTTGACACACCGCGACCAGAAATTCGACTGGGATTAACCAGATACGCAGTAATAAAAATCGTACAGAAGGGAACAAAGTACTGGATTATCCTCGAAAGAAGGACAAGTATGATAATATAGCCAGTAAACATCTTTAATGAAAGGTTATGGTTTCAACTTGTAATCTTCATACGAAATTCATGGCGGATGGTATGTTTTTTTGAAAGGATCTTTGAAGAATAATGCAGCCATGTATCAATAAGTCAGTACAGTATCCTTTTACTGCACTTACTACATCAGTAGAGCTATTTTGTTCTCTCTCGTGGCGGTATATTATCACAGTAATGTTTATGCCTCGAGACACATGTATTTGACCGACTAACCATTTGACAAAGATGTGCATACATTTTATATCAAGAAAAAAGTGGGAGAACAATTTGGAAGCATAATCGTCCTGATACATGGCGGAACTGAAATAGACTACTCATATAGCACATAACACGCATATATAAACTCAGGTACATTTGTAGCATGATCAAAACACGTTATTAAACTACGGGCATCCACATCAAACATAGGATTACTTGATTGCTAACGTACATAACAGATACTCCGGAGATGCAGCACCACAATGTTGCACGACAGTAAACGCTCCGCCTAGGATACTTTGTGTAGTCTGGTGGTAACCTTCATAAATTTTAAAGCACTTATCATATATAGCAGTGTGCTATTGTCCTACATGCGTCGCTGATACATTTCAAACAGATATCAAGGCACATAAGGAGGGCACCATGTGGTCAGTCCACTGACTCGCCGGATTGCATAATGTTCAAGTCCACATCGATATACAGAACAGAATGTGTTTAAGCAGCAAGTAATTGCTATCTCGCCATACTAAGTCTGCAATATACTAACAAAGTACTTGTTCTGTACTACCTTTCCGGAAGGAACGGGAACAGAAATAGCATGATATGTATGTTCCATCAGCACCTTAAATAATGATGGGGGTTGCGTAAATGGAAAAAAGCAGAAATATCAATGTGAAAAGATATGAAAGAGATACGATATCCCCAGACCAAGCTGGAGTTCTTTGTTTGTTTGTTTGTTTAGCGCTGGTAATGTGCAACCAAACGAACAACATCAATCTACTCACATGTTTTCTTTTTCTGGTCCCCTGGCGTCAATTCGCGTCTGCATTATGAAGCATTGGTGCATTGACAACAGCGCACAGCTGCAAAACGATTGCGAGCGTCGTCCAAGGAACACATGTTGCTAGGAAACAACCGTATATTCAAAACACATAGGCTGATGCAATACAGAAGTAGAAACGAATACAACAAGAGGAGATGGCATGCAAATACTTAGACACATACACGACTATTCCAAGGTTTTTTATTTTTGAATTAACCGGAATGGTTCCACTGTTTTTTTTAGCTTGTGCAACCCTATCACTCTTGTGCACCCATGGCCGGGACAAACGAGCCATCTGCTCCTTCACTAACATAAGGTGTGCGCGCTCAACTGGCAGCCCTTGCGTATTGGCCAACTCTGACGTTTCACTGCTCAGGGCAAACCCTTCCTCTCTCTCTCTCTCCCTCTCTCACTGTTACTTCTAGTCCATTTGTGAATAACCTTTTCCTTCCTTCTCTCTTTCACTTTCATCACTTCTTTTGCTTGATTTGACAAATTCAACTTTCTTCTTTTTTTTATTTGTTTTATTTTCTCTCTTCTTTCTTGTAATACATCCCTCACCGAATGGCAGCTACCGCGGTGAGGTAAGTTAATAAACGTTCTTTGAGAGAGGTGGGAGTTGGGTGAGAGGGGAGCGCAATCGGGGCTCAGTTCCGATTGAATGACGAATGACCTGAAATCCCCCATTGTCTGTGCACACCATTTACCATTTTGTACATATAGAGTTGGACTGCGTGTTCGCCCATTGACACAAAAGGAGCAACTCGAGAACTGTACCGAATGTCTTTCTTATGTTCCTAATGAGCCTCAAATCTTGATTGGCACGGATAAGTCGTTCACGTATGACTATGTGTTTGACAGCAATACGATGCAACCGCACGTTTATAAATCCGCTGCAGGACCACTTTTAGAAAAGTTTATGGATGGGTAAATAAGAAAAAAACATTGTGCCAAAAAAAATAATGATACTATCACCACCACGAATCAACCCTACCCCTTAACTACGACGTGGAATGATCAAATCACTAAAAGAGAGAAAATTGACTAGGTTCAATGCTACAATTTTGGCATACGGGTAAGATCAACCTTACTGCTGCATAGCGCATAAATCATACCCTCAGCAACAAACTTACCTTTTAACATATAGACAAACTGGATCGGGCAAGACGTACAGCATGGGCACTGGTTTGCACAATACAACTGCCCGTGAAGAAGAAGGTATATCTGATAATAAACGCACTTTGGCATATCCAGTACCCATAACAATGAAAAATCGCGCTAAGAAATACGACTTCTATGACAATTAAATGGTTTTTTATAGGCATTGTACCGCGTTGCATGGTCGATCTTTTTGAGAACATGGAGAAGCGCGCTAAAGAGGACCCAGATTTCAAATACGAAATCCTCGTATCATTTTTAGAGTTGTACAACGAGGAATTCGTTGATCTTTTAAATCCAAACACTTTGCAACGCAAAAAAGGCGTCAACAATGCCGCTGCAGCTGCTGAAATATCTGTTCGTGAAGACATTGCTGGCAACATTTATTGGAGTGGTGTCCGAGAGGAACGTTGCTCAAGTCCAGATGAATTGCTCGGGTACCTTGCCAAGGGCTCACTGTGCAGAACCACCGGATCCACAGACATGAACACCGTCTCGTCTCGCTCACACGCTATCTTTTCAGTGATTCTCAAACAACAACGGCGCGAAGAAGATGGAAGTGACAAGGCATTCACGAGCAAGTTTCATTTTGTTGACTTGGCCGGATCTGAAAGAGTAAAAAAAAAGTTTGAATTTATTTTTTGCTATTTTAAGCACAAGCAAAAGGTGTCCTAACAATAGGAATAATACAGTTGAAACGAACCAACGCACAAGGCGACCGTGCTAAAGAAGGCATCGCGATCAACTCTGGTCTTTTGGCACTAGGCAACGTCATTTCCGCACTCGGAGATGAGACCCGGCGGGCAACACACGTCCCATATCGAGACTCTAAACTCACGAGACTCCTTCAAGACTCCCTTGGCGGCAACAGCCAGACCCTCATGCTGGCTTGTGTGTCACCTTCGGATTCGAATTTTATGGAGACATTGAACACGCTCAAGTATGCCAATCGTGCGCGGAACATCAAGAACCGGGTCACTATCAACCAAGACTTTGCCGGCAGCTCTATCGAAATCAACCAGTTGCGCGCCTACATTGCACGACTCCGGATGGAGATTGCCGCGCTCCGTGCTAGTGGCGCTACGGGCGATGTTGCCTCCGCTTCTACAGGTGACAGCAGCGAAAACAAGGCCCTCCGTGCCGAGGTCGGTCGACTTCGAGAGCGGCTCCAAGACATGTCGACAAATCTAATCCAGGTCACGAGCGAGCGTGATACGCTTATTATGGAGCGCGAACTAGGCGAATTTCTGAAAGATGAATCAGCCACATCATTACCGGATGGCGTTCATGGTGACGCAACAGCAACATCAGTGCCAAAACAGGCGTCGTCACATCCCATTATCGTCCAGTACCAGAAAACAATTCAGGATCTCACAAACGAACTGCAAGATACACGTGATCGTCTTGCATTTTTAGAGAACGCACAGCCTATGGCTATGCAAGCCATGATGATGGCTAGCTCCTCGTTTCAAAAGTCAGGTGCTGCTGCTGCTGCTGCTTCTTTGTCTATGAGCACGTCTACTACAAGCCAGCGTAAAAGTCGCAGATCGCGTCGTCGTCATCATATCACTCCCAACAGCAGCAATACGACATCTGTGCACACTGCCCGAGTAAAATCCAAGCATTCTGCTCGACGACCGGTGCTTTCTCAAAGCTCTAGCACACGGGTTCAGCGCCAACGCGAAGCGGGTATCATCACCCCGCAGTATACTCTCAGCAAAGACGATGATGAGATTCGACAAGAAGTTAGAGACAGCATCGCCAAAGCTAGACAGGAAATACAAAAGGGAATGCATGTGCTGGATCTCGCCAAACCTCTTGACGATGCTGCACGCGACTGGGAAGAAGAGCTAAGGGTAAATTTACATACGCACCAAAAGGCATAGATAGTAGCAGATACTCAATTGATCGCCTATTTCCATACAGGAATTCGAGGAGAACGAAAAGTCCCTCTATGAGGAGAAAGACATACAACGTACTTCTTCGGATGAAGGCAACTTTACACCAGCACGCTCGCCTGTTGAAGATACAGACCTACTTGGCAACGCGTTGTTAGACGAAATCGAAACCTTAGTAAGGACTATTTCGCCGTATCCTATATATACTACGTTCCGAACACAAAAAAGCGAATGTTCAGCATTAACTGACTAGAGCTGGTTTTCTTCTTTTAGGCAGTTCCTGCATGGGATGGTCCAGATAGTGAGCGACGCAAGAATGAGATTTTAGTAGACGACAGCGGCAGCAGCAACAACTCTTCAACATCACCCGATGGCTATGCCGCGGAAACAGCTACTACCAATATCGTCGTTCCTGACAGCAGCAGCAACGGGAAGCACAATGCACAGCTCGCTCGCATGCTGCATCAAATTCAGTCAGACATCCGTGTCAAAGAAGAACTTGTTTCGCACCTCGAGAAATCCGAAAACGAGTACTCATTCATGCGACGCAAGTTTGATGACCGTATTTCACAACTGCAAACCCAACTTGATGTCTTACAACGTGAGCGTGACCAAGCAATCTCACGTACGCGAACACGCATGTCCAGCAAGTCGGAAATGACTGTGCAAGTGAAAGAAAAACAACACTTGATCGAGATCCGACACGCTTACGAAGCCAAGATGAAGCACTTGTTATCGCAGATCCAGGAGCTCAAGCGCAAGTATTCGCAAACAACCATGACGATGCAGTCTACGCGTAACCAAAACGAAACTTTGTTGCGATCGTTGCGCGTCAATGTAGAAACGCTCAAGGTGGAAAAGAAACGCATGATTAAGCGTATGAAGCAAGAAGCTGAGCGTGTGCGTGAGCAGTCGTCGCTTCAAGATCGCAAGATCCAACAGTTGCAGCGACTGAATGCAGAAGCCAACCTTGCTCGTCGGAAATTGGAACGTCAGCACGAGCAACAGCGTGTGACACTCAAACGACGGGATGAAGAAGCGGTCATGAACAACCAACAGCTCAAGCAGCTGACAAATGTTCTCAAGAAGGCTGTACGCGAAGGTGGTGTGCTCGACGAACGACTGCTTGGCAAGGTGACCCATATTATCGGTGGCAGCTTCGCATTGATTTCCCGTCGCGCCAATCGACTGGGTGACCGCAAGGCCATGCGCAAGAGAATGAACAAGATACCCGTGCAAGTCCGCGTCACGCGCAAAAAGCAGTTGCTGGACAGTGCTCTTTACCAGTTCATCCAGGGCAAACAGGCCGTGGTGGAAATGGAACAACTGTTGTTCCGACGCGAACGGTTGGCAGCAGAGAAACTCGAGCTGATTGAAGAACGTCGCCATATCTATTTGGCCGAAAAGGAGAATGCTGAGGCGACTAGCCAGCCCATGGATACTCTTGCGCTTGACTTTACGGATGAGCGCATCGACCTCATTTCAGCCGAAATATCCTACTTGTCCGCGCGGGTGCGTGCTTTGCAATCGGAGGCTGCAGGTGATGCCCTTGCCTCTTCTGAAGGTAGTGAAACAGGAAGCATCGCTTCGGGTGGCAGCGGCAACGGCAGCGTCAATGGCTTCCACCAGCACCAGCACCAGCACCAGCACCGTCCACCTATCGAAAAACGCGTTGCTTTTGCCGACGATATCATCAACGAGTCATTTACTCCTCGAGAGAATGCAAATGGTGACGGCTGGGCCGATATGGACGCCTTTGAGGAGCAATACAGCGTGCCGGCATCTGCTGCTCCAGAAATGGCCTACGATATCCTCTCTAAACTAATCAAGACCCTCGAACTTGATGAAGCCAAGGCCATTGCCGAAGCTCTGGTTGAAGACATCATGAACTTGCGCATGAGCGACACGAATCGTCAGGTCACCATCCAAAATCTGGAAAAGACGGTACACGACTTGCGCCGTACACTCATTGTGATGAAACGGGCTGCAATTACAACGACTGTGGAAAATGAGCGACGCATTCGCAAGCTCGAAGAAAGAGGCCAGGGTAGCGGCAGACGAGGAAGTCGAAACCAAGCTGTTGCTGGTGATAACGACAGCGCAATCGACGTCAAGATTGAAGAGTATATCAACAGCGGCAACACCATTTTTGATAAGATTTACGAAGACGGAATTCGTGGTGTTGTTAGCACACCAGAGCCGCTTATTGATTCACGTCGGTCATCTATTGCATCATTTAATGGCACCAACGACGAAGTGTTATTGCCGCCACCCTCTCCTGTCACTTCGCCGACCTATGTTACCGGATCATCAAACAACGGTGGTAGTACCCGTGGCAGTGCGGGTAGTGGCGTCAGACCACCAGTCTCTTTGACGGATAAGGGCAATCGACACGCTCCCGCTCGAGAGGCAACGCCTTCCCCCGATAGATTTTTGAATATGATTCAGGTATAAGATATCCAAAATGCGATGATACGAAGGGAAAAAGTTGTACCTTGCTCTAAACGACGTTATCATTAGCGTCGGTTATCGTGGCAACAGCGTATGGCAAATGGCAGCGAATCCCCAATTCCGTTCGTGATGGCTAACCCAAGCGAGTTTGCAAGATACAGCACGGAGCGTGAATCATCCACACCGTCCTCCGTACGGAGTAACCATATCCGCCGCTCTTCGATGCAATCAGACCACTCTTCCTCCCAGCATTCCTCGCATGGATCATTAAGGAAGCGTGCTTATTCATTGCAACAACCACCTGTGCCACAGCGAAGACGATCGTCACTGCGCGAGCTATCCATGCAGCAATACGATGGGGAGCACTACTACGAGCCCCATTCTCAATCTACTCAGCCTGTGGCAACAATGTCATATCAACAACGGTACCAGCAACCTCCACGTCCGCATATTGGACCAGTGCCAAGCGCATCTTCCATGGCTATGGAGAGGGCACATAGTGCAGGCAACGTATTTGATCGCTTATCACAAACGCCCACACGAGCGTCTCAAGCCAAGGTGGCCTATCGCTACAGCAGTGGTAGCATGGAGGATCTGAGACAGCAGTGGGAGCTTGAGCGCTCATCCAGTGCTCTCAGCGGCTCCTATCAATTACAAGAATAATTCTTGATACACATTTCTTTTGTTCTTTATTACATTATTTGTTATATTATCCTTTATATATATATATATATATATATTATTGTGTTCTTCTTCTCTCTCTTTTTACTCTCGCTATATATAACCTGAAAGCTAAACATATATTATGTATATTAATAAATGGAGGCGTTGCTGCCCAGTATTAACTTGTGTTAGGAAAAATAGAAAACAGGGCTGGGCTGCGATAATGTAGCCTGTTTAAGATTGAATTCCCGATTGCAGAATAGGCGAGTCGAGCTTGGCGGGACAGTAGAAGGAAGGACTCTTTGCTCCAAGCAACACAATCAACACACATACCACACAAACCATGTCTGACTTTGGTGACTTTAATTCCTCCAACGATCCTACTGCCGATTTCTTGGCACGCGAACGCGCTGCTCTCGGCGAAGATGCTGACCTTTTCTCATCTGGCGACGTTAACACCAACATTGCTGCCGATGGTGTAGCGGATTTGATGAGCTCGCCAACACCACCATCGTCATCTGGTGCTGCCGCAACAACATCAGTCATGTCTCCTACCCAGGGTTCTTCAGCTCTTTCGCCACAAAACGTTACTACTCCTGGCTCTGGAGCAGGCGATTACTCTGCATTTGAATCCGATTTTCCTAAAGCTGAAGAGCTTGAAAGCTCGCAGGTAAATATCATTGCTTTCATATTTCAGATATGCCTATTCCCCACAAATAGGGTACTTATTGGTTATGTCATATTAAATTACCGATAGGCTTTCCACAAGGCAATGCTGCCCGATGAGGAGCCTGAAGTCGTCAGGTAAAAAAAATGACAATAAGGCGAACTGATAAGTGGGGGAGATAGCTAGGTTAGCTATAAGTCGTGTGTGCGTGATTATTGACTGTCGCGTTGAACAGACAATGGCGCGAGAAGCAAAAAGAGCTGATCGCTCAACGAGACGAAGAGGCGGAGAACAAGAAGCAAGAAACGATCCAACGCGCCCGCGAGGAGATTGACAAGTTTTATGAGGACTACAATGAAAAGAAGCAACGGACCATTGAAGAGAACAGGTAAGAAATAAAGAGGGGGGGAGGCGTTACTCTTTATTGTTATTACTCTTTATAGCAAAGATGCTGGCTGGGCTAAGTCATGGGGGGAATATGTAATAACTCAATATATTTACAACGTGCGCACTTCAAATACACACAGAGAACGCGAAGAGAACTACTTGAAAGACCGTGAAGAAGCATCGTCAGCAAACGTGTGGGAACGCGTGGTTCGTGAATTCGACGTCTCGAATGCAAAGTCAGCACATCACACGCGCGACGTTAGCAGAATGAAGCAGCTTATGCTGGATCTGAGAAAGGATCCCAAGGCCCCTGGTACCATTGTCGAAGCATAGAGCGCACGTTCAAAATATAATAAATCCTGCAGAACTTGTCGAGACACTGAGCTTTGTTGATGCGGCTTCACTTACTATCCCCCACATTTACACCAAATTTCCCCCTTCTCCCCGGCGCGACTTATGGTCAAGCCCTGCACAACCACCCCTTCTTTCTAATGGAATGCCAAAAAGACAATGAAAATGTATATCATCCACAACTGATCAAAATCACCGTCTGCTTGGTAAACCGCCGGGTGTGACTTACATGCATGAAGGGAGGATGCGTGCGTTTTTTAACCTTGCTGCTCTATGCGATCCAGGAGCATGTTGCATTGCTATTTTTTTTTCATTAATCTCAAACACGAAAGCCACAGTGTCACAGAAAAGTTAGCGCACAGGTACACACACATTCTGTTCTTTATACACACAAAAAAGCCATAGGCGGATTTTTTTTAAACAGCACCGGCAACATCATCGTACCCCGCTCCCTTCTTCCTCTCCACCACCCTTCTTTTCCTTATTTCCATATACCCTTTCCTCTCCTCCTCCTCCCCTTTCCTCCGAACCCAGGAAAGGATAAAGACAACACAATGTCAATGGAAGCCATATCGCCTTTAATCGTGTGCGATGCATTACGCAAACGATCAGCCAAGTTCCAGATTCAAATGGTCGAAGATCATACCACCACCGACGAAAACGACTTTTACCAAAGTCTGCATCGCCATTCGATACTGCATCGACTTGTTCTGTTGCGGCCGTTCCCGCATTGCTTAACGCTCGATACGTGGTATCGCATTGACCTGGAGGTGGTCAACGAGCTAGGACTATCGCTCAAGGGCGATCGAAACGCTAGCTGCCGCATGCACATAAGCTGCCAGCTATTTGTAGTGGACACGGATCGCGGTGGTTTAGTGCGCGCTCCTCCGGAACTAGAGCTGTCATATCGCCCTCTTCAAGTCGATGCATGGGACAGCAGCTCCCTTGCCGTGGCCGACCAGCCTGGGTTTCACCACAATGGACAAGGTGGCATTGAAATCAAAGTAAGCCTCATCCAGGATGCGCGCTGCATGATGCAGTATACGACAAAAGCAAAATATCTGGTACGCATTGCTCCCGTAAGCAATGCTTACCAAACTGTCGACGCTCTTCCGTTGACTTTGGGTTCTCTAGAGCTCAAGAAGAAGCCTCCAAAGATGCTAGCAACAAATGCAATTGAGTGGAACATGGGCGGCAATGAAAACATTCGTAGCGATACAATTTATCGGATGTTTGATCTATCAAGTTTGCACCGGTTTGGCGGTGGCGAATCGGATACAACAACGGTGTCATCACCTTTGTCACCATCACCAGCAACAATGGCAGCGTTAGACGACCGATACTTTGTTGTTAAGGAGATATGGAAAATGGGGACGCCAGGAAAGATTTGGGACTCGGCGTTAGTGCTATCCGACATGTTTGCGAAAAAAATCATGCAGGAACCAACATGCTTGGATGGCAAGCATGTGCTTGACTTGAGTGCCGGGTAAATAATTTATCTTCCGATTTCCGAATTCATATTATGGTCTTTTACTCACATGCCCGTTCCATTTAGTACCGGCTGTATCGGCTTGCTGCTTGGTTTGCTGCTACGTCGGTCCAGACCACAACATACTTGCCGCCTGACGCTGACTGATTTGCCAGAAGCTCTTGGTCTGATCCGCGAAAACCACCGCCTGAATGCTGGCAACAACAGCAACCAGTCGGACCAGCACATTCACATTGAAAAGCTGTGCTGGGGCAGTGCAAAAGAAGCCAAACATTTGATGAAACAGCAGGGTGGAGGACCGGATATTGTTCTGGCGAGTGATGTGCTGTACGATCCAAAGTGCTTTCCGTTGCTCGTCAGCACCTTGAAAGCCCTTTGTGTGCCTGGCAAGACCGTCGTTTATCTGGGCTACAAGCGTCGTGGTCTCAAACGCGAAGATGAAAACATGTTTTTCAATATGGCCAAGGAAAGTTTCGACATTTCGGCTGTACCCAACATCGACGATCTAGGAAGTCCATTAGAGGCGGTAGGATGGGAAAAACAGAACGGCTTCATGAAAAGAAACTACCTGACGATGGATGGACGAGGTTGGCTCGGACCGGCAGGTTGTAGTTCGGACATATTTGACGAAGCAAGACAGGAAGGCAAGGTTATCATCTATCGCTTGGTCAAGATTGTTTGAAGTGGTGAAATATCTACGTAATTTCCTTTCCTCCCACTCTTATCCAAATTGCTCTTTTACCCCCACGATGGATATCATATTCCCCCCTGTTCTTTCCTACCAAATCCAACCATATAATATCATTAATGTTGCAAAGAGCTCTAAACAAAGAGTACATATTATGTTGATAGCATGGCAACTACAATCTTAAGGGTGGAGAGCGGTTTATGGGAAGTGGAGGAGGACTAGGACCAAACCAATAGGGTGAATGTAATGGATGCTGATGATGTTGTGGTGGTGACGGAAGAAATGGAGGAGCGAAGGTCACCGGAACCAGCGGGGCTCTAGCATTGATTAGCACACCAGAATATCCGACTTGATGGGTATAGGGAACAGTGGGCATCCAGTATTGATGAGGGTGTAGATAAGGGTAGCGGGACATTGGGTAACCAGACCGTCTTTCTCCACTAGTACGTACTACATATTGATGGTGTTGATGATGAGGGCGGTGGCCAAGTCTCCTTGCGTGCCGCCATCGACGTCTTCGCGGCATAGTAAAATCCATCTCTTCATCTGTACTTGACTGTGTATCTTCTTGCTCGCTGCTTTCTTCGGGATCTTGGTCTCTTGCTGCGATAGTAGAAACGCGTCGCTGTCCTCGTCCTCGATGTTCCTGTGAATCGTTATTACCGTATCCCCTTCTTTCTTCTTCTTCTTCTTCTTGTTCATTAAATCGATGATAAGATCGAGAAGTAGGATGATGAGGATGATGCTGGTGCGGTTCTGGTGGGTTACGAGTGATAAAATGCTTGATGAGGCGCTCCATGTTTGTTCGATTAAACGACACGAAAAATCAAAATCACGCTCAAACGCGCCATATTTATGGTTGATAGTTGGCAGATGTGAATTTTATCATCACAACCCTTTTGGGTGCCGCATTAACCGCCTTTGAGTGGCGCGGAGGGGGCCACAAATAGACTGCTGAGCAAATGTATAGCGGTGGCGTCAACTCGGCGCCGCTCGATGATGGATTTCAGTATACATATAAAAGAATGTGTGTAGTTCCAGCGGCACATTCAGTATCGGTTGTACTGTTTCATACCTTTGAATACACACTATAAGTGAACACCTGTAACCAGGCGTTGTGATATACGTACCCCGGAACAGTGTGATACAGTACGACAAGACGATTGTTCTTCAGGTCTGGAATATATCCATTTTGGGCAGCCTTGTTCCATGAGGTTCAGCACGTTTCTTTTTTTGTATTTTTCCGTTGGTCCCTCAAAGATCCATCAAGTTCCATTAACCCTGTCTTGTCCTAATCATTATTGTAGCCTCAAGACATCGCACATGCCCGCTTCTCTGGTATCGCCGCCGCCTGGTTCATCTCTGCCGTCTCAGGCGACTAGCGCCATAGCGCCGTTTCCTAGCAAACTCTTCGTGTAAGTTGCCAAGTCTTGTTTTGTGGGGCGCACAGTATTGTCTAACTGAAATTTCCCAACAAGTGAAATTAACAACTACACTGCTTTATTGTAGCATGGTCAATGACCCAACCACAGATGAATTGATTCGCTGGTCCGACGAAGGTACTTCGTTCATTGTCTCTCGGCCGACAGAGTTTGCGAAGCGAATCTTGCCACGGTTTTTCAAACACGATCACTTTTCGTCTTTTGTCCGACAGCTCAACACGTATGGTTTCCACAAGGTGCCTCAACTTCAACAAGGCGTTCTGCGGCCGGATGATGTTTCGGTGGATTGGATAGAGTTTTCAAACCCTCATTTTCGACGCAATCAGCCAGACCTGCTCTTACTGGTTCAACGCAAACGCAGTGGCAGCAACACTAATAAGCAACAAGATGTCGCTAAAAAAGGAGCCGTTCGACGAAGACAAGAGCAAGAATTCGATGATGCTGTGTTATCATCTTCTTCTTCCTCCCTTGGCACATCATCGCCGTCATCATCTCTGCCTCCAACACCCACCTCGCCCGCTTTATCGTCATCATCATCATCATCGTCATCGTCACCACCACCACCATTGCGACAAAAACAAAAACCGAGTTTTTCCAACGGCGATATGCGCAGGATATATGAGGAAATCACGGCAATCAAGAACCATCAGTTGAGTATCAGTAATGAGCTAAAACAGATCCAGAGCAACAACCAAGTCTTGTGGCAAGAAATTCTTTCTGCAAGGGAACGTCACCAGCGACACCAAGATACGATTGACAAAATTCTACAGTTTTTGGCTTCCGTGTATACCTCGTCGTCACTGTCGTCGTCGTCGTCATTGTCGTCATCATCAACACCGGCCTCATCATCCGGCGGTCCACTGAAAACAAAGAAACGGCGTCTAATGATTGGTGAGCAACGAGAAGAAGAAGAGTCTGCTAAGCTTTCGCCTGTAGTTTTGTCCGGTACTTCCACATCGCCACCTACTATTACAACGTTTGATTTAAATGATCTTGTAGAATGTAAGTTGACATACTCCTAGTTCGATACAAACACATGCATTGTTTTATTTTTCTCACCAAATTTATTGGTTATTCTAGTGCCTCGAAACGACGATCAGAATCATTTACAATCATTATGCCAAGTCGTTCAACCGGGCCAACAAGATGTGTTTCTCAATGATGCAATAACGCCATCGCTCCTCCCAGAGGTCACTAGCCAAATTCAGTCTGTGGGTCATGCAGCCAGCGCTATCAGTGGTAATATTGATCAGCTTGGTAGCAGCATCGAGGCTTTGGCTCAACAAATGGGAATACAACATCAAGGTGACGCTTCTATGGGAATTACTGACACTACTAACTTTGAGGATGACGCTTTCTGGAACTTTTGGTCCAATGCCATCGAGAATTGAGCATGAATCCATCAACAACAGATCAAGCATAACTATCAATAAAAAGAACCCTTTATGGTTGTTTTGTGATGATGTCTGTATTATTGTGTATGGTAAAAAAAAAGTAACTATTATTTTCCAGCGCTACTACTAGTATTGTGCACAATGGTTGACATACATGGTTGCATATATACATGTTTTGTATGTTTGAGGGAAAGGGAAAAGAGAGGTTATATTTGTAGTTTCCGATGAGCATTCCAAAGAGCTAGTGGGAGTTTCCAGTCTTTGCGCTGTAATGATGGATCAAAGATGTTAAAGTTGGTCGCTTCCAGTTTTTCCAGATACCGAGCGGTTGGGACCTGGATTATCATTAGTTACACACATTTCTTTCTAAACATCTTCAAAGGTCCAGGTTATAAAAGCATACTTACTGCAGAGAGTACAACTGGGAATGCACTTGGCGGTACTGAATCCAACATGGATCGTGCAGTCAGTAATTGATCGTTTGCAGCAGTCGCGACTTCGAAAATAGCATCTTCCAAACCCTCGGCGTGTCCATATCGAAACACTTCTTCTTGTGAAATATTAAACTAACATTGATTGCCGTTTTTAATATTAATCCAAACATCACATGTATCACTTTGTTGCAAAGATCCTCTAACCTTGGCTGTGATTTGTGCGGGTAAAACCATACGCTTCTGGCTCAAATGAAAAGGTAACGCTCGCAAAAATGTCGATATACCAATCATCTTGCCGATATGACTGATTGCATGGTCTGCATTGACATCTTTAATACCAAGGGATTCGAGTTGTAGATAGAGTAAACTGGTTGCCGTGTTTTCGGAGTAGCTTTCCATGTCACTGATGGTCATAAACTGATGGTCGTCTAAATTCGCCGTCTATTAATATTTTATTTGTGTGTTAGCCCTAGAAACAGTGCTTTTCCTTCCTTCTTTCCTCCAATCTAGGAAACTAGGAAAAGGGATATCAACATACTCTCTCATTGATGATTCGTTTGAACCATATGGGTGACAGTTTGCACTGCTTTAATGCTGCATCAAGTGCTAAAGCAATAGGCTGCTGTGGAGGCTTGCCCTACACGTAGAGTATATTAGCATTCATACTTGACTTTTTTCACGCCACCTCGTCTCTTTCTAATCTAAAAGAACAATGAAGAATACCTTGAAAATATTATCGATAGTGTCTTTCCAAAACTGCATTCTCATTTTGCCTGTATTTGGATTGGACACGTTTTCACGAATCGAAGCTAGTTCGACATTGAATGCGCGAATAGCGTATTGTACGTTCCGTAGTTCTCTTGGAAAAAAGGCAGCACATAAGAAGCCTTCATAATCGCGCTGTCTTTCTCGGGTTAGTTTACAGAGAAACTAGACACTGTTGTTGTTGTTTTTTTGCTTGTGCCTACCTAACAGAATCAATACAGTATTTCCACGCCATGGGGAGGTTCTTTTCAGTAGAAGACGTAGTTGTCGAGTGATATCTAACTGGCGCTATGACAGCATGGCGATATATAGGTCGTAACGATCGCGTCAACATGGTGGGGGAGGAAAGGAGTGAGGGTGTACAAGAAGCGTGAAGTTGCGGATCCTTTTCGTATTTTTAAAAATAATGATGATAGGAGCCCTGAGTTCCGTTTTTTCCGAGGCAGTAAAAGTGACTGTTCGATATGTCAAAAGGAGAGCAGTTTATGCCGGCAGTATTTAAGGTTCTTGTAGACCCCACAATAAACTGTTTAAACACTCTTAGATGAAATAAAGTGTGTAATAAGCAGTAGTTTAGCTACTGAATTATACCATCGCAGGACAACATGAATCTCGTTTTATCTGTGCCATTTTAATATAAGTCATCAATTACTATTACGTTGACATAGCAGTAAATGACGCAATAAACAGTTGCTAAATAATCGACATATGCTACTTTGCAACATACCAAATATTCAATGAAACCTTCTAGACGTTTACTTCCCCATGTGTACATATGTACCCCTTTGAAAAAAGAGGGAGATGTTTGCATAAAAGGAGCTGGAGGTGACACAAACATCTTGAGGAAAGAGTGGCTTGGTGAAATTCCAGCAGCTTCTCGTTCAAGCACACGCATCTAACGCTTTTCTCTTCTTTTTTTCCCCGCACCTTCGAACATAACACACACATAAACCATGGCAGATCCTTCAGCGAACGATCAAAAATCAGGAAACAACCGATTCAGAAAAGACAAACGTGAGTTGACCAAAAAAGTGTTTTTTGCCCCTTTACAAAGTATACAATTGACTGATTTATTTATTTATCTATTCCAGCTTGGGACACGGACGACATTGACCATTGGAAGGTGGAAGAATTCAAACCTGAACACATTAAGGGTCCATTCACAGAAGAGTCATCATTTGCTACGCTTTTCCCTAAATACCGAGAAAGTTATCTGAAAGAAGTATGGCCATTAGTGACGAAAGCTTTGGAAAAATACGTAAGGAATCAGTTTTCTTTTTCTTGCAATTCAACTATTACAGACATGGGGGAAAAGCACCAGAGTTGTATTGAACCTTTTTTCTATGCTATAATAATTATAGGGTATTGCTTGTGTACTCGATTTGGTGGAAGGTAGTATGACGGTTAAAACAACTCGTAAATCATACGATCCATATTCGATTATGAAAGCCAGAGATTTAATCAAGTTGCTGGCAAGAAGTGTACCCTTCCCGCAGGTCAGTAATATACACACCCACCCCCTTGATCTATGGTGATTGAAACTAACAAACGAGACGGATACTATTTAGGCGGTGAAAATCATGGACGATGGCGTAGCATGTGATATTATAAAGATCGGCAACATTACACGAAACAAAGAACGTTATGTCAAGCGTCGACAACGATTGATTGGTCCGAACGGAAACACACTCAAGGTTTGTTTTTGCTGCTATTTTGTTGAAACCGGGGAAAGGAAACGATGAATATGGATGTCAGTGTGTGAAGACTTAAACATGCATATGCGAATTCATTTCCTTTAGGCAATTGAATTGTTGACACAATGTTACATGATGGTCCAGGGCAACACAGTGTCGGCCATGGGTCCGTACAAGGGCTTGAAGGAATTACGACGCATTGTACTTGACTGCATGAAGAATGTCCACCCCATCTATCGTATCAAAGAACTAATGATCAAGCGAGAGTTAGCAAAGGATCCAAAACTGGCAAATGAGTCATGGGACCGATTCCTGCCCAACTTTAAGAAAAAGAGCGCAAAGAAGGCCAAGAAGGTTGTCAAGAAGGAAAAGAAGGAGTACACACCGTTCCCACCTGCACAGGAACCATCCAAGGTCGACCTGCAACTGGAAAGTGGCGAGTACTTCCTCAACCATGCTGCCAAGAAGAGATAGTCTTGCTCTTTCTTTTTCTTTGTTTTATTCCGCACCTTCATTTACATACACTTGAAACACATATCACATTGCATCCAACTCCACACCACCCTAGCAAATTTTATTATTAATAAATCGTTCATCCTCTACTGCTGTCAAAATTCATGGTTGCCATGGTAACTCTTATTCAAACCCAGTTCGAAAATAAAAAAGTTAACTTGGCAGGTCCGTGTGTCTCTATTGTTTGTTTTCCACGTTCAAAGAAGCAAATGTCGTCGCCTGTCGCTGAACGTGTCACCTACTTGGTAGGTGGCGCTGCCCTTGGTGCTGTCTCGTACGCTGCCTATCAAAAGTTTGCCCAAAAACCTCGTCCTGCTGCCATTGCCCACCCTGTTCCTTCACCAGTAGCACCTGTCAGTGGCCCGAATGTACCTGGCCCAGCAGCTGGAGGTCCACAACGTTCATTAGACACGATTGAAAAGGCCAAATCAATTTTGCCTTTTGGTTTTCCTGGTAAATTAACAAATTACATAACTTTCAAACTGTCAAACTGTCAAAATCCTAAAAACGTGTTATTAATGTCCTCAGTTTTTCTCTATTAAATTGGGGCTTTCAAACAACAGGACCGATCAATGACATTGTGTACCGTAATGCCTACGTCGTGTCCTACAATCGCCGCGATCGTAATCCCAACTGGGTCGCTGAACACTTGACGGCCGCTTCAATTCAGCGACAAGAAGGCGTTGACCGAGCCAAATCCAATTTCCAAGAAGACGACCATATCCCACCCCAGTTCCGTGCTCGTCTTGCCGACTATTTCAAGAGCGGATTTGATCGGGGCCACATGGTCCCTGCAGCCGACGTCAAGTTCGATCAACAAGCCATGAACGAGACGTTCTATCTGACCAACATTTCACCTCAAGTCGGTGAAGGCTTCAATCGTGACTATTGGGCCCACGTGGAGAACTTTTGTCGGTCCTTGACCAAGACATTCCCTGACGTCTATGTGTTCACTGGCCCCTTGTATCTGCCTCGCCAAGAGGCTGATGGCAAGTTCTATGTCAAATACCAAGTCATCGGTAACCCGCCCAACGTGGCTGTCCCTACCCATTTCTACAAGGTCATTCTCACCGAGCACAATGGCAAGTACAGTGTCGGCGCATTCGTTTTGCCCAACGCACGCATTCCGGACGATGTCCCTCTCGAACGTTTCCGCGTGCCCTTGGATGCAGTAGAGCGTGGCGCTGGTCTTACCTTCTTTGACAGAATGGATAAGAACGGTCTGCACGATCTGTGCAAGGAGACCAAGTGCCAGCTTGTTCTGTCCAAGTTCCACGAAGCTCAGAAGCAAAAGAAGATCTCATCATAAAGAGGAAGAAGAAGAGGCGGATATAATATCCCTGCTGGCTGAACGGGTGTATAAATAAGAGAATAGAAGACAGTTTTTTATTGTTTGTACATATAGCTAAAGAATGGGAAGAAGGAAACAAAAATACTATTAATGACAGACTAGAATACAAAGTACAAGAGACAACAGATGTGTTTTGGCTGTGGTTGAGGGTGATAGAGCGGGGGTGTATGTTGTGATAGTAGTAGAGAGAGGAGAGGGGCTGTGGACTGCGTTTAGAAGCACATGAACTTGTTCTTCTTGCTCATCAGCTCCTCCATCCTGTTTTCAAGGATGAGACGTGCCTTTTCGGCCTTCTCTTTGAGTTGCCGTTGCTTCGCAAGCTCTTCTTCGAGCGTCTTGTACTCCTCTGCCGTGCGCATGGCTGCAGACTGATGCTGAGTGCGTACCTGGGTCACTTGGCTGCGCAAGTTTTGGATTTCGATGTTGGAAGCCTGCTTTTCTCGTGACAGGACGTCGAGCTGCTTCTTGACTTCGCGGACCATGTGTTCAGAGCGAGAGAGCTGTGACTCGAGCTTGCTGATGACATCCTGATGAGCCCGGACGTCGTTCTCGGCAATACGCATCTTGCGCTGCATGGATTTGACGATACGCTCGTACCGGTCGGATGTCAGGCTGGCGTCGTCTACTGTGATTTCACTCGCGCTGACTGTTGTGTTGGAGTTTTGACGGTGCAAGAGAGGGGACGATACAGAGCGCGTTGGAGACAAGGGAGGAGAGGATGCAGAGGTAGGAAGTGGTGGCAATGCGGTGGGCACAGGCGGCAATGGATTGGAAGGAGGCGCTGTGGGTGGCGGGAATATGGATGCAGATGCGGTTCGGGTGCGACTGCTGCGCTGGGATACACGCTTGCCGTTACTGAACTCTTCTTCCGCAAGCGACCGCAGAGAGCCAGACTTGGGTATTCTGGAATCTCTGTGCGTGGGCGACATGACCCGTGGCGTTTGTGGTGGCGAACTGACGCTGATGATGGAATCACGGCCGCCACTGCTGCCGCGTTTGCTGCTTCCGCGGGAAGACACGATCTGTTCCATCTCCTTCTCAAGACGATTCTTTGATGAGGTCAAGCGGATCACTTCGAGCTCCAAGTTCTTGGTCTCGAGACTCATCTTGCTACGCTGAAGACTGATCTGGCCCTCCAAGTCGGTGACATGCGATACCAACTGTGCGTTGTTCTCCGCCAAGTGTGCGAGTTTCTTAAGAAGCTCTTCTTGGCCTCTTGAATCCTGCAACTTTTCTCGGAACTCGTTCAGCAGTTCTTCCTTACTCTTGTTATTAGATGACAAGGAAGTGGGAGAGGTCGGTTCCGTCGTCGGTGTGCTGGAACGCTTTTGTTGTTGACTTGCTGCTTTTGTTGTATGGCCGGTCTCGCTAATCTGCCGCAACAAATCGCTGCTGCCTAAGCTGCTGACTTCCGATCCGCTGTCGTGTCCGCTATCATCCAGCTGCTTGTGCAAAGCTTCAATCTCTCTGCACTTTTCTGCATGGCTTGCGTTCGTCTCGTCCAACCGAGCCTGTATATCCTTGATTGAAGCTTCAAGTGCTTCAATCGTCTGTTGCTGGTCCCGATTCGTCTTTTGAGTCTCTTCCAGCTCTGCCACCGCGCGTTCAAACCGTACATCAAACTCGTCCTGATCGCTGCGCTGTGCTTGTTGAAGTACATGAAGTCTCGATTCAAGACCAGTGATGATAGCGCGAATATCAACATCATCAAAGGCTGCCGCAACATCGCTTGCTGCTGCATCTTGCGCTGTAGTAGTACTGGAATCAGTAGCAGTCTGTACTTCACGGTCGCTGTGAATCTTGGCCAACTCTTCGTCGAGCTCCATGACTCGGCTTTCCAACGCTTTGGTTCGCTGAAGCTCGATTTCGGTCTGCATCTGCCCCTCTTCCAATCGGTTTACATTGCTTATTTGCTGTTGCAAGGCGGCTTGGATGTTGGCTACTTCAGTCTCGAGCTGACGTGCCTTATTATCGCTTTCTGTTGCCTTTGTCGTGGTGGATTGAAGCTGTCCTTCGAGTTGCTGCTTTTTGGATTCGAGATCCGCAATGCATTGCTGCTTTTCTTCTAGCTCTGCGGACTGTACGCTGTAAAGACGCTCCAGGTCATGCAGCTGATCCGTCGACTTTGCGAGGCTGTCTTCCTGATGTCTTAACGTACCCTCGAGAACCTGGACAGTCATATCGAGCTGCTTTCGGTCCTGCCCAATCTTGTTGACATCGCGTAGCACATCATTGATCGTTCGTTGAGCATCTTCCAAAAGCTGGGTCTTTTCTTTGTTTTCTTGGACAAGGTTCTCAATGTAGGCTTCTCGTTCCACCAATTGCTGTCGCAGCGTCTGGGTGAGCAGTTCCATCTTGTCGAGCTTGACGTCAAGGGTGCAAATAACGAGATTCTGCTTCTCTTCCACTTGCTGTAGTGAATTTAGGTCGAGCTTGACACGTTCCAATTCCTCGAACCGGTTCCGCAAGGTCAGCTGTGTACCTTTTTCTTGGTCCCACATGTGCTGCTGAAGCTCCTTTGCTTTAGACTTCATGTCTTGAATTTCAAGCTCATAGTGGCTATTGCTGATCGTCAAGTTCTGAAGCTTGCTTTCCAAGACCTCGATCGTCTGCGTAGATTGTGTCTGGAGTTCCTGGCTCCGCATTTGTTCGTGATCTAGCTTATCTTGCAAAGCAGAGCATTCCGATTTAGCACTGGCCAATGAACCTGACAGCTGCTTAATCTGGATGGACTGCTCTTCGCGAAGTTTGACAAGCTCTTTGCGGAGTGTCTCAGCCGCTGTCAACTCCTTCTCAAGCTCAAGGATCCGTCCGGTCTTGTTCTGGACAGCATCCTTCAAGCTTTGCAGAAGCTCCTGGCTCACCCCATCAGCCTCGGTTTTGATAGCTTCGCCGTCTGATTTTTGAAAGGTTTGCTTGATCTGGCGCACAATAGCCAGGGCAGAAGCATCCTTCATGCTTTTGTTGGCGGTACCAACGTCCCCGTCATTTGTTGTAGTGGTTAGGCTACTGAGCTTTTGTTCAATCGCATCAATGTAAGCATTGATGGCTTGTTCGCGCTCGATGGATCGTGCCAAAGACGCTTTGAGCTCTTTGAGAGATGAAAGTTCTGCTGCGGCTTCTACTCGTTCTTGGCGGTTTACAGTCTCGTTTGCATCCATCATCGCTGCCGTTGTCGTGGTTGACTTTGATGATTCGTTTCGTTGATCGTGATCGAACGACTCGGACTCTGGAGCTATTGACGATGATGATTGCTGTCGTCGTACAGTAGTGAGCTCCTTTTCGACAAAGCGGTTTCGTTCTCGGGTCACAGCAACTTCGTTCTGAAGCTCCTCGATTTGTTGGCGTAAATCGGCAAGCAACGTCTCTTGGGCATCTGCCTCGCTGTTGGTATCAGGGATTGTGATCGTCGTACGTGCAGAAGAGGATGGACAAACAGACACTCTGTCCGAGTGGGCAGAAGAACAAGAAGACGATGAAATATGCCGCTGCCGACTTGTGACGACAGAAGACGTGTCTTGATCTTCATGTTCCTTGTCGTCATTTTTGAGCGTGCGCACCTGGGCTTGCAATCTCGCAATGGTCTCGCGCAGAAAGCTTGGGTCATCGTTCTTCATCCATTCTTCACAATAATGGTAGTCTGAATCGACCTTGTTGTTGCGGGCTCGACATGCATATTTGACTGTCTTTTCGGTTCCCTCGAGATCCTCGGCACCGATACATGCCAATAAAGATATGGTTGCCGACCCTTGAATCAGGCGAGTGAGTCGCGAGTCCTTCTTCCCGCTGCTTGATGAGAAGCAATCCGGTACACTGAAAAAGTCATCCATACTGCAATTGGACGACGCCGATACGTCTACGAAATGCAGCTTGGAGTGTTGCGCAACCCATTCGCCTTCGTCTTCCTTGGGTTGTTTACTTGGACTACGAGCTTGTTTCTCCATTTGACCGACCATGGCCTTGACGTTAAGGGTGCTTACGCGACGTTTGGCAGATGAGAATGCACCTAGACCGCTTGATGACTTTGTAGACGGTGTAGACTTGCTGGGGATCATACTGGGTATTTTAGATGACGGAGGTTGTTGTTGTTGTTGTTGCTTCTTATTGACCCACTTTTCCTGTGAAAGTATGATCGTAAAGACAGTATGTTTCTGCTGGCTTGATGATGCTTGAACACCCGATTCGAGGTACCTACACACGGATGGGTCTGCGTTAATATCGATCTACTAGAACCCCGGCAGCACTCCTTTTACGCGCGATTCTTCTTCCATGATATAGTGTTGGATAAAAACCTCAATATGTCACCTGTATTGCGTACAGCGACCTCTTTGATACCGTGTACACTTTGTTGAGCATTGCGCACAGACCGATCGAAGGGCAACTTGTTGCTATCAGCGCTGCTACAGAGTAGATCCACCAATTTATCGTCATGGACTTCAGCAAACGAAATGCGTACTGCATAGCGTGGGCCATTGGTGCCGTTGGTCAGATTTGGCGAAGAACCTCGGCGAGGAGGGCCTACCATCGAGACAGGACGTAGTCTCGCTGATGCTGATGTAGATTGGGTTGGGTTGGGAGAACGTAGAGAGGAAGAAGATGATGAAGAAGATGTAGTAAAGGTCGATGCAGGTCGCAGCGTTTGGCCAGGTCGTTGTAAGCGATCAAAAAGGGCTGCTGCCGCTCTCGGGATAATGCCTAACGCATCTTCCTTCAGTCAGTCATTGCAGTGATTATACCCTTTCTTTTGCGCTTATTATGCTTAATTCTACATACCTTCATATGCGGGATCTTCATAGCTATTCAATGTGCATCCCAACGTGTATGATTTTCCCGTCGCCCTTTCGCCCTGTGTAACGGAATTTTTTCAGTTATTTTCCCTGTTTTCACATGCTAGTGCGAATGTAATGTATCTTGTGTGTTGAGCCCTCTTATAAGCTAGTGTGACTCTCGCACTTACGTATGCCAAAAGTGTTGCATTGCGACCTATTTAATTAAGAATGGTAAGCTTTTGGCTGAAAAGGGGAAACTAGAAATAATTTGTACACACACATACCATTGATCACTTGGCCAATCAAATCTTTTGTTGTGCCTCGAAACACTTGTTCCTGTGTGCTTTGCGACTCAAAGACGTGATCAAAGGCAAATGACTTTTGAAATGGTGCAATTGTGATTACTTTGCCACGTGTTTTGAAAGTGTCGTTGGCATTCTCGGTGGGTCGAACTCTCAGTGCTAATATGAAAAATTGGTATTTAGGACAAGGAACCAAAGGAACGGGCGAGAAAACAGAAAAAGGAGAAGAGGGGGGTTGGGGCGAATTGGTTAGGTGAGAGCGAAACGGCTCTTACCAACATGCACAGTGTGCTCTTGTTGTTGCTCTTGTCTTTCTTTTTGCTGTTCCTGTTGTCCAGCAATGGATTTTTTCCCATTCGTTGTGTCGATGTGATGACGACTTGATGGCTTAGGTAAAGAAGAAGTTTTAAGAGGAAGTGCAGTAGTGGTGGTGGTGGTGGTGGTGGTGGTGCTGACGGGCATTGTTGTAGTTGCTGTTGTGGATAGTGTCGTTGTTACTGCCGAGTAAATTTATGATAATTCGCATCAAAAATAAAGGACTGAATGGATTGGTAATATGTCGATGATGATGTTGATGATGATGATATGTAACGTTTTTTAATACAGCGTAGTGCGGGGCGGGGGGTGAAGAAAGAGGAAAAGAGTGAACGAAGGAATGACTAAGACGAAGAAGTGAAAGAGCAGAAAAGAGAAGAGAAAGAGAGAAAGAGAGAGAGAAAATGGAATTCCTTATCATGGTGAATATAATATCAAGTGCTGTTCCTGTAGTGGTAAAATTCCTAATTACAACACTACGGATGCCTTTCTGTGTGTGTGTGCGTCGGTGAGACACCCTCTGTCTTACTTAGTCGCGATTAAGGATTCGCACTGCGTCTTTGGAATAAATATAGCTGGCGCCGGACCAAACCGTTGTGCCACCAACTGTCCAACTGTGGTGTCGTTGTGTAGAGCCACCGGAAGCACAGACGCACAAAAATTATTAGAATCTTCTCATTGCTCACCTCTTTCTTTGTTGTCTCGCAAACTCCCTCCCTCTCCACCCACTTACTGTAAAGCTGTCATAATCTCAGCCGAGGGCTGGCCCAGAGCAGTCGACGTCAAAGAAGCTGCCATGAGCACGAGCTGGAGCGCTGTGTTGACCTTGCTGATCATGGTGGGACGCACCTCAGCAGATGGTATGGAGAAGTCAAAGTAGCGCACTAGTGTTTTCTTGTGTAGCCATCAATAAACAATGATCAATCAGATTCGTTCCGCCGATATTGAACTTGCGACTTACTGGTTTAGGCAACGAGATGTACCGATAATAAAATGAGGAGAGCACAAGCCCCGCGTCACGTCCAAGAATTAGGGCCGCCAAGGGCACTTTTGTTGTTGTGCAAAGGTGGGGCCAAGAATGATAATCGTCAGCATTGCGAGTGTAGCAGTCATTTAATTTTACTGGTATTACTACTATACTTACTCGGTAAAACACCTTCTGCTGCCAGAGTTACTGTCATTACCGTCATTAATGCTTTGTCGGCAAGAGGGTCAATGATGCTTCCAACCACGGTCTTGAGATTGTACTTGCGCGCAATATATCCGTCAAGCTATTAATATTAATAATAATAACCATCCGCACACATAACAAGATAGAGTGGTCAATAGCTTGGAACTGCGAATAAAGTCACACAGCGCACGTGGCTTACCAAGTCCGTGAATCCTGCCAATGCAAATATGCCTAATGCAAAGTCATAGTCATGTTTCATGATCAAGTATCCGATGAAGGGTGCAGAAACCAGTCTTGCAAATGTCAGGAAATTTGGAACTGTGTAGATATTTTCATGCGTCGGGATGGCCTTGTCTTTAATCTATCAAGATGTGCGTAAATTAAGGTGTGCGTGCGTGTGAGTATACATAGCGTAAGCCCTACTCACTCCAACCCACTAGACACTATGCACTTTCCCGACCATGCACGAACACCCCGTCCAGCACTATTTACGTTGTTAATCATCAGTTTCGCATTGGCTGCTTTCTGCTGTAGTTTCTGCGTGGCGGTTGTCTTTTCGGGCCCTTCGTTGCTGGGTGACGCCAATCCTCGACGACTCATAACTTTGCACACGTTTACTTGACAGTGTCGCATACTACGAAGTCTATGTTGTCTCTACTGGCATAAGTTTTCTCTCTTACTTTTTTTTTACGTGTCGTTCGTATGCAAAGAAGAGTATGGGGGAGTAATAGTAATAGCAGTGTAACAACGGACCTTAATGTCACCAAGGTCCCCTCCGGTGGCCACTGTGACATGTGCCGAGACCAGCATTTCGACACTGCATGTAAATGACGCACACGTGTGGCTGGCCACTGTGTAGGAAGGCAGGTTGTTATTTTACACAGCTGGAAACGCATCGTCGGCAACATGTTGACTTTCTTCTTTTTTTTTTGTTTCTCGTCCTTCTTCTAGCGAACACGCGTGTTGAACACCAAGTTCGTGGCTTTTGGCGAGTTGTTGTTTATCACAAGAGCCACAACAGGAGCTGGTGGGTTTTGCCGCCTATTCAAATTTGTGCTGGCGGAGAAAAAGAGAGGTCGATGGTGTCTTGTTGTTGCTCCTGGTGATAGCACTCAACTTTACAAAGAAAGAGACAAGTAAAAAATCATACCACATCGTCATCTAGCTTATATGCGATAGGTTGCGCATAATAGTTTCCTATTTATTTATACTGTAATAATGACGTGTACCTGCAACGTTGTTACTGGACAGGAACCGACCCGTACAGATAGGCATATGAATGGCACGCATGATCTTTGATGATGTATATCCGCTGCAGTAAGCTACACCCTGGCCTTTTTTTTTACTCTGCTTCAATCTCTAACACGGCGCTTCTCTCCACAGTGGACACCATCATAGTAAGTTTTGTAAAAATGTTCCCACCACGTTGTCTTCACACGTGACAGAAAACACACGCCGACAAACGCGTGCTTTTAAACTTGATATGATCTGGCCTTTCGGGAACATGGGCGATCCAAACGGACAGCAATAGATGTAGTAGTGCTTTGAGAGTATGGGATTTACTTTTTATGATATAATATGTATATAAGGTACGTAAAATGAGTCGTGTAGAATAGTCGATAAGTGTGGGTGGGTTGTTATGGGACAAAGAGTTAGCTAAAGGGTAGTTGGAGTTAAGATACTAAGTATGCTAGAAGCTATAAAGAAGAGAGAGAGAGAGAGAGCAAGAGAGAGCAAGAGAGTATGTATACAGTAAACCCGCGTACTTATTGTGGGGCCTACCACTAAGCGATGTTAGCGAGGAGCGGGTCACGTAATTATGGGGATTTGGTATGAAAGGTGCGGTAAAAGGGGTGGGTGGAGGGGGAGGGAAGAGAAAAGAAATTCGCAATGATTTGTTTTTGTTTTTTTACTTCCAGAATTGCCAGGTCTTGCGCTTGGTCTCCTTGTCGGTTGTGGAAGAAGACGTTGTTGACTTGGTCTAAACCATCGATCGTAGTTTTGTAAGTATCCAATACATATTACGCTTCATAGAGCACTCTTCATACCTTATTCTCCTTGTCCTTGTTCTTGAACAGCCCAAAGATTTGAGATCGCTTCTTGCTCAATGACTTGGTCTTGGATAATGCGACGACTTGTCGTGGCTTTGCCTCTCCGTTTGACTTTACATCCTTTGGTACTGCTGCTGCTGCTGCTGCTGCTGCTTTGCTTCCATTCGATTTCTTAACAGGCTTCTCTTCCTTGCTTGCTACAGCTGCAGCCGTGGTGGTCGTGGCCTCCTTGACGGCTGTGTCGTCGTCGGCCTTTGCCGGTGTTAATGATGCCTTTTCAGCCGGTGCTGATCCCTCCTCCTTCTTGGGTTTGTCAGCTACTGGTGCAGTCTCTTCTTTCTTGACTTCAGCTACCACGGGTGCGGGCTCTTCCTTCTTGACTTCAGCTACCACCACGGGTTCCTTCTTGGTTTCAACAACAGAAACAGGTTTTTGCTCAATCACCACTGGTTCCTTCTTGGCTTCGACTGCAGGAGCTGCTTCTTGTTTCTTGTCCTCGACCTTGCTGACCGTTTCCTTGGCATCGGGAGCAGCGACGTCAGTGGCAGTGGCAACGGCAGGTTCACTAGGCTCTTTTTTCTTCAAATCGTTGGCTTGTGCTTGCGAAACATCCTTGGGTGCCACATTCTCCTTCTTTGGTTGCTCCTCTTCCTCCTTGGGGGCTGTTTGCTCTGGCTCGTCCTTGACAGTCTCTTCCTTGGGTGCTTCAACAGTATCCTTGGAAGCATCGTCAGCGACAGCAGCAGGAGTATCCTTCTTTTCAGCCTTTTCAGCAGCTGCAGTAATAGTAGTCGTAGTAGCGGCGGCGGTCTCGGCCTGGGATTCAGCGTGATTTGGCGTCGATCCTTGAGGAATCTCCTTCTCGGTGTTCTCGGCTTTGGATTCCGATACGGGCTCAGCTTGCTCTGTGGTTGAAATGTCATTATTATTGTCCTTGGATTTGGCGTCGCCTTCACCTGCAGCAGCCAGAACAGCCTTGTGCGTGTGTGCATCCGCCGCCACGGATGGATCCTCGTCAGTATGCGAGTCATTGTTGCTCACAGGAGCCGTAAGCTCTGAAACAGCAGCCTGACCCTCTTTTTCCTGTTGCTTTTGTTCATCTCCTTGTGGCTTATCCTCCTGCTTCTCCTTCGTTTCGGGCTCTGCCTTTTGGTTTTGGGCTTGATCCTGTCCTTTGACTGCAAGCTCGTCGACTTGCTCAGCCGGGGATGTGGCGTCTTGCTTGTGCTTGTCATCATCAGCGACGGGGGTGGGCTGCGTGTTTGCTTCCACGACGGATGACGCGCTGCTGGCGGTCGTGCTGTTGGGTGTGCTGCTGTTGTTGTTGTTGATGATGGCTGGCGTAGTAGCAGCCAATTCATCGGCTTTGGTCTGCTTTTGCTTATTAGCCTTGTTCTTGTTCTGGCGTTTGCGATTGGCGTTTCCGTGCTTTTTGGCCATGTTTGTAACGATTTGAGTTTGGGCGTGTGATACGATCGAGCGAAAAGGACAGAAAGAGAGAGAGGTTGGTTATGAGAAAGAAAGAAAGAAAAGAAAAGAAAAGAAAAGGAGGGCGTTGGGCAAAATGAGATCCTTTTTTAGCGGGAAAAAATTATTATTTTATTCTCGAATTGCTTCATAATCGTGCTTCATTTCTTATTTGCGAGAGCAATCACAGAGGCGATCTTCCAAATAAGGCTAGTCCGGCCATGGCAATGTGCAGTACAGCGAATGGATTTATACGCGTCTGTGCTGCAGTCGACGACGACGACGACGATGTTGCCACGACTCCCACCTGCTTCATCCACACTACTGCATCATTTACCCTTGCATTTCTTAGTTTTCTTGTTCATTTTCACACCTTTTCTGCTGCTGCTGCTGCTGCTGCTACTCCTGGATGCGTTATCAAGCATCCATACTCAATTACCTCGGTCGATGATATGGAGTACGCTCCCATCCGCCAAGAGCACGTCAGGTGTCAAGATTTTTGCTGGTCAAGGGTCTGTTGTAAATAAGATACAATTAATATTACTTTGCAAAATTAAGAGGAAAAAAAACAATCAATCAAGCCTGCAATTAAAATCGCCCAACACATCCTCTATACTAACCTAGCCACAGCTCCCCGTTTCGAATTTCCAGGCTCTGACCAGCAGCCAGGCTCTTCATTTGAACAGCACTGCCGTTGGTGCTACTGCCTTTACCCTGCTGCTGCTGCTGCTGCTGCTGCCATTGCTTGCTGTAGTACGCTCCGGACACGATATGCCATCGTGCCATTTGCTCCCGCACCGTGTCACTCAGTAGGGCAGGATCTACCGTACCAAAAGCTGAATTGACTGGAGCAAAGATCGTGGTCTTCTGTTTTGTTTGTGTTTTGTTGTTTTGTGATCTTAGTTGAAACATGCTTTTTCTTCTCTTTGCGCTTGTTCGCCCCTCTTTTTTTTTTTTTTACACAAAGTGACAAAATCGGGCGCACAAGCTTTTTGTTTGCGTCATGATTGGTGTACATAGTGTTACCTCCTTGTGATACTCCCCAGGAATCGTTTTGCTGTTACTGCCGGTTGTATGGATGTTATCACTACTAGCCGGATAGTACGACAAGTTTCTGAACAGCTTGTATGTCATGCTTTGATCCATCTCCTGCAGGGTTTGCGACACATCTTTCGGAACGGAAGGAACTGTAAAAAAAATAACCGCAGAAACAAGGGTTATTCGAGTTGTTGTTGACTCATACTGTCGTCTTCATCCCTTTTTTTTGGTGGCTCCAGCTCCCGTGATGCTAATATTTGTCAACCCGCATTCTTGATGAAAACAGACCTTGGTCTACTATGGAGATTGTCGCATCATTGACCTTGATCGGCTCGCCGATCACGCTTGAGCAACCAGGTTCGCGTATTTCTGCTTGATCTCCTATAGATATCGGTGCTGTTAATAACATATCAAAAATCGTGATTACTTTTTTGTTAATCGTTTATCTTTTATTCTTTTACACTCATGGCATTGAATGTCGTTGAAAGTTATGGGCAGAAGAAAACCAAACTGACCTCTAATCCGTAACTTAATCTTGGCCCCGTTCAGGAGAGTTGCTTTGACGTGCAGCTGGGCGCTCGGGGTGGCGGCGCCATCTTGTTCTTGCTGCCATACATCATCCACAGATAAATAGTACAGGCTGTTGTTTAAGATTTGTTGAATACTTGCATTAGAAGCTAGAGCTTCGTTGCAGGGTGCTATCACAGAAATATTCTTGAATTCTTGAAAAAAAAAAAGGTAGATAAATATGCTAATGTTCTGGTATTTGTCATTGCTTTTCTTCTACAGCGACAATAGCATGATGTATTACGCTTCCCCCATCCCGTTTTTCCTTTCCCCTGCCATTATCCAAATAGGTACGATAAAGAAAAAGTAGCATACCGCTGATGTAGTGACGGAACGTGTCAAGCAGAGGTTCGTTATCGATAAGCTGGCCGAAAACAGCTGTACGCGGGTCGGCTTTTATGGTTTCGATTATAGCTGTTTTTGTTGGCGTGGCTATAGCTTCTTGCTCACCGTTTCCCTGGTATTGAAATGCGGTTTTGTCTGATGCACTGGCTAAATACGGTGTCAGCATTGACATTATTATAATGACAGAATAAAAAGCCATAGAATAACGTGCTAGGACACTCTTGTTTGAGTTGTGTGGCATATTGGATATATTGCGGTAGTATACACTGGCTACTAACTGACGATTGGAATAATATCAGTCGAGTATATAAGTGCTATATTGATATGTCTCTGGTTGTATATTATGCGACATCTTCTACGCACACTAACCAAAAGCTCGTCGAGAATAAATTATTATGAGGATGCTAATTTTCTTAAAGATGAACGCGTAGTATTATGGTGACGATGTGTCTGTTAGTATCGCTGCTGGAGAGACAACAGGTTTGCTGGTACTGTTACTGTATTTCGAGTATTATTAAAACCGGTTAAAGGATCAAAGAGAAGAATGAAGAGATTGTTGTAAAAGAATATGTAGGGAGAGGAAAAGAATCAAGAGCAATCTCGCTTTTTAAGTATTTTGGCCTTTACGGTTGCTGACGCTGATGATATAACACAGAGCTCGCTGTGTGTGCTACTTCATATATTAGGCATCCAACTCCTGGCTACATACTCAACAAGAAAAGGATTCAAAATATGATTGATCATATATTGCTATATTAATTCAAGTGAGCGTTATCAAACGAGATAGTCGCATTTATCATGCGACACATAATGTTCATTATCGGTGGCTTCGTCTCTACAATGTCTTTAACTCGAAATCTCCATCAACAATCCATGATTAAGCATACCTTCTCCATATACCTTTTTTGCTTTGTGACCCCAATAACGTTCTGTGTACTATGATAATGCAAAAGCAATCGCTTATTCATGTGGTACCTCGTATACAAAACAGGTCTAGCATCATCATTGATCACTTCAAAATTCCTACTCAATTAATTAAGCTTAGTTCGTAAACAGTATATATAGTTTGATAAACATCTAAAACGTTATAGGAAACAATCTTATTATAAATGGTCAGTAATCATGGATTATCTCTTTCATATCTTAGCCAATGTTATTCGTATCATAGCAGAATTGTTGGCCTAATAAAAGAAGAATTATTCGATAGAGCATTGTTGTCATCTATGTACATCTATAATTTCATATATCACGGTATAATAATAGCTTATTAGGAATTGTCGTACTTTATCATTTATTAAAATAAAAATGAAATAGCTAAAGCTGTCAAGAAAAAGCTTTGTATATCTACAACTAAAGCTGGTGGTACGGTTTTACCTTTGCTGCCTTCGTATGTAGCGAGATATTGCAAAACGACGCGCCGTCCAGGTTCGACAAAATGCAAACAGGCACAGGATAGTATATTAGTCTTTAATACAACAGTCAATTTCGTTAATTTGTGCCTGTTGTTCCATGATAAAAAATACTCTGTATCTTAACGTAGTATTCGCACATGCTACATAAACTACGACGGTTGATTATTTTAGGTTCAAAGTTTTGATGCCTTATATCATAGAATATCGATTGAGTCGAATAAAATAAAGATGTAGAGGTCTTACTGAGTGCTCGGCTGTATGAAAAGCACTGCACCAGCAAAGCTATTCTGTAGATTTCCAAGACCAACAACACTATAAACGCTGTTTTTCTCACTAGTTATAGTCCACGTATAATTGCTTTTTTGGCGATTTTGGTATCTCATATTATAAGGCAGTAATAGAACTGGTCACTCAAACAACCTCTGAAGTTTCTGACAGTCTTCAAGAGAAACGTGGATGTATGTGTCGAAACAACCATCTCACGGGCAAATAAGGGAACGTTGTACAGCTTTTTAAAACGACGTGGCAGGAATCGTTGTGCAACCGTAGCCAAAAACGCCATTAAATCATAGTACGCCAACGCACAGGCAGGGGTGCATTATCCTTGAACACAAGACGTTCGCATATATACGTACAGTGCGCATATGCTACCTCGACGGCCTCAATATTCAAAGTGACAAACCCGCTTATCGTACAATTCATCGTGACCAGCGCATAGAGCAAGTCTAGCTTTCGCTACCACTTGATGTAAAATTAAAGTCGAAATATTTCGTCGACAAACACGATGCGATCGTTATCGCGTATTTTGTTGGGTAAAAATACAACGTGACCCTGAAACCTTTGTAAAGTATCGCTTTCTTTTTTATTCCTCTATTTCTTCAAATTCGTATGGACACGCTTCCTTCTGAGCTGCTTCTCATCATTTTACGTTTTGTGGACGATGTTGCCGACAAGTGCCAGCTGGCTATATCAAGCCGACGAATGCATAATCTACTATGCAGCAATCCGGGGTGCTGGTCACCGCTCGATCTTTCACGCCACGGCGATCGCATAACAAACGCTGTCCTCGGTTCAATTTTACGCAAACGTGCAATTCCCATTATACTTCCAAGCGTAATGTCCTCATCAACAGCGACAACGTCTACAGTAACCGGGACCATTGGCAAGGCGAATATTGATGACCTCGGGACGATCCGACAGGTAAACCTGAGTGGTTGTTGGTGCCTGACACCCGAGGCTATAAACATGGTAGCGTGCTCCTTGCCACAGCTGACGAAGCTTCAACTCGATCGATACGGCAGCACGCCCAAAGTATGGCCTTTTGAACAACGCGACCACTTGTACCAAATGCGGCCCTCACACAACTTGTCGTCACTCGCAATGGATATGTTTAAAGTACCCCACATGAGCCTCACTCTGTCGGAATCAACGCTGCACTTTGTTTTGGGACAATGTGGCCGGATTGAGACGCTGTCGCTTCGATACCAGAACCTCGGCATTAACGGCTGCCGTGCCATTGGACGGCTCCAACACCTACGTCATCTCGACATATCGTCATGCACAATCACACAGCCTGTACTGCAAATATTAATACGAAACGCAGGTCACCGTCTGGTGTCGCTCAAAATGCTAAACATCGAAACAACGAACTTGACTCTGCTGAGTATGCAGCAACATGCTAAAAATTTGGAGCAACTACACTTGTCATGCCAAGAACCTCAGGTGTTGGTGGGTATAGTGCGGATGTTGGAACGACTCGACAAACTTCAGGATTTTCGACTTACACAGTTGCGGACAGGCGGAAACGTGGATGTCATTGTCGAAGTATTGAACTCTGCAACTTTGCGACGACTCGATCTATCACCTAAATTGGATTTCCATCCACGAGACCCGAAAACAACAACACCAGGAGCTCGGCTGGTTTCAGCACGCGCCTCACCACCTGGCAACACAGCACAGCGACGGCGCTCACCATCTCCCAACGGAAATATGCATCCACTCAAAGTAGTTAACAGTAAAAGCAACAGTCCCTCATCGTCATCATCGCCTGTGAAGAAGCCGCTTCAGTTACTCCAACTACCACGAACAGAGCACCAATTACATTTGACAGACATATCACTGACGACACTTTGTAGCTTTAAAGGACTTGTGGAGCTGCGACTGTGCTATCCTGTGGTTTCGACACCGGCCTTGACAAATTTGTTTAAATGCTTGCCGAACTTGGAGATACTCGAACTTAGGATGGAGATGCGCAGGGCGGCGATTTGTTCCTCTTCTTCTACCGGTCGTTGTGGGCAACAAAAAGGGGAAGAGAAATTGTGGATGGAGCAAGACGAGACATCTGTGGATGTGCTGCGAGGGTTGTTGCCAGACAATGTTCCTAGGCTACGAGAACTATCGCTATACCACTCATGGATCAGTGTTGCCACGACACGTACGATCTGCTCCTTCCAACATCTGCGTGAGCTTACCATCTACAACTGTGGAAAGATGACTGAACGTGAACCTGAACTCGTACGGCGGTGGCTGCTTTCGCTTCATCGGCTCAGGTTACTTCGTGTAGGCCGGATTGGCCATATCCGGTGTGATCTCTTGGATGATATCGCTACGGCAAGCAATCCACAACCAAAACGTACTTCGAGACCAGACGGCGAGTTTATCTTTACTCGCCGTCCATATTCTGGGCAATGGAAATGGACTTGTATCAATGACTAGAGAACAATAAAGTGTCCGCATCTCCTTTTCCATTGAATGTGATACAAATATCAAAAGGCTGTTGAAAGTCCGTTGTCATGCGTCTATCCTTCCCTTTTTTTTTTCCAGCCTGCTGTTCTTTTCTTTTATTATTCCTCGTCATTCCAAGTGACTGGCTTGCACTCAAATTACAAAGAAATTCGTTCTGCTAAAAGGACGCTGAGGCCGTTACAATGAAGATATACAGGGCTGAGACCGGCCGACATGTGCGTTGGTCCAGCCAAAATGCCACCATAGATAGGTAAAGTCCCTGTGTATTGCGGTTTTCTATTCCGCAGCTACAAGCGCTTTGATATCTCCACTATTGCTATGAATGTGTCTGCTGCTGCTGCTGTTATTATTATTATTATAGCGTCTACAAAGTTTCTAATCGTGCACAACTAGTCTCGAACAATTTAAGCGCACCATTGAAGAAAGTACCGGTGTGCCGATTGACTGTCAGATTCTGATGACCAGTTTTGGAACTCAAGTCAAAGCGAGCCAGCTGGAAGAAGTTATCACTGCCACTGGAGATGTAAGCGATAATTTCCCTGTCTTGCAGCACCCTTTTTTAATTCGGGATATATGAATTTTCCTTCTTAACTGCCCTGACTTTATTTGTCCGTTAAACTGTAGAAAGAGTATTTGGTGTTTGTCTACGATCGACACTACTTGAACGCAACAGAAGACGAAGTGAACAAGTTACTCGACTTGGAAACGCCGAGCCTTGAACAGAAAGTTCCTCCCTTTGATGGTAACATTTCCATTTTTGTGACATTGGCATACGTAGACTGGGTTTATTCATAAGCCAATTGGATATTGCACACAGAACCCTCTTCAGTCCACGCATTGGCACGTGCCAAAGGCATTGCTGGCTCAACCCTTTCAGACACATGTCAGCTTTATCTGGAACTCTTTGGCAGCTTTGACGCCTATAGCCAAGTAAGCGATTGCTTTACTTTCTTTTTTGGACAACTGTTTATGATGACACAAAAAGGGGGTGTGAGATAATAATAACTTGAGGCGCGGGCGCTTCTTCCCTTTCTTTTCAGATTTTGATCCAGGCACTATCAACCCATGCCCGACTGTCAAGGAATGCGGTGGAGGAACAAAAGATGCAGAGCATGGCAATAAATGTTGCCATGACCAACCTCGAGTCGCATAGCTACATGGCCAATCAAAATGTTGGCTCGTTCTCTTCCTTTGCCGAAAAAGAGCTTGCCACTCAATCTTCACTTGTTGAGACAACTGAAATCAACCTGACTATCTTACAGAATATTCGAGTACATCCGGAAATTATGCGCAGCATCGTCAACCCAAGTACAGCAATGACAGCTCCTGAAGAGCGACTACTCATTCACTTTATCGACACAGTTCGTATCGACAAGGCTAAGAACGGGACTCGTGAATTATGCACATCGCTGGGCCAAGAGCTGCAGGAGCTACACGACTTGGCCATGGACATCAACCGTTATGAAAAGGACCTGCAAAAGCAAATTACAGAGGATCAGGACTTGCACTCACTCGATGCTGTCGCATCAGACATTCAAGAAATTCTACAAAAGGCACAATTCTTGCGGGAAAAGATCAAGCGTGATTTGAGTCGAGTACACAGCAAAATATCCGAACTGCTCCATGTCCCGGTATCCTTTCTTGCTGCTAACAACAGCAACAACAATAACAATAGCATTGCCGGAAGCGGTGTTATACGGGATCAAGGATCGACGTCAGCCCTCGGTGGAGATTTTGGCTCTTACTCTGGAAGCCCTACCAGCCCAACACTGACATCGCATGCCAAAAAGACACTCGAAGCATTCAGCCATCTCGCCGAAATACACGTCAACGACTACTTACCCAAATTACATGCATACGAAACCAGCATTCGGCAGAAAGTCGTTACATTAGTTCTAGCAAAACGGAAAAGTATCGAGCAGTTCCTGGAAAACATGGGCATTGTTTCTCAACTCCAGAGTGAAATTGCTGCTGTTGCACCACGGATAGAGGATGCAAATAAATGGATCTCGGATTTTCAAGCAGAACGATGTGACGGAGACTTGGAAGCACTCCAAGAAGTGATATTTGCCTACGTAAGTAAAATTTGTCCACTTTGGGATTTTTCATTGTATTTGGTTCTCGGAAGCGACTCAATGTCTTCTCTTAAATACTTTCTAATAGGGATATCTCCTTATTGAAGTGGTCAGACGGAAAGAGTATAATACTGTAAGTTTTTTTCTATAATTTTTTGCCGATGATTGATTGTAATTTATCTGACTTCAGGCTGAAACAACTTTTTGCTCTTTTCCCGAAAACCAGATACTTGCAGAAGGTGCAAATGCGATTGCAGACTTGCTAGCTGGATATCGAACCGAAGAAACTAAGCGACGCGAGGACTTTGTTCGCAATATTTTAAAATCATTACCATTTGAAGTAAAAGGTATGGTCCGGTGATGTCTGTCTCCGTGGAAAGGTGCCTTGCTGTTTTAAAATAACGAAAGATCTCAATATTTGCTTCTACACCACCAGATATTGAAAATGAATCGACGACGCATTGTGAAGTTTCAACTATCAACTCACAACAGAGCAAGCTGGATATCACCCGTAAAGACATTATTGGTATGCTTGAATTTGTATATCACGCATTTAACAATAGATACATCCTGCTCAATATAAAAATAATATATGATATACTCCTTTTTAGACTTTATCCGGATTCTTGGACAGTATTATGGATCGTCACATGTTCAGTCAACATCGAGATCTCCTAAATCCAGCAATCGTATATCGTTCTCCAACATATTAGGACGAGGATCAAGCCCGTCTGACAACTTTCGGCGTATCAGTAGTACCAAACAAGCAATTCAGCAGAGCTCTATTACGCGCGGTACCGATAAATTTGTCGACTTATTACACGTCATGTCGCAGCAGTTGGATGGACTTCGGGCAGAGTTTTTCAAAGCAATGGAAGCGACATGTATGGGATATACCCAAAAAAAAGTTGTCGTTAACAGCTACCTATTTAAATGTAGCTCTGCTTGCTAACCCTTGACATTTAGTTTTCTCGAGTATCACGGACAATCCTGCTAGCGAATACAGAGGCTCACCGTTAAGCAAAGAGCGCTCGCTGTTGACGTTTAATTCCTTGGAAATTGAGCTTCGTCAGAAAACCAAAGCGCTTAACGTTGCAGAAGAAAAGGCCAAGGTAAAGAGATGATGATTTTCTCTTTTTTTTCCTTGCGATTCTTTTTTAAGTAATTATGAGTTTTATTGACTCCAAATCTGATAATATTTACTGTTTGTATAGAAATACGAAGCTCGGATTGCTGCACTGGAAAAGACGCTTGAAAAGAAAAGTATTGGCAACGTATTAGCCAATAACAATGATGCGCCAAGTAGCCTTACTTTATCAGCGTATTCGGTTGTCGAGGATGGAAGCTCTGGTCGACAGTCGGCTCAGTCGGTCCCTCATAGATTTGATACTACAAACAAGGAGGTTGATCAACTTAGGGAGATTGTTCGCGAACAAGAGGACTTGATAGCAAGTCTGCAAAAACAACTACATAACGAGCAAAATCAGGTATTATATTATATCCTTTTATCCTCTTGATGAGTTTAGTGGAACTAACAGAATTTTTAGATGGAGATTGTCAAAGAGCAAAACGAGCATGAAAAGGAAGATTTGCGGCTTCAAGTCCAGGAGTTGGAACAGCTACTAGAAGAAGAGAGACAGACGTACGAAGACAACCGTAAGAGTGTAAGTGTACGAATAATTCCATAGCAAATGTCGGAAACCGTGTACCTAATCTATGGTCATTGCATCATTTATTATCAGCTATTGAAAGAAGCTCAAATCAAGGATAATCTTGCCGATATTCGAATAGCAAGTGTCGAAGGAGACTGGCGCGCAAAGGTATGTTCACAGTGACTCTTATGAATGGCAGAAAATGTGTGTAGCGGTATCATGTCTCACATGTATTCAATTTTCATTAGCTCCAAGAGTTGCAAACACAAATAGACCAGCAACACTTAGAATCCCAAAACCATAATGTAGCTTTGGAGCAAACACACCAGGACGAAATCGATCGTTTGCAATCAGAGTATAAGCAACGAATTAAGAAGCTTTTAGAAGAGGCATCAGAATCAAAAGCACATAACAGCTTATTGGAAAGCGAGAACGCACAGATACGAAATGAGCTAGAAAAGCTCTCTTTGGAATACAAAGACTATCGTGCTTATGCTGAAAAAGAGATGAAAACTGTAAGTTCTAGTTCTGGGCTGTGTATTCCTTGTAGAATGGCCCTGGAACATGGATCTCATTGATTATACGCATAGGCCGAACAACGGCTTGAACAGCTGGATGATACGGAGCAGGCACGAGATGAAATCAAGCAACAGCTTGCCAAGGTATGCTAAAGCATTGATACACTTTCTCGTATATGTTTTATACTGATTAGGGAGTCAACGCAATTAAATAGACTCGAGACATGGTTACAAGAGCTGAGAATGACTGGATGAGTAAACACCAAGCACTTGAAGAGGTACAAAATTTGCATTGTTTCAACTTTGAATCTTTTCTTGTGTCAGCAAATTTATAAATGCCTTTACATAGATTCTGCAGCAGCGACGTAATACACACAATGAGCTGGTGGCGCTGATAGTGAAATACGGTCGACCGATTAACTTCCCAGTGGGAGAGGAGGATATAGAAACTTTACTAGACATCCTAAAGGAAAGTCTGGAGACTTTCGCAACCGGAGTAGAAGCCACAAGACAGGTAAAATTTGAAAGCTCGTCCTTATGTACTGCGCTGTCGACAAAAAGAGATTTACCTTTGATGTAAATATGGTGATTTCACAATAGAAGCTACAGGATCTTGAGCAAGACCATGGCCAAGTGGCATCCAGGATGGCTGCATTCGACGAAGAGCGTTTGGAGCTGTATGCAACAGCCACTCAAATGGCTGAGAAACTGGAAGAGTTCCGCAAGGGCATCTTTTACGAGTTGACAAACCAGCTCCAGCTTTCAGTGGATGAAGAAGAAGCCAGGGCGATGACTAAAAAGCTCATCATAACTGGCGGACAAGACGATTTGGCGGTGTGGACGCGTGTATTGCAAGCAGTCGGCAGCGTGGACTCTGACAAGTTTGTTGAACGTATTCGTACAAAAGTTCGGGATGCGCACGACCTTACAAGACGATGGAAACGCGAGTATAAAGATCTTCGAGGTAACGTCTGCAACCGAAGAACCATGCCTATGAAGACTTGGTTATTAACATTCTTTTTACTAAAAGAAAAATACAACAAAGTCTCAAGTAGTGGACACGATAAAATTGCTTTCCGAAAGTAAGTCTTTCAATCATCCACAATATCGTTTGACACATATATGGCAGCTTACAGGAATTCACATGTTTGTTTCTACCTAGTTTCCAAATTGGTGATGTTGCATTATTTTTGCCGACTCGAAATTCCACTGGAAAACCGTGGGCAGCATTCAACATTAACGCACCACATTATTTCCTGAAGCCATCCAACAGTGTCGCCCAACAAATGAATACGCGGGAATGGCTTGTAGCACGAATCACGTCAATTACAGAGCACACTGTCACTGTTACAGTAAGGTTTTCAATATCTCGCTCACAAAAGTAGAGAAAGGTTTAAAATAGCTTATTGGTACGCTTTGCTGCTAGGACCCACAATCAAACCCATATGGTCTTTCTGAAGGCTTAACATACTTTCATCTTGAAGTGGAACACTGGAAGAGCAACCGACAACGGAAATCCAAAAAAATTAGCTCATCAAGCAAGCAAGCAAACGCTTCAACAACGACATCGTTCAAAGGCAAGGAATCAGAAAATCTCGCAGCCTCTACTACTTCAACGGCATTCAGCAAAAGTTATACTACATCAGCACCAGATACAGGTTTAGCAAGCATCTCACCAGATACCCAGCGCAGCAGCGAGCCATATAATGGAGCGACAGCATCAGCGCTATCTTCATCATCACTATCATCACCCAATAATCTAGTACGACCACCATTTCCAATGTCACTTTCCTCGTCAAGTGTTGTTCATAGCTATGTTCCTCCAAGTTCCCCTCCGAATAGTGTCCCTGATCGACGCCATAGTACTGGGGTTTTCACAACACAACAGCAGCAGCAGCATAGCCTATCCAGATCTCAACAACTACCTGTTGATTCTACCATGATGTGGACTCAGGCACATCAATAGTGGTCTCCTTCATTTTCTGTTAGATTTTTTTAAGTCACAGCCCAATTCTATTTTTGCTTCCATCAAAGTTGTATTATATCATATTCCCTTAGAGATTCTTCCCCTCCTCGTTTCCTCATGTATAACCCAATTCCAACAGTATAGTTCCCATCCTCAATTACGCTTAAATACCATCTCACAACATTTGACATCGAATCCACTTCTACCGGCGTGTATGGTATGCTCGACGATATTTGTATAGTTTTGTCTCGCGAAAGAACGGATCTTGACGCACACTGCAAATTTATTCGTAACCCGTGTCGCGATATCCCATATGCAGTGGGGCCAAAGTTTTGCCGTAAACAACAATAATAAGTCGATACAAGAAAGAGGAAAGAAAAAGGGAGAGCTTGTGGGAGTGATATCATGGCGGAAAAAGAGAAAAAGAAGCGTTTTCCGACCGCAAGCTGATTTTGGAGATGTCGTGTACGTAATTGCTTTGTTGTATGTCGCGTCTTTTCGTTTTTAAACAGTGTTGCGCAGAACTAAGAAATTGTCAAAGTCAGAACACAAAAGTTTTCACCTCTTTCTTTAAATCTATTACTTACTGAGAACAACTGAATCGCCACGAAGGAACATTTTGCTTACGAAACGATCCTTATTGACAGGCTTTGCCTTGGATCCTTTGCCTGTTCGAGGAGTCTCTGTCCACATCTGTCAAATGAGAAGAAAAAGGAATCAGAAAACGGTTATTCGTAGCATTAATAACGGTCTAATTACCTCTTTGACATTTTCAAGAACCATGTTGCAATGTCGATCAAATGCCTTGACACGTGCTAAAATCTTGTGGTTGTTACGGCAAGAGATCAGGATTTGATTGTTGTTCTTGACGGATTGCTGGAGTACTGACAATGGACCCGTGTTGAATTCGACTTCTTCTTGCTTACGGAGCTCTTCCTCCGACATTTCTGCTTTCGCTTTGGCGGCACTATGTTTATGGTTATTAGTAAAAACTTCTTAGGATCCATCGTGCGTTGGATTATGATATACTACCTCATGGTTTTTCTTATATGTGTCCTGTACTAAAAGAAAACAAAAAGAAGACACGGTGTATAAGGGAGTATTTGAATCTTAAGTGGCTGAGATATAAAATAGCGCACCTTTCGGGACCGGTTGGGAAAGCCTGCCGCTAACCAGGCCGGGTTGATTGAAAAGAAACCGGATCATAACAAAGTTGCAGCAACCACTACAATAAGATATGAAAACCGAGAATAATTGATATGCTGCCTGTTATTATTTCTCTCTGAATTTTTCTGTGCATTTTCGCGTTTTTTCCATCTTCTCAATGAAAGGCATAAAAAGATGTTATATAGAGTTAAAAAAATGTTATTCAGAAACTATACACATCCCATTTGATTTCACACCTCGTTACAGCTAATGTTGCGTTTCTATCTACATTTACTGAAAATTATGAGCTTGAGAAAGATGTACTTTTACACTCCTGGATGAAACGCACGCAAGTAGCTGTTGTAAGTATCACCAATGCAAGAGCTCCTGCTCTTGCAAGGCTATACGAGAGCTTCAACTACTAGATGCATCTTAAAATGACCGTCTCCTGATCATCTGAGTTGCAGGACGGTATGATTATTCTGCGTTGCCCTTGAAGTCAAAGGCAAAAATTCTCAGCGAGAAGAACCGGCTATAAGCAAATTCCTACGGTGAGATGGTGCGCACTGACGTTTTATACATGTCAAGTACTGCATGTTTAATCGAGCTAGTTTTCTTTTGCGAAAAACTGGCACAGAGAAGAAGATGCCATACCGTGGGCTCACATCTAGGTACTGCAGTGCAACAGAATCCTGCTGCCATCTCGATAGCTTATGGAAGCCTACATTATCACACTATTATATTAATGTGTCCGTGTTTTCGAGACTAATGAGGCAGCGAAATTTCAAATATAGTATGTACCACGCCAACGCTATTGGGAAGACTCTAAAACGTCGATATTCAACTTTCAGATTGCAGTGGATGAGATGCAAGTTTCGGTTTCCGTCGTCTAGGAAGCAAGAAAAGCATATTCAATTGTTGAATTGGCACCTAAACTCTTGAATGATATGAGATCCGCTTGGATCACACTGTATATGTCAACATCACCGACTTTGAGACAGAGGCTTTCAAATGATAAGTGCAAAAGATAAGCTTTTTTGGAAGCAAGTCGTTTTCACCAAAAAAAAGTAAAAGCTTACTCAGTATCTTTTTGAAATCTGTAGTAATAATGATATGGTATGAAAGACGTAATACAAATATTGTGAATAGAAAATGTTACTGAACAATCGATAGTGATTAGAAAGAAACCGTTTCTAAGGAACAATCACTCCTGGCTTCTCCGGTTCCACAGTTATTGGTTTTTGCTTCTCATCCTGTTGTGGTACATCTACTGTTTCTATAGGCTCTGCTATCATAGCTTCATTGGTGGTGGCAATAGGAACGGGAGTATCCAATTTGGGGGCTTGTTGTCCTTGTCCTCGTTCCTTGGTAAATTGCTCGGCAGCTTCGGCCACAGCGTAAGCAGCAAAGTCCACAAACACTTCATCGTATTGCTCAAGCATATACTTGTCCTTTTGCTTAACGATTTCGCGAATAAGGTACCAGTCATGGGCATATGCTTCTTTACACACGCGAATATTGATTGCACCGTCCTTTTCGATATACTCTGCAAGGTTGAGAATATCGTCGCGCATGACTTCCTTGTCACCGACAAAGACCAAAACACTCTTGGGAGTAAATCGGTCGAATTTCTTGTCAATTTTGCTTAAACGCAAGATGGGCAGCGTCTCTGGATCGACATTGGGATAATCCAAGTATTCTTTAAACACAAGCTTCGCGAGCTGCTGGCCAACCATGTCGTATTTCTCGAGATTCTCCCAAGACCACGACGTCGTTTCGGGTGTAATCAAGGGCGATACCATCAGCATACCCGCAGGTATTCCAATGTCGTAGTTTGTGCGCGGCGCGTCCAAATCGTCGACAATACCAGGACAGTAGGTACGCATCATGGTTTCTAGGCAAATTGCTCCACCAGCTGAATCTGCACTCAGGATAATTTTCCATGCGGGAACGTGGAGATCTTGTGTCAAATGCTTGTACGCTTTTTTACACTCGAGCACAGGTCCGGGGTACTTGTGTGCTGGCGCAAGACCTGTAATATGACATCAATCATTTGATTTGGGCTTTTAGTGCTGCCACCGTCTTATTTGAGAAGCAACACAACATACCGTATTCAACCGACATCATGATCGCATCGAGACCGTGTTTTTCTTTCAACATATCAATCCAAGTAATGAAACTTGACATGTACATAGTCGCATTTCCTGTTCTAAATCCACCACCTGTGGTTCCATTATCATTATGTGATCATTAGAATCGTACTATGTAAAGAGATATCGATAAACAGCAGGAAGGCTAGTTACCGTGGACTTCAAAAATAACAACATCGGCTTTACGCAAGCGGCGTATGGCATTGGCATCGCTTTCATACTTGATGTCTTTACCGATCAAAGCTCCTTTCCAGAAAGAGTTGTTGATGCGTTTAATATATGTTTTCTGAACGGACGTGGGAGTTGTAAGATCATTGATGACAGCTCTGGCGGCAGCAGGTGGTAAAGTAAGGGCCGTGCGTAAGGTCTGAACAACAACAGGAGCAGGCGACTTTTTGATAACTGCACGGATATTATCCATATTAACGCTTTAGAAAGAGAAAAAATAAACAACAGGAAAAATGGAGGTGACGAAAAGGAACGTTAAGAGAAAGGATATGAAGAACGGTCAAAGAAAAAAAGTGTGAGTAATCGAGTGCTGTGTACAAAAGCTTTATATTACTTTTTGCTATACACCACACTAAAAGCGGGGGATAGCCAGCGCCCAACGTTGTACAGAATTTTACCCAAACTAGAGCTTTGAGCGCATGTAAAATGGCTTTAGTGGTAGCACATAAAGCACTGACGACATGTGATTAGACTCATTGTTTTGTTGGGTTGGGGAGAAAAGTTAAAGCAGAGCGTTTACTATTGAGTAGTAGCGCATATATACTTGATTAGTGCTGTTTTAGCAGTATGTATTTGCTGAGTGTTACTTGCTGTCACAATTATAGAGCGTTTGGCACGATCGTTGTCTGTAACTCGTTTGCGGGAACGTACGTGCATTGACGAAGAATCTGTTGATCTTCCCGCAGTATTCGGAGGAGCTGCGAGCGTAGCTTTCTAATTATTTGCAACCTTGAACTCTCAGTATGCATCACCCTTACAATATTTCCTCATCTTCCACCATGTAGCTACTGTTAGCATGATATGAAGCAAACTTGTCTTGGCCGTCGCTACATTGATGCTGCGTGCAAGAAAAAAATTGATCAGCCAAGATTAGCTTTTTGCTGGTGTGAGAACAATTTAGTGGTTATTTTAAATACATTTTACATCTTCTAAAAGAAATCCTACTAATTTGGTCTTTTATGCTGGTGACGCCCTTTAATTGCTCCTTTGCATATGAAGAACACACTTATAAGCGGCCATGTATTATCATATACTTTCCGCTTTACCACTTTCTCTACAGACATACTCTTTAGCCCTTGTGAAATGTAACACTATTTGGAATAAAGTATTATTCTCAACGTTGATGTTTTCTTTTTTGCCCAAATTCCTCGTATGTACATATCTGATTATTATTATGCTATTTGCTTAGCTAAATATGATGGTTTGTTTCTTTCGTTGCGCCCCTGTTATCAGGACTAGCATACAACATCATGCGGTATTGGTTTACTCGTATTTTCCACAAACGTTGTCCACCACCAAGGTGTCACTTACAGCAAATCGCATCACTTTGGAAAATTATTTTACGTCCTCTGTGCATGGTTTTGACGTTGACACTGCTCGCCAGTCCTGTCATTGATTTAAACTGTAACATTTCGACTTTTCAAGTATAGATTATGTAATGCAACATGTTTGTGGTCGCTGGTAGTATCATCTAATTTACGGGCTAAAAACAAAAAGTATAAAGTCCAGGCGACAGAACAATGAGGACGGCCCGTGCACAACAGTCCAGCTCCCTTTTAGTCACACACAAACCAGAAAAATCCTCAAGCTTCAACTCACTCTACTGATTGAAGAATGAAAACGCCTTCAAGCATCATCATATGTATACATAACACTGTCATCCTGCACAAAAAATATTTCTATCTAATAGCTGCTCATTTATCAGCATCAAGAAGTAATATCATGGGATTGTTCACATGTATAATATGCCCAGAAAAGCGGCATCTTACCTGTTTGGTTAGACATGCCATCGATCGTTGATGCAAAAGGCGGCTGCTTCCACTAATTAAATCGCTAAACCCCGCAACTTTTGCTTCAGAACGACATTAGGCCTAATGTTTATATATCAACATGCAGTAGTTTTCGAATGACTTTTATCAAACTGGATGGTACAAGTTGCAGTATCAAGTATTCCGGTGAGATTCGACACGACCAAAGGAAAAAAGAAACAGTGTGAAGGTTGCTATTTGACTGTGTCTTGTCATCTCTTTTCTTTGAGTAACGTGTGTCAAAGCACACCAATGCGCACCAAAATAAGACAAACAGTTCATATTCCGGTTACTCCCCTTTTGTCTGGTTCCTCTCTTCTCTCTTTCTCGTCTTGCCTAACCAACCATGTCCGATGCCAAGTATTTTCAAAGAGGTAACATAGCCGATTCCAAGAGCAATGTATTAATGGTGCGGGTGGGGGAAGGCTACAGTTTTCAGACCAATAACATCACGTCATTCCTCTAGGCAAAATTCAGGAACTACGAGCCGAGCTCAACTCGGAAAAGCGCGATCCAAAGCATCAGCGCAAAAAGACAGTGATGAAGAAAATCGTAGCCAACATGACCATGGGCAATGACATGTCACCACTTTTCCCGGATATTCTCAATGTCATGAACGTTCCCATTCTGGAAATCAAGAAAATGGTGTATTTGTATTTGATTAATTATGCCAGAAGCAAGCCCGACATGGCAATGATGGCCATTACCATGTTCATCAAGGTATCTACACATATTAGAACGACTGGCCGAGTGATAAGGAGAAAAAGGCCAGCTAGCAGTACTGTATAACCCGAGCACTCTATTGAGAGGAATTAATATGGTTATCTACTTTTATTAGGACGTGGAAGACCCTAACCCACTTATTCGCGCACTAGCCATTCGTACGATGGGGTATATACAAGTGGAAAAGATTGTCGATTGTCTTGTGGATCCCTTACGACATTGTCTGCGAGATCGCGATCCCTATGTTCGAAAGACAGCGGCGATATGTGTTGCTAAATTATACATGTATGACAATGTCTTGGTCGAAAGCGAACGGTTTATCGATATGCTCAGAGATCTATTAACGGACGCAAATCCAACGGTACCAAATAGACACACATACTGCATTATTAAAGAATGGACGTTTATCATATCTGACAAAACATTATTTCCAAAAATATAGGTTGTCGCCAACGCTGTAGCTGCTCTGACTGAAATATCCGAACGATCTGACAACATTCAGCTCAAGTTGAACCATTCTATTGCTAGCAAGCTTGCTGCAGCACTTAACGAATGCTCAGAGTGAGTGTTATATTTTGGGAATTGGGAGCTGATTGATTTAAAGAAACAAACAAAAAGAAGGAGTGGAAAGAAATATATAAACTAATGCTATGCCATTCAAAGGTGGGGTCAAGCTTATATTTTGGAAGCCCTCATGTACTATGTTCCTCAAGAAGCCGGAGATGCAGAAGTGCTTGCTGAGCGTATTGCTCCTCGTCTTCAGCATGCCAACTCCGCTGTTGTGCTTACTTGTGTCAAGGTGATCATGTATTTGATGAATTATATGAAAAGCGAGAATGATATCAGCGCCTTCTGTCGAAAACTGAGTCCTCCACTTGGTAAGTCAAATGTCTTGTTGACGCTTTCTATCTTTGGCTCTAACTTAAAATAACAAATGATAATGTATATTGTAGTGACCCTCTTGTCATCCGGCCCTGAGGTTCAATACGTCGCTTTACGCAATATCTTACTTGTGATTCAACGGCGACCTGAAGTTCTGCGCAATGATATGAAGGTGTTCTTTTGCAAATACAATGATCCTATCTACGTTAAATTGGCCAAGCTGGAGATCATTTTCAGATTAGCAAACCCGCGAAATGTCGACCAAGTGCTTGGTGAACTGAAAGAGTAAGCAATTGAAAATAGAGTAGAGACTGAGAGAGGAAAGGAAAGGAAAAAGATTGGTAGATAGTACTTAAACTGTCATTTAATTCGTAGATATGCAGCAGAAGTGGATGTCGATTTTGTTCGGAAAGCAGTTCGTTCCATTGGACGGTTAGCTGTCAAGATCGAGAGTGCAGCTGAACGGTGCATATCCGCCTTGCTCGAACTTATCCAGACCAAAGTAAATTACGTTGTGCAGGAAGCCATTGTTGTGATCAAGGTAATTATCAACCACGCCAAAAAGAAAGCTCAGGAAAGAAAGACTAGTTATTTTTAATGCATATGTCTCTCGGTAGGATATCTTCCGGAAATACCCCAACCAATATGAGAGCATCATTGCCACTCTTTGCGAGAATTTGGATAACTTGGATGAACCAGAAGCGAAGGCAGCAATGATTTGGATTATTGGACAGTATGCCGATCGTATAGAGAACTCAGACGTACTTTTGGACGATTTCTTATACACATTTTTGGAGGAAACTGTCGAGGTAAACCCCCAAAAAATAAGACATATAACAACGCGCGAAGTACTAATAACTCTTTACGTTACAAATCAGGTGCAACTTGCTCTGCTTACAGCCACAGTCAAATTATTTATCAAACGTCCGACCGCTGGTCAAGAACTTGTTCCTAAGGTTCTAAAGTGGGCCACTGAAGAAGTAGATAATCCAGATCTGCGTGACAGAGGTTATATCTACTGGCGTCTTCTTTCGACAGATCCTGCTGCTGCAAAGGTACACAAAAATCTCAAGTACGCAAACTTGCACATACTAAACTAATCTGTTATTTTTGCTTATAGGCTATTGTTTTATCAGAAAAGCCGCCAATTTCGACAGAAAGTGATAACATGGATACTGCATTCCTAGATGAACTATTATTACACATTTCTACTTTGGCGTCCATTTATCACAAGAGCCCTACCACCTTCATCCATCGCTATAAACCACGTTACTTGATGCCCTCTGCCGCACTCCAACGATCGTCTTCACAGGCCTTCATTGCTCCACAGCTCACGCAACAACAGCAACAACCTATCCAACCACAACAAACAGTTCAACCGGTAGCACAGCAGCAGCAGCAACCCACTCAACAACAACAACAACAACAGCAACTCAATCAAAACCCATTACCTAATGACCTTGGATATAATAGTTTAGCCGCTAATAGGTACAATTAAACTAGCAGATTAGCATTTTGGAGACGAACAATAATTTTTTTAACGCAAAAGCTTTATCATTAGACACTCTTTCAATGGCGTAAACTCTCTCCAAGGCGCAAATGCCAACCCATATGCTACGGATGTCGTTAACCAGCAAGACGTTAGACCTGCACAACAAGCGCCTGGAGGTGCGGATCTACTACTTGACTTGTAAAACACATCTATTACAATCAAATAAACATTATACATATACACATTTTTTTTTAAAATCGTTATATTCAAAATGCGCTTATGTGTATCTTTAAAGGTGAGGAAATGCTACAAAAGAAAAAGGTCGTTATGTTGCGTGTGAGTAGTATATCAGATGTATATTTCAAAGGTTCGTTGTAATGTCGTACATGTGTGTATATATATTTGCAAAAGGGAAATCTGGTAGGGGGTGGGGATTCATTTGTTTGGACGGAAAGAAGGGAATCAAGGGGGCGGCTTTACACAATATAACATGGAATTGGTATAATGATATATTTATCTCTTCAACTTGCAGCAGAAGACCAAGCCATTTTCACCTTACCGAGTGCTTGTTGAGACTCGGGACTTGGCGGTATACTAGGATCGACCGATTGCCAATTGGGTGCACCAAAATTACTTACTTGACCATGGACACATTCTTCCAGCTTTAACAGCTCTGCAACAAATCCAATGTTGGGTGACATGCTGGGTCGTGCTTTAATGACATGCTTATATGCTCGTTTCAGTGTCCATCTTTCGGATACGACAAAATAAGCTAAAATGGCAGCCACCGATCTGGATTTTCCTGCCTTGCAGTGTACGTAGATGGGTTCATGTATCTGCTTTGCTTGGTCTATGATGATATATACATGTTATGAGTTCTTGTTTGTTTGTTTTCCTTCTAATCTAATAATAGAATGTGTTGAATGTAAATATTACAGTCTAAGATGCTTACCTATCACCTGGACTGCTTGTTTCAGGGTTTCTTCGACATTCTGCATGATGACGGTATCTTGGGCAGCCACTTTATGATACTTAATTCTATCCTTGAGACCAGGTACATCATCGTTGCATTCTTCTGCCATATTTAAGATTTGTTTTATCGATCTTGTATGCAGATTGACCACCTGCTCTTGCGTGGAGATTTCAGGACCGAGGTATAGGAAACCAGGTACGATTTCGGATATAATGAACGCGTGATTGCCTTCGCTGGTGCCATCTGCAGACCAAACATTTGAATCAGGCGCAGCAACGGTGGAAGTGGTGGAAGTGGTAGTAACAGGAGTGGAAGGAGTAGCAGGGAGTTGTTGCTGTTGCAGTGGAGTTTCTTTGGTTGAGCTGCTTGTCGCTTCAGATATACTTGCAAGGTCTCGTTGTTGCTGTCTATCATCATTATCATTATCATTATTTTGTAGTGTTGTCGTCGCCGTTGTTGATGACCCATTTGGTTTCATGAACCCTCGAGACGATCTGGATGGCTTAATGTGTAAATGATCCTTGTTATTGTTGCGCTGACGATTACTATGGAATTTCGACCGTGCAGAGCTCGTATCCAAACTGAACAGACTTGCTCTACGTTGAACATTTGTATCGATTGGATTGATCCAAGCCGACGACCCTGACGAAAACGTTGTGGCACTACGCGATTGTGTTGGTGTTGCAGGAACACCTAGCGTTGCTGCTATTGAAGATGATGACGGTGACGGTGACGTTCCTGATTCTGCCACTGCTGCTGGTTGAGGACCATCCCACGGTGCCCACGATGACGACGAAGACGCGTTAGGAGCCAGCAAATTATCATGCACAGATCCAACCAAATAGGCACCCCAAGCATCCCATCTAGCAAATGCATCAAAACCGCCATCCATGGTGCAAATATTGAAATGGTGCAGCTGTTGTTTCTGTCTAGCTTTCAGAACGGCGACCAGAATCCATGCATGCGAATCGAGGTCGTTCATGGTATCGTCGTAGACGACAATCCGTCGTTGCTGTTGATTCAAGTTTGTGGATGGTTTGCGAAGCCAGGACAGATAATACTGTTTGCCCTCCTCCGTCGAGATAAAACTCTCGAGGTTGAAATTGGAGACAGTGCCTCGGCGATACCGTTTGATAAGCAGAGTGGGCAGGTTGACATTTATTGAGTTTCGGATGCGTGCTTTTTCATAGTGCTCGTAATCTCGAACGTCAATCAAGAGAGGCTGGTCAGAATTACTGGAAGTAATAGCTGTGTCGTCTTTAAGCATCGTAGCTAGTTGAGACGGTCGCAGTAGAGCGGGGTCATGTTGCTGTTGTTTCCGACTGTTGGGACGTTGCTGTTGTTGTGTAGCTGGTTGGCGTTGTTGCTCCTGCTGTTCCTGTTGGTGTTGCCTATTGCAGTTTGTACCGTCTACTACTGTTGCTTGTTTTTGGAATGCCGCAGAGAGCATGTCGGATGATCTGCAAGTCGAGTTGGAAGGAACGACGCAAATCTCATCATTTTGGCTTTCGCTTGGCATAATGTAAACAAAGGTGGTAGGGGTGAAAGGAAGAAGAGTAAAAGTGTGTGCGTGTGCGTAAAAGAGAAGAGGGGAAAGGTATAAAAAAGGCTGAGCCCAAGGTATAAGCATATGTGTGACATGCACAGCGTCAAACAAGTGGTGGCGCACACACTGCATAGCATTAATTGCTATAAATACATTTGATACAGATTTCTGCGCATAATTGGAACCGGCTTTAAATCTGTTGTTGTATGCTTTTATTGCTAGTACTAGTATGAACGGTTTGTTTGTATGTGCATGTGTAGGAGGGGGATATTGTATGAATGATGTAACAAGGATCGGATCTGTGGTGAGGATGGATAGAATAAGTGGTGAATAAAGGTTGTATGCTATAAATTGAAAAGGCGAAAGCGCTGTTACTGATGCGATTTGGCCAGCTTGGCCAGGCTGAGGTGTCGAGGAGGGTCAGGCTTTTTGATGCCTCCACTCTTCATCATCATCCGCATCTTGTTATTACCACCCTTCGATACAACAGGTGTAGTTGCTTTAGCCACGGGTTTAAGTGACATGTTTAGCTTGATTTTGCCTTCGTCTCGTTTCAACTCAGTTGCTTGCTGTTCCGCTGCCACACCACGCTCTTCTGCTTCCTTGGTCGCACGTTCTATTTGTTCTTGTAGCAACTGCTGCTCACGCTCTTCTTCATCCTTTTGCAAACGGTCCATCTTTTGAATAGCGGCCTATATCACAGATAATATCCAGTTAATTAGAATCCATTACTAAGCAAATTCTCAACCACAAACACCAAGTACACTCGCTAGAAAAGAAAAATTGATAACATCTCATTCTTACCTGTCTTGCCAATGCCTTTGGACTATTATCGATCCAAGTAATGTACCAGCCACGCTCAGTTTCGTCAACTTGGCAAATACCTTCTCGACCCAAATATTTGACAAATTCGCTCAGTGAGTTCCATTTAGTGGAATTCATGTGAATATGTTGACGATCAGAAATGTATTCTTGGTATACGTTGTTGGCAAACACTCGTTTAGTGCCATGGGCTCGAGACAAGATGGCCAAAAAGTCCTTTTTAAATTGATCGGAATAGTTGTGCATGAATTGTCCAGGATTCTCAGCTACAAGCAGCATTTGTCGTTGATGCGATTCGCTGTTGACGTGGCATTTGAATCCGTTTTCGTCTCGGCATTGCTTTTCGCAGACTTGGCAGTAGAATTTGAGCTTCAAAAGACCTTTGGATTTGATGCGATTGGCAATTGCTTTGGGTGTAAGGAATCCGTCTTTGCCCATGGTTTAAGACTATGATAATGTAAGGGAGGAAAGAAAAGAAAAATGTGTTCAATTATCCTGCTGATTCTTGTGTCGATTTACAGCCAATTTTGATTGGTGGAATTCAATCTAAATATGGTAACGTATGTTTTGCGAAGGCATAGGCAGCCAAGACATAGAATCTAGCTCTTTTTATATACCTCACTAAGTATTACTGGTAATATACCATCTTTCCAGCCGAGAAAACAGTGTAATTTTTCAACCAGCCCGTTCGTTTATAGTACGACTGGATTAGCTGCAACATAGCAGAAGCTGCGTTACTACTAGTTTAATTATGAGCTCAGCCAAAGAAGAGCGTCGTTTGTCCACAATACATGGATTGTTCTACTACGGGTATATTACTAGGCGGCGCTGCTGTCTACTAGAAACCCATCCGGACCGGTTCCTTATGCAAACTGGTTCGTTCATTGTTGCTGCCAGGTAATATATGCATCCGCACCCTAATAGATAATTGCTGCTACTTGTTGTTATACATAATCCACCCTGCTTGATGCTGGGTACACACGGATAGGCTCCGGAAGATGGTGATGGGTAACCCGACAGTCAAGGTGATTGTAGATATCCATAGTGAGTTGTCCCTCGTAGAGCACGAACCCCTAACTGTTATGCTCTCTCACTCCCTCGTTTTGTTTTGCATAATCACGGACAACAGCGTATATAGAGAAGAGATGCATCTCGTAACACAAGGTAACAAATAGCTGGAAGGTTTTCGGCATAAGAGCAATTGAGGCAAGTACGCTTTCGAAAGCTGATCGGAACCTCAATGTAATGGTCACAACGATTGCGCGCGCGCTCTCTCTCTCTCTTTGAACACACGTATACATAGCACAACAAGGTATGTCGTAGATGGAACACAGTACCACGTATCCACACTCATTGAGTAAGAGGCAACATAACATACGCCGCCACAAGAAAGAAGAGAGACGCGGTTTATTTTATGTTTTTTTTTCTTGCCCCTCTCCTCTCCTCTCCTCTCCTCTCCCTTTTCTTTCCACTCAAGTAACATTTTGCTAACCTCACTACTGTCCTTTCTCCTCTCTCTCTTTCTTCTCCTCTCCCTCCACCCCAATGTTTGACCCATGCAAACCCTATATCCGTCCGCCCGCCGCTCCTTTTCTTCTTCGTTCTCTCTCTCTCTCGCTGGGTCAACTCTACCTTTCAGTAAAAGAAAGAGAAAGGCGGTCCTTTCAAGGTATAGCTACCATCGTACATACCACCGTTACGCTACATTTAGCGCACAAAATTTTTTCCCTCTTCTTCTAACTTGCCTTTTCCTGCATGCTATACCTTTTCCTTACCACGTACACTCTTGTATCTTCGCTTGATAGATCGCCATAACCTCGGTTTTGCCCGTGTCTGCTGTGGTGCCGGCTTGGGGTTGCTTCGGCCGGGGGGTGGGGCCCATGTGCGGCCATATATGTACAGACGACGGCAGCACCAGCAGATCCTCCTCGTCCTCGCCGGTCGTTTGCTGCCGTCGCGTCGTCTTCCTCTCTGGGTCGCTTTCGTTGTTGTTGTTGTTGCCGTCCTTCCTCCTCTTTGGGTGGCGCGCTGTCGTCTTGGAGGAGGACTTCGACTATAGGAAACCCGTCTTGTCCCATTCGGCCCTCTCTTCCTCTTCCTGCTCCTTGGGCTTCCGTCGCCTCGTGGTGGTCGGGATCACATACTGGCGTCCATATTGAATGCTCGCCGTTTTGTTTTCTGGGCAGGGAAAACGCGGTGGTAGGTAAAGTATCGCTTTTCCAAAGGATTTGTCGCGCGTACTTTACACGAAGCACAATCACACATCTACACAAAGTTCTAATAATCGCCTCTCCCTCTCTTGTTTCCCAACTGCTGTCAAAACCCCATGTAGCGAGTTACCTGCCATCGCCGCCCTGCCCTGCCCCTAAGCCAACCGAAAAAGAGCATCGAGGTTCGGCGAAGGGGAGTTATCTCGGTGTCTTCCTACAATGTCTGGCGTTGCCGTTGTCCGTTTCCCCCGTCCGGTCGGCTGGTCCATCCGCTATATAGACACTATATACGTATAGTCTCTCTTTTTTATAATAAAACCTCTGGTCTTCTTTTACCCTTTACCCTCGTATGTCTCCGAAAAGAAAAAGAAGAGAGCTTTAGACTTCATCACGGTGGCACAGACCGATCGTTCCAAACCGAGCTAAAACACAGTGCGCACACATACGCTCTGTATAATAAAAACACGTCATATCGCAAAGGGAGCGAGAGAGGCGGTCGAAAGATTCTAGCCACACACACACACACACACACACGCGCGCGCGTCTTCTTGACCCCCACACCCCCGGTTCGGAAGTAACATCATACAGCTTTTCGTTTACCTCTTTGCAGCAATAACGGGCGGAGAGGAAAACAGGCGCGTACCCGTTAACTTTGTTTTTTGACACGGTTCTTGGGTCCTTTTCCTTCTTTTTCATTGGCCGCACCCTGTTTTCGTCGCTTGTGTATTGCTGCCTGTGTGTTACGCTGAGTTGTTTCTACGAGCGCCGCGAGCGAAAGAGAGGGGAGGGGGACGGGTTGGGCTGCTACAGAGCAAGGATAGGAAAAAAAAAGAAGCAAAGAAGCGAAGGAAAGCCATGGGCAAGTGGGTGTGGGTGGATGAAGAAGAAAAGGAGAACAAGCGGGTGAGAGAGAAGCGAGGGCCCAGCAAAGCAAAAGGGCTCGCTTTATTAATACTGTTCAATTCTACATCCCGCGAAACATATCCAATAAGGACGTGTGGCGTGAATGCCGAGTTACACTCTGGGGTGGGGGATGTGTCCTGTGGTGTGCGTGCGTGCGTGTGTGTGCGACCATTGCTACGCTCATCAACACATTCGCATACGCACTCTAACATAGTAGTCCATGGTTTACGTCTTTTTCAATAGCGGGAATGTGTGCGTGTGTGTTATTCGACCAAGTGTAAAAATTAAAAAAGAAAAAATATTACAAGAAGAGGAGGGAGCGAGGAGTATGTGAGGGTGTATGTAGGTCTATGTATGGGTGTTATGCAGCACTGGTAGAAGACGACGATTTGCGCGCTTCTGCCGTGTCCATGGGGATATCGTCAGGGGAAACATCTGGCCGTACTTTGGAGTAGACGCCGCCAATGATCCTCAGCGCAACAGCACGCTCCTTGCGCGTTTCCTTGCTGACGGTTGTGTCGCTAAGCACCTTGTCACATACGTCTCGAAGCACACTTTCCACTTCTAGTTTTGATCCGCGCCAAATCGCTTGCAGACCCTGGATTCACACATGGCATATTTGTTTTCTTTAGCTATGCATGATCCATAGAACACTCGCGTCTTCTTTTTTTTATTTATTTCATCCTTGTTCTCCTTACCTTTTGAGCCGCTTCTTCCTCCAGTTTACCCCGTTCCTCATCCGTCAAGCCCTTCTCTTCAGCCTTGGCCAGTTCACTGAAGCTCGACTGCAGATCCAATGCCGTGCGCAACGTGCCCACGGTCTCGCTAAAGATATATCCCTTTTCACGCACGCTGTGGAACATGCCTCCCAGACCAAACGCGATACTCTTGCCCAGATACTGGTTTGCCTTCATGGTATATGTTCCACCAATCGCATGCAACAGCTCCACACCGTAGTTTTCATGCTTTAGATCTTCGGCCTCGATCTGAACAATGTTGGTGAATGCTGCAATCGACACGGGTGTATCGTCCGGCCGTTCAGTATAAAGACTGAGCTTATTGCTCAGCTTGGTCACCAATGTGTCGACGCGTTTGGCTCTCGTCTGGGCACGTTCCTGCTCCATCTTTTCCTTCTGCGCCTCCCGTTCAGCTTTCTCTTCGGGCGTCAAGTTCTGTTCGTTTTCATTGCTTTCTGCGTCCGCTGTCTCGAGTGCTTCGCGCATATCTCGTCCAATTGAAATCTCTCCAATGATATCCACAAATCGTTCACCGCCAAACGATTGTCTAAAGAACTCTTCAGGGTCCACAAACCCGCCGTCAGGTTTCAGCCCGTTTTCTTCGCCGATTTCGTTGTATCGTTTTCGTAGCTTTGGATCTGACAGGACTTGATATGCTTCCGATATTTTTTTAAACTAACGTTGAGAAATTTGGGTTGTCGTTACTTTTGTGTTTCAGGAATTACAAGTGACCAAGATAATCTTGGCATTTCCAACTACCATAACTACTGGTAGCAGGACATCCCTGCTCCTCATTACTGCCCCAATAGAATGTTACCTTATCCTCGGCAGTAGGATCGTCTCTGTTTTTGTCAGGATGGTATTTGATGGCCATTTTACGATATGCCTTTTTAATTTCATCCTGGGTAGCTGTAGGCTGTACGCCTAACAAGTCGTAGTATTCCGTCGACACTGGATTCTCGTCTAATAATAGCCTAACGATCAGAACGAACGATCCGTTTCCTTAATTCTATGGCTCCGTAACGTCATGCATAACATACCAGTGCCTCGTTTACGAGAAAACTTTGGCTTGCTCGATTTGCTGTTGCTCTTGAGATCGGTGCCCGAAGCATCGAGCTCGTACTCAACAACCTTTTCACAGGACCAGCATTTCACTTGGACTTTTTGACTTGCTAATCCTTTATCAGGAAGAAACTCCAATGCTGTCTTACAGTCGGTGCAGGTTGCTTTTATATACGGCTCCGGTTTTCGTGAGTTAAACACCGTCATGACCCAACAGCGAAAAAAAAATGTATATGCGGGGAGAGAGAGAGAGAGAGAGAGCGAGAGAAACGGTGAGGTTTGTTCTTTTAGGTAAAAGGAAAAAAAGTTCAGTCAGCACTGAGTTTCTTTTTTTTTTTTTGCATTCTCGGGATTGTGGAGGAGGGTCATGAGTACACTATACTGGATGCTGCGTATTCGGGTTGCATGATCTCTATCTGTTTTATCATTTGAGATTAAGGGCTAAACATATCGCTTCAGGTGGAAGGGCCAACTATGCGCTTATATTGTCATAAAAAATATGTAGCTAGCAGATACTATCAACAAGTAGCATCCCCACTACGAGCTTCTTACTACACCATGTAGTAGACTTCCACATTGTTTTCACGTGATTTTTACTCCGAATGAAGAGCATGAACTTTCGTTACTACTGACAACGTTTCAAAGTCGTCAGTAAGTTGCTACCCTATGTTTGCTAAATATCACTAAATCGTTATCTTTAGTTCCAAGAAAATGCTTTTATGTGCAAAGATGAATATATATATATATATGTATATTATGCGTACTTTGTGATGTTGCGTGATAAAACGGAAGATGATGCATGTGATAGCAGTGCCTGAATATGTATATGAAGAGTACTGACATACTATGTACTACATATATAAACAGCTATTCATTACTATTAGCTAGGAAAGAAAGAAGTGTGTGTGATGGTAAATGATGATGTGCAGACAAAGAGAAAGGAAATGCAAACAAGAGAGAGAGAGTGTGTGTGTGTGTGTGTCGTAAGTATTTACAGATTATGAGAAGAAGAAGGGAAAGAAAGGTTTGCTGATGTGTTCGTATTATTGTTGTTGTTGTTGTTGCTACTACTGCTATTGCTGCTGCTATCGGTATCGTTCTTAAAGTTGCTACAGTTGGGAATTTCGTTGTTGCTTATGCCGCTCCAGCCTTCGCGGTCAACAATACTGTACTTGTCTTTCCAAATCCACGAGTTACCAACGATCCCTTGACCTTGTCTAGCGGCCATGCGGTAATACAGGGCCGCCTTGTACAAATCCTTCTTCACACCGTGGCCATGGGAATAACAAAATGCCAAATCGTTCTGTGCATCTGGATCGCCCATATTGGCGGCTATTTCAAAGTAATAGGATGCCATAACCAGGTTTTTTGGTACCTAATAATAAGTTGCGTAATAAGTAAAATTTATTTAGCTCTATCACCCTCAAGCCCAAAAGACTCGATTCCTCCCCTCCCCCTGACCCTTTCTGGCTTTGCTTTCAAGACAGTACAAGATGATGATCACTATATACTTACACCCCACCCATGGCGAAAACTGATGGCAAGCTCGTAAATAGCAAGGATCAATTCGGATTTGGCAATAGCGGTGGATTTGGCGATGCCGGTTTGTAGGTCATAGACTGCACATTCTGCAGCTTTCTGCAAATAGCGTACAGCGATCGCAGGATTCTTTTTACAGCCCTATTACAAGATATTAGTGCTGTAGTGAATAAAAAAAGAAGCATGACAATATGTGTGTATGTGATGTTGTAAATAAGCTAATAACGATCAGTTTTTATAATATAGGGGGTGGTGGGAAGAAGAAGAAGAAGAAGAAGAAGATAATGATCGACTCATTTACCCAGCCGTGTCGGAGCGCAATGCCGTAAAAGAACAGACCCAGTGGTGATTCTGTCTCGGCCGATAATCGCCAATAGTACGTTGCCTTTTCTAACTCTCCGTGTTCATGAAGTTGCATGCCCCATTGCAAATACTGGTCTGGCGTAAATGGTATTGCTGTATCTGTTGTTGTTGCTGTTGCTGCATCTGTTGTGTTTGACAGTAGTGGTGGAGCTGCATGAAATGATGCCCTACTCCGCCGTCGGGGCGCCACGAACGATGAGGGCAACGGGGTACTCGTGCTAGCAGTAGATGCTACAACAACTCCTGAAGCAAACGACGCTGCTGTATGTGCACTGAGTGGTGATGTCGAAGTGGAATGTCCACCTGTTGTTGTCGTTATAGTACTTGATGAAGATTCCGTAATGGAGCTATGGTCGTCCAACATGTACGCTTTTCTTGCATCGGCTCGTTGCTGTTCTACTAGGATAGCGCTTTTGCGACTTTCACTCGTGCTTTTAATCATGGCTGATAGGGAGCTGCTGACGCTGGCTGATCTCGCAAAGAGTGAATGCCGCTTTTTTTGCTTACTACTTGCTGTAGTGGTAGTGTCGATCGCCTGATCTTTACTGTTGAATATGCTTTTGAATTTAAACATGCAGGAATTGCGTATAGATGGAGGAAGAAAGTGAAAGAAGAACAAGAACGAGCTTTTGTTGGAAAAAACAAAATAAATAAATAAATGGTTTTACGCTCTCGGCAAACAAACGGAGGTGAGTGGACCCTAAAACCGGCAAGCGCAACAATGTGGCTCAAAAATACATGCAATGTTGTTGTTTTTTTCTCCTTTTAGGGTCATTACACAAGTGTGACGCTGGGGGATCGTTGAGCGAGGTCAGATTTATATAAATATAATAAGAGAGAGAGAGAGAGAGAGAGAGAGAGAGAGGTTTTTTATTATAATTAATAGGGTAATAGGGTCTGCTGCTATTTTTACAACTTGGCTTCCAAGTATTCGGCACGGTTCTGCTTCTTTGCCGCTGCCTTTTCATATTCATCCTTGCTGATTGGACGTGCTTCCACAGCCTGTCATTTTGGGTCAAATGTGAGTATTATTATCTCTCTCTCTCCAAAAGGTCCATTCACTATTGCCTAGTGCTACTTACAGGATTGTATCCGACATGAGGTTGGGTGTAGTTGGCATTGGCCTTCTTGTAGATCGTGACGACGACAGCACCACCCAAGCCGACGTTGTGTTGAAGAGCACGCTCCACGTTGGGCACTTGACGGTCACCAGCCCATCGACGCAACTGCCAGCAGAGCTCTGTGCATTGGGCCAAGCCAGTGGCACCAAGAGGATGGCCCTTGGAGATCAAACCACCCGAAGGGTTTATTACGTACTTGCCGCCGTAAGTGTTATCTCCCGAATCGATCAGGGTGTGTGCCTTGCCAGGAGGCGTCAAGCCCAAGGCATCGTACGTGACAAGCTCGTTGGCAGAGAAGCAGTCGTGCAGTTCGACAACTTGGACATCGTTGGGAGTAATGCCGGCTTGCTTATAAGCCTCTTGAGAAGCACGGCGGGTCATGTCGGTACCAGCCCATTCGATAGCTAAGATGGGGTGCACGTGTTTTTGAGTGATATGTGCTGCGACATATGTATAAGAGCTACTACTGCTTACCATCGGTTGACAACATTTTGGGAGAATCTGTTGCCATGACTTGGGCACAGATCTCGACGGCCTGGTCCATCAAACCGTGCTTCAAGACAAATTCTTCGCTGGCGACCACGGCACAGCCAGCACCATCCGAAGTGGGGCAGCACTGAAGCTTGGTCAAGGGACCGTAGATGGTGGGCGACTGCTTGATCTGTTCCAAGGTGTAGATATCACGGAACTGCGAGTAAGGGTTCTTGGAGCTGTGGCGATGGTTCTTTTCGGCAATCTTGGCCAAGTGATCGTCCGTGGCACCATAGCGACGCATGTACTCCATACCGGCGTTACCAAAGATTTGAGGAGCGCGAGGAGCATTGCCCTTGTAGCCAATCTGCTCGGTCATCAAGTCATGGACGTGATCTATAAAAACACATATGCGTTTGAGTTAGTCAAAGAGAACTGATAGATGTTATGATACAGTTAGCATGAGAGAGAGAGAGAGAGAGGTGGATTACCCAATGGGGGAGTGCGATCACTAAAGTTGGATTTCAAGGAGCCACGCTGCATACGCTCAAAGCCAAGGGCCATGGCACAGTCAACCATGCCAGAGGCAACGGCATTGCGTGCCTGGAGCAAGGCAGTCGAGCCCGTCGAGCAGTTGTTGTTGACATTAACGACGGGAATCTGTGTCATACCGAGTTGGTAAAGGACGCGCTGGCCAGAGGTACTGTCACCGTAGCAATAGCCAACGGCGGCAAATTCAACTTGGTCATACGACAACTTGGCATCGTTCAATGCCTTGACAGCAGCCTCAAGACCGAACTCTACATTCATCCATTAATAAACTGCAAGAAACGGCTGAATAATAAAAAAGCGTCTTGTTCTTGTATCTCTTTCTCTCTCTCTCTCTCTCAAATAATAATAATTATAAAACCAATGTACCTGGATAATCGACCTGGCCGCGGGGCTTAATGAACTTGGACATGCCAACGCCGACGACGTACACTTTGTTTGCTGGGGCCTTGGGCATCTTTTTAATAAAAAGCTGTTGTGGGGGTGGGAGAAGAGAAAAAGGTTGGAAAGAGAGGGAGTCATCATTTCTTTAGGATTGCATATTTGTACACATCCGGGTTCAGTAATTCTAATAGACGGTTCTCCCCACGCTACACAGAATCCTTTCCCAGGCGGCGCCAATTTACTCATCCTGAATTACGCATCGTGGCTGCACAACACACGGTACATCTTTTTCTCTCTTTTTCTTTCTTTGATAATATTTTGCATTCTTCTGTGAAAAAAAAAAGAATTAATGCTACAAATTATGTGCTGTGTGTGTGTGTGTGGGTGTATGGGATGGGAAGAAGAGGTGTGACTTATTCGGTATGCAGGCAGTACTAGATATGTCAAGAAAAAGTGCAATTGCTGTTGGGTGTGGCTGATGTGGTATATATATAATCTATGCATAGTACAAGAAAAACAAAGGAGGAAGTAGATGTTGCGTTTTGATTGCGAGAGAGTATGTGTGGTTAGATATGCGTATGATACGAGAAGGATATTAAATGTAGTATAGTAGGAGTGAGATCAATCGATTGGTATCGAGGGTGGTGGTGACGCTGTGATAAGCATTTGAAGCTCGTCCAGTTTCTCCGTCAACAATTGACATCGGATATGTAACCGACTTTCCCAGTCGTGGTAATCACCTTCATCCACTACTGGCGGCGCATTATCCGTTGTGTCGTCCTTGTTGTTGTTGTTGTTGCTGGAATCATCTTTTTTGTTGTTATTGCTAGGTGGTGCAGTAGTATTACTAGTGCTACTATTATTATTATTATTATTATTATTATTTTCGCTGTTTCGACGGGCTGCATGAAAATAATGCTCGGCCCGTTTAATGAGACTACGGATCTCGGGCACAAGATCGCTGTTCTCGTCAGGGCTTTGCTGTATCCGGAAACAGTTCAACACCGCCAACTCGTACATAGCGTACGGTATTACCCAACGATCTTCGTAGAGTTGGATATGCATGGCGATCGTTGCCTGGAAGCACTTTTCGGCCGGGCCAAAATCGCCAAGTTCACGCAACACGGCACCAAGGATAACACGCAAGATAGCAAGATCCGATGGTTGATGTTGCTGCTGTAGACTGCTATTCGCATGCTGTTGGTCGATGGTTGACTGCAGCTGCTGTTTCATGGTATCAAGCATCTCCGTCGATAGTTGAGGAATGCCGTTCCAAAGATAAATGAGCTCCCACAATGGGTTTACGACAACGACCTGTTTCAACAATTCGCCATCGAGCAAGAGGTATCGCTCCTTCATGTACTCTTGCTGTTGCTCTGTTTGTGGCTGCGTCATCCATTGGAGATGTACTGGTAAATAAGTGCCTTGTGATATTATCATGTGCACCTTTTCCTTCCATCGCTTGATCTTGCGCTCAGCAAACATTTCGTTCGGCAATAACCGTCCGCCAAGTTGTCGCTTGCGGTCAAGAATACTAGGGATCTGTTGAAACTCCATGCCCGCCTTGTCATATTGTTCGTCGGCAAACATGCAACATGTGGCAATGTAGTGATAGAAAGCACGCGACCAGTTGTTCATGCTTTCCAGTCGGAAAAAGGTTTCAGAAGCTTGAAAGTAGTCGCCTAAGAACACTTGAGCCCTAGCAAGAAATTGAAAAAGTTTATAACTAGTTAGACAGTTTTCCTTTGGAATGGAGCAAGTAAAACCTTACCATCCCATTTCATAAACGGCCAAGCCTTGTAGTTGAGCTAATTCGCTGACAACCATTCGGCTCTTTTTCTGCTGTTGTTGTCGTTGTTCTGGAGATGCTGATGAACAAGTAGAAGAAGGGTGTTGCTTCTCCCGTGGCGCTTCATTGACCCATTTCTTCGTACCACCACCGAGATCCACGCGAATACTATGTCGACGGCGTGCATCACGCAGGATTTCAACGCCCTTACGCGACTTGCCTTCCATTTTGCACAGCTTGCCTTCCAACAATTCCCATATCTTGCTGTTTGGAAATTTCGCCTTCATGTCGTTCAACATGGCTCGTGTCGTCTCACGCGTCATGGAGTTCGGTAACAGACGTGGGTGGATAAACAACGACAAGTTGGTGAAATAAACAAGTAAAGTCAGGGCGCTTAGACTGGAGTAAAGGCCATGACTTTGGTATGATTTTTGAAGAACGTGTAATGCAAAAGGTCGGGAGGAATGGAAACCAAGCGTGTTGAGGATCTTGTTTACTAAGACAGCAATGTCGTTATGTGTTAGAGTATTCTTTTTTCTTTGCCACAAGCATCATTTACTTTACCTTTGGGAGGCAATAACGAGAAGATCAGACTGAAAAGGCCGATTCCAAAAAAGACTCCACTCTCTACGGTGCTATCGTGTTTCTCGCCGTCGTTGTTGTTGACGTCCGCATCGCTGCTGTTGCAAGGGGCATTGGCGAGCCCGTTGGATGATGCCAGTGAAAGACGTCGTTTTGAATCCCAAGAACGGATACTGCTTGGTGTGCGTGTAACCCCAGTCGGCAAATTGAATAAACTGAATCGTTTCTCAGCTCCAGCAGGCGTACGAGTGTCTTTGTGATTGTTTGGAGACAAGGGTCCAGTTGCAGTTCCTGGCGATCTTCTATTGGACGATGACGACGACGACTCTGGATGTTTTCGTCGTTTCAACATGGCTGCACACTCACTTGGCTTTTGTCCAGTCAAATTGGTAAACATGTGTTCGTACATTTTGTAAGACTTGCGGAGTCTGTACGTCGCCTTCATGTATTCAAGCCAGCTATTGCCCATGAACTGCGTCGTGGCGCTCATCAATATGCAATTGATTTCCAGCAGTTCGCACTGAAGGTCAAACGTGCGCCGTACATTTTTCGTTGTGATCGATGGCGTTGTTCCTGTCGCTGTTGTTGTTGCTGCTGCTGCTGCTGCTGGTTTTTGGTTCTGCTGTTGTTGCTGCTGTTCCTCGGGCGCTGTCATGACAGATTCCATCGACGAGGAAGATGTGGTGGTACAGCTTGCCGAATCGTCGCTAATCATGATTTTTTCTGCGCCGTCCTCGTCAAATGCAATGGAAACTTCATGCTGGTTGTCCTTGTGGCTACCGTCATGGTCAGGGGGAGTGCAGGGAGGGGCGGCGGTGGTGGATGTGGCAAAGGAGGCTGCACTACTACCATTCCATCCTCGTTTTCGAACTCGTCGACCATATTGCCGTGCCAGATCTTCTGCTGCTGCTATCCGAGCAGAGGCAATGCTTATCTTCTCCACGTCAAATGCAAGCATGGCCTCTACATAGGCCATTAGAGCATAGGCAACTGCATGGAACGGTGATACGGCGGCGTGTTGTGAAAGTATCGAGTCAGCTTGATCGAATTGGTCATTGAGGAGTGCATCCTGTTATTTAAATCATAAAAAAGGGGCGTTTTGTCGATGACGAGAAGGTGTAGATGGTTGAAAAAAGGGTCAAGGTAAGAGCGAATATCAGTATTTGCCTCCCACTGCCCTTCTGTTGTCTTTTTTCCCCGGGAAAAGGTGCAACGAATAACAATAATCGTTGTAATGATAATAATAATGGATACACGTGCATACCAGACCACGTTGTGCTTCCGCCACCCAGAATTCAATCAATTGTGGTGAAGGCAAGGGATCTTGATGGGAAGACGATGTTGTGCCCATGCCGGTGTACTTGAACGTATACGAGGTTAATCTCGAGATTTGGTGGCGGAACATTGTGTGGTTTATATATTGTTCGACACACTGCTCTTTCCTCTCTTTTTTTTCCGTTTTAACTAGAGTCTATTTAAAGATAAAAATATATATATAAATATCTACATATCGGTAATGTTACGGACACCTGTCCGTTCTCTGGGTTTTTGTAATGCCCGAGCACATTGCTATTGTTTCTAAACAAGGAAACGGTTCTTTTTACCTTTTACTTTTTAAAAGGAAGGACGGAAAGAACAAAAGTACGTCAAGCTCGAGCAGAGGAGATATAAAAAAAAGAGAGAGAGAGAGAGGGAGAGAGAAAAAGGGCTCTTATTGCGCGACCAGCAGCAGAAATATGGTACTACTTTAACCACTGCATTACAGCCGCCTTTGTCCCCGAAAATAATTGCGGTGTGCAGATGCTGTAGCCAATCAGATCCGTTCTCCTAAACCTGTTGCAAAAAGGAAACTTAGTTCTTGTGATCGTTGTATAGATGTTTACCACACAGGATGATGATACATGTTTCCAAACCATCAAGAGTCAATGCATATAGTATATATATTATTTGCATATGCACCTGACGATGGACAACAAGGTCACAGTATGTGTACAGAAAAGTTTCATCATGCGGGGACAGACCGTTCATTGTAATAGCAGCTTACACCTTTGACACTTTATCATCAATCATCCATTGTTTACCTTGTGACAGCTTGTCCATGATAATGGAGATTGTTTGAACATATCCATGACAAACAATTACGTACCATGTTTACACAGCAATGACTTGAGCTACATCATAATACGGCTGCTCTATGATGTGCTTTACCACAGCATAATGCAGATACGAATATACATCAAGCATTTGACGGGTAGGAGACCCATCTCTCACAAAAAGGGACGATCACAAAAGAGGTGTGTGCGTGGCTCGTGACACATTATAACTGTATTACTCCATACATTATTTACACATGGCTGCAGGTTAGTTTTCTCTACTAACCTAGCTACATACATAGCAAGTAGGTCAACTCAGTAATAGAATATGTAAGTGGAAACAAGAAAGGGAGCTGTCCGTCCGTGCGGCGACATAATAATAGCACTAATAACTAGAATGGGTTAGTAAAAAAGGGAAAGAAGATCCCGAATCGGCAATCTGCCCAGTTGTTGAGTTAGTGGATTGCCTACTATACTTCTTACTAAGTGACTATATATACGATGGTAATAGGTCAGCAAAGCGAGGTACATAAGCAAGCATGTGCCCGCTAGAACTTTTCCAGGGACTCGGTGCAATGTTAATGAAAGCCAATGGTTCCACAACGAGAGAATGATTTGGAAGCCAGTAAATTGGCTAGTTACTCTTGTGCAACCCGAAGCGTTTGACAAAGAAAAAAAAGTTGATGGGCCACGTTTTCTAAAGGGTGTAGCGTAACTACTATGTATTCGATTTTGTTTAACAAGGTTAATAAAGGAAAGGTGGGGGGATGGTAGTAGTAGTAGTAGTAGTAGTAGTAGTGGGTGGGAGGGAGTTGAATATGCATTACACACAAACACACACACACACACACACACACATCCATTACTCATTCACGCGCGAGATGCTCAAGTAGAACACTTCTGGGAAGATACTAGCAGCGTGGAGTTCGATTCTTCAACTTAATTCAGCAGCGCAGAGAAACCAGAAATGCGGGATGAATGGGGAGGGAGGGCAAGAAAGAAACTGTAGAAAGAAATAATTTTTTAATAACAGCGAGCAACGACGCGGTCTGGAGCGGAATTGAACAGAACAATCAGGTATTAATTTTCATACATCAGAACTCCTTTTCATAAAACAGATCGAACGGGTTGCTACTGCTTTTGCGCGACGATCATAGGATAAACAAACGTGGCCACCATGGCGAAAGGCTTGGAGGGAGCGACGAAGGGGAAGGAAGAGGGTGAGAGACCACAAAGAGAGAGAGAGAGAGAAACGATCTAAAAGCATTACAAAGCGCGTTCTTTCTCTGTGGTACGCATATTAGATTATTAATAACGGACCTGGACACACACTCTCTCTCACGGCACAAACTCACACAGGCGAAGTCATACGCCTTGAATATCTGTCAAAGATCCAACACAGAAATAGATAGCGTTTCTCTCTCTCTCTTTTTTTTTTCTTTTTCTCTCTTTTTCTCTTTACACCGCTTGTGAATTTGAATTCCAAGGCGTGCCCTTATTTTTTATTTTTTCTTTTCGTGGACTTCAATTGACCTTCACCCACCCCTTGCATTCATCCAATATTATCAAGAAAAGAGGGAAAGACACTAGCACACAAGCGCATTCCATTCCTTCGCAGTCAGTCAGCCACCCCCGCCCCTCCCACCTCGCTTGTATAAACCACAACAACACCATTCACAATGGGAAACAGTCATAGTGCCAACAAAAGCAAAGCGATCGACAAGCAAATTAAGCATGACCAAAAACGCTTGAACCGAGAAGTCAAAATTCTACTGCTAGGTAAACAAGTGTATGTGGTGTGTGTGAAAAGAGTGTCAGCCAGTCATATGATCCTCGTGCTAAGACTGGGTACCTTGTTTCCAGGTGCAGGTGATTCCGGCAAATCAACAGTGTTAAAACAAATGCGGCTTATCCACGCGTCTGGATTCTCGCCTGCAGAACGAGAGGCGTTTCGACTCGTCATCTTTGGAAACATTCTCTCGGCTATGCAGTCTCTGCTCGAATGCATGAATGAATTGCAATACACCTTGGACAACCAAACAAACTGGGTGAGTAGTCAACCCCTGCTACTTGTCGGCTTGGATCTCACATAAATGATTAACTGTGGGGGTTGTCGTTTTTTGCGCTAGGCATACATTTCACTGTTCGAGGCATTGCCCATGATCAAACATGGCACGCCTTATCCGGGCGAGTACCTGCAACCCCTCAAATCACTGTGGGCTGATGGTGGCATTCAGGAAACGTTCAAAAAGGGAAACACATTTGCCCTGAATGATAATGTGCAGTTGTAAGTGATTCATCTTCCACAGATTCGGGTTTCAAATAGACTCCGCGTGATAGGACTACTAATAACCTGTAAAATACAGCTTCTATGATGATCTTGACCGAGTATTCCAGCCCGACTATATGCCAACAGATCAAGATATCATTCAATGCAGGATTAAGACAACTGGTAAAGTATCATCCGTCCCTTTTTCGGATTGAACGGCTGTGCTGACCTGACCCTTGCACACACACACACACACACACACACACAGGTATTGTCGAAACAACGTTCCGCAACGGTCCAATAATTTATCGAATGTGCGACGTGGGCGGTCAACGAAGTGAACGGAAGAAATGGTAATCATTGATCATATCTTACAAACCCCAAACGTTGTGTGTGAGTCTGTTCACCAACATAAGAGGAGATGATGCTGACCAAAACGTTTACATATAGGATCCATTGCTTTGAAAATGTCGCTTCGGTTTTGTTTGTCGTAGCGATTAGTGGCTACGATTGTTGTTTGGTTGAGGATCGTGATTCTGTAAGTTATCGCGTACAATTTTTTCTTGGATGAGTGTGATACAAGGGAGATTGTAAGGAAACTCAAAGTTATACTCTGTCTTTTGTTTCTTTTTATAGAATCAGGTTGGCTATCGATCCATCCATGCAATAAGGAAACACATAAGGTTGTACAAGAGGGGAGAAACTCACATTTATGCCAATTACCTTATAGATGTATGAAGCACTGATGCTCTTTGACTCGATATGTAACTCCAAGTGGTTTGTAAACACCTCCATGATCCTGTTTCTGAACAAGGTGGATGTATTCAAACGGAAGCTCCGAGAGTCACCTATCAAAACATACTTCCCAGACTACACAGGTAAAAGAATGAGAAACTCTTCTTCTTGGTGGAAGTAGTAAGGAGCTTGATAGATTAGATAGGCGAGGGATCTGTCTAGAAACTAATGTGTTGCACACTGTTTATAGGTTCCTCCAAGGACTACAACCAAGCAGCAGATTATTTCCGCAAACGATTTGAAATGTTGAACCGTAGCTCAAGAAAGCAAATCTACGTGCACTACACCGTGGCCACCGATACCCGACTATTGGGTCACGTTATGAACTCGGTTTCCGATAGCATCCTCCATGAAAATGTTCAAACTCTTTTACTATAACCATTCTCCCTAGTACAACAACCGCCACCCTTATACACACACACACACACAATGCGAACTGCATCCCCATTACTGTCCTTACTAATTCATTCTGGTCCTTACTAACCAACAACAACAACTACTATTACTACTAACGACTACTATTTCATCTCCTCTTCTTTTGCTCGTTTGATATACCCCGCCCTCATGAGTAATCTAACACAGACACATCCTTTTTTTTTGTATATTATCTACTGCTATTTAAAACTACTATACAGCATGTACGCCCACACACGCACACACACACACACATACACACATACACACAAACATGCACAACCATTCATTCACTCACTTTTCACCAAAAACCCAATCAATCCTCACTTGTATTTTTCTTGTTGCTTTCTATCCTAATTGCCACTCATATTACAACCCCTTGTTCTAGCATGACCTAATTTTCTAAAGATATTGGATTTTTCCTATTACTTCGCGTCCCTCCATTTTTACTTTCGCCAAAGATAATTTTTAATATTTGCGCACACTATAATTTTCAATTTCGCGTCTCATTATTCGCATTTTTGCGTTCTAGTTACTATATTTGACGAATAAAAAAATGTTGCTCCTCTATACAAAAAGAGCACTATAAGATGCTTATTTGGAGCTCAAGAAGCCTAGAAGCAGACAGAGTGCTATTTATGGCCCTGGAATCACTGAAACCCTCTCCCATACACACGACATATTCAGTGGCCGTCAATAATTTCACTCTCTTTTCTGTCACTCTGAGTGCATGATAGCTCTTTACACCTCGTCTTCACTCTTTCTTTATTATAACTGTCAAAATGGTGTGGCCCCCATTCACGAAAAACCTGAAAATTCAGGTCAATAACAATGATAAAAACCATGTAATTGATATTGTTGGGTGCTTCAAGAAAAGCAATCTGATTGAACGAGAAAAAGCAGAAGCGCAGTTCAAGGCTGAGGTAACGCACATGTCAGAGTGGAAACCAAGTAAAGTCCGGCAATGGAACCAACAACAAGTTGAAAACGATTACTCGGTATGTTTTTTTTGTTTGTATGTTACTCAGTAGCTATTATGGTTTTCCGTCTGACTGTTTTTTATTCTGCTTAACAGAGATTGTCAAGTGGAGGATACGAAGAATACTGGCGCGCAATCGAAATTGATAAAAAGCATAATGAAGCGGAAGCAGCAGAAACTAAATCGTACTACCAAACTCGTAAGGATTCTGCCAAACGGCCCACGGTAGGTAAACTCAAGTGAAACTCTACTGAATCAGCTTACGTCAAACACTTAATGAAATACAATTGATTACTCGACTCTATCAACTCTATTGTTTACAGATCAAAGCAGCTATTAGGACGAGTATAGTGAATATTTGAGTCATGGTCTTTCCAAACTTCATTGGTTTATCTTTTGCCCGACAATATATTTTTGTTTTGAAAAAAAAGCAAAAACAATCTACTACTCAACAAAATTCATCGACACCAGCAGCAACAACAACAGCACAAGTCGATTATGTTCCGCAGGGTGCCACAGCAACAGTATTGCGACCCCTAGTGGTGATGATGATGATGATAATAGTTCGTAGTAAGCTTACTCAGTCCTTTAAGTAAGAGAAAAGATAATTAAACAGCAGCTGTCATCAAGGAAATAAAAACAGAGCTGTGCAAGAATGTTGTACCTTTGTTTGCTTGCAAAAACACGTCATCGAACAAAGGTTCATAGAGATTAATTTGATACCATCCTTCATTATTTTGTCTGGAGAACTTAGCAGACTCCCATAAAAGCAACCTGCAGGTTTCATTAGTTAATTAAGTAATGTAAATTTTGTTTATTAAAAAACATACATCTTGTGAAGAGCAGATCGAATATATTCCCAATCAGAAGAAACGTGTGCTTGCTTGGAAAAATGTTGTTTTATCATGTATAGTTCCTCTAAACCATCACATCCACGAATCATACCGAGCCACTCCGCCTCATCTTGTAAAATGAAATGGGGAAGACGAAGAAAACCAACTATCTGGCATAGATGCGTCCAGTACCGAGAGTGGTGCACTTTTTCTGTCAAGTCAAGGCTGTTTTCTTTTCCACTAAAAACAGGGTATTGGGAAAACGTTTTAATATGTCATAATATCAAGTCCATGTATTATCAAAAAAGCAAACAATGCTTACAGCTGCTCATATATAAGCAAAAGTCTGTCTTCATCAGAAAGGCTGTGTAGTTTTTCAGTCCATTTATCGGTTTGCTCTTAGCTCTTATCTCCTGCCGTGTCTTTTTGATAAACACCATCTACTGTTGCTGTGGCACCCTGCGGAACATAATCGACTTGTGCTGTTGTTGTTGCTGCTGGTGTCGATGAATTTTGTTGAGTAGTAGCTTGTTTTTGCTTTTTTTTTAAAACAAAAATATATTGTTAGGCAAAAGATAAACCACTGAAGTTCGGAAAGACCATGACTCAAATATTCACTATACTCGTCCTAATAGCTGCTTTGATCTGTAAACAATAGAGTTGATAGAGTCGAGTAATCGATTGTATTTCATTAAGTGTTTGACGTAAGCTGATTCAGTAGAGTTTCACTTGAGTTTACCTACCGTGGGACCGTTTGGCAGAATCCTTACGAGTTTGGTAGTACGATTTAGTTTCTGCTGCTTCCGCTTCATTATGCTTTTTATCAATTTCGATTGCGCGCCAGTATTCTTCGTATCCTCCACTTGACAATATCTGTTAAGCAAAAAAAAACAGTCAGACGGAAAACCATAATAGCTACTGAGTAACATCCAATCAAAAAAAACATACCGAGTAATCGTTTTCAACTTGTTGTTGGTTCCATTGCCGGACTTTACTTGGTTTCCACTCTGACATGTGCGTTACCTCAGCCTTGAACTGCGCTTCTGCTTTTTCTCGTTCAATCAGATTGCTTTTCTTGAAGCACCCAACAATATCAATTACATGGTTTTTATCATTGTTATTGACCTGAATTTTCAGGTTTTTCGTGAATGGGGGCCACACCATTTTGACAGTTATAATAAAGAAAGAGTGAAGACGAGGTGTAAAGAGCTATCATGCACTCAGAGTGACAGAAAAGAGAGTGAAATTATTGACGGCCACTGAATATGTCGTGTGTATGGGAGAGGGTTTCAGTGATTCCAGGGCCATAAATAGCACTCTGTCTGCTTCTAGGCTTCTTGAGCTCCAAATAAGCATCTTATAGTGCTCTTTTTGTATAGAGGAGCAACATTTTTTTATTCGTCAAAAATAGTAACTAGAACGCAAAAATGCGAATAATGAGACGCGAAGAATAAAAATTACAGGTCGTATTACCTCCTCCGCAGCCGCGAAAGCCGGGGGATGCGAAGTAATAGGAAAAATCTAATAGACACCAAGACTTTTCTAATCCCGGATCTTTTGTATGGTTTACATGTATTCGTACATATCCAAAACATAAATTCTGCTATTTGTACATGAAAACACTGTTAACAATAATTTTATGCTTACAAAAGTCTTGACTTGAATATCAACAAAAGCAGTAGTGATGGTTTCTTTCTTTAGTGATAATGACGTTGTTGGATGGGATGGGATGGATGATGATGTGAAATATGCTAATAAGGTTTGAATCGACGCGCTTGTTTCTGCAGTGCAATTTTCTGTTTGTCTTGTTCGAATCGTTCTCGAAGTTGTTGCAGTTCTAAAAGAGAGATCTTGGTTAAATTAAATTTGTCTTTTTTTAAACATATCCACCAAGGGAGGCCACTCTTACCATTTTGCTTCTTATGGCGTGTTTGGAATCGATAAAAGTCACTAAGATCACCCATGACCTTCTTCTTTTCTGGTTCCACAGGTGCAGCAGTAGTAGCACCAGCCGAGGCTATGCCCTTTCTGACACGCGTAACCACTGTGAATCCATCCTCGTCCATCTTGTTCATGCGCTCCTGCGCTTCGCGTTCCTTTTCATACTCGCTAGCAGTAAACTTGAGCATAAATGCATTCACTTGTTGCTGGAGCTTATTATGATCGGGTCGTGCCATGTTGTACTGTCGTACATATCCTATTGTTGCCGTGTATAAATAAAGATCAGGTTAACAGACACGTCGTAGGCATACAAGACCCTATTTCTCAAAAGCCAAAACTTACGCTTGAAACCCAACGTTTGTTGCTTTGTCTCTGCCTTCCACTTTCTATCTTGATGCGGCATATCCAATACTCGATCCAAGTCGTCTTGTGATGCAAATACAACATGGGCCGACGATCCACTCTCCAATATCCGTCGCAACACTGGTGTTTTTTCTTCTTCTTCTTGCTCTCGTCGCAGGTTCTTTTTGCGTTGGTTCTTCTTTTTCTTATTACTACTACTACTATCCGCTAACTCTTTCTGTTGTTGTTGCTGTTGCTGGCCGGGATATTGAATGTGTTCGATTTGACCGTATTCATTGAAAAGTCCGTGGAGGTGGCTGTCAGTGGTATCAACTGGAAGATTCAAGACAAATAACGATCGATCGTTGCCTTCGGTCGGCATCGTCGTCACTGTTCGTACTTCATGCTTTTTAATGTATATATAATGGCGGCAGTTCTTGGCTACAACTACGGGTAAAGCTTTGAAACCGTAGAAATCTTGAAGATCAGGATTGCTGTTGTCTGCTATTTTAGGTGTTGTTGCCGCTGCAACCGAAGGAGAAGAAGACGACGATTTCTTTTTGGCCATTATTATTATTATAAGAGTTGATCAAGAGTAGTATGTGCCAAAAGAAAAAAAAAGTTGAAAGCTTTAATTCAGCGGGGCTTTGCTTCCTTCGGCCGGTGGCTGGGTTGGTGGATCTTCGGTCCCATCATTGAAGCTTCTTCCTTCCCTGACCCACAAAGTACTGATATACTCTCTCCCTCCAGGTATTGACGCTCTCTTATTGTAGACAAGTTACAAAAGAAGAAAGTGTGGAGAGCGGATGAGAGTGTGGAGTTTCTTTTAAAAGCAAAAGTACATTGATATGCTGTGCAAAAAAAAAGCACGAATTCAAGGAGTTGGTGTGTGAGAGTCCACTCTTTTATAAGAACCCCTATCCTTTATATCATGCTGTTTCTCCTCCCTTCCCCCCTCCTTAATAGTGCAGTTCTTATGTTGCTAAGAAAACACAGATCAATAAAGCTTTATTTATATTATCTCATCTCTCTCTTTTTCATTCCTTTGTTTCTTTCAAGCTTCCTTGTCCTCGTCTGCTACAATTATTTACCAAGTGTTATGGAAACAAAATCAACATCGACGCCAACTGCACAGTCGTCGTCTGCAGGCAATGATAAAAAAGGCATAGTCTATCTCTACTTTTGCATATGTACATTTTATACGTTAAGAGAAAGGACAAATCGCTTACACAGACGCACCTACACATATGAACAAAAGCAGCCCGTAAGCCGTCGTCGCTACATAACTCCAGCTCACGTCGATCCCTCGTCAATGTCTTTTCATCACGTAACTCTATCGCCCACACGCTTAAACCCCACAAATCGTCCCCTTCATTGTCTCGGACAATGTCATTTGGGGGCAAGTCCCATGTCACCAAACTGTACAATACAGGGGCGATCGCACCATCTTGCTATCTTCCAAGTCACCAACAGATTGCTGTACAGATAACTAGTCAGCCAACAGCACAGTCTTTTATAACTCCTGTGCACTCGAGACAACAGTCGAGTTTATCACTTGCTAGCAGCAGTAGTAATACAACTACTACGCGAAACAACAACAGCAACAGCAACAGCTACAACGAACAGCAGTCGTCGTATTCCTCGTCTTCGTCGTCGGTCGTTCATGGCGGCAGCGGAGTTCACTCGTCATCATCAGTATCATTGGATAAAGCACGCGACCGATCGACGTTCAAAGGGGTCTTGGACAAGGTCGTGGGCGGTTTTAATGGTAAATACACCCATATATCTTATCTGTCTATCGTACAAGATTATTTAAATTTGATATATAAAAACAGATTTGCTATCGAACAGCAATGGACCCGTCTCGAACAATAACGGCACAAACGAAACAAGCAGCACAAGTTTGAAAAATCTGGAAATATCAACACCATACAATACACGTCATTTAACACACGTTGGCTTTGATGCACATACGGGAGAGTTCACTGGCTTGCCTAGTAATTGGAACGTCTTGCTCAAGCACAGTGGCATCACGCGAACGGAACAAGAGCAGAATCCTCAGGTAAAATAAGTACCAGAGCTGAAAGATAAGAGACAACAACAACGGGATACATTATTTAAAACAATGTATGTGATTGTGGGATATTTAGGCGGTTATCAAAGCCATTGAGTTTTATCAAGAGACGCAAGGAAGAGATGAAGAGGCTGTATGGCAAAAGATACCCAACGGAACCATTTCTTCTGCCATGACCGCGACAAACAAGTCTAAACAGAGACTCGACATGAACAATGGTGGATCCATGGCAAAGCGGACATCACGTCGTCTATCAAGTATCACCAGCTCAGACGAGTCTAAGAGGGAATCTTTCAGGAAGAGCGTAGTAAGTTTTTTAAGATAGTTCATCATCTATAAGTTCGTAAAACAAATTCACTAACTTGAAAAATTTGCATGCTATAGGCGACCATTAATGAAACCTCTACTATCTACGGTTAGCAGTAGCTACTTGATTATACATTTAGAGCCATATACTAACAATCGGAATCTTGTTTCTTAGAGGAAACTACCACTACAAAGCCAAGTAGACCAGTGAGTCGACGACAAAGCGGTGTAATCCAAGAACAACGCCAGTCGACCTACAGATCTCGACCGGAGTCAAAGGCTTTTGACGACAAAGTCAGCGTAAGCAGCAGCAGCAACAGCGATGCCACTGGCAGCAACAGCAGCAGCAATACGAGCAATAATACAAGAAATTCTGTGAGCGCGAAATCCGATAAACAACCCACGACGAGCAATGTTGCAGCTGCCAAGCGTCGTCAACCCAAGCAATCCACTGAAGAATCCGATGAGCTGATGTGCAGATTACGTGAAGTATGTACGAGTGCAGATCCAACCGAACTATATCAGGATATGATCAAGATTGGTCAAGGGTAAGTTGTTAAAGAACGTGCTATGTCCTAGCCACAAGAAAAAAAAAACTGACAGGTATGACAACTCAGTGCATCCGGTGGTGTGTACACTGCTCATCGTGCGGGCAAAAAAGAAGTGCCTGTCGCTATCAAACAAATGAACTTGGACCAGCAACCCAAGAAAGAACTGATCATCAACGAAATCATGGTCATGAAACAATCAATGCACCCCAATATTGTCAACTATATGGACTCGTATCTCTGGAAAGGCGACCTTTGGGTGATAATGGAATACATGGAAGGTGGCAGTTTGACAGACGTGGTTACGTGTAACATGATGACAGAGGGCCAAATTGCTGCGGTTTGTCGCGAAGTATTAAAGGGCCTGCATCACTTGCATATGAATGAGGTGATACATCGTGATATCAAGAGTGATAATATTTTGCTCAATCTGGAAGGCAACATTAAATTAAGTAAGTTCACGATATTGGAAAAGAGGGAATGGGGAGGAGAGGGTGGGAAAGTGTGGGGAATGGCCCATTTCATTTCTAAATGTTGCTTTCTCCCGAAAATTTAGCCGATTTCGGTTTTTGTGCACAATTGAACGAAGGTCAATCCAAGCGAACTACCATGGTGGGAACGCCATACTGGGTAAATACACACTCACACACACATAGAATTGTGGTTCTCAATAATATTCAACTACTTGTTGATGGGGAGTACACCATTTGAGCTAACAACACTGCCTTTAAAAGATGGCGCCCGAAGTGGTTACTCGCAAAGAATATGGTCCTCAAGTCGACATTTGGTCACTGGGTATCATGGCTATCGAAATGGTCGAAGGCGAACCGCCCTACTTGAACGAGAACCCATTGCGTGCATTGTATCTGATTGCAACAAACGGTACACCTCAACTTCAGAATCCAGAGTCGCTTAGCGAAACATTCCGGGACTTTTTGTTGCAATGTCTGGAAGTCGATCCCGAACAACGGCCGTCTGCAGAAACAATGCTTGGGCACAAGTTTTTGGAGTCTGCGGATCCGTTGTGCTCTCTCACACCTTTGATTGAAGCTGCTCGTGAACAGGCCAATGGCGGTGGTCAAGCATAGAAGAAAAACAAGCATCCTCATTGTTATTTTCATTCATAGTTTCGTCGTGTTTTTTTTTTTTGTTGGAATATTACTTTTAGTCACTTTTTATAATCAACATAATCGATAGTACCCTATTCATTATCTTATAATCTCCTAACAGACGGCACAACATCATTCATCTCTCATCAGCCCTTGTTTTGACTTTTTTTCTTTTCACTACATATTTAAAAGGCTAGTGAAATCACTATCATTAACCATCCCTCTCATTAACATAATATGAATATTGACCATATTTTTTATTTCCTCTCACTATGATATGTAATGCATACATATGCATAACAAGCTATTAGTACTGCAGCTAACACGGATTTAAATACAATACATCGCCTTCCGACTCGGATGATATACTGTAGCGCACAACAGCACTCGTTATACAGTTGATTAGGCATCACATTACTGTACGTACCTGCTAAAGTGTACAGCGTGCATATAATAAAGATTGTATTCCAACACCTCCGGCAATGTTGCGAGTTTTGGTAGTATGTATATGTCATTTTATGAGAATGGACTTGATTTTTAGAACGAGACGTGCGTGCGAGTTTGTAGTGTACAGTAGAGCTTGGGGATCAGGAAAATCCTATCAACTTTCAAGAAGCATATGTGAGAAAAAATTAAAACAAAAGACGATTTTCACATTGACGCTAGTTATTTGCTAATGTGTGCTCTGCATGTGGCACCAATGAAAAAACTCTATTTACTCTTGAGGAGGCTCTGTGCCCCATAACAAAAAATGGACGCTGTATTATTCGAATATACAACAGACTGCGCTTGATACCTAGTATGTAGAAAATATAAAGCGGCTCTTTATTTCTGTGCCTGAACGCTGTCATATACATAGACCCCAGCCATTTGGCAGTTGTTAGTTACATGTAGACAAACTATGTGACACAAACGATCATGCTGCCAGCACCAAAATAATCTTTCACATGTTACGCGGTCCCCAAGAATTTGATGGGAAAAGAATTAGGTCAGTTTGAATCATTCTACTATTCGTGTGGGGCAAGCTCTCCTTATTAGTCTTTCACTACTACTGCTGCTACTACTACTATTACACTGACACCGCATTCTTAGTCTGCTTAAACCCTGCAAAATACTTCCTCATCCTTCGCTTTTTGTCTTTTGCTCTCCTTTTCTTCTTTTCCCTGTCATTACACTTAACCTTTTTTTTTTGCATCACACGTACACACCATGACTATCCCACTAAAGGACTCGACTGCTCCTAATGCAAAGGCCGCATTGGCTCGTCTGGAACAGCTCAAGGGCCAGCTGAACTTGACGCCTTCCTCCATGTCGCTTCAAGCACCCAAGGACATGGCTGCCGAGCGTGCAGCTGCGGACTTTAGCATCGATCGACTTTCTCGCTTGTGGGCTGGCGGTGACAAGCAATATGAAATGCAGGTCCGGCATTATGTATACTAGAAGCTGCTTTAGCTACCCCACATTATTAACATCACTCGCGCGTGTGTGCCGTTTCTTAACGTTTATAGCAAAAAGCCTATGAAATCATCAAGAATGATCCTGAACTGGTTGTACAGCCTCCACGCAACATCCTTGAGTTTACCCGCGACGAGTGGCGTGAATTGTAAGCTTTCCCTGGTTATTGTTTACGAGTAGTACAGGTTGATGAATTTGCTAACGATATCTTGTATGTAGTACTATGGGCCAGATCTACCGTGTTCTCCAACTCTTTAAAGAGTACGGCAATGATAGAGAGTTTGCGTACGAGATTGGCAAGGCCGTTAACGTCTATTCCGAGAGCTTTTCCATGCGGTTCTTTGTCCACGAGTCACTCTTTCGTAATGTTGTCAACATGCTGGGCAACAAGGAGCAACAGCAGAAATGGAACGATGACATCGACAATGTTCGCGTTTACGGCTGCTTTGCCATGGTAAATATTCAGAAAGAAAAAGAGGAACGACCTGCATAACTCTAAATATTTCATCCTTTTCATAAATAGACTGAATTGGGTCACAGTTCTGCTTTGCGAGATATCGAAACTACCGCCACATTTGACTTGGCAACCGATGAATTCGTTCTCGAATCACCCACGATCACTGCAACCAAATGGTGGATTGGCGGCTCTGGCCAGACGTCTACCCACGCTGTCGTTATTTCTCAAACGGTCATCAATGGCCAACACAAGGGACACAACTGGTTTATTGTACAATTGCGCGACAAGGTCACTGGCGAATTAATGCCGGGCATCCGCGTTGGTGACATTGGCAAAAAAGTTGGACACGATGGTGTAGACAATGGCTGGATTCAATTCCGTGGTGTCCGTATTCCCCGCTCACACATGCTTCAAAAATGGTCTCAACTCGAGCGCGACGGTTCTTATACACCTGTACCTAATCCAGCTGTCATGTATGCCACGTTGATTCCGGAACGCTTGTCGTTGATTACCGTCACTACCCAGTTGATCGGTCAAGCCTTGACGATTGCTACACGTTATGGTGTTGCTCGTCGCCAAGGACCCAAGAATCAACAGATCATGGATTATCAGTCGCACTATGCGCAATTGATCCCGGCTATCTCGTTCATGTACATGGTCAAGTCCGCTGCTTCAACGCTTGATAAGCAGTTTGAGGTGCTAACCGCCGGTGGTGAAATGGATCCCGTTGATTATTTGAACCATATGGGTGACATGCACGCTGCTTCTGCTTGCTTGAAGGGCTTGACCGGCTGGTATGGATCCGAGATTTTGGAAATATGCCGACGTGCGTGCGGTGGCCACGCTTATTCAGCTTATAACAGTATCGGTCAGATCATTGGCGACTGGGGCGTCATGACAACCGGTGGTGGTGACAATGTCGTCCTGTTACAACAGGCTGCACGTATCTTGATATATCACTTGGACCAGAAGCTCGAGCACGATCAATACCCAGAGCTCAAGTTCAAGAGCTCGAGTCATTATATTTTGCGCGCCAAGGAGTATTTGGCAACTCCCTCGTGGCCCGTGCGCGAAATCACAGATGCCATCAGGAACCTTCGTCTTCTGGAAGACGCGCTTAATGCAATTCTTGTGAAGCGTGTAAGTAATGGTTTGATAGTGTGAGGTTCTGGAACCCTGTCGCACTACGAGAACCCAATGAACTGATTTTAGTCGTATCATAACCGTCCCACACGGAACTTCCTTTAGCTCAACAGCATTCGTGAAGCCATGGCCAAGGGCAAGGGCCTCAATGATGTGCTTATGGACTGCGTTCGTGTCGCCGAGATGCATTGCGCTGTCTTTTTATTCAGCGATGCCGTCAGCAAGTACGGTGCTCCGCTTGCTCCCGAGGGCATTGACAAGAGTGTTTACTCAATCATGCATCGCATGACCGCTCTCTGGGGTCTTCATACCCTTCACAGATACTCTGATCAAGGTTACAAGGAAGGTTTCCTTACCCCACAGCAAGTCAAGTCTGTCGAGGAACACTACTTGGAGGTATGGACCAATAATATTATCTAGATTCTTACAGCAAATCACCGGTTGCACCAGATGCATTTGAAACCAAAGAGGATAAATTTTTAATTCGGTGCACAACCAGGCTTCCAAGGCTCTTCGTAAGCAGGTCATTGGTTTGACCGATGCCTTCGGATTCCCTGATTTCGTTCTCAAAGCACCTATCGCCAAATACGATGGCAACATCTATGAACGTAAGTAGTATAGCAGTGAAGCTTACTGGAATGATATCATTGACTTAATGATTTTTGCGATACTATCAATAGCCTATCTCGAGACACTGTTGCAGGCACCAAACAGTGTTGGCAAGACACCTTATCATGACAAGTACATTAAGCCATTGACTGAGCGTGTTGGTCCTAGCAATAACTAAACATGTTTCCGTATGACCTTTGTTTTTAAACACCTTCTATTTTTTATATGATTTTTGTTTTGCTTATATATTATTTTATTGAGAAAAGAAGATAAAATAAGAACATACAGCATGATCACCAATATGCTGACAGAAGATACTGCATATGCATGTTCTTTGTTATTTTTACTTTCACGGTAATATAAGAAATCCGACAATGCTACGCTATTGTCCTGATGGCGACTAAAAGAAGGATAGCTTCACAAAAAAACATCCTCTGACTCATCGCTTGTAATGTGTAACAATCAAACAATAGCCATGCACGACTCTGGCATACTTGATCGACATGTCTATACTCGTAATACTGTACACTTTCATTCTTATGGTACGTCAGGGTGAGTAATACAAGCACGTACTTCTACTGCTACAGATCATTTACCAAAAGCGAACCGCCACATACACATGGTACAGGTAAAATTGTCTAACTTTTGTGCATGATCTGATTCACCTTTCTTGTTGACGGCTATTCCTAAGAAGGATCATGTAACCTCAATTCCCACGACGACTGATTGTTATCTCCGGTTTCTAAGCATTATACGATTCAACTCCATTACAAAGGAACAAACTTCCTTCTCTCTATTATTCACCACCCACGAGATATTATACACCACATCCATGTCTGATCAGCAAGTCGTCCGTGTATTGACAGGTAAACTAGACACGCATACTTTTCATGCAACTATGGAAAGGAAGACAGAGAGTGTGTGCGTGAAATTAAAAAGCGTGTGTTCTATGTAGTTGGCACTGGTGCTGTTGGCGCAATCTACTCTTGGAGATTGGCCCAATCGTGTGAAGTCACCACCGTTTGTCGTTCCAATTACGATGCTGTGCGTCAACATGGTTTCGACATTGAGTCTGCCAAGTTTGGCAAAGGAATCTTTAAACCGCACCACGGTAAAGTTGTAGTATATAATAATTTCTAAAGCGGTTGTTCACTCACCCCTTTTTCAAATAGTGGCTCGTACCGTTGCCGAAGCAAATGAATTTGGACCATTCGACTACATTGTTGTTACATTGAAGGCTCTTCCCGACGTTTACAGCACAGCCGATATTATTGCCCCTGCTGTCAATAAAGGCAAAACGACTATTGTGCTTATTCAAAATGGCTTTGGTAAAAAGACGGAAAAAAAAAAACGTGGAACGTGGAGAGAGAAGTCGCACACAAACAGACTAAACCAAAAAAAAAATTATAATGCATAGAAATCGAAGCACCTGTCATTGAACGGTTCCCTAGTAACCCATTGATCTCCGTTGTAGCTTATATCGGTAAATATGCATCCAACGTCAGTTTTCAAAAAAGACTCTTGACTAAAAGCAATCATATTGTATATGTGTAGGCACCAGCCAGATTGCTGCTGGAAAAATTAAAATGACAGCCATTGAACGACTGCAAGTGGGTACTCATCCAGCTGCAGTAGATTCGACCGCAACATGTGAAAAATTTAAGGAACACTTGACAAAAGGTGATGTTCTAGTCGAACCTGTCGATAACATTGAGAAAGTGCGTTTCGAAAAGCTGTTTTGGTAAGGAAATCTTTTTGTAGCGTTTTACATACATGACGCGCCAGTGAACTAAAGATATGACTTTTGCTTCATAGGAACGGTTCATTCTCTCCAGTGTGTGCCATTTTGGGCCTTAACACCACGCAGGTCATTGAAAACGAGGTTGCTCTGGATTTAGTGAAACGCTTGATGCGAGAAATCATGACTGCTGCAGAGAAAGCTCTCGGCATCAAGTATGAAATCGATAACCGTATCGAAGCATTAATTCAAGGCACTGTTGTTGGTGCTCCCAACTACAAGCCATCCATGTAAGTCTTGTTCATTTTAATTGTAAGAGTGGCTCTCACTCGCAAAAGTCGATAAGTATTGATGCTTGATAAAAAGAAAAAGACCAATAGAAAGTGATCTGATGAGCTTTATAACAAAATCATAAATAGGCAACTCGATCTCGAACGAAAGCAGCCCATGGAGGTAGTAGTGATCTTGGGAACAGCGCTGAATAGTGCGAAAAAGAATGGGTTGAGCGTACCAACGCTGCAGTTGATGCATGATTTGTGTCGTTCCATGAATGTCCATCATTTGAAAGCACAACTTTAAGCATCTGCCCTGAACATCCATTTGAAAATTTAAATAAACAAACTATTCTCGCATTTGCCTTTCGGCGCTCATACTTTTTACCTCTATTGATGCTTGAGGGACCCAATGATTATTGTCAAACTTGGGGTCAATGTTTTCCCAGGTCTGTGCGCTTAAAATACCCAATTTTATAGGCGGAGATCTCCTTCAAGCCCGATCTCAAGTTCCTCGGCTAGCATTTCGACCAATCAGAAGACTATGAAGGCAACCAATCGTGTAAGCTTTTACGTGCAAATCTACTATGGTGAAAATAGAATGTGTGCACTACCTTTCTGATCACGATATGTATAAAACAAGTGATACACAATATTTTATAACGGTTGGATCTACTAAGAACCGTAATGTTGGACACTTTGCGTGGTTTTCATTCAACTTTCCGTTATTGCAATTGGAGTCAATCATCGCCACCGTGGCTTTTAGTTTGCAACCAATGTTCGTACGGTCTAACATTCTTCTCAATTTTTTAAGAGCCTCTCTCTCTCTCTCGTTCTGGGGTCTCGGCTCTGACGTACGCAAGGTAGCGTCATGTGAGTTGTACTGTACGTTTAATTATCATTATATAAGCCGTTTGAAGCACAGGTTCTGCTTGAATTCTGCTTTGCCCGCCATCGCCTTCACTCGGCAAGTGACGATAATATTTCCGATTGATTCATCTTTGATATTTATCAACCAATATATCAGCTGATCCGTGTTTTTAATTTTAATGATATTGATATTCAAGGAGGATGGCGTACCCTGTGTACTCGGTGGGCGTAGAAAGTTGATAATAACTTGTATTGTTCTTTCTACAATTTTATAAATCCATCTTTTTGTTGCTAAGTTCAGACATGTTAGATAGGCCCCCTTCAAAAAGAATAAAAAAACTTAACAAAAATCTGCCACTTTACATAGTATGGCGATCAGAGAATGTTTTTGTATTACGCAAAATTCTTTAAAAGCTTCTCATCCGATTCCCACCATTGTTGAATGACAATTTCTCGGTTTTCTCCTTTTTATCATAGGTGGGGTGCTCCTTTTGATAGTATCGGAGTGTATGATGGGTCGTGTCAACAAATTCTCGCAAAGAATGATGCCATTTATGATAGCAACAATATCTGTGCTACATAACGCCATCTGTGCGATCGTATTTGCTATAATGGCTTACTCGTATTTAAATAAAGATTGGAAGCTGCGATTTGATTTTGCAAGGTTAGCTCATTAAACAAACATAGACTATGCTTGCAAAGACAACCACGCTGTTGGCTGTCTTGGCGATAGCAGCCTCTACTGCTGTAGGTGCCGTTGTGGGTCCATCGACAGCAAACAAACAACAACAACAACAAAAGCCCAATATTTTGTTTATTTTCACGGATGATCAAGACGCTCGAATGGATTCTTTATCGTATATGCCAAATGTACAGAAACATCTCGTTGAACAAGGAACGGTCTACAAGAACCATTATGCCACCGTTGCGGTATGTTGTCCGAGTCGTGTCGGCCTTTTACGCGGACAATATGCACATAATACAAAGTAAACTTCGGGAAAGATTTAACAAGGTTTAAAGAGACGAGCCCCACGATATTGACCAGTGTAACAATGATCTATTTTATATAGTATTACGGATGTAAGCCCACCACACGGTGGATACGAAAAGTTCAATCGTCTCGGGTTGGGCGAAGATTACTTGCCATTATGGTTAAAGAAGGCTGGTTACTCCAACTACTATATTGGCAAGCTAATGAATGAGTATACTGTCAACAACTATAATAAACCGATACCTGCTGGGTAAGGCTTTTTGTAATTTATACGTTGATACGCTGTGTTTGCATGAGATGAATAATTATGGGGCGTTGACAATGTTAAAAATATTCAGATTCGATTACCAAGGTATGTACATGCACAGAGAAACAAATGCTAGATGTAGAAGTATCATTGAGATTTTGTACATATTAACTTCTACATTGTTACCTTAATTTATAGATCAGCTCGTTGATCCTTTTACATATACCTACAACACTGCGGTGTTCTCTCGTGATGGTCAACCTCCAGTGTTTTACAAGGACACCTACCAAACAGATGCCATTCACACAAAAACGTTAAATACACTAAAAGCACGGCGCGGTAACGATGATCCTTTCTTTTTATGGGGTATGTTATTAGCTTCTTTGACATTTGTAAATCTGTTTATGATGTTGACAAATTCGTGTCTAAACATCACATTACTCCGCTTGTTAGTTGCTCCTATGGCTCCTCATGGCCAATTCAAGTTTGATCAGGGTGGTTTGGAAACCATTCAGAGCGAGCCACCAATTTCAGCTGCGCGCCATGCTCATCTGTTTGAAGATGTGAAAAGTATGTAAGCTTTTCTGGTCACCTCGTCTATTCGTCGTTATCTGACCGCAAATTTTACTTTATTGTTTTCTATAGTTCCTCGTCGACCCAATTTTAATCCTACCAACCAAACAAAAACAGCTTCGTACTGGAAGTTCTTGGACCGCCTCACAGAAACTGAAGTAGAGGAGTTGGATGAAACATATCGTCGTCGTTTGCGTGCTCTTCAGGCGGTTGATGAAATGGTCGGTGCTCTTTTTGAAGAGCTTGAGATCCAAGGGAAACTTGACAACACATATATTGTCTACAGCGCAGATAACGGGTAAGAACATGGTATAAGTAATTATATATTTTGCTGATACATTTGTACTCATTAATACTCGTAAAATCCCAGATATCATTTGGGACATCACAGGGCTTACGCTGGAAAAACTACGAATATTGAAGAAGACATAAAGTACGGAAAGCCCCAATAATTTATTTTTGTTTTTGCGTGAGAAATACATAATAATTGTTAATTAAATGTAGTGTTCCACTTATTGTTCGCGGTCCCGGGGTTTCTAAGGGCCATGTAAGCGATCTTGTCAGCGCCCATCACGACCTGGCTCCTACGTTCCTTGCGCTGGCTCGCGGTGACAAATATGTGCCTGGATGGGTCGATGGCGGTGTGATTCCATGGACGACTGAACTCCAAAGTCATCCTAAGCCTGCTTCTGAAGAAACATTTGCCGTCGAGTTTTGGTTTGAGCAGCTTTTAAACGAGTAAGTAAAAAGTATACATACATGATCAACCAAAAAATCGAAGATTACTATTGCTATTATCGTTGTTTCTAAAGAGCATGTACAGGTACAAACCACATTTGAGTGCTCCGTATGGTCCAAATACGTATAAAACTCTCCGTGTCATTTCGGAAAAGTATAACTGTGAGTTCAAAAGCCAAGACACCTTAAAGTTCATATGCATAAATATGATTTTATTGTTTCTAAAAAGGAATTTAAATCTTGTAGACAAATACGCTGTTTGGTGCACCGGTGAACATGAACTGTTCGATTTAAAGGAAGATCCATATGAGCTGCAAAATATTTATGGGTCGGATAAAGTGAGCATTCAGCTCATTGATCGGTTAGATGCTGTCTTGAGCGTGCTCCAAACATGTCGTGGGGCTACATGTCGTGACCCCTGGCGGGTGCTTCATCCTGGCAACGAGGGTGTCCGAACGCTTGCAGATGCTCTCGATGACAAGGTAAAATACTTTTTCGTTTGAATTACTACATCGATATGATGGCGGCGAGAGCAATATAAGCAGAACATTTACACGCTATTACGCTTATTACAAACTACACAGTACGATGTTTTGTACCACCGTTTCCGCAAAGTCGCATTCAAGGAATGTCTTGCATATTTCTCGGCTTACAATGAAGAACCGAATGATATCCTACTAGGTGACAGCTACAAGATTGCTTCAGAGCTAGCTTCTCTTGACGATACCCAATCTACGGCACCTCGCTTCATACAACAGCAGTACAGACGAGCTGCTTTCGTGCAAAAAGAATTTGGAATGTGCCAGCATCATATCTCTCAACATGAAGAAGAAGAGCGTCCATTTAAAGCTATCAGCAAAGCTGAGGCTCATCGACTTTTTAATTTGATCCCACGGCCTTCCGGGTCTGATTTGGGATCTAGGGTGCCAAGTAAGGAGGAGTTGGACCAGCTAGCAAGTCCAGTTCCACGGGAATTGCTTGATACCCAAGTGGATTGGGTCAAACATGGATTTTATAGTAAATTTGGAAATTGATAGTAGTGTTATTGTTAACTATTGAATAAGAAAAAGGGTTTTCAAACTTGAAATTATTTCAATAAAGATACATTATGTCGAGATAATGGACCCGAGTATACACCCCTATCGATTTAAACAAGATGCACAAGGTGCTTAAAGATCCTCTAAGGCGTTGTTTGCATACAAGTCGTTTAGAAAACCACAAATTTAAGATAGGAGAAACAATGTGTATCTCGACTCAAAAAGTCTATGTCGTTATGTGCGAACTGTTTGTTCCTGAATGCATCGATGCAGCCAGCGCAGCCAAAATCCCTTCCATTATTACCATGATTATTAAGTTATTACCAGGCAAGCTTAACAAAGCATTCAGAATTTCCTTTCACGCTAGACCTCCATTCAAAACATTTTCTGCTATTTTTTTTCTATAGAAAAAACAGATGCGTCGACACCATATGTCAACAAAGATTTTTTAGATATAGCAGGTGGAATTTTTCGACGGAGCACTTAACTCTTGCAAAGCGGTCCTGCAGATTATCACTTTCTCTCATCGATGCATATTGAAGCAGGGGATTACAACTTAAAGATTTCTATCAACTACGGAACCGACAACTTTGGCTGATGTCAATACATGGCGATACAGACGCGTTCTCAAAATTGTGAACAACTGCTTTGGTGCAGAGCCAGCCAGACCAATAAGGCCAATTGTCGAAATGACTGGGCCGATCTTTAACGCTGTATACGAACCTTTGACGCCACCTATCCAACAGTTCCTCGATAGACACAAGCGTGTTGTGTTTGTTGCATTTGGCCAGCTCTTGTCGGTGAGACCAGAAGAAACAGGGCGCATCTGGGCGGAGCTTTTGCATTTGCAGGAGGCTGGAATATTCGACGGATTGCTGTGGGCGTAGGAAAGTCAGACTTTCCAGAAACTGTTGCCAGTATAACACCACTGATTTCCGGAACACGGAGAAACAGTCCGGTACTCTCTTAATCCAACGGGGTCCATTCTCAAACACCCGTCGGTAACTACTTTTGTATCCCACGGCGGTGGCATGTCCCTATTCGAGGCTCTTTACGCTGGAAAGCGCACGGTGATTAGACCTTTCTGTGGTGACCACCCTGCGAATGTTTTGCATTTCGACCGTGAACAGCTCGGAGGATACTTGGATATGGATCGCAAGGAGAATGTTTTTGAGCCACTGCTATGGGTTATTCAGAGCAACGTGGACCGGCACAAGCAATTGGCTCAAATACATGCACAGCATGCAGTGGTCCGAGGGGCAGATTTAGGCGAAGAAGCTCTGTTTACCAGCAAAGACGGTTACTTACAGCATCGGCGCGACATTGCAAAAAGACTTAATTTTCTAAAAGCATACGACTACGACTTGTACTTCTGCCTTTTTACTATTATCTTTGCTTTCGGATGGACCACCCGATATGTGTTGATCAAATTAAGCAGACATGTTAAGAAGCCTTGACAGGCCGCTAAATTAAAGAACTTGCTGTAAAACTGATATCGATTTAGATTTGCGCATTAGTCATACTTATAGCATAAACCAATTTCCTTTAACGAGGGTTAGCACTACATTTGCATATTATTCTAAAGTTCTGATATATGATGAAAGAGTGGAACTGCTCTTATATTTTGTAGTGACAGCATGCTGAACAAATAGAAAATAGTTGTATGGGAAATCAGCATGATTAGCTCAGCAACCCTTGAGATTATTACGGTAGAAAGCCAACCACATGATCGACCCGCTTCCGTTTTCTTATTTTGAATGTGAACGGTTGGGGCCAGTTGCGAAAAACTTATCTTTGTATTACTGCATGTTTAAGCTTTATTATGCATGACGGTAGACAGCTCTCCTTCGTTATACGTATACGTCCTATAGGAGGTTCGAGGAGCACAATTTCTCAGTAGTTGGGTATCAGTAGATACGCCACCACACGTTATTTTTCAGAAAAATGGAATGCAGTGTACGAGCTCCTATAAATGAAGCCTTTAAGAAATGTGTGTCATCATACTTCTTTTTTTCACTTGCGTCATTTTTTTCACTAACGCTACAACAGTCTTTCAAATCGTCAGTCGACCACGCTCACAAACAAGAGTGCAAGCTTATAAACTTTATTTATAAAGATGCTGTTCAAGGCTATTTTTGCTACACTGGCCGTGGTTTCTACCGTTGCAGCAGTTGCAGCAGGCGGAACGGGTGACAGTGCCACCGAGCGAGTGAAACCAAATATTGTATTTATCTTCACCGATGATCAAGACGCGCGGATGGATTCTCTCTCCTTTATGCCAAACGTTCAAAAACATCTTGTGGAGCAAGGGACACTCTACAGAAACCACTATGCCACTGCCGCCTTATGCTGCCCGAGTCGCGTTAGCCTTTTACGTGGACAATGTCCGCACAATACAAAGTATGTATCCATTATTTTGACAATAAACAAAGCCTCAATAAGGTGACATCATGTTATACGATTGTCAGAGTTACCGGTCTAATTCTCCCGCACGGTGGATACAACAAATTCAACCTCGAACGTTTGGGTGAAGATTATTTGCCGTTATGGATGAAAAAGGTGATTTCGTGTTTTTAACGCTCATCCTGTTTTCAAGTTACTAATCAATGATTAAAAGGCTGGGTATTCAAACTATTTTATTGGTAAAATGATGAACGATTACAATATAATCAATTACAACAAACCGACACCTGCCGGGTAACATAACAATATCTTTATATTCAACTTTCCACGCCTATGACTACCAAGTACATATACTGACCAATTTAAGTAAATACTGTACGCAGATTCGATTATCAAGGTAAAATCTCAAGTGCCAAATTAGTACTTTTCAATGAGCAATTTTTCACTCATCTGTTATATGAAACAGATCAATTGGTGGACCCTTACACCTATGTATACAATAACGCAGTGTTTTCACGAAACGGACAACCTCCCGTATATTATAAGAATACGTACCAGACTGATGCCATCCATGCCAAAGCTTTGGCTACTTTAAGATGCCAACGCGGCAAAGATAAACCGTTCTTCCTATGGCGTATGTATCGTAGTGATATTTAAGGTTGTCTAGGTTTAATTGACTCGACTTTTTTAAACGCACATCCTTTTAGTTGCGCCTACAGCTCCGCATTCTCAGAGCAAAATGGGGCCTCAATACGGGTTAAGCTTTCTTAAAAGTGAGCCACCTGTTCCGGCTTCACGACATGCTCACCTGTTTAAAAATGTTAAAAGTATATACTTGCTTGTCAAACAGACTTAATCTTTGAAGAGCATTCAATATTCATTCTCGCTGTCATAGTTCCTCGGACACCAAATTTCAACCCAGCCAATCGAACCAAAACGGCCTCGTACTGGAAATTAATGGACCGCCTAAATGAGACTGAAGTTGCATATCTCGATGAAGCATATCGTCAGCGGTTACGGGCACTGCAAGCTGTGGATGAGATGGTGGGCTCCGTTATTGAAGAACTTGAAATTCAAGGCAAGCTTGATAGCACGTATATTGTCTTTAGCACAGACAACGGGTAAGCGCCATTGCCTTAATATGTTATTCACTTGCATAAGAGAGATGACTAACTTTATTGACTCTTTTCTTCAATGCAGGTATCATCTTGGTCAGCATAGGGCCTATTCAGGAAAGACAACCGATATCGAAGAAGATATAAAGTAAGTAGCTAATGCTTTGCTGAATCACTTGTTCCTCTAGCTATACTCTTATTAACCTCTGCTTATTTGTTAGTATTCCACTAGTTGTTCGTGGTCCAGGCGTTGCCAAGGATCATGTCAGCGATATTGTCAGCGCTCATCACGATCTGGCTCCTACGTTCCTTGCGCTTGCCGGTGGCGATGATTATGTACCTGATTGGGTCGATGGTGGTGTAATCCCTTGGACTGATAGGCTCCGCAGCCATCCAAAGCCTGTATCCAAAGAGTCGTTCGCGGTAGAGTTTTGGTACAAGAAAATAATACTTGAGTATGTAAATAAAAGTGACGCTTTCACTCGTTGAAGCTGTGACACTAACTGATCATTTTTTTGCAGATATGACCATTACGATGATTTTCCTCCAGGTCCCAATACTTACAAATCTCTTCGCATCATATCGGAGCGCTATAATTGTAAGTGGAGTTGTAAAATATGGCCGTTTATTTTCGCGATAATAACAAGAAACCATCATGTAGATAAGTATACTGTTTGGTGTACTGGTGAGCACGAACTTTATGATCTAAAGGAGGATCCTTACGAGCTTTATAATATTTATGGATCAAGTGAAGCTACTACCGAGCTCATTGATCGGCTGGATGCATTGCTGAGTGTTTTAAAAACATGCCATGACCGTACTTGTCGAGATCCTTGGCGTTTACTTCATCCTAGTAACAATGATGTTCAGACACTGGCAGATGCTCTCGATGAGAAGGTGATTGCTTTTTTTCTATTATAAGTTGCGGTCTTTTCTGTTTAAAATAGATAGGTTGACACTGGATATCAAACTAACGACAATCACTGTAGTATGATGTCTTCTATAGACGGATGCCAAAAGTTTCGTACAAGGAGTGCCTTTCTTTTTACTTGCCTTTGAACGAAGATCCTCCCTATTTTGAGCAGCAGACCACAGCCTCCTTACCGTCTTCTCGCTCTTTACAGCAGTGCAGTATATTTAAACCGGATGATACAAAGTGCAAGCTTCTTCCCCAAATTATCGAATCCTTGGAAGACCAATCTATGAGCAATGAAGAAGTGCAGCGCCTTATAAGCCTTGTGCCACAACCTTCACAGTCGGTAGGGCATCATGTACCTAGTGAAGTGGAATTAAAGGAGCGCGAAAACCCACTTCCTAAAGAGTTACTTGAAGCTAAAGTGAATTGGAGCAAGTACGGCTTTTACGGCTTATTTGGAAATTAGCAGAATTGGAAAAATGATAAAATGAGAAGGATGTTGTTTAATAAATTAAAGAGGAGGGTGGGTTCTTGATTGACGATAACTGGTCTTGTTTTGATTTACATCGATCTTAAAGTGACAACACACTTTAATTCATGGTTTGGGCTACTTGAGAGCATAAAGGAAAACGAAATAGAAATAAGATTCGACGAGATGGTCACACAAAGTCGAAGTTATACATTGCAAGTGAGATGATTTGAACTGTCCAGCACTACAAAGCGGTGATGGGTTGTTGCCAAATGTGATCTGGTGGCGGAGAGATAAACCGTGAGACAAAGAGGTACAAACGCAAAGGTGATCTTCCACTTGTTTTCAACTCGTTATTGTTGTCATGTCGCTATTAAATGGATGCTAATGGGAAATAGCCGTAACTTAATGTCACGGGAATAGCTTGTGAGGCACTGGTACTTCATATTTAATCCGGCTCGCGCAATAAGCGATAATACCAAGATAAAAGGCCTAAGCCGCTGGTAGCACAAAAGCGCAATTAATTTGTCGCCATTGTGGGACATCTAGGCTCGAGCAAGACTATCCCCTTTCCTAACCTTCCTTTCGTTAACCCTCATTGCAATCAATCGTTATTTTTTGAAATCGGCAAGCGAGATTGTTATTAGCTCAAACTTGCGCGTCTCCTCCCCTTTCCTCTCGTTTTATCATATCAAAAAAAAGAAAATAGCAATATGCGCGCTCGAGTGTTCTGGTTAGCGTTTTTCCGGTTCATATTACTCATATTAAGCTTGGCAGCGCTTGCTTGCCACATTGGTTAGTCAGTTACTCATTACCATCTCTGTTGATGAAGCCTCGACAGATTGAACTAACACGCTTGGAATAGCCAATATTGTATTGCTGACCAAGCAGGACGACTCAGGGCCTTGGTTCCCTGAGCATATTCCTGTGAGTCCTTTTATACTGTTGTTTTAAGGTTACAACCAAAGCTAAAGGGATAAACTTATTTTATATCTTTTTGGTTTTTAATAGTATGTGCTTTATTTTGTTGGACCTGGTGTCTCGGTGATTTGCTCGATAGCACTTAACATGGTCAGCATGTCTAATGTGAAATCCATCCGGGGCGATCGTACGATGGGTATTCTAAATCTGGCGCTTATGATTGCAGTCATTGTCTACAACACACTCGAGGGAGGTGTTTTCCCATGGATTGGCGGTCATGATGAAGACGGACCCACAACAGCGAATCGTGGGTTTGCAGCATATTGCATGAACTGGGCTGAATCGACTACCCAATATCGCTGCTGTAAGATCGATTTTCCCCATTTCCTTATTGCTTTATCTCAACGACTCAACGTTTTTTTTCGAATAGGGCTTACCGATGGTGTATGGTTGGGATGCATTCTTATTGCCGCTTTCTGGCTGTTCCTGATAATCTTTGTTTACGCTCAAAAAAGTTCGGATATTTACGACGATGATTACGATGTGTACGACTTTAAGGAGGATGTTCCCATGGCAGTAACGTCGTCGAAAAACGAACCAGCATATCACGCGTCATCGCCTACATCTAACCAGGCACCAGCTCCGTCCGGTGGTAATTACTACAGCAATCAAGGCAACTACCAAGAATATGAGAGTTACTACGACTATCCTCCGCAGTCTCCTTATGCTGGTTATAAGCAACCTGCATCAGCAGCTGGTGGCTATGCGGGTGGATATGGCTATACTGCTGCAGCCGGAGGACCAGCAACAACAGGCTATGCACAGGACGATACTGTACATATCTTGTCGGATGCTGGTCAACCGCAATACTACTCGCCTCATTTGAACACTGGCTCTTCAGCTCCTGGTGCTGCCGGTTCGTCACCACATATCAAAGCACAAACGCCAAATGCGTACTGATTAGTTTAACATCAACCGGATCCCCTTCCTCCTCCCCTTGTGCATATCTTGTCTACGATATATTCCTCTCTTTTCACTGTCTTGTCTCATAATAATAGTATATATATAATCTTTGGAAGTTCATTCTCTAGAATCACTAAATTGCTCCTGTTCCTACGATGTGAATTGAACTAGGCCCAAGAACTTGTTGCCTTTAACTAGTTTCGTGGATGAAAATTACCTCACAGTCAATCCCCTGCCCTTAACAACAACGGAAATTCCAAAAGTTTAAGGCAAAAACTCGACAAATGGAAGTAAAAGATTGATAAAGGTCATCTCGGATAAGGTACGACATGCATAGTAGACGCTTTATTGCATACAGCAATAATTATAAGTGAAGCGCATCTTTGTGCATATTTGTCACCGCTTTGGAGCGGAACCTTTGATAAAATATTTCAATGTAACATAACTGCCAGGTAGTTCCGAACTATTGTGGCCGCAGCTGGATTACTGATACGTACACAAAAACTTCCTTTTTGGAGGCGGTACAATGTATAACCGCTCCATTGCTTATTATACTCATACGCATTATGTATTCTAAGAAAGGTTACGAACTTTTTTTTGCGCCATACGTAGCTTGAAGCAGGAGAGTACACAGTGTGGGCTTTTTAGATCTCTAATGACAGTTTACCCCCATATTATAAAAATATACATAGGAGTGTATACAGCAGCATACGCACGGCATGTTCCACATGAATGCGGAAGTTTCCAACCTTTACGGATTTAGGTATCAGAGAAATGTACACTATAATACTTTGCAGGTTGGAGTAGCTTTACGGGCAATAGCTAGTTTTGGGCGCAAACGTCTAGAGCTCCCAACCATATATAACTAATAGACTAACATGACCGAGAACTAAAAGTAAGTCATATAATGGGGTTACTCCTCTGTATATTTCTGCTCTTTCCTTACCAATCTTATCTTTCCTCTACCCGTAAAAATGATAGCCGAGATTTCCAGCTCAAACACTACTTCCACTACTGTATATCCCTCCAACAAACGTAACAGTCCCGATGTTCCATTGAAAATACCACTTAGTTGCGCTATAGATAGCTTGCCATTTGTACAGTATCTCAGGTCCTTGCTCACTGGTTCATCCTCCATTCCGAGGCTACTGGTGACATGGTTGACAGGTTAGAGGCTTCTTTGTCCGAGGCACTTGAATTACATCCTCCAGTTACGGTCACGGTACACATCAATGACGATGGTAGCGCGTATATTGCTATGGACGATGAGAACCGGTCAGGCACACCGTTCATCTTCGAAATGAAAGACTTTCCATACAGTGGTGGTATATCTGAAGATTTGGCTCCAAGAGCATGTACACTTGCAGTAAAAATTACCCAGATGGTACCACACCCTAACTGTAAGCCTTCACTTGTAGTTCGAGTCGCACATGTTCCTTGTATAGTTCTCTTGCGGAACCATTGCTGTTGTCTGCTCGTTGCACTATTTCATCGCTGATTTACGTGGTCTGCTGGATTTCGTTGAAGTATGGGCTCAGCTTGCTCGTGAGCCTGTAGATAAACGAAGAATCCCGGTTGATTGGTCTCGTACTCCTGGACGAATTTTTCCGTCGCTCCGTAGTGAACCAAAAATGCCATTCCCAAACAATATCAGCTCAATACCGACAACGCTGCATCAGCACCACCTGTACGTACTGCATGGGAAATAACCGAGGACTCGCTGAGTCAACTGAAAGCAGCATTTATGCCACAAACCAAGAACCAATGGATTTCGTCGAGCGATGCACCTACTTCGCTTATTTTTGGTGCAATCACCCGCGCCCGTGAAAGTGGCAAAGTTTCAATAGGAGAAACACGATCCAGTTGCGAATCGCGAGCCGAAATTATTTCCATCGTGAGTGATTGTCGTTCAAAAGCCTCTAAGGATACATTGATCGCAGCCATTATTTTGGTAAATTTATCAAAATAAATAAAGTTGCTGTAGCACGAGACAACCTGCTTTCTCCCACATCGGAGGCAGGAGGCAAAGTGGCTCTCACCATCCGAAACGGTTTGGGCGCTCAGAACTCGGAAAAGACTATTGCTGATTATATCAGCTTCTTCGAATATCGGAAGGGCATCGATTTAAATACCTGGATGGTGGATGCCATCAGCAGCAGCTACTGTCGATTTGATCTCTAAGGCTCCAATATAGATTTCGGGTTTGGAAAGACCTTCCACACAGCGAACGGGACTGGCGGTCAACCTCACCCTGGATTTATAAATATGATACAGGATAAGGTGGAATCAAGCGGTATCGCCTTCGAAGTAGGTATCGAAGGTGAAAATGCAAGTCAGCTTATGTCAGATCCATTGCTGAATGAATACACTACTCCTTCATCAACGGTTATAATTTAAAAGTTCTAATTGTCGCGATATTATAGCTTACTCTTGTGAAACAATAAATAACAAAAACCAGCAGACATCCAAACATGGATGCTCTTAAGCAAACACTTACCTTGGAGTTGTGCCATTTTGCGTATTTTCTTGGAGGGATCAAGCTACTCGGTATATGATTGGGAACCACCCAATTAGATAGGAGGTCTTTGTCGGCCGTCTCCTTGATATATGGCATTTACATATAAGGCCAATAGGGGAGGGGTCTATTGAAGAGGTTATTACATCAGTCGAATGCCCTGTACAATCGAGTAGGAAAATATTAAGTTTGCGGACCACACCGCAAGATACAGTACTTGCAAATCTACTACGAGAAGGTACGTTCAAATTTCATAAGATGTTCCATGCGCCATAATCTATAGTAAAATGGCGTGAGTAACATAAATTTATAAATACATGACCCGACTAGTAGCACGCTAACCATGATACGTTGAACCCCCAGCGATTTACGACAAACGGGAGACGTTTAAGTAGTAAAACAATGATGGAACACCTTAAAAGGTATTGCAGAAGCCTAAGGAATGCATTTACCAGGAGTTGGAAAAGTACGAGTCCACAGTATTTTAGATACGTGGCGTACTTTCAATAACTACAGTACAAGCTGTTTTGATAACGCTCGCGTTATGTAGTCATGCTTCGTCCGTCATGATCAGCATCAATATTTGTCGTATCCTATTACATGTAGCCTTGAAAAAGAAGGATATGCTTCCAGTCGTCATATACATATAGCTAAAACGCAAACGGCTTTCCTAAAATACTTTTCTTTTTGTCTATCTATATCTTACAAAATGTCAATCGAGGATGCTACTGCTACTATTACTTCTGTATATCCTTCCGTAAGGCGCAAAAGGGCATTTTGTCCATCGAAGATACAGCTTTCGAGTTTGTATTCTGTTGCGCCCTCGATTCCAATAGCTCTTATCTGGCTTTTTCAATCGCCTACCTGTGCCATTGAACATGCGGCTGTCAAACTGTTAAGCTTTCTTGCAGAGGTACTCAAGTTATATTGAATCGACAGGATCGTCTCGAGCTAGGGTTGCCCATACTTTAAGAAATTAAGGAAACCGTGTGTAAATCAGCGAATATATGACTTATTGAGCAAGCAATGGCCAGTGTCTTACAAGGTAAAAACTGATATCAAAATTCATGAGCTTCTCATTAGTTAAACGAAAGTTGAGTAGATATCAGTCATAGATAGCCATTGCCTGAGTTACTTTTACTGTAAACATACTGTTTCCTGGAGCCAAGTTCGAACCAAATGGAAGAAGCCAGTCCTTTGAATATATCTCCCTTGTGTACGGTATGTCTTTTATCTCGAAAAGAAAGGAATTTCTTTGGCAAGTCTCCTCATCCATGGCACTATAAAGACCGGTTTCATGATCGTTGCTTAAAGCTCCTGCTACAGTATAGGTAAAACAATCCCAACCGACTGGCTTCGTGCCCAAAACGATATTACTCACGGGCTCAACATACACAGACTTTTTCCTGTTCATTCTGCGGCCAGTGTGTCCCCAAGAGCAGCAACAACTGATTCTGCAGTACGACCATATGCGCGTACAAAGTGGAAAATTACCTCAACCGCGTTAAAGCAGTTGAAGTTGGATCTTTCGCCCCAGTCTGGCAACCAGTGGACTACGACGAGCGATGCTTTTCCTTTTTTTTATTGGTGAGTCACCCGTGCTCGAGAAAACAGTAGTACACCAAGAGGACTAGAACGCTCCAATCCAGCAATATTTTTCGTGCAATTCCCATTGTTGTTGCGCGCGCGGTTTTACTTTCTCCGACGCTTGAATCAGCAGGACGAATCGCTCTTGCTAGTTTACAGCGGAAGTCAATGCTACTACACTGGCTCTCATTGTGTCCATCGTGTCCAACGAGACCAGTGATTTAACGAATTTATAAACTGATCTGCTTATCACTAATTGGTGCTTCTCGACCTGCAGCTGGACTTTTGGCTGGGGAAAGTCGTATGATTTATTAATGGACGTTGGAATCCAACCGGAATGTGCGACGCAGAACAAGGACTCCGGACTCCGGTGACGTATTTCTGTGGGTGTACCATGAAGCCAGCGCTGTAAAGCAACTCAAATCTGATCCATTGCTGGGTCAATATGCAGCTTTTCTATCGTGAAAAATATTGGAGCGATCTATATCGCAGGGCTGCTAATAGTAGACAATGTTTCTATGAACAGGATCTGAAGTAATAAATATTTAGGACTATTACATAACAGTGTTATAGAAATGTGCAGCAACGCTTATTATTACAAGTGTTTAAATAGCAAGGTAAAAGAGAAAAAATTAAAAGCCGGTGACACCTCGAATGATCTTACAGCACTGTTTTCCATTGCAGGATGTATACGTGCAATCAAATTGACGCATACAAGGAAAGATATGATATTTCAACAACGTTAAGGAATAAATACAAGATGATCTCAGTACCGGTAGCTAAAGTGGTCAATTTAAAGCAGAATGGTTCTTGGCTTTAGTCGATTTATGCCTGTGTGGACGTCTATCTAGTCGTCCCTTCACTGGGGCGTCCCTTCAAATGCTCAAGCTGATTATCGCTGGTTTTCTGGTTACATCCTGCTTACAAGTCAGTAAGGGTTACTAATAAAATACACCACATAATCCACAAAATACGCGAAGAAGCGTTCCTCGGGAATTAGACTGTCAAGCGCCGGTTATCGAGCACAAGTGCCCAGAAGAATCAGTAAAGAAATCCTGCATTTTCATTGAAGACGTAATTATAAATTTACTGTGTATCAACCCGTATGCTAAGTGCTTCTTATCCCATAGTATCATGTCGCATCCTCATATCTCGACGAATAGTCAAGAATAAGTGTGAGTCTCTTCATGGTCAAGCTTCTCCAAATGTGTTGTAAGGCGGTTGTAAATTCGCTTGGCCCCACCAAAACCTTTGTTTTAATTGGCTGCTGCCCTGCAAAATGAAAAAAAAAAAAAATCTGGCACAATTTTTTTTTCTTCTTCTTCGATATCCTCGTCACCCCTAATATCTTAACAATGAGCGTTATTGGTATCAACTTTGGCACTTCGTACACTTCGATCGCGTACTTGAACAAAGTAAGATCTAGCAAACAGTATAAGTACAGATTATTACCTTTATTAAAGTTTTATTAAAGGAAGGTCGCGCTGATTGTCTTGCCAACGAGGAAGGTGATCGTCAGATCGCCTCTGTACTTGCTTTCCATGGCGTCGAAGAGGTAAGTTTTGTTAGATTGAGCGATTTTGAAAGTTTAGGTTTCTCTAATGCGGGATTCTATTTAGGTTGTTGGTTCGCAAGCCAAATCTGACATTGCCCGCAACCCCAAGACAACTGTGGCTAACTTCCGTGCCGAGATTGGCAAGAGGTAAATTTTTTTTCGCATTCATCGTTATAACAAGGTTCTAATCGTTATATAAACACTCAGCTTCAGCCAAAGCGAGAACTTGCCCGGATCGGCAGCTCCCGTGATTGAGAAGGATGGACAGCCAGCTTATGCGATCTCGCTCCCTGAATCTGACGTCGTGTTTACTGCTGGTGAAGTGTCAGCCAAGTTCTTGCGTCACATCCGCGAGTCTGCTGAGGCTTTCTTGGGTACTCCCGTCTCTGGTGCTGTTTTGGCAGTTCCTTCCTACTTTACCGAACAACAACGCAAGGCCCTTACTGAGGCTGCCGAGGCTGCCGGTATCCAGGTGTTGCAATTGGTGCAAGAGTCTGCTGCTGCTGTGCTTGCCTATGAAACTGTGAACAAGAATGCAAACCAAGACAAGACGGTCGTTGTTTGCGATTTGGGTGGTCATTCGCTCGACGTCACTGCTTTAACGGTGCGATCGGGACTTTACTCTGTCTTGGCTACTGCTCACGATACGAAATTGGGCGGTTCCTCGTTGGATGATCTGTTGATCAATCACTTTGCAAACGAATTCAAGAAAAAGTCTAAGGTCGATATCGCATCGAACCGCAAGGCTCTTGCCAAGTTGCGTGGGGCTGTTGAAGTGACCAAGAAGATGCTTTCGAGCGCCAACTCTGCACCATGCTTTGTTGAATCGCTTGCCGATGGTCTTGATTTCCACAGCACTATCAACCGCATGCGCTTCGAGATTATGGCTAACAAGGTCTTCGCCAAGGCTTTGGATACCATCCGTGAAGTTTTGACCAAGGCTGATTTGGACGCATCTGAGATTGATGAGGTCATTTTGGTTGGTGGTTCTGCTCGTATTCCCAAGTTTGCTGTGAAAATCCGTGAAGTCTTCACTGCTGAGCATACCAAGGTACTCTCGGCCGAGTTGGAGGCTGATGAGGTCGTGGCTCGTGGCTGTGCCCTTCAAGCATCGTTGCTCTCCGGATACGAAAAGGAAGATATTGTGGCATCGCAGGAGCCTGTCATCACCGTTGCACCACACACCCAGAAGGCTATAGGCATTGTCAATGCAAACGGCGAGTTCGTCACAGTCATTCCTAGAGGTACCGCTTTGCCTGCCCGTCGCACCTTTGAATTCGCTAACGCTGCAGCTGGCCAGACACACGCCTACCTTGCATTGCACGAAGGTGACCACACTGTGGTGAAGGAGGAGATCCCAGTCGAGGCCATTGAAGTCGAGGAAGGTGAAGAACCTATTGAGGAGGAGCCCGAGATCGTTACGAAGGTTGTCACTAAGCCCGCTGCTTTATTGGTCGAGGCTTCCCTGCCATTGTCACAAGGCAAAGAAGCCAAGGGTAGTAAGATTGAAGTACAAATTACCGTGGATGTCGATAGCAAGCTGAGCTTGGTTGTAAGAGAAAAGAACGGATCAAATGTGATCAAGGTTGCTGGCAAGCAGTAAACAAACGAGCATTTTTACACATCTACTATAAATGGCATACAACAAGATGACCCTCACCCCACCCCACCCCACCAACAACCAAATAAACCCTTCCTCTAACCATCCCCGAAACAGACACGCATGTATAAGTAAATAGAGAAATCAATTTGTTTTTTATCGTAAAATGAAAAAAGCCTTTTCTTTGTCTTGTATATGTATCGGTTTGCGATTAATATGCTCGCGTAGGGGATGCAGTGGCTGCAACTGCAGGTGTCTGCTTGGAAAGAGTTTGTTTCATCGTGCTCACTTGCACCGACGTGTCTTCCAGCTGCCGCATTGCTTGACCCAGCGCGTCTTCTCGTTCATCCAAAGCCAACCGTAAATGCTGGATATCTTCCGTGTAGCTACCCAGCTGTTGTCTCAACACCTGAGCTTCATCGTACACCTTTGAGTTGGCCTGCTCAAGTTGGATGATCTGATCTTTGGCTTGATCCATTTGCTTGGAGGACGGAGCAGATAAGCTATCTGCCAGTTGGTTTGTCAAACTCGCGACCTTGTCTACATTCTCACGCACTTGTGCTTCGGCCTGCACTGCACGTTGATGAACGTGATCCAGTTTTTCAAGCGCTCGCTCATGAGCTCGATGTGCTTCTTCTGCGCGCTCCTGAGCTTCTTTGGCTCGATCTTCTGCTGAATCTCGCGCATTATGGTCGTGATGGGCTTGTTTATTCCTCTGTTGCAAGAGACGACGGGTTGTTTCGTTCTCCATCAGCGTTTCGGCCAGCCTCTGTTCAAGCACTTGCACTTGGTCGTCATCTGCGTGCTGATCGCCCTGCTGTCGGCGCCGTTCCATCAATCCAATGTATTTTGACTTGAAGTATGCGGCTTCCTGTAGCGCTGCTGTACGGATTCGATCGGTCTGTTGCACTTTTGTTGCCATAGCCTGATGCATCGTAGAGTCGCTAATATGTGCCTGTGTTCGCCGAAGTTCGGCTTTCAATGCCATGATTTCTTCTACCAAGGCATTGCTAGCCATTGGCTCATCACGAGGAGAGGTATCTTGAAGTCTCATCTTGCGCGCCATGGAAACTTCGCTACGCCACCACGGTTCTTTCTTTTTCATACTATGAATTATCACGTCTTGGGCCTTGACTTCCTTCATGAGTGACTCAAGTTCACTTTCGTCTTGCTCGGTCGGGAGTACATCAAAAGGAACATTCGCGGCAGCAGTTGTTGCAATGTGAGAATCTGGAAACATGGATACGGTATCCTTACGATATGTGTTGCCTAATGACACGCCTTCTCGTGATGGACGTGGTGGTCGCTGTGGTGAAGGGTTTCGTGCCGGGCTGGCTGAACGGGGCTTCTCGTCCTCTTTAGTTGGACCCAATTGTTCATTATGTTGCTGCTGCATATTGTCGTCTCCTGTTAACGGTAATGGTGATGTTGTACGAGGACGTCGAAGCGCTCCAGGTGGTACCATAGACATGTGTCTGGGTGGCCTTTGCGGGACCATGTTGGTCTAAAGTTTTTTAATCTTTCAATGGGATGACTTTTCATTATACTTCTCCTGAATGACATACCTGCTCAGGATGAAGCGAGCGGCGCCGGCTGGTATTATTAACTGCTGGAGTTGTAGAGGTAGTATTTTGGGTAGGGATATTGTTGTGTGCAGTAGCAGGTGTCGCTGTTGCATTCGATATGTTGTCTACATAATCTCTAGCTGACAGTGATTCTTCCATGTTAGGTCCAGGCGATGTTTGTTGTGGTATTTGCTGTAAACGTTCCACGCTCGATTTTGGTATTATTATTGCAGGGTTTGTATCAACTGAAGTAGCTGGCGATGGATTGCTAGCAGTTTGCGTCTCTGGCGGATAACGTATTTTTGCTATATAAGCAAGTGTGAGATTCACTTTACTATGTCAGAAAATAATTTATGGATACGTAAACATACAACAATCGAGTATGTGGACAAGATACGGCGATTCCTCCATTTTTCCTGTGCTCGATTCTCCTCCAAGCGCAACGATCTTATCGTCAACTGCAGTAAATGTCAGGCCAAACCGTGGAGTTGGTGAGGGTCCCATATTTTGGAACATAAACCAGCGGTGACCTATACATACGAAAACGACTTAGGGAATCTGTGATGCTTTATATGTAAATAAAATTACCTCGGATTTTGAATGCGCAAAGGTCACCAAGTTCATGACCATCAGGACCTCGACCACCAAACACGTACATTACGTCGCCGGCAAGAGCAGCATCACAGCCTTCTCGCGGCACCGGAATATAACCGACTGCCGAAATTTGGGACCAGTGTCGAGTATGAAGATCATACGCCCAAACATCATTATATAGGTGGTCACCATCAGTACCACCAAAACTTCACAATAACTTGGTTAGTAATATTCCTGCCTTTCCCTTTTTCGTGCCATTGGTTTAAACAAACTTACATATATACTTTATCATCAAAAACAACAGAGGCATGTCCCGATCGTCCTGCAGGACCTTCATTAGCAGATGCTATATGCTCCCATTGAGGATTTGTTTGATCTATTTGAGATGTTGAAGTTTAGCCTCTTTTATCTTTAGCACAATTATATATACTCACATGTGCTTGCGTTCAACACAAAAAGATCATCCAGGTAGCGGCCTGCCCGCTGACCGCCCCAGATATACAAGAGATTACCGCCTACGGCAATCGAGTGTCCTGACCGTTCGACAGGTAAACATCCATCCTTCATCTGGATGCGAGACCATTGTCGGGTGCCTAGTGGTTTTTACACAAATTTCGGTGTTAAAAAAATCATGCTAAGTATTTAGGATATTCATTTGCAATTGAAACTCACTGATATTGAGGGTATAAAAGTTGGGATCCCATTTTTCGTCAGCATTGCTAGGCTCACCTCCGTACACTGATCAATATGGGGTTATGAATTAGAATGAATCATATATGCTGGTAGGATCATTGGAATATAACGACAACATACACAAAACACAGTTGTTGCCAAGTGGAGCAATGACTGGATGCATACGTGGTGTGGGTACATCGCCAGTAGCATTTACAAAATTTGCAGACATATTATCTAGTAATTCTCTTGAGCAACGTGATCTTCTTTCCATAACACCCTTCGATCGAGCTTACTGGTATCAATAAGAAAAAGATCTTTCTTGGATTTATTATGCATGCCGCCAAACAAGATCAAGTTATCCGTGGGCAGGGCTGCTGCTGTAGCATGGCCAAAGCGCGGCAAGACATGCGACTGACTCCCAATCAGTTTACGCTGCGACCAAGGATAGATGCCGGTTTTGTCTCCTGCATTGTTCTTTGTGAATTTCGAGAAGAGCGACATGCGGAGATGATGAGCGTCAACTTTGTAGTGATGATCAGCTCTGAATAAATATAATATATGAAGGAAAGGACTGGGGATATACAGATAGTGACAAAAGTATTATTAGGAGAGACCAGCTTCCCAATACGCTGTTTGTTTCCAAACGAAGAGAAGGTGTAAGAGAGAAGGTACGAACAAGAGTGAGTGAGTGTGTACCTGCTTCTATTTGATGCGACACAAGAGCGGAGCGTCTGCAAAGATCGAGAATATGAAATTGTGTGCTACTCGACGACAGGCACTCCTTTGCCGTTTCACAAATGGAGCCAGCACCGCTTCCTGTACACCTTGCTGCAAGTCCGCGATCTTGGTTTGCCTCGTTGTTCCAATATACATCTGCGCCAAAATGGACAGGCACATTACTTGAATTCGGCTCAAGTGTTTGGATTCAGCATATCAATGATAATGATCCTTTTCAACTGGGGCTTTTTGGAAAAGGATCACTGTCGCGAGCTCGCCCAACTTGGAAATCGCGTACCATTGACACTGGTAAAAAAATGGCGCCGTAACATCATGTTCATTTTTGTGACTGAAATCTCAAATCAACATAGCTGCCAAGGATACTGTGTTTCTTGAACATATTACCACGGAACGACGAAGGATGAAAAGAACCCAGGATAATACCAAATCATCATCCTTCTCGACGGATGCATGGAGCCCCGAAGAAATAAAAGAAATGACAAGGAACCAAGACTATGAACAGTTATTGCTCGATTTCTATGAGTCTTTCTTTCTTGTCTATGCGTTAAATACTCTGAAGATCTATGATCCATCCGCGGTAAAGAGCCTCGTCTTTGCATGAAAATTCATAGAACTTTACTAAATGATCGTTTATCCACAGAAACTGCTCACCATTGATGATTGTTGGACCAGATTCTCGAACCGCATACCATCATTTGCAACACGCTATGCTGTTTATCATTATTATCGTAGTCTTGGATGGGCGCCCAAACAGGGATCAAAATTTGGCGTGGATTTCGGTAGGCAAAAGCAGATACCATGACATCGAATGGGTCGCTAAACGACTCTCCTTAGTGCTTTATCGGACTGGACGCAAGCATAACCATGGTGATTTTGCCGTTGTCGTGGTATCGAATAATGATGATGATGAGCGTAAGAAAATAGGTTGGAAAGAGTTACATCGCCTAAATCGGATCTGTACACAAGTAAAAAAGACATTGGTTCTTTGCTACGTAATCAAACCGCACCGATATGACGAGTCTCGCCCACAGTGTTTAGAATCATTCAAAGTACAGGAGTTGATAATTAAAAGGTGGTCTCCTGAGAGAAATCGTGAAAAATAATATTTTACAAGTAGTACAACTTATTCTAGTGTCTATTTGCGGTGTCTTGCGCAGAACTGAGCCATGCGTTCATATGCTTCAGCAAGGCAGTCTGCTGGTGGGGTGATTACAATGCGAATATAGTTGGGATAATCGAAACACTATTACGTTATGTTAATAATTGATCCGGTGAAACGCTAGCCCGCTCAATTTTTTTAGTACCTGTCCTGGCAAACATAAAACATTCTCTTCCGCAACGAGCTTCTGACTGAACTCTACGTCAGACGCGATGTCCTTGAATTTTTCAATATCGATGCCAACCTATACCAGCTTTGTGGTTACTAACAGATCAACAATGCGTTTGTTTTCCAGTGAAAGATTACCATCATGTACATGGCACCTTGGGGCGTTACTGGGTTCAACCCATCAATATTAGATACTGCTGAAAGGCTGAGGCTTGTGTTGTGCTAAGAAAAAATAGGTAGAGGTCAGTTTTGAAAAGAAATAGAACTGTGTTTTAAAAAAGCATACCTCCAACTGCTTGATGGTATCATCATAGAAGGATTGCGGCGTATGATGCAAGATATCATCCAATGCACCTTGGGAAGCCGAGTTTGGACCGAGAATAACTTGCGACAAGTTCAACAAACCCTCTCGGACTTCCTTGTTTAAAACATCATGACGATCCTGGATCAAGATCCACCCGACACGCCATCCAGGTACGAGCCATTTCTTGGCCAAGCCGCCGACCGACAGGATGGGCACATCTTGCGTAAGCGATGCCATTGGGTGAAATGTATTGCCCTCAAATACCAAATCACAGTAAATCTCATCAGCAATGATGGGAACGTGGTGCTTGGCAGCCACGGCAAGGATGGCTTCAAGGTGCTCGCGCGGGTACACAGATCCGCATGGATTTGATGGGTTATTGACCAGAATGGCAGCAGTATTGTCATCAATCAATGATTCCAAGTGTTCAAGGTCAACTTGCCAGTTTTTCTCAGGCATTAGGCGATAGTAGCGGCCCTCAACCTGCTTGATATCAGCCAAGCTGCGATACAGCGAGAAGCCGGGGCAAGGAAGCAAAATGTTTTGGCCGGGGTTACAGAGTACGTTAAAGCAAATTTCCAAAGCACCCGAGCAACCGTTGGTTAAGATTACATCATTAGCCGTAAGTGGCGCCTTATCCGGGATTCCGAACTTGCGAGCGACAGCGTCTCGGGCTTGCACGGTACCTTCAATGAAGACAACAACTCAGTAACTGGCTGTACAGGTCTTTGTTAAAGTAATAACAGTTGTATATACCATGAGCAGGTGGATAGCCATTGTGTTTGAACGTATATAATTGCTTGGCAATAGCATCATTGGCACTTTGGTCCACATTGAAGTTACCGAAAACGGTTGGATCGCCTGATGAATCATGGGTCTTAAGTACATGTACTTCGAAATCCTTTTTAAATAATATACGTACCAACAGACAGACTTATGAACGACTTTTGGGCTTGGGGATCAACCTTCAGTTTATCAACGATTTGGCGAATGGGATTATGAGCGCGCTTTGACACGTTTGAAGAGCGTACGTTCCAGGCATTACGATTGTTTCCGGCCATGTCTAGGAAGTTGCGGTATGTTTTCTGACAGTGGAAGAAAGAGAAAAGCCAAAACTGCCAAACGCGCGAATAAAATAGGCACATTTTTCCCACGCGACGTAATGAGTGGGATATGATCCACAGCGCATCGACAATGACACAGTCACCAAAGTTACATCAATCTTTCAGTTATTTATAAAGTTCAACTTACTGTAGATAATATCTTTTTATTAATAGCACTATTAGTAGTTACTTGTCTGCAATCGCAATCCTGATGAAGAATTTGTGGTAAAGGAAATTTGCTACTTGACTCCTAGTGCCTCTGATAGTTTGACAGAAATGCGTTCAATGCAACCATATACAGCCGCGGGTTACTGATACTTATTGCGCCAAGTTTGTGCGTCTACGACATATGAGCAGAGACCATCCTGGTATCAACGCTGCTTTTAGCCATTATTAAACACTGAATGGATGTTTGCGTTTATGTTGCTTGACTAATAAACATTTGGGTATATATATTCGATCAAAAAGCTCCGTAAAACTTATGCTGCCTAACAATATGTATTTTGCACTTGGTGAGAGTTTAGTTCTTAAGTATACATGAAGGACAAGATCTGTAAAGCAGACTGATAGCAGCACAATATGATATCCCATATTCAATTTACAACGAGCGGTCTCACATAGAACAGAGTGGTTCTTGAGGAGATCTGATTTCTGCTATGATAGTTGGCAAGACAGACGATTTCATGTTACACACAACATCATTACCTGCCAAAGCTGGTATGCGTGCATTGGCAAGGAGACGTTTAAAATAGAAAAGCAAAAGATGCTTAAGGATCAAACGCTTTCTTTTCAATTAATGATATATTTACTAAGATTGTCTATTTCAAATTGATGCGTTTTCAGGGGTGGTGTTGAAGGGAATCGAGGATGTTCTACTGCTTTGGATGATTGATTTTGTACAGTTGCTTCTTTCGAATCCCCACATGAGGACAGTAGGGGCTGATATAAGCGGTAATTAAGGCCGAATGCTTCAGTTACTTGGGCCAAATAGCTGCTCCCAAGCGTCAGCGTATCTAACAATCAAATTGGGATATCAGCTGTAGCTTTCTTGACAACACCTATACGATCACGTATGATCAACTTACTGCTGAGGGTCTCGGACATGCTGCTCAATAAAGCCAAATTTAATCTGAACTTCACCGGAAATGTTACTTTTCTCGCTCCGCTTGTTGAGACCAAACCACTGTGGTAAGTTTTGAGGGTCGTTGTAGTGGCGAGGCATACCGTCAGCAACACCACCAGCATTGCGGTCGAAGCAGTTTTTGACAGGAATCGAGATTTCGCCAAGGAAATCACGTCCAAAGGTGTCCTTGTCCCATACTGTCACGTTGAATGGTCTTGGCACCTTGTCAGCACCAATAGGGATTTCAAACTCGTAGTTCCAAACGGGATCCAACGTCTGCTTGATCACCTTGGTGGTGTACTTCTTGTCGCTGTTGCACATACCATATGTCTAAGCATTCCTGTAGCCTCCTTTATCCTGCCTATCCGTTTCTGGTACTTACTCTACGCGAAAGACCACATAAGGATCTGAGTAGCCTGTTTTGTCACTACACGGATAAGGAAGAACGTCAATAAAGCTGGAAGGGATCGGTGAAAGAAAACACAAAACATACGCTGCGGCAAGGTTGCGGGCACCAATGACGCCAATACGAAGCTTCAAGTTGGACATGAGGAAATGATCAGGGATGAGTGAGAATGAAGAAGAGAGAGAAAAGAGAAGAAAAAAATATAATCAGCATCGCACTGCGCATGTTTAAACCATGCGCTTGTTACACTGGGCTCTCTTTGAACAGCTGTGATCCTAAAAAAAGCTTCACGTGTCTGATGTCCAAAAGTCAAGTCCTTTAAGGGTTACACAAGGGCAGCCCAAAGATATCCGCAAACACAGCCATTTTTTTTATTTTTGGCTATTTTCCACTGCTACCTGTGCCTGATAAAGACCGCCCTCGATCTTATTTCCTTCTTTTCTCTCTCTTTCTCTCCCTCTCCTTTTACCTTCCCTACTACCACGTCCACATAATGAAGATACACAGCCCACTACTACTTCTCTTTTTTCTTTGCACAGTACTCTTACTGGCTGTAGCCGTCCAAGCACAAGACGGTGAGTAGCGTGTTTGTAGGCACAGCGCAGACAACCAGAGAGGCGCGCGAGCTCACGCTCCACTTTTTTGAACTTTTCATTTAGACGGAAGCGGCACAACCGATCCTGGAACTGGTAACGATGGCTCTGTTGACGGTACCGACGGTTCTGGCGATATCACCGACGGCTCTGTTGACGGCACCGACGGCTCTGGCGATGTCCCCGACGGCTCTGGCGATGTCACCGACGGTACAGACACTGGCGACGGCACAACAGACCCTACGCCCAGCGACGACACAGGCGCCACCGCACCATCTGATGCAGCAACACCACCCGACGCTATTGACTCAGCTTCACCGACCGCAAGCGAGGCTGCACCCGCTGCGAGTGATAGTGCAGTTGCCCCTGCCCCTAGCGAGGATCCTGTAGGTACCGGCGTAGTCAGCGAAACCGCATGCTCTGCTCTCAAACAAATCTTCAACTCACTGAACGGCAACTCGTGGGTGATCTCCACTGGATGGTCGGGCACCGATATGACCAGTTGTTGCAATGGCTGGTTTGGCGTTAGCTGCAACAACGGAGCTGTGACCAAAGTGTAACGGAAAAAGTTGATTTTCTGCTCAAGAAAGAAAAGAACGATTCTAATAAGAAAATAACCTTTATTAGAGAATTGCCCTACAATAACCTCGCCGGTGCTCTTCCTGATGTCTTTGGCTCGTTACCAAACTTGATGACACTGTAAGACTACAACGCTTATATTTCCATGTTGTGTGTTTATTTTTTTAAAGTAAAAATTAAGCTCACAAGCGCCTGACGCCATTTTAGGGATCTGAGCAACAACCAAATCTCGGGCTCGGTTCCAGCATCATTATCCAGCAATATGGCCAGCCTTCGTTTTCTGTAAGTTCGTCTATACACATCTGTAATAACGCAGCAGTTTGATGATGCTCTAACTGGATAATTCAGGAACTTAGATGTTAATGAGATGGGCGGTGGTCTGCCCGCTTTCCAGAATATGCCCATGTTAAGCAGCATGTAAGACATTATCTTTTTTTAGAAACAATTCGAACTTAAATTTTTTAATCTCTTTCTCTCTCTCTACTTAGCCACCTCAAGAATAACTCGTTCACTGGCTCTATCCCTGATTCATGGAGCAGTGTTCTTACGCTGACAGGTTAGAACGACGTTGAATAAGTTCGTACTCGCATTATAAGTTACTGATCGTTTTTCATCCACTAGATATCTACTTGAGCAACAACAATTTGACGGGTCCCTTCCCTGCTGCTGTTCTCAGTCTGACAAACCTTGTGAGCCTGTGAGTGATATTCTTCCTCTGATAAAGACTTTTCCTATGTTTTGCGATGCCAATCATTATTAATTGTATGCTATTCCACGTTATTTAGCGTACTCGATAACAACCAGATCAATGGCGTTATCCCTACCGGCCTTGGAAGCTTGACTGCTCTCCAAACCTTGTAAGCACAATATCGTTAAGGGGACATACATAATCAAATCTGCTCACTCCCATCTTTACTATTACTATTCTTTCACTTGCAGTAATCTTAAAGACAACCACATTCTTGGACCTATTCCTGAAACCATCGGCAACATTACGGGACTTACCTCATTGTATGTTACAGAAAGATCGACACGTTACATAGCCATTAATCTGTGTGTTACCATTTAGGCTACTATCTCATCAAATGCTGAACGGTTCTATCCCCGAATCCTTATATAACTTGGTTAATCTCGAGTACTTGTGAGTGCAATGCAAGGGGGGAACTAGTGTGTACAGCGAAACTAAACAATATTTTAGGGATCTTTCAAACAACCGCTTGCGAGGAAACATCTCCCCAAGTGTTGGCAAGTTACAGAATTTGAAGCGCATGTAAGGAGATAGCGAAAAAGACATGATGTTTGGAAGGCCCAGTTGGCTTACTGATCTTGTATATATTGTAGTATGCTTGGACATAATGGACTCAACGGCGCGATTCCCAATGAATTCGGAACACTTGCTGCATTAGAGTACATTCAACTCAACTATAACGCTCTAAACGGCCAATTCCCGAGCTTCATGGCTCCACGTGCACTTGGATACTGCTACATGACCCCTAATCAGTTCCAACTTTGCCCCGATCAGACGATCGTTGGCAATCCGGACAGTATGGCGTTCCAATGCGCCACTGACTGTATCGTCGGAACTACTCGCCCAGGTGCTGGTAGCTCGACTCGCGTCAACCTTATGACACTTACTACCTTTGCTTTGGTTGCACTTGCCTTTGTGCTTTTCTAAATACCATTCTCGCCTAATATTATTATCCTTGCATAACGTCGAGTATCTCTTCCTCTTTTTTTTACACTGTAGAGTTTCACTTCTTTCTCATTTGCCCCTCGAACTTAATGGCAGGTCATATTTTCTATTCCTGTCAAGACCGACATACGCAATTTGTTATTTATACGATTATTAAAACATCGATCCTCCTCTTTCAGCTAAAGCCAATACACCGCTGGAGTTAGCCTTTGTAGTATGCACAGTCTACATTTGAGCACCGTTGTGCGCATATATACATAAGATATATTTCCTTGAGGTTCAGCAACTGAATGAATTTTAATAGCTAGAGATGATATTGCTAAAAGTGGAATAAAGCCTGATGTCTTGACTGCGTATAGAACTATTTGATAACGTGGGTGCCATGCTCGCAGGAAAGGCTTATCTCATGTGGCTTTGGTACTGTTACAGACCGTCCATATCAACACATCAATTGCGCCACCTACAAGAAGTACACTGCGCTTAAGTTGTAAAAATGCGTCTACAATGTAAACTCAGCAACACAGCGCCAAAACCATCTATTGCATGGCGAAGGGAAACTCTTTGTTGAGCATAGTCGTATATTTTTTTTAGCTACGCGTCCTTTTCACACCATTATTAGCACTTGTTCTTTTGAGAATAACACAACAAACATCATAGACTATACATTGCATATGAAAACATGTTTAAGCATGCCAATATCCCGGGTCCGAGCGGCATTACTAGCTGTAAGTATGCTGCATAGATGGTATTCGCTCGTGTAACCTCCCATCAGCATATCGCTTTCTTTGCTTCAGAGGATAACATGCGGTCGTATCTGTCTCAAAGACAACGGATTGTCTTACGGTATGGTATTACGGCCCAAAGGAAAGAGTTAAACGGAGAGCAAGCCATCATTTATGTTGCTTATTTCAGGTCAAAATACACCGCACATCTGCCGTCCTATTCCCCGTATTTACAGATACCCGGGACAATGGAGAAGTAAGCGATAATTGACCTGCATAGATCAGGGCAGTATGTATTGTGCTGGCAGTCAAGACATCACTCATTTGCATCATGCTTGTCGCTGATATGATACTACATACTAAGCTTTCAATAAATATAACCAAAAGCGCCCCCTTTCTTGCCAAGCAAAAGTCCGATCATAAAGCAGATGGTCAGTTGCTTCGTTCTTCTGGTCACTTGAACAGCTTCGGTTGGCTTTCGTCAAGGCACTAACGGTGCCCTTTTCTTTTCTTTATTATTTGTCTCTTTACATTTTCCTCTTTAAAAATTCCTGTATTGTTCCGTTATTCAAAATGAAGCCGTGGAATTTTATACCCTCAGCGTGGTCCACATTTACTCTTCCGACCAACATTCAAAAACGTTTATATAAATTCCTGCTGCGCAAGGCGATCGGCCAATTCCTTGCCAGTGACTTGGATCTCGAAAACTTTGACATTGAATTAGTTAATGGCTCAGTTGAGTTGCGAGATCTTTCCCTGAATTTGGAGGTAAGTATTTTATTCCTGAGTATCGTGTTTGTTGGCTGCTGTTTTTTGAACTATGATGTCTTCTTCTTATATAGCGACTTAACGAATGGATAGCGGACACACCATTTATGTTGGAACAAGGTCGTGTTGGAAGTATTAGTGCTTCTTTGCCATGGTCAAACTTTTGGAATGGCGATATTGCTCTCAAGGTACAAGGGCTGGATTTGACGCTGCGACCAACGAAGCCTACGAGAAGAAGTAAGATTGGATGATCATCTTAATATATATTTTGATAAGGCTATTAACTATAGGCCGACTTGTGATAGCCCGCGCACAAGAGGATGATGACTCGCCCATTATGTCATCTTCGTTGCACTTTGCTGACGACTTTTTGCGGACGGAAATGGAGGACCAAGAGTTGATGGATTCGATACAGCAATCCATCCACGAGTCGACTTCCGCTGATGCTGATTTTGGAACTGAGGGACTCCAAGTCTTGACACGGATTATTGACAAAATGCTAGCAAAGGTCAAAATAGACGTAGTAAATACGACGATTCGCATTCTCCATAAGCCGCCAACGACAAATTCTGATGAAGAATACTCTATTGATCTGCATATACCCCGGATTTCATATTTTGACGAAACACCTGAATTCAACGCAAGGCAAACGTCTACCCAGCCCCCTCTTGTTGAATCGAGCGTTTTCCTTTCACCTGACGCCAATGAAACGATTAAAATCATTGCTATAGCATCGCCCACAATATGGCTACGCTCAAACCGCTCATCCCTCTATTCAGTCCCGTCAAAGAGTGAAACAACGCTTCAGAAGAATGAAAGTAACGATGACGAAAGCGACTTGGATCAAACAGAATTCTACGAGGCGAATGAAGGCGAGGGATCATTCTTTTACGGAAACCAATCTATTCATTCTAGCAATATGAGTGGATCGACGACACCGCGTGCTTTTCCACGTCGAGAAACCCGTGCTTCAATGTCAACAACCTATTCCGGTGGAGCCAGCAAGCCTTATGAGGCTCTTTTGCTTACAACTATGGATAAAGAGAACTGGATTCGAATCAAGCTGCGGCCTTCATTTCCTTTCAACGCACCACAATCGACGGACGCTCCAGTAATAAAGCAGATTGACTTTCTGTGCACACATATCTGTACCTATATCACCCCGTGGCAAGCAGCATTCTTGGTGGACCTTTTGAAAAAGATGAGCGATGTATCACTTGATCCAGGACCATCGGAAAAGCCATCGTCACCGGAAGGGCCACTCGATCTTCTTGCAGACTTACAGCAACTGGATCGCAAAACGCCCTTAGAGAACGAAGACCCACACATGTCATCACGGCCAATCGCAGCATCTTCAGCATTTCCTTTACAATCTGCAGCGTCTACAGCGTCTACAGCAGCACCCCAGCTTAAAATTAAGCTGCAAATTAGTACAATCGATTGCTACTTTCTGTATGCTGATGGTTACGAGCCAACAACAACACATGGTAATGGATTCAAAGATGTCAGTCATCTCAAATTGTCCATTTCTCAGGTAATCATGCGACATCAGCAGTTCCACCGTGAAACTACAAAACGGGACATTTCCATACGGCACACCCCTCCTCGGGAAGGCACAAGCCCTCTACCATCTGGATCCCCGACCGTCAACTCGTCTCCATTATCAATACTCGACATACGAGTAACTGGCTTTTCAATAAGCGAGTGGATCAAGCGACCTGATTGTGCAAAATTTTACAAGGAGTTACCCAGACGCATACGGCAGACGCAGTACGGCATGTACAACCCCATCTTTGAGTTCGACGAAAGCATACGAAATGACTATCTGCACGAGACCGAGTTTCCGAGTGTGAAGCAACAGAGGAGTAAAAACAAATCCAATAAAGGTGAAGCAATTCGTTTACGCGTGGAAAAGAAACAGGGGCATGAAGTTAGCAGATTCGTAAACGGTAACCTCCATTTGTTAGTCATTAGTCATACCTTCAAAGGCACATAGAGATACTTAACATAACAATTTATAGCATCAACGTTGGATGAGGAAAGCAGCATGGATCTCCAACCATTCACACTACATATTGATGCGCAGATTGTCGACCGTCTTGAGAACTATGTCTGCGCTCTTATGGATGTTTCCTCTACATGGACCTCGAATGAACAGGTGGATACAAGGTAAACTATCTTATTTGAAAGTGTTGGCTATAAAAACTTTGCATGCTTATTCGTTATTATAGTGCGATAGATAACACTTTAAGCCAAAGAGTATATGAAGATTTGGATCGAGCTTCGGTGGAACACCAGCATCGCAAAAAGCTACGCGTAAAATGTGCTTTTATTCGCATACTGCTCTTTATTCCGGATATGAGCCAAGTGTGTGTACGGGATGAGTTTAACGACTTGCAACATGCAGATACATTGAGTGTGGATATCAAACGGCTTGTGCTCAATTGGAATTCGGAGGTGGGCGATAGTGACGTTGATGCAGGATCTGTACATTCGCGCTATCCGCGTACTGCTCGAGCGGAGACGCCGACGAAACTCCACGTGGATTGCAGTTTTATCAATGTTTTCTTACAGCTTGCAGACGGTATGAGAGTGTTAAGACATCCTAAGTGAGCAGGATACTAATTTTATATGGCTGTTCTTAGACAACGCAGCCCAATGTTGGTTTACCTCCAAAACAGTTGTACCTTCAGGATACACACCCGGTATACCTTTTACATCGTCTCAATCTATGCAAAGTCCAAGCTTTGAAATAACATTGCGACCGTCAGCAAGCTCTATTGGAGCCAATCCTGCTTCTGCAGCCAAACCAAGTTTCTTTGGAGCTGGATCGGATATTCCAAACAACATCTTTGAGTATCTATGCAAAAACGAATCGCTCCCTCTATCGCAGAAGCAAAAATTACCAATGGAAGATCAAGCAGAATCATCGATGATATTTAAACAACGTACAATTGAAACCTCAGTAAGTAATGAACACATGTAGATGTCAATCAACATGGTCAGAAGCTTATGCGTTGAGTGCAGCTTGCTGTAGTGAACTGCCATTTCCCTGTAACGCGGCTCAATTTGACCAAGGAAGTGTGGGATGTTTTCCAAATATTACAAAACGACTTAATCTTGTGGCAACCGAGATTTATGCGTCGATTATTTCCAACCGAAGATATCAAAGAAAGCAACGATGATACCGAACGTGCATCTGCGTCAATAATGAGCGACATCTATGAAAGCGCAAATTCATATTCTGGTGATCCTCGCTTTACCGAAACTGATTCTGTGCAGGCCTCCAGTGTTCTTAGCCAAAGCCATGAAAGACTGGGTCAGAGCACAAATTCTCCGAGTTTACTTTCGCTAGTTGTGGTGATGAGTGATGGTAAAGTTGCAACCTGAAATGGCCAGATAATGAAACCAGTTATTGATAAGCTTGTGGATGTATTAGCTATCTGGGATCTTCACCATATATCCAAGGAGGACTCTGTCAAGACAACCTATCGGCTGCACATGTCTGAATTTCGATACTTTACAGTAGTAAAGCATCTCGGTTTGGTACGCTAATGTTTAGGCTCTTCTATACTATGCATGAGTCGGTTACACTAATACGTAATTGTTAGAATGAAAATATTACAACCTTGGACATTGATCAGCTGGCTCTCGATCGAACAGCGCCGACTGCGATGCCTATAATTTGCAAGTCAATACCAAAAAAGTTGAATGTACGTTGACCTCGCTCTCATTGGTTTAGATAAAACTAATTCTTAATCAAAGGCAAAACGCAACACGTCAGTAGTTTCTCTAGTTGCGAAATTGGTGCCGATGCCAGGGCTGAATAAGCAGAACAAGATCACCAGTGTTGTGGCTTGTAATATTTGCTGGCTGTTTGGCATGGAATTAAGCGTTGTCGACCACTTGGCTGGATTCCAAGGCATTCCTGAAGATGTAGGTTTATAATGAATTCACTTGTCAATTCGATACTAAATTCTTTTACTCTGCTTTTTCTATTAGATGGTCTTTATCGATCCCGCTACGCAATACAATAAGATATACGCTCACGTATTCGACATTTCAGTGGATTATAAACCGCTACATATTCCATCACGAGCAGTAATCGTTCTTAATGATGCTCAGGTACAAAGTGATTACTAATCAAATACCCCGCGAAAATCTATTAATTTTAACCGCTATACAGGTTACAACAGATATTATATCAGGAGGACAGCCTATATTCGACGTTAAAATGTGCGTGCAGAGCCTGAACGTATATCTTATGGATGATGCTACTCATGTCGGCCAAAATCATATCGAGCAAGTAATAGCACAGCTAGCAAAACGATCCGTGGATGCAAATACATACTGGTGTGCACTGGGCTTTATTTGTACCCTCACTATATCCGAATTTGAAGCTGGAGTCAAGATTAAATTGGATGAACTTGTGACGGCACCGAACGTCGATATTGCTATTCTCAACAACGTTGTGGCAATCAAGGGGTGTTCTGATTCAATTCATTCTCTAATAAATTTCATCACCTATGTCGCAAACCAAGGAGACATACCGAAGCCGCATCAAGACACTAAAGGGAAAACCCCTGTGGCAAGTCGAGTAGAGCCCATACAAATACCACGAAAGCAAAACATTGACAATAACAACACGAATCGAGATGATGGCAATATGCTGGAAAGCCTGGATCCTGACGCCTTCAAACGCTGGGTGGCGCCATCTCAGATCAACGATAGTGATACCCTAAAGATGGATTATGTGGAGGGGTATTACACATCAACTGGAAGAACCTCACGGATTGCTGAAAACGGACCACCACAAAAGCCATTGCGGAAACATCGTGCACAGTCCAGACGGAAAAAGGAAGACCAAGTCCGTCTGCTTGTCGAGGATATGAACGAACTGTCTATTGTGGAGAACTTTTACAGCACAAATAGACGGGTAAAAGCGTCCAACAAACGACCTGTCGATGTAACACGCTCCGTCTTTTCCGTACGAATACGCAACTTTGATGTAATGTTGAAGCTTTACGACGCCCATGATGTGCATTATGCCAACGACCAGGTACCTAGAAGCAGCAATAATGACAACAACACCACCAAAGAATCACTATCATGTCCAGGCTCGATCGACACTGCCTCTGACAATAGTACAAACACCACAAGCGACCTCGATTTTACCCCTCATTCCCCTACTTTCTCACTGTCATCAGACCGCTCGGATGATGCATTCAGCAAGCACGCCGCAGTACCAAAACCAGATTCCAAGCGACGTCAAGGCGGGAAGCGCGAGAGTCGTCGACATTTTGCTAGTAGAGGTGATATCGAAATGCGTCTTGATGGTCTGTCTTTGGATCTAAATTTGATGCCACCCACCGACAACGTCAGCCTTTATTTGCTCCTAAAAGTACGAGACTATCAAATAATCGACAATGTCAAAACGTCGTCATGGCATCAGTTCTTAGGATATATGCGGCCTGATTCGAACGAATTGCCACGGGAACAGGGCTCTGTTATGTTACGGTTCGAGGTTACGGGTGCGCGACCAGTAGCGGATGATCCTACGCAAGAGTTTAGAATCAAATTGAAGCTTTTACCAATGCGATTATACGTGGATCAAGACGCGCTCAACTTTTTGGTGAAGTTTTTCACTTTCGACAAGAACTTATTGCGCTCTACAAAATATGCCAACGCGACGATACAGCGTGATGATCAGAAAGATGTCGCGAGTCCAGAAATTTTCCTCCGTAAGTAGTGTGTTTTATAAGTTATGAATCCCATAAAAGAAGCAACAAACTCACTCATTGTGTATAAGAGCACGTCGAAATAAGTCCTATTGTACTCAAGATCGACTACAAGCCAAAGTACATTAATTATGGGAGCATTAAGGAAGGACAACTGGCCGAACTTGTAAATCTATTCCATCTTCATGGTGCTGATATTCAACTAAGCCAGATTAAGATGACGGGAATCAATGGTTTTACTCGGTTAGCAGATAAGCTGGCGCAGGAGTGGCTCCCGCATATCATGAACACGCAAGTGCCACACATGGTTTCCGGCGTTTCACCCATTCGCTCCATTGTCAACGTCGGAAGTGGCATGGCTGATCTGGTACTACTGCCAATCCAACAATATAGAAAGGATGGGCGTATCGTACGAGGTAAATTACCCCCTTTTGTTCAATAATAGCAATCTATGATTCAATGTTTATATTCATTGAATTTTATCTTGGTAGGTCTACAAAAAGGCACTCAATCTTTTGCTCGAGCAACCGCCATGGAAGCCATTAATCTTAGTGCGCGTTTTGCATCGGGTGCGCAGGTGATACTCGAACAAGCAGATGATTTTCTGTCACCGTCGCGGCGGCATGAATTCGTACCCATAGAATATGACGCGGATCTTCTTGACCAAGTGGAAGACGACGACGATGGGTTCTTCTTTGCCAATGCTGCTGTTGCTGCCGCTGCAGCCAACGAATATCATCTCTACCATCATCAAAAGGGCGCTACAGCAATGAGCAAGTTTGCAAATCAACCGTCCGACCTATCACAAGGGTTGCAATACGCCTATAAAAATCTCAGTCTTAATTTGGGAGCAGCGGCCCAAACGATTCTGGCTGTGCCAACAGAAATAATTGAAAATGGCGGTATGGCGGGTAGTCCAGAGAGCACGTACTCAACCTCATCGTCGTCGTCGTCGTCGTCGCCACCATCATCATCTCAAGCCAAAGCTGTCATCCGTGCTGTTCCCATTGCAGTGATAAAGCCCATGATCGGCTTGACAGGAGCTTTTCAGAGTATCATGGTGGGGCTTCGAAACAGCATCGATCCTGCTATGCGACTTCAAAGCGAGGATGTAAGTTCTTCGTTATCTGTAATCATTCATATTTTAAAACCTATTAACTTTTGGTATTACTTTCTCTAATAGAAATATAAGCGTTAGCGTCTTTGTTCAGCTAATGCTGCTTGAGTAGCTTTGAATAAAAGTGATTAAACACCTTGACAATCAATATGACATGTATAAAATAGCACTCTTATGTTCCTGTGCCTGTGCTCAAATTGTTCAGAGACAGCTGCCCAAAGTTAACTTTTTCTTTTTTGGTTCTTATACGCAGCGGGAACCAATAGCTGCGCAGATTAGGGAAAATGACAGACTCTGACAAACTCAGTCGACAGTTTTTTTTCTTTTCCCCTGTCATCACCACCCGACGGTCCTGTCCCTTTTACTGGTTGGAAAATGTCAACTGTGCTGGAATCGCTCGCCAAGCTCTCCATTACCCCCAAGTCCGTCTCACACGAAGCGGTTGCCGACAACAAGGCATGGGCGAATGCCTTGGCCGCTGTTAATCCTGGCTTTGACTATAAGGTTACCAAAAGCTTGATTCTAAAGCCAAAGACAGCCAAAACTGCCACACCCACGCCTGTTGTCGTGATTGCACTTGACTCCACCGAAACCAATGCTACCGCTTTGGGCAAGAAGCTTTCGCTCAAGGAATGCCGATTTGCCAATGAGGATCTTTTGAAGGATACATTTGGTGTTGCCAAAGATGCTGGTATTGTTTTTTTTTTTGGAGTGATAGTGGAAGAGATATATACGTCGTGGATCGGTGGATCTGATCGAATCAAATGTCTTTATAGTTTCACCTTTTGCTTTATCGAACGTGTCCGACCTCTCGTTGATCCATTTGGTCGTTGATACCGCACTTTTGGCTCTTTCTGATACAACTCTTCTTGCGTTCCGCGAGGGCGCAGCCGATAAGACTGTCTTTGTTTCTGTCGATGAATTGAAGTCATACTTTAAGTCTCTTGGAAAAGACACGATTGAAGTTGATTTCTCGACCTTGGCCGCAGCTGCAGCAAAGCCTGCTTCTGCTCCTGCTCCAAAGGCAGCCAAGAAAGAAGGTAATGATCAAAAACGGAAAGCGAGAGATAAGGTTCTCAGATTCTCAAAAAGGAAACTTGCATTGCAGCGTTAGGTCCTGCTGAAGATATCCACCAGATGGGCATCGAATACAAGAAGGATGTGGACTTTTCTAAATGGTATCAACAGGTAAGCTTAATGGCTCAAAGTTGCGTGTATCTTTGTTTGTTGATTGACTAACAAAATGGGAAAAAATAAGGTTTTGATTAAGAGTGAAATGTTGGACTACTACGATGTTTCGGGTTGCTACATTCTTCGCCCGTTGTCGTACAACATCTGGAAGCAAATCACCAGTGCGTATCATACATGTGTTTGTAACGTCTTGAATGTCTTCACTTATTGTAATTGATTAAAATAGATTTCTTTGACAACGCAATCACCGAGATGGGCGTGGAGGATACCTACTTTCCTATGTTTGTTTCCAACCGTGTTCTCGAGCGTGAAAAGGACCACATTGAAGGATTTGCCCCTGAAGTCGCTTGGGTAACCAAAGCAGGCTCAAGCAACTTGGAAGAGCCTATCGCTATTCGTCCCACCTCGGAAACAGTCATGTATCCGTACTTCTCAAAATGGATTCGTTCTCATCGTGATCTTCCCTTCCGTATCAACCAATGGTGCTCCGTTGTCCGTTGGGAGTTCAAGAACCCCCGTAAGCCCTATTTCGTGAATAGCACTGTAAACAGAGCATAAGCATACTGACTCATTCCGTACATATAGAGCCTTTCCTGCGTACCCGTGAATTCTTATGGCAGGAGGGACACACAGCCCATTTGACCCAGGAAGGTGCCGGTGAAGAAGTGCTGCAAATTCTTGACCTGTACGAACAAGTTTACAACGATTATCTTGCTTTGCCTGTCGTCAAGGGTGTCAAATCCGAAAAGGAGCGGTTTGCAGGTGGTCTTTACACTACCACCGTCGAAGGCTTCATTCCTGCTACTGGCCGTGCTGTTCAAGGTGGTACTTCTCACTGCTTGGGCCAGAACTTCAGTAAAATGTTTAATATCACTGTCGAGGATCCCAATGCACCCGCCAACCTCTCTGAGGAGGCCAAGAAGATTCACGTTTGGCAGAACTCATGGGGTATTTCGACGCGTACAATTGGTGTGATGGTTATGGTCCACGGTGATGACAAGGGCTTGGTCCTCCCTCCCCGTGTCGCTCTTCATCAAACTGTGGTCATTCCCTGTGGTCTTACTGTCAAGTCGACGCAGGCTGATACCGATAAGGTGTTTGATGGCTGCAAGGAAATTGCTGCTCGCCTCAAGAAGGTTGATATCAAGTCTAAGGCTGATCTTCGTGACAACTACACGCCAGGCTTCAAGTTCAATCATTGGGAATTGCGCGGTGTACCCCTCCGTATTGAATTGGGTCCCAAGGACCTTCAAAAGTCTCAGGTTACCTGCGTCCGTCGTGATAACGGTGCCAAATTTGCCGTGCCTCTGGACAACCTTGAAAAAGGTATTCAAGAGGCCCTCGATACCATTCAGCGTGAAATGTATGAGCGCGCTAAGGCCAAGATGGAGGAATCGATTGTACGCGTTAACAAATGGGAAGATTTTGTACCCACTCTTAACGCCAAGAAGCTTTGCTTGATTCCTTGGTGCGATCGCATGGCGTGCGAAGATGAAATCAAGGACAACTCTGCTAGAACGTACGTACAATAATATAGCTCACAACAACCCAGCTTTATTCTAACAATATTCTCACATTATGAATTCAGTGCCAACGAAGGCGAGGAAGAAGACGAGCGCGCTCCTTCCATGGGTGCCAAGTCCCTCTGCAGACCTTTCGAACAACCAACCGATCAACCTATTGTCCCCGGCGAAACCAAGTGTGTTGCCTGTGGTCAAGATGCCAAGCACTACATGTTGTTTGGCAGAAGCTACTAAGTATTGCTTCCTGTAAAATTGTACTATTGTCCATAAACCTTTCATTACAGTAAATAAATAATGATGAACTTTCTTTCATGTTTATATACCGACTTTCTGCGCGTTGCTATGGGTTAATATAGCAAACCATGGACCTCATATCGACTGCATCGGCACGAACCAGTATTTCACATACGCAGTGATTTTCAGTGCTACCCAGTTGTGAGGTGATAGGTCCCCATCCACCCCCCCCTCCCCTAATTCTGTTATTTCGTTTCCCTTCTACATTCCTTACTCGATCATCGCATACAAGGATGGCCTTGGCAACAAAGGACCTTATTGCCTTCCCAACTGATATGTCTCGAATCATTCTACTTTTTCGGTCCGCGTCTAGAACAGCACCTGACCAAAACGCCAAAAAGTTCATGAAAAACTTCGTCTCGTCATGTCGAAGCACTTCAAATTCAATCAGGTCAAAATCCAAATCAAACGATTCAAAGGCTTTTCACAGTTAAACTGGTTGAATCCACTCAAATCTCAGCATCTATCTCTAGCTGGAAAGATGTACGCGTTGAAAACCTTACGGAATGATGGGCTACTTTAGTGGAGAACGCCACAGTACCAACAGGTTTGACAGAGTTTGGGTTTGAGGTGATATTGCCCGGTCAACTTTGCTCAACATACAAATCCCCATATCTCGAAATACTTTACACTCTTACAGCCGTCATCCTTCCATCTGCAAAGTTTGCAACAAAGAAATCAAGATTTGCAAAACGCTCGTATCAAAAGATGTCGTTTATGGCTGTTTTACCGGATATAAAGTACCACGACTACTAATGCGTGGAGAAAGGCCAGGTTCTCTCTTGTGGAAGCTTTAGATTCTTCGGTGGGTGTGTTTAGAGAGCGACAAAGGAATCGAGTTTGGCGGGATATTGCGCTTGAAGGAGGCCGCTGCTGTTAACATGGAGAAGATTGAGGCCGACGTCGTTTAAGAAGAAGTTAATAGCAGTAACTCTAAAAATATCCAACAGGTCGACGATGACAGCTATATTATGTCTCTTTTTCGTATTAAATTTGCTTTATGTAAAAAGGTACTTGGTTGTATGCATGAATGCACCATTAACCTACGTTCATCCGCCATTTGAGACCTATATCGTTTGGTTTTCCGGTCCACCTTCTGACCGCCGCCAGCTTCGCCGCGCACATTCAGTTCCAACTCATCTACCTCAACATGAACCTACACCAATATTATGAGAAAAAGCATATCACCGACAGGGGAAACTACAACCCTTCCGCGAGGTCATTTAACCTTTTCACTGGATCCTCCGTATCTTCGAATGCGACACATACAAGCCTTGTGATTCATATGCCAAACGTCGAACCAATACATATTGGATTGGCAATACCCAAAAACAGCTTGTTGTGTTGAAGGACGAGCAGATACGCCCCGTAATCTGGGCTTGACACCTTTGTTTCTCCTGGTAACAGCAGCACCATCACCAGCATGTCGTCGGCATCAGCACTCGGCATCGCAGCCTCCTAGTATGTTAGCTTTCCAAAGACATATAGTAAACAATAGCGTCAGTAGAGCTTGTGTAAACTTTGCTGAGATACATAGTGGTGTTGTTACAGAAGAAAGGACGCTGGAAGGTTTCTATATTTATACCTCTGTCGATTAGATTATACATGAAACTAAAGAATGCTTAATGCGCGTCAAGGTAAAATTATATATATGATATACACGTGTCTGAGTCGTCCCGCAGCCTCAGTGACAAAGAAGAGTCATGTAGCTTGTTGCTAATGTGCTACATTCATAAAAGGTAATTTCCTTTGAACAGTTTTACGCAATAATAACAGCGTTACTAATAATCACTACAATCCGGCTATGTGGGTTTCTGTCGTGTGTGATGTTAATTGTGGTGGCCGTGGTGATGGTCAAATTAAAGTTAAGCTCCTATGTAATGATGGTTTAGACACGCTGTATTTACACAATAATCATGCTTCTCCAAGCAACAGGACTGATGCCTACGGATGTCTGAGACACTTTATTGCGCGATACATTTGCGGTGAGTATAGTTTAGGCGTTCCAGATGTCTCTTCTCGATTTCCTAATTCTTTGATTTTTTTGTTTGGCTTCTCGGCTTCTATTTACCATTTCTGGACTGCCTAAGCAAACAGTTCAGTTTCTCATATGTTGGACATCTCCCTTTTGATATAAAATCCCTTTTTCCTTTATCTTTTCTAATGCACATTGCTGCTTCTTCGTTCCTTTAATATTTCCTGTCCTTTCTTTGCATATTACGAACATACTACATCAAATATCAAATTCATATTATTCAACGTGGATACTAAGTTTGCACTCCTTACACATACAACTGTTTCGATCTGATCTTTTCAAGTATAAAGGTACAGAAAGAGCGGTGAAATAGTTTTGTTTAATGCAATAGGAGACTATAACACTTTTTAACCTTTTGTCTGCAAGTATGGATGTGCTTGCCGCCCCTTGTTTTTGGGCACTGTTGACTCCGGAACAGTTCCGGTTCGCGTACTTGCCTGATTCTGTTGCACAAACAGTTGTTGGTGACGATAAACAGTCAGTACGAACTCTTTTACAGAATCGATCGCTGCTTGATTTTATTCATCCAGAGGAATTGAGCATCGCCCAAGCTGATCTTGAACGATTTTTGCGTGTCAGAACTTTGGCAGGCTCAATAACTAGGTAAGTATCAAAAGTTTTTTAAAATGGCTCCGTACGCTTTAACTGAATTTGTAACATGTTTACTGTTTCAATCGTTATATCGCGTTGCACAAATGCAAACTGTGCCGCCCACTGCTATGTTTACGACTTCTTTCATTCATTTCTGAAATTTATCCAATGATCACTTTTTGTTCTTTCCTAAAGATGTCGACTTTTGTCCTTCGATCACGTTTCTGGTTATCAAAACGCACGTCCTACACCAGCACACTCTACTCGAGCTTTGACTTCTGCGTCAAGTCATAATAGAGAGACAAAATGTGTCCATGTAAGTTTGTTTGCTTTATCACAAAAGCTTTATACTAGGGCTCACAGATTATGCTTCCATAAAGTCCTCTGTTTATATTGCTAGTAGCTCCGTTGAAACATCCTATGCTGGTATCAAACCTTCCGAAAATGACCAATGGCAAATTATGGATATCGTTCTATATATTGCTACTGAAAGCATTCTGCTGGCATTCTTTCACAACACAGGTACGATGAAGCTGTTGTCATGGATATGCCTTTGTTTTCATGCTCATCAATTATCTTATTTTAGAGCATTCGTACAAAAAGTACACGGACAGACTCATTTGTGGAGACTGTGAGCCAAAACAGTTTGTATGCCTCTATTATCCAACAACAAGCGGTTTTTCGACGAGCCAAAGATAATTAAGATAAATATGTCGAAACGCCATATAGGAAATTGATACGTTGGTCGACTTGTTAAATGGCCGGGAGCAAATGGCGCGGAATGGACCTTGTATTTCTTCGTCGACTCACCACAACTTACGAATGCTCCAAATACACAGCAGTAAAACAGGCGAGCTCATTGTATCATGGCCAACTCGCACCACCATTGCGTCAAACGATAAAGGCGCCCAGAGCAATAGATCGTCGATATCGACCAGCCACACTCATCAGAAGCAACATAAAGCCAGATTAGACGAAGTTCTTAGTTCGACAAAAATTGTAATGGAAAAAGAAATACTTTTACTCAATTCCATGACGATCAATCAGTACTCTAAGTTACAGTATCAAAAGGCCGCATGCACGCATCCTTACCGTTCAAGCTCTATGATCTATCTTTCCGATGGGATGTATTGCTTCGAGCATATCATCATCCCTTATGGCTCCATCGCGTTTGGCGCTTTTCACATTACCATGGTAACTCCAGCTACAACATTGGCAGCACATTGTACAGGCAGTGATTGCACCAACACGACCGGAAATGCGACATATCGGCATTACATCCACTACAACGCCCCAGAAGAGAGTAGAGAGAGTGACATCGTCTCAAGTTCATCAGACATTGGTGATAAACTTCCGTTTATTAATGGTGTTGCTCATACCAATCATGACCGTTGTAATAGGACAAACATTATCCCCCACAGCAGTTCCAGCAGTAAAGAATCAGAGTAGGTCAATCGTCATTAGTATAGTTTTCAAAGTGTTTGGAAGATATTGATCTTGCGTCACATATTATTTTGACCATGGTGTAATACTGTTTGGCAGGACATCTTTGGTGACTCTTCGTAAACCATCACATGACCCCAACAATACTTCTCCCTCGATCACAATGGTCGGTATTCAAGGCAGAGATAATAGTCAGCCTTACATGTCTATCAATCAGCTACTATGTTCCCAGACCTGCAAATCCGTTGAACTAGAACGAGCAGTCGATCGAAAGGTGCAGACGCACTATATTTATACGCATTTTCCACGTGGCATTTCAATGAGGATCTGTGCCAAATGTCATACAAGTAAAAGTCCAGAGTGGCGTAGAGGGCCTTCAGGCGACAAAACGTAAGCAAATATTCTACTCGTTGGTGTGTATCTCAATGTTTTCTGATACTAAACGCGTATTTCTAGACTATGTAATGCCTGTGGTTTACGATTTTCACGTTTGATAGCCAAGCAGCGACGCATGTCGTCCATTCAACGCCACTAACAAGCCCTTTTTGGTTTCCGCTACTTCATTGCTGATATGCGACATCATCATACTATTTTTCATTCTTCCCTGTGCACTTATTTTATGCCGCCTTAAACTATATATGCTTGTTTATTTCTTTTTGCATCTTTTATTTTCAATAAGCTAACTGGAGAATCAGCGTTCCTTTTTGTATATCCAAATAAGACATATTTTTCTATATTCAGTTGCCATTTCCCAATCCAGGTCATTATTTGTCAGTTGTTGTACCATAGGTAACGGCAGAAATATTTAAGCGTAAAAGAGCATTTGCTGTGTTTTCAATGCGAACCAACTGACTTCTCTTCGTACTGCCAATTCCGCTATGGATGAACACGCCCTTGAACATTCGGGAGCTACAGGACATTCACACAACCTCGATCCTTCAGTATTCAAGTCAAGTGCTGCTACTGACGAGCCCATTGGCCTCGTTATGGCCCTGCACATTACCTTCATGGTGTTAGGCACGTACAAACTAATAGTACCGCAATGATCGCTTGACATTCTGCTAACTTCAAATTTATAGCATTTGGTTTTTTGTACCCCATCGGCATGGTACTGGGTCTCTCGAAAAATCGGTGGCACGTACCTGTACAAATACTGGCAACCGTATTCTTCGTCGTTGGTTACTTCTTAGCTCATGCTCATGGTGGCCGCAACTATGTAAGAATCTTATCATTCAATAAACCCCTTAATAGACCCTTTCTCTTACAATTAAATTACCACGTAACACAAGGAGCCGCACATTGCACATCGATGGTTTGCGTCTGTCGTTATTTGGACAGTAGTGGTACAGCTCATCCTAGGTGGTTATTTGAAATTGCATTGGGAGAGAGGTATTCAAGGACGGATTCGGCCTTTTCTCGTTCGGTTTCACAAAGTGCTTGGAGCACTGGTACCGGTTATTGGTTATGTGCAAATCGTTCTAGGCGTGATTGCAAGCGTTGGATTTTGCTATGGAGGTTAGTTACGGAATGTATGCAAGTGCTATATAAATTTTCTGACACATATAGACAATAGACTCAACTGGACAGTGCCTTGCGCACTTTATAATGGGGTCCTCGTTTGTCGGCTATGGTATTCTGCTGTTGCTCTCACTGCGTGTTGGCGGTCCATGGCTATTGCGACGTGGAAAGAGTCAGGAATGGTACGATAGTTGGGTGATCATGTTATGGGGTATTGTTAACACCTTTACGGAACATCGGTAAGAAATTAGATCTTCTTAATGTTGAAAATGCTATACGAAGAAGAATGTCGATATAAACTCATGAAAAAGATGGGGCCAGGATTGGAATCACGGTGATTATCAGCACACGTCGATGGGAATCATTTGGTGGGTCGCTGGACTCGTCGGTATCGTCCTCAGCAGAAATGGCAAGCGATCTGTTGTGCCATCGATTCTTATCATTCTCACCGCTGTAGCTTTCCAGGGTCACGCGCAACATGTACCGAACAGTGGACAAATCCATTCTTTTTTTGGTTACATGTTGATGGCTGGCGGTCTCAGCAGGATCATTGAGATTTGCTTTGTATGGAAGGAGGGCGAATTCGCCATTTCTCCATGGCAATATATCCCCCCATTGGTAGGCCTGTTTCCCTATGGAACATCTAAGCGCTAATAAAATATGCTAACGCACTCAATTAGACGCTTATTCTCGCTGGTCATTTGTTCATGGGCTCAACTGAGGAGCAACTCATGTACCTGAACGGCTCAATGATCGACGTGAGCTCTTACAGCAACGTATTACTCTCATTTGGATTTGCCGTCTTCTTGTTTGCCCTTGCTCTCATTTTACTTTGGGAGAAATTAACGCGTTATGATGCATCCACCCACACGCGTGCCCAGCTTGATACGGGCGGTGACTACAGCGAGCTTCCCTTGAATGGTCCAAGCAACCTCGATACCGATACTTTACACGATGGAGGTTCTGACTTTCTTGATGATGATGATGAGCAGGATGATGCGATGGAGTTGAAGACAAGGATTGGAGACAGTCAGCATCGCTTATAGTTGAATATGCGCCTTCATCGCAAAAAGTAAAACAGAAACCCCTTTTATAATTTTTATACATATTATTAAAAAATTTTGTATTTCAACGACATCTCCACCGCGCGTTATAGATTTTAAACAACAATTGATTGAAGCTATCCATTCAATTGAAAGCCTTGCTAGTTGTTCTGATAGCTTACTCAAGATGCAAGATCGAGACACCAACTCAACACTAGTAATGCAAGACAAATGCTTTTGTTACAAGTTTCGAAACAATTAACTGGAAACGTTTAGACAACTTCGGAAGCAACACTGCGTTTCTTGCAAGATCCAGAGCGATTAAGGCAAATTGTACAAAAGCAACGCAAATTGGCTAGAAAAAAGGTAAGCTGTTAAAAGTATGCTTTTTTGGAACTATTGATAACGGCGTGATTTTCACCAGCAAGGGCGAAAGCGCCGCGACGAAAATGCAGAACAACGAAGAGTTCAGCTTGAGCTACGTCGAGAGAAATTACATGCTGATATTGATCGCTGGCAACGAGAAACCCGTCAGCAGGAGCAGCAAAGACAGGTATGCTATACATGGAGCAAGGCTTACATTTCTAAACTTAACAGCACGTTCGCTTCATAGCAGCAATCGCGACAACAAGAGTCTCGTCTCATATCACCGCAAAAGTCAAAAATACGAAAGTTAAGCAAGCTGGTGGAAAATTTAACGCAGCTCCGCAACATTCGACGTAAACGACTCCAAGTAAAAGGGCACTTCTTCCCAGAGGACGGAAACAAGTTTTTTGAAAGAATCAAGATTCTTAACGACGAACAAAGTAGCCAAGAACTACCAGAGGAAGAAGACAGGCCTGAAGAGAAAGCGCTGTATGTCCATCCCGACGATTCCTGGACCAAAAGCGATTTGGACTCGAGGGTTTACAAGTACTGGGGTCAAGCTTACCAAACTACAAATGACCTAAGGCGGATACGAAACCAATGGGACTATTTCCTCTATGAAGGGTCGAGCAGCTCAATAGAGAGCAAAGTGCCACCTACTTGGGTTCCACCAGCACCTCCTTCAAACTGGATATGGGCCACCTATCTTGTAGACCAATCACAGTAAACTTGTTGTTATTCAAATATAAATTTCCACTGTTATTTAACCCAACATTACTTCGTTATCACTTGAGTATACATCAGAAAGCCGCATCAGTCCTTCCTTCAACTCGAGATAGTCACTCTGAGTTAGCCCAAAAGTTCCTTCTGAATAATCCGACATCTGTCTAAAGGGCACCGATTCGACTTGTTGAGCAAGAGCGCTGATCTCAGGGCAGAGTTCCGTTCCAGTATACATCCTTGACAAAACAGGAACCGAGCTCAATGTCTCAGATCTCTGCTGTGATTTTCTATATGTCCCAAAAACATGAACATTAATATGAGCATGTAAATACCGCCTATTCGTTGATTATAACGTACAAAAAGCCCTTATCGTCGCAGAAAGACGTGAAGAATTGCGGATATGAACTTGGGAGAGGATAGGAAACGTTGTCGATAAAGCGACTAAAAACAAAATATTACTTAGTTTACGAATATATCTTCAAATCAAAAGCGAGCTTACGGATCAGCTTGCGGAAACTTGTGGTACAGCAATCGAGTATAATCGTACAATCCTTGATCGCTGGCACGGACAGATGCCCTGGGCAAACCACGTACGACAACGTCTTCAGCAAATACGTCGTGATCAGACTGTTGTCGGACCTGTAATACAAATGAGTAACTCATCTAAACGTCCAGTTCTACTGCTAACATACCGATGCTAGTTTTGATAGTTCGATTGCTGGAGCTATCTTATCTTTGAACTGCTCAGCCGTTGCATTGAAGCCTTCTTTCAAAAATGGCAGCGGTAATGTCAATGATAATCCCGATAATCGAGTTGTGCCTTGACCATTCATCTTATCACACAAGCTTCCAATGCTCAAGAAATTGCTCTTCGTTCTATATATAAAGTACTGATTAGCTCGCTATCATTGAAGCCCATTCCTTGCAACATAATGCTGACCTGTAGGATAAAGATACGGTTTCTATAGCTGTTGAAAGAATAGCGCTTGTATGGTACAATAAATTGCACTAAAAATAATGTAAATAGCGTAAGATATTGATGTACAAGCTAGTATATCGTACGTACATTTGGTTGAATATAAGGTGATAAGCCAGAATTGAAGATGTGCCTTGATGAGGGCGTATATAGTGGAATATAGCTTGAACATAAATCGACTATCCTTGTCATGGTTAGTGCGCGATTTAGTGTAACCCGTTGTCTGGAACGCTATTACAAATAATTAGCCATCCATATTAAGTGGAAGTTGTCTATCGTAAAAGAGCTTACCTCTGGCGCTGGCATAGATGACGATTGTAGACCATAGCATAGGATAGGTGTCTTTGCGAATTCATCCCGGACATCTTGTAACAACCCTTCAGCGAACCCACTAAACGCATCATCTACACTAGCAAACACTTGAAACCCCTAGTAGAGAGAAGAGAAAAATTGAGCCAACTTCTAAACGGTAGCGTAAAAATACAACAATTAGCACAGACCTGGAGATTGTCGCATTCTTCAGCAAAACGGCGAAAATTGTCTTCAAATGATTCAGTTTCCTACATTTATATCTGATAAGATACTGTACAAAAAATCAAACAAAGTACCAACTACTCACCCGTTCATAGTCACTGTAAGATTGTCGTCCGACTGAATAGGTATTATACGGGTTAATGCTGTCATCCATGTTATGCGTTGTGACTTGATTCATGGACCGTGGATGATAGTAGATTCTGTTGAAATCGGACCAGGTTTTGACGGATTTATCATCCAATGCTACTGCTTCCATGTTTGGATCCTATTAGAATAATCAGTGTATCTCTTAAAAAAAAGGTGCTTAATTTTAGCAAATTCCTACCATATCCATACGTTCGAGCTGCTGTTGATAAGCGTTTTTAGGGTATTGCTCTGACACGATCTTGTTTATACCTTGATCCCTATTACTATTGTTAACTATCTTCATAACTTCATTTCGAGCTTCGGAACTATCGCATACCAATTTGCAGTATCTCCAGCTTCGGCTGCAAACAATTGATTGTATTTCTGAAGTGATCCAAATCCACCTAATGACTTTATCATTAGCGGTGTATTAATTCGACTGAGCAAGAAGCAGACTCACCTTTCAAATCATAAGCTAAAACACGTGGCGTGTATGTCTCGACTCCCTAAACGTGGTGATTAGCAGCAAGCACCTTAGTGATAAGTGCGACATTTGTACATACTGTAGGTGAAACCCCAGTACGGTATAAAATGTCGTGGTCCAACTCATTCGTAGAAGCGCTGCTTGTGTGATCGCTTCCATACGTGAAATACTCCTCCTTAAATTTAAAACATAAAAATGGCTTCAATAAATTCCGTTAGAGTTTAAGCGTTGTTCATTTCATTCTCACCTGAGTGTTCCAGAAATGAGTTCCAACGAAATTGGCTAGCTGTCCGAGTTGTAGAGTAACAATTTCACGCATCTTGTCAATTTTTTAAAGAAAAGTTGGGATACAAAGAAAGCTATTGTAAATTGGGCAGGAGCTCTGGTCACTGTAACACAAATCCAAATTTGCCACCAGCAAGAAAGGCTCGCAAGGTTTATGAAAGATTATGTTTGATACATTAGAAACATTAGTATTTTATTAAGCCTTCACAAACAGTTGTTTGTCTATACCCATTCTACGTGTTACAGTAATTACTTCATCGATATCGCCGACTATGCTCCATGTAAAAATACGATTGCAGTTCGCTCACATATTAGCTTGATAAAGTTACCAGGCAGCCGACAGCGCAATCAGACTTCAAAAACAGATCCGTTGCTGGTGGGTATGCACTATATATTATCAGAAGTAGCATTGTACGAGCTCTAACAAGGCGATTAGTCCTACAAAACAATGACCTAAACACAGACGCACCGCTGCGTGTAAAAATATAGTTTTAAAATAATTAAGTTAGAAGGGATAATGGGCTTATATTTGCTCATTCATATACAGGTGCGAGTACTAATATGAGAACATTGCTTAGCGTCCCATTAGCTGAAAGATGATCACAATACTATTGCTGTCATTAATAGTTTCCAGATGAAGTTAATGCGTTATGACTAAATGCGATAGCAAACCACCGTCTATCACAAAACCTCATTAGCGATCTAAACATTACAATGTCAAAAAAAATTATTGAAACCTATCAGACAACAGCGAAAAGCTGTCTCGATTAAAGGGGTATATTTCCGTTGAGTTTAACTTCCTTTAAATGCTCGTACAATACCCATTTTTGAAATATGTGTAAAGTTGCGTATCGAATGCATCTCAGGATATGAATTAGTTTCGTGAAGAGGATTGAAGTATGCATATATTTATGCATCATATTAGTATCAGAGAAAAGCGCATATATGCACCGTAACCTGTTGCTGAAGTGGGTGTAATATGTAGCAGATCTTCACAGCTCCTCTGACAAATCGATGAGGTATACTAGCTGCTAATGTGGGCCCTTTGTTCTTCTGCTGTCAAAAGCCATAATATAGGGTTTACAGCCGTGCAATTTAATAAATAATTAGTTAAATCCGCTTGCTTGCTACTTAAGTCCCTATATAACTTTTTCGCGTCTACATCCATGTGGGGTGGGAGTTTTTGCAAAGAGGATGCCACCATCATCCCCTACCCTCTCCTTACCAGGAAAAGTGAGTATATACAAAAGGAAAGTGGAAGTGACTGTACTAGTACACAGCACTGTACATAGGAATTATACCAGTCCTTACTTTGCTTACTTATTAGGAAAGCTTGTTACTCTACGTAGGTTGCAACGTTACTACGCCTAACTGAGTGAGCCGAATCATAAATGATGATAATATATCTGCTTATACTATTGATTATACGTATCTTACATATACACCAATAGCAGTCTTGAAATCGTCCAAAGATGTTCGTACTTGATCATTTTATCATATCTCAGAAACAAGTTTTCTCGAGCTGCGCATCTCTACTATGATTGTATCTCAATTTGAGCCTTGAAAACTGAATTATGGGAACTTAACAACTGCTGCGATCAGAGCCACCCCTTCCTTACTAGTCTCCAATTACAGTATTAATCCACGACCACATGAAAACACAAATGATTGGTTTGTATCATTAAAACGTATAGATATTACTTTATATTTGTCATTATAATAATGTATTCTTTTAACATTGAAAATAAGTCGAAATTAGGGAATAAAATTTGAGAGATTATACACATAGCGACTGCTACGAATACTGATTTAAGAATATGCTGGCTAGCTGGTCTTTTGCCCCATAAGGTTAGAACCATGGCTGTAAAGCGTACAGCCATATTCTCTTGGTGGTTCTCGAGCATTGGTTTTATGATAAAGTCGGCGAAATTAAGTCTTGAATTTGTTATAGGAAATGGTACATCCGGTATAGGCTTTTCTAAAAATGCACATAGTGGCTCCCATCCGTCGTTTGGAGACATGATAAGCAGGCGATCTTCAGGAATGTCAGCTTTGACTTTACAAACGTAGGCATCGTAGCATTTCACCATGTACTCGCGGTCATACATTGGTGATTCATCGTTCGGGTCTGGCAATGCGCCGTTCAGGAAGGTTCGAAAGTACAGCTCGTCTAAGAGTTGAATATGCTTTGGAAGCCAACGTTTGACAAACCTCAAACGGACAAAGAGAAAAACGGAATTCTCCATTGAAGAGTACCAGCTTTCGACGGGTCGTGTAGTCAAAATAACCTTGCTCTTGGGGTATCGATCTGCTAGTTGTTTGTAAAATGGGGCGGTTGGCCAGTCGACAGCAGCAGTGTAATTGTGGTACGCAATTTCCCATCCCTCCCGGGCATTTTCTGGTGTATTGAGGGCATTCAGCCAAATACTCGGGTCTTGATGTTTTGGATCTTTGAGCAGACAGTACCCATGGTGTGTTTGATACCTAAAATGCTCTTATTAATCCTCAGAAAACGGAACCGTATGATAAAAAAAGTGCTATTAAATGGTACACGGCCGTGAAACTCGCAATCACTTACCCTAATATCTCTAAAGCAGCATGAAGTGAATATGTGCCAGTTCGATTACACCCCGCGCCAATAACTTGAAGAGGCATATTTGGGGCATACAAGTGTAATAAGGCGAAATAACGAGAAAGTAGACATGAACGAGCACTGCCCTTTATATGTATCGGTTCCGCGCACCCTGTATTCAACTAAACACCTAATACGACCCCTCAATGTGCATAACAGATAAAATAGCTAACGCTTGATCTCTGTAGCAAAAGTATCTACATCGTATCCTCTTATTCGAGCCCATACATGTAATTTCACAGCCTGGTCTTTTTAATTTTCGAATCACTGCTCTTTCTAAGTTTAGGTTCGAGTAGTACTAGCGTGAGCTATCTCCAATGCCGATTTCAGATACTGATCTTATGTACATAAAACCACCAGGTGCTTTTCCGAATTTTTCTCGCAACGATTGATGTTCTCCGCCAGTTGAAGTGGGCGATAAACATTGTACTGCTATGTGCATGATGAGTTCTCCTTAGTGGAAAATACATGCCTCTTTACTGCAAAATCAACCTTGTTGCTTGCAGGGGTTTGGTGGCGTACCAGTCTCCTTCTACTTTCATTATATAATTATATATTAAACTTGGCTGCTATCTACTATCGAACAAGGAGCTTTTCTGACTAGAGCAGCTTCAGTAGTATATGTATATATTCACTCGTTGCATTAACTGAAGTAGGAATAGTAAAGGCAAGGTCTCAATTATCTATGTGGTTGCGTTCAAAGATACGTTTTTGTCTATACACTTCTTGTTGGTTTATTCTCTTTCTTTATTATACCATGTAGTGCCCTCTACTGATTTTTTCGAGTACATGTATAATTCATGCCTACTAAAAGGAGGGGTTTGCAAGACAATGCAAACACTCCTAAAGATATACATATCTTTCTTTACTCCCAGGTTTTAAAAAAAAGCAGTAAGACTTGCTAATTTTCTTATGAACAAAACAACTAGTGATATAATTTTGTGCAAACCTTGGTTGCTGCTGAGTACATATTCGCCCTCAGCTGTTAGAGAACCATCATGCCCATCGCGTCAAATAGTGGAATGGATCAAACGGTAAGTAGCAGAGCGATACCCATAGCTTGAGCTCCCGCATTGCAGATTCGTACATATATCTAGTACTGTACAGGGGAGGGAATGAGGAAATATGCAATGTTTAGAAGTGTACCCAAGGAGCTCGCCCGCTTTTCCTTTGATAGGGTGTATATATTACGGAAAAAACCCCCTCAGCGAACGGAAATTTTTATGATAGCAAATTAAGAATAAAATAATAGAGGCGTTTCTACTCTTTTCTATCCAGCTTCGCGCGGAGACAACTGAGCACCAGGACTGGTGTCACGTCTTGATTCGCTGAAAAGAGGGTGAGAGGGTGTAGGTGGGTGCACGTGATCGGGAAAAGGGGAGGGATAGGGGTGCTATTTGCAGACATGGCCTTTGTCATCTCTATCACAGCAATGTTGAATCCGCCTACTGCATCGCGATTGAACGTATTTTGGCTGCGACTGGGACACGTAAGATTCGTGCACTTGAGAGCGCCGTTGGCCGATCGCAGCTTTCCATCCTCGTCACGGTATTTTTGCAGTGTTGTTGGCTCGTGGCAGTACGGGCAAGTCTTGCTGGACCGGTACTCGTCAGTGATGCACAGATGGCTGTTTTCCGGTGTATCCAGTTCTTGCTTTAATTTTGTGCTTGCACCTTGTTGGTGCTTCTAGAAACCTTTGTTGTCGGCCCGCCACGAACCAAAGAAATGCAATGTGGGTTTGATCCCAGGTAGGCGCCTAGCCGAAGCTAATTTGCTGTGGTATATTTTTTGACGCAGCTCACGATTGCGACCTTCCTTGTACCGTCTATCTGCATCGTCGATACCCTTCCTTATAAAAACCTCGCGCCGTTTTTGGTGTTACGTTGCAAATGTTGCAGAGTTTTTCATCTTCGACGTGTAAGTTTGTGGTTTAGGCAAGGGAGTTGGCAACGATATTGATGATTGCTGTGGTATGCCTTGTTCTTGCGTTGTTGCTGATGACGATGCAAAAGATGGTGGCAATAGTGCAATTAATCCATCGGTGTATTGCTGTATGGTATCTAAAGATGTGAGTGGTAGTCGTTACAAATACAGCAGTAGCAGTGACGACATGTCCTGGGTCGATACCAGCCACAGCCAATGGATTGTTGCTTTGCAGAGATTCGAGAATGGTCTTTTGGGATAGTTGACTAAACAACTTATCAAATAACCGCAAGCATATTAATTACTTCTCGTCGATGCCATGTGCGTAGTATAGAACAAGTTACTTGACCATACCTCGATCTTATCGTCAGGGACAATTTCCTTGGCCACGTCCTTGCCGATACAATGCATGTTTGCGACGTACAACTGAGACCTTGCGTCGCAAGTTGCCTGCGGGTTTGCGCAACGTCTGCTTCTACATGGCGGATTGCAGCTCTTGCAGCCTGAAGCTCTTGATATAGCTCAGGATCCCAAGCTTCCTTCAACACGGTCCCACAAACGCAAAGTCGACTCACAGACGAAGTTTGTAATGGAGAAGCTAACCAATCTGTGCAACGACGTTGCCAGGGAGCACCAATTGGATACCACGCGCACCGATGAAGTCGATATCAGGGACAACGTATGGGACGCGCTGGGATAACTGTCGATGGCATTCTCAGCAAACCTGATATTCGTCCGCTTAGAACGATCTGGTCAGCGATACCAGAGACGACCTCGAAGGCGCGACAAGACTTGGAGAACGCATAGGATTTGCACCCTTGGCTGCATGCGTGAACAGTTGGGCTGCAAACAAAATCCTGCAACTTCGTTGGGATCGCGCAATAACTTACAAGAGACGCGTTGCCCAGGGCGGACCTCTAGGAGTTTTAGCGTTTCCGGTGTATATATAATGTTTACCTTTAAAATTCTACAGTTTTGAGACGCCATCATACATCACCAAGCGCTCCACAAGAGGAAACATGATGTGTTTCTTCAGAAGAAAGGTATATATACTCTATCAATGCTAATGTATTTGAGTATTTGACGTATTTGTAGTACATACATACTCACACACTGATTGTATTCAAGCAGCGTTCGTCAACACCATGAGATTGCATTGCCGTCGACATCAAACACAGACGACGGTTCAAGGCTCCTAGTTTTAGAGTCGGAAGACGAAGAAACGGCGCAACTGCCCAGTGTGTTGCTGTCTCTAAGCTAAGGTAAACAGTAGATCAATAATCCATATTGCATGGCATAAAACGAGCATCCACTATATGCTAGCACCATTGAAACAAAGACTACATCGCAACCAAATTGAACCCTTATTGAGTTTCATCCTACACCATACTTTAAAATTCCATCATAGAAAGCAAAAGTTTGTAATAAATACATTGTCATCCAATAATACTCATTTTTCGCACATAATAATTTGAAAGAGGCCCAATGGATAAATGTGAATAGCTGATGTTATGTCCAATGATGCTCGCAAACGGATACAGCCACAGGTACAGCGACTAATATGACACATGATGATAAACACAGTTGAACGTATTCCACGCTTTCACCGACCAGTAAGATAAATCAGAGAAACCAGGTTTTTAAGTATTATCAGGTATATTCAAATATATGTTTTTTCTTTCCTACAGCGCTACAGCTTCAACTGGCTATTACAGCTCAAGTATAGTATTCGAAACTCTTGTATTAATATAAAGTGATATTTTTACTTTCCTCAGATTCCTTTGATAGGTATACAATGCTCATGGGAACGTACACTCAACTGCTTTCAACTTTTTGGTATGCATTAAAAGATAATTTCCTGAACAAGCTGTGGATCGTGTGAATGTATGTATGTAGATTAAGCGAGTCATTTTTTACTACGCTAATATCTGCAACTCTTCTTTTCCAGAAGTCCTCTGTTATTACGATTATGTTTTGATCAGTACTATAGCATCTACATGATATAGTCGCTTGCTCCTTGTAGATGGTAATACAGAATCAGAAACTAAAATGTGGTGTGCCTTAAGTTGGTATTATCAAATAGCATCATTATGCAGCAACGGAAAGGAAGTAAGAAAAACGTAAAACGAAGATGCATATGTGCGATGTAGAAGAAAACCCACGCCGGAAATACGATACAAAGTGTTATAGAATTAAAGTATGTGTATCGTGGTAATTTGATAATAAGTCCCAGAAGCATGCGGTGTATAAGGTTGACACCAAGCTCTATATAAGAGTCATCAAACTCTGTAAGGCTTTCCCTTTTGAGCTTGAAAGCCGGCATAGACGAAGTGATGTTTGCACCGGGACATGAAATTATACCATTCTTTACAGGTGATTCTTACCACAATGTTAGGCTCCGCTCGTTTAAAGAGAACAAAAATCAAAAAATTCGGGCTCTTCTTTTAACGTTCAACGAATAGAAAGAAACCTATGCATCCGAATTCTCAGTATCATCAATACCTTCAGCAACCATCGTTGTCAGGTGGAGCAACACCCAATCCACTCGCAGCAGTGTTACAATCAGCGGGTACAGGCACTGCAGGCGTCAATGCTTTGTCACAGCAATATTCTGCCTTGGGTGGTAATCAACAAGCTGCCGCAGTAGCAGCGGCAGTTGCACATCAGCAACATCAAGGCATGTCAGCACGGGGAGCACCCGTCAGCGCTGGTGGCGATCCATTTGCTGCATATTCTGTGCTCATGAACAGCAATCCAGCGGCAGCGGCGGCAGCAGCTGCACAAAATGCAATGACCTCTGGCAATTCTACCATGAACTTTCCATTTTTACAGCAAGATCACCAAGTACAGCAAAAATTGGCACAACTGGATGAAGAAAAGATATATACACTTGTTCTCGAGCTTTTGAACCCATCACTTCGAGAGCAAGCTTTGCTGGATTTGAGCAAGAAACGTGAACAGTATGAAGATCTTGCTCTTGTTCTTTGGTACTCTTATGGTAAATTTTCCAAAGAACTCGCTTTTTATCTTTCAATCACGATCTCCTTATTGACACGTTTTTATTAGGCGTCATGTCGGTTCTTCTGCAAGAGATTGTCTCGGTGTACCCCATGCTGACACCCCCTACCTTAAATGGCGTCACTTCAAACAGAGTATGCAATGCGCTGGCGCTTTTGCAGTGCGTCGCTAACCACAACGAGACTCGCACATTGTTTTTACACGGTATGGATTGGGTGTTCGACGTAGTGATGCTTCAAAGCTGTGGATATTGATCTGTTTTGTGTTAGCACATATACCTTTATATCTATATCCATTCCTTAATACAACAAGCAAAACACGACCGTTCGAATATCTGCGTTTGACAAGCCTTGGTGTTATTGGTGCATTAGTCAAGGTATTCACTTTGACGGCGATTTTCTGCAGACCATTTTCAATCTTTACTAATTTTTGTTTTTTCATCGCAAAGAACGACAATCCTGAGGTGATTAGTTTCTTGTTATCAACCGAAATAATTCCCCTATGTTTGCGGATCATGGAAACTGGAAGCGAATTGTCGAAAACGGTAGCAATCTTTATAGTACAGAAGATACTTTTGGATGAGACCGGATTGGTATGTTGAGAGAAGTAAACTATCACCAAGTGTTTTTTTCTCTGCTCTAATTATTGGCTTTAGTATTATATTTGTCAGACATATGAGCGATTCTATGCTGTTGCAACGGTTTTACATACTATGGTTAATCAGCTCGTGGAAACACAGGCAATCAGACTGTTGAAGCATGTTATTCGGTGCTACCTTAGGCTTTCAGATAATCCAAGGTAATTTAGAATAGCATTGGCTTGGATAAATAGGATACATGAAACTGAGAAGATAATGTTTTAGGGCGCGAGAGGCATTGCGTCAATGTTTACCGGAGCCATTGCGGGATACCACATTTCATGCAGTGTTGAAAGACGACGGGGCAACTCGACGATGCCTTGGACAACTTTTGATCAATCTGTCGGATGGTCCAATGAACTAAACAGTTCCCAGTATATATTCATTCTACGCATTTGCAAATACGACTCATAATCCTTCATTGCAAGATAAATTAACAGCAGTTTTCATCCGTATACTACATTGACTCGTGATACGGTTCTGGTCACAGAATAAGCAACAGCTTGCGCCCCTTGTGTATATTCAAAAAGACATTAAAAACTTTTAAATAAGTATTACTGCTATATACATTTTCATAATATATACAAAATTTTGACGAGTTCAATCAGACTCGTATTGAACAAGCAGATGTTCCTTGACATAGCAGGGCTGTTCGATGTCTACGGGATGGCAATCTTTTCCACAGACAAAGACAAGAATTGTGCCGAACTCCATGCCAATATCCCAGCTATTGACACCCTTCTTAGCGTCGTCCGGAAGGTCTGCAGACGCGTATTCTGATGTTGGTAGAAGCGACAAGATGTTGGGCATCAGTTGTAGTTCAAAAATACGTGGGTTGCCGCATTGGGAGCATCGTCCTCCTAATTGTTGCTGCTGTTGCCCTTGAAGTTGATGGTATAACAACGGTGTACCTCCCCATTGATATCGTACACACTGGCTAGGTTGTAACTGTACGCGTTCAGCAAATTTTTTAAATTGTTTGTCGACACCTCGTGGCAGTTGCTGCTTTTCATATGTCTCTCCGCTCCAGGATTCTTCCCCTGTCGCTTCCTCTGTCGCTTCGAGCAGTGAATTTTGTAGGTCTAAATACTCGCGGTAGCGTTCCATATCAATCCCCATTGCGTCGTAATTATCCAAGTTCTCCTCTGTGATCCAAAGATACTCCCCTGGAAAGTTTACAATCGGGAGCTGTTCCTGTGGTGTGTCGACCACTGTCAAATTTTCAAGTGATGTCGTCAAATCATCGGAAGCTACTGACGCTGTCGCCGGTGCATTTGTTTTTGTTGTATCTGTAGCTTTTGTTGCAGCTTCTGAAAAGCTTGGTGTACCTGATCCCCACAGATCACCTAGCTACAAGTTGAATCAGGTTCAGTACGTCTGTGATAATCACCAATCCTGATCCAATACTCACCTGAAATGCTCCAAACGGCTGGGCTGCTCTCTGTTGTTGTTCTAGCTTTTGCTGTTCCTTTTTACGCTTCTCTTCCTCTTTCCGTCGATTCGCAGCGAGATATTCTGGATCGACCAGATGTGACCGAACCACAGAAAAGCTAGAGCAATAATGGTCATATGAAAAAGACTGCAGTTTTGTTTATACTCGTCTTAAACCATTTTTACCTTCCCTCTTTCCGCATACATAAGCGCCTGTTACATGCCCACACGTATATTACACGGTGATATATAGAAGCGGCAAGCGGGACATATCCTTGAAAAATCAAGTACATTGGCCGTTTACAAACGCCACAAAGCAGGAATTTCAACGGTGGTGCATGGTCAGATTGCAGCCAGTTCTATTATGCACGTAAGGTAAGCAGGGCTTCACCTAGTAGCAACATAGTAACAAAAGCGACTGCGTCGAATGAGAGACTTACTGGCACACCGCCAATTTTAGTTGCATAAGCATCTGAATCCTGCTCAGCATCGATGGAACCATCTGGAAAGCCAAGCAGAACTGGATCTTGTGCAGGTTTCTGCTTGTTTTTGCCTTTGCTTTTATTACTAATCGGTTTGCTCATTGCCTTCCAGAAACAACAAAACCAGAAAAAGGTAAGCCACAATTGAAGAGTATAAATTTCGGCAAGTCGGAACGGCGGATGTCTCCTTCCCCTCTCTCTCTTTCACACATTTTCTTTCTCCTACGTACATACTCTCGATATGGGTGCTTCACATTACGAAAACAACGGCTTTGGTACGCGTGCTATCCACGCTGGCCAAGAGCCTGACCCAACCACTGGCGCCGTCATCCCGCCCATCTCCTTGTCGACCACTTTCAAGCAGTCCGCTGCTGGTATGCACAACGTAAGTCCCTTCTGCTGTTCTGCCTATTGTTGAATGCTGAGTTCTGTTCCGCTCAATGTCAAAGTTTTTTTCCCACGGTACCAGGGCTATGATTATTCGCGTTCTGGCAACCCAAGCAGAGTCAACTTTGAAACTGCTGTTGCCTCGTTGGAAAAGGGAACACACGGCGTTGCATTTTCTTCTGGCTCAGCGGTGACTGCCACCATCTTGAGCATGGTTGGCGCCGGCTCCCATGTTTTGTCTGTCAATGACGTCTATGGTGGTACATATCGGTACTTCACCAAAGTGGCACCTGTCAACGGCATCGAGACCAGCTTTCTCGATTTGAAGGAAGCTTCTGCTATCAAGGCTGCCCTGAAACCTAACACAAAGGTAGTAGGAAACATGTACGCAAAAGTGCTGGCAAATGACGTGATGTTTGTATATGTGGCTGAACCATTGCTCTGTAACTTTTACAGCTTGTCTGGATTGAATCGCCGACGAACCCGACGTTGCGTCTCGCTGACATCCAAGCTATTGCCCAGTACACCCACGCCCATGGTGCTCTGCTCGTGGTCGACAACACCTTCATGAGCCCATACTTCCAAAACCCATTGCTGCTGGGTGCTGATATTGTTGTGCACTCGGTTACCAAGTACATCAACGGTCACTCGGACGTTGTCATGGGTGTTGCTGTCACCAACAGCGACGAAATCCACCAGAAACTGACCTTCCTCCAAAACTCTCTCGGTGCCGTTCCCTCTGCCTTTGACTGCTACCTTGCTCGTCGTGGTATCATGACTCTAGAAGTTCGTATGCAGCGACACGAACAGAACGCCTTGGCTGTTGCACGCTTCTTGCAGAATCATCCTAAAGTCACGGAAGTCATCTATCCGGGTTTGGAGTCGCATCCACAGCACGAGCTCGCCAAAACCCAACAAAAGGGTTTCGGTGGCATGGTGTCCTTCCGTGTGGAAGGAACGTTGGATAACGTCAATAAAATGCTTGGTGGCTTACATATCATCACACTGGCCGAGTCTTTGGGTGGCGTCGAATCTCTCATTGAAGTTCCTGCTATCATGACCCATGCCAGCTTGAGCCCTGAGCAGCGTGCTTCCTTGGGTATTACCGACACCTTGATCCGCGTGTCTATTGGCATCGAAAACCAAGACGACCTTATCCAAGACATTGACAACGCATTGAATACCGCATATTAAATAGCATGACACACCTTTTGTAATTAGTAATAAAATTGTGTATAGACAAAGTATTTTTATTCTAGCATGTAAATTCGTGATGCTACGTCATTCACTACCCAATCCATCCCTTTCAGTAAGTTTTCACCAGTAACTGCACTGCATGTCTGGATGGCCCAATGGTGGCTTTTAATATTACTGAGTTCCAGAGCCTGTTTCCGTTGCGTCAGAAAAGAAAAGCAACCAACTTCAAACATCATACAACATACAACATACCTCCCGTATCTCTTGCTCAGATAAGGCACCTGCAAGATCCTGCTTATTTGCAAACACAAGCAATGTCGCCCCTGCCAATCTCTATAGTTCACACAATTAGCTAAGAATAGATATAAACACGCCGTTGTTAAACAACTCTACCTCCTCCTGCAGCAACTGGGCCAATTCTTCTTTGCAGTCTCTAAGCCGGAGTCTATCGGCAGAATCAACGACCCATACGAGCGCATCCGTTTGTTCAAAATAGTTTCGCCAGTAAGACCGGATTGATTTTTGCCCGCCTACGTCCCATATATTCAGCTTGTACCTGGTTTCCGCGTTATTAGCCATGTTGAGACATTCTCTTATTGTATAGATACTTTTACATACATGTCGTGCTGTAAAGTTTTGATATTGAATCCTAGTGTTGGTGAGATTGTGTCGATCGGTTCGCCGTTAATGCGCTTCAAAATCGTAGTTTTTCCGGCATTGTCCAGACCGCTATACCATGTATGCCAAGTCAGTTCGAAAGTTTAAACACTAGTCGACCCTGCCTACTTACAGCATCAGAATCCGGATTTCTTTTTCTTTAGTTCTGATCTTTTTTAAAATGGTCAACAGGCCCATATTTCATTAATCGTTTTTCGGCGTTGAAAATCAAGCAGCACTCATTTTATTTGCTGTGGTCGTCTGACAAGTAGCGGCCGTATCTATCCATCACCGAAAAGAATTGCGTATCAAAGATACAGCATATGAAATCTTATGTTAATGTTATTTAATTATAGCTCTTCTTGAACAACATCCTGTAATAATAAATATCGGCAATTATTGTCAGTGTAACTACTGATAAATGAAGACGACGGTGAAAGAGGGTATAATATGTAAGAAAAAGTCAATGGCGGCTGCCTATTAAAGCTCATTAACAAGGAGAAAAGGAGAGTGAACAGCGTAGCAAATATCCATCATATAAGAAGGAACGTTTCTATGATAAAACGGCAAGCTCTTGTCGTAGATTTAATAGCGCTTTGTAAATAATACAAAAAGGTCCAACGGTTTGATGATACCAGCAGCTCGTGTCACTAGCTTCTCTTTGTGGATTGAGTCTTCCGGTAAACACCACTCGTACTTTCTCACTTAATAAATCATTAGTAAATCACCAGCAAGCAGAAAAGCTAATAAACAAGATCATTTCAACTTACAAAGCATAGAAACCGAAATGCGCTGCTCTATCAAACTGAAATTCATGCCGACACATTGACGCTCTCCACCACCAAACGGTGCCCACGGCATGCCACCCAACTTCTCTGCTTCACCACCTGGGGCAAAGCGCTCGGGGTCAAACTGCTTTGGATTCTTCCATACCTATGTAAAGAGGGTTTTGTGATTACTAGGCAAAGTAGCAATATCGACGAAACGGAGTTACTTCATCCAATATATTTCTTACCTTTGGATTATGATGTAAGTCATACATATCGATTGCAAGTCGTGTTCCTTTGGGTATAAAAACGCCTGATAATTCGGTGTCTTGAGAAGCGACACGTGGCATCATACTTACACCAGGAGAGCTGATTCGCAAAGTCTGGTGTAAATAGGAGTAAATAAAAAGTACATGTAACATACACTACAACAATGCCATAAGAAAAGGACAATTACTTCTTTAATAACCATGTTGATGTATTTTAGCTCCCGTGTCTGTTCGATTGTAGGAAGGATATCAGCATTGTCACCGAAAATGCGTATAGCCTCTTCCCGAGCACGCTGTTGTATGTCCTATACATACATCTAATCGATTAGTGTTGCCATTATATACCAATAAAGTAGCAGTATGTAACATACAGGATGCACAGCCAAATGGTATATTATAAGCGAAACAGCTGAAGCGGTCGACTCGTGTCCAGCCAAAAACAACATACAAAGGTTACTCTGTAATTTTTTAGTATGATATGGATTAGTATTACTTACGAATAAGGCATTGCTCTTAGGTCCTCCCATACTTTATTCGGTTCTTATCTTACCAGTAGTTCCTCGTCCGTCAAGCGACCTTGGCCTTCCCTTTCAGCCTCAATCATCAAAGTCAGCAAATCTTTTTCATTTTCGCGTATCGAAGGCTGATCTGTACTTGTCTTGCCCAGTGCTTCGCGCTTCTCTTGGACCATTTTGCTCATCATGTTCAGAAACTTTGATACTTCTTGATGTGCTTTTCTACGCTCCGGGATCCACGACCAAAAGTGACGTTCGATTGAAGGGAAAATGAAGTATAGTGGCTTTTGCGCAGATTCGATGATATAATTATATCGGGTGACCCATTCATTGTCTCGATCCTCAAGTGCTTGAAAGTGAAACCCAAACGCGGCTTCGCCTAGAACGTCGAGTGCCCACCGCTGAGTAATATCATACACGTCGATCGCTCCCATTTCTTTACTCATTATATCGACCATTTTTTGCGTAAGCTTGCCAAAAACTTGCACAGGCAAAGAGCGTTGAAAGGCCGGACTGACAATCTATTACTTCAATTAGTATTGACGTTACATCTTTTGCAATCACTGTTATAATAAGCGTACCTTGCGCTGTTCTTTCCAACTTTTTCCAGCCAGAAGTACAACGTTTTCTCCAAGCAACAATTTCCCTACAACGGTACCCCTTCGAGCATGTTGAGCTGGCGTAGTGCTTAACTTCGGGAAGATATCTACAGAGGAAATGTATTGTTAGTTCATCCCAAGATATCGTAAGAGTGATGTTCAGCCTCTGCTCACCGGTATGCATCAATAGATATTTCGCTGTTTCAGGACGTGTAACACATACGCTCCAGCCAAAGAAATGAAGACGCTAAGGGTTTTTGAGAAGTATAAATACAAATTCGTCTATCACAGTAAAAGATGGCCTGACTTACAAAATAGAGTCCGTGGCTCGTTTGGTTGGCAGCTGGAAGGGTTATTTCTTGAGCTATCTGGTCGACCGGTTTTCCGTTTACAAATGCCTTAATCACAGCAAAAAGATTAGCCCGAGGTATGTGACGCATGTTGGCCGGCGGATTTGTAGCTTTTTTATATAAGAAGTACAAAATTGTGGTCGTAGTCGCTAGACGAACTAGCCATCTGTACTCTGCCATGGCATGTTTTAAGGATTCAAGTGCTGATACAGTGTAAATTAGTAGCATGAGCGGAAAACACAGAAGATAAAGGACAGGGTAAGACGCTGGCCCCTATTTATTACTCATTGCCCAAGCAGAATAAGTAGTAAAGTATGTAGATTCAGTTTGCATAAATAGTGGATTGAGATAATTTCACAAGCTACAAGCATTGCACAAAGTGATAAGCCCATCATCAAGACAAAATGACTGAGTATTTGCGCTAATGTAAGTTCAACAGCACTGCAGACAGGTACCCGGTCATGCATGATATTCCTTTAAAACCGGAAAAAGGGGCAGTGCAGGATAATACGTATCATCGACTTAACCAGCAATTGAAACGTCCATTCTTCGAAAAGGAGTGCTACAGTTTACTTATCAATTGTTATGTCATGGGAAATAATAATACTTACAACCACAGCATTCTTACTTTATACCATAAAAGAACAGTGAAACAACTCAAATATTTTAGTAGCATCATTCATTGTGTATTAGTGTGATGTTTTGTACAAAATGCTTCCGCTTTCGTCAAATCACGTAGAATAGGGGATCGAAATGCATGATTAACAGTTTCGCACTTGTACATTTGCCTCCTAAAAGAAGGCGTTTTTGCATAGTAGTATGCACAATCCCTGTGAGAGCAGTGTCTCTTTGTCGCCACAAGACATTAATGAGCCAGAATTATCAGCGAGTATGCATTGGGGAGCGTTACTCAGCTGGATCATATGTAGAGAGCCAAGCACGATCATTTGTATTAATGATCGATATTTACATACGGTACAAGAAATCAACTATAATTATTGTTCCAAGAGCCATGTAGTAATACATAAGAATTAACGAAAATGCTACAACGAAACGTAGCGTTCTTATAAATAGCTGGTACTTCCTTGGTCCTACTACCGGAAATCATATAATAACTTCTTGGTAAATTTATACTCATGTTGATATTTTTGAAAAAGATACGTACTTATAGCAGTTGATTTGATGGAAGTTCAATACTGTAAAATACAAAAGGAAGGTCAATTAAAGCCTATTCTCTTTTGAAGATATTATTTCATTTGCTTCATGCCATCAGAAAGAAGGTATCAGCTTGGTATCGCTCCGTCTTAACCCGTTATCGGGGCATTTGAAGCAAGTGGTGCTTATCGGTCGATCATTTCAATATTTGAGTCTCTGTTTGCAAACACTTTGTACAGCTTTCCACATCCGAGGTAGCACCATGATAACTCTGTATCATTGCTTTGTATTACTCAGGAGCTAGTATGATGTGCATAATTTCTAGGGGCATGCTGCTTCTATTTGAAGCATCTTTCGAAAATTAGGGGTATGTACACGACAACGCAACAGCAACACGACATGATAGCTACATTTAAAGGAGCTAGAAAATTCAAGCACTTTATTACGACGCAATGGACACTTTTCAACGATATGGTGTTATAGTACTAATTTCCTTACTTTGTTCTTAATGGAATTGTCAAAACATCAATGCGCGACTTTTGCCGAGCGGAAACACCTTGAATTAACGACGGTATCCATGTTGATCGCTGCTTACGTTTCATGCAGGTGAGCGACGGCTGGCAGACAATGATTGGTGTCCGAAGTAAGCGTCTGGTAGTTTCCCTTTTTTAGGCCATGCTATAAAGCTCGCCCAGGGCTCGCGTTTAATTATCGCTGCAGAGAGGGACGAGGACTACCTTTCACATCAAGATCTTAGGTCGGGAGCTCTATGTGGTCATATGCGCACTAATTCGTGAAGTATACCAAAATCCCAGAGTATACAGTTTTCGTGACACACATAGAGACATTGCCCCAATCGATCGCTTCAATAAGATTGCCTACGAGCATAAATTCGGGAGTGAAAAACTCGGTCCTCGTGATAAGCACCCAGGTTGTTTACAAGAGGATATCACAATTGCTTTCTTTTAACTGACTTTGGTTCAATTAATCGTATACAGGTTCCAACAAAATCTTAAAGCTCATCAAATCGGGATCTTTCTGAGCGTATAAAGCTAAGAACGAGCATAGCACTAAACGAACACCTCAACCTTCGTCCAGGCGAAAAAAAGACACTACAGGTGGCAGATATTATTACGCCGAGTGTGTCCCAGATAATATGTCTTTGCTTTGCAGGTAGCAATGCTGCCAGCAACCCAGTCTTCGTCAAGGAAACAGCCAATTTTACAAAGAATGTTATCAAATCCGGTTTTGTGTTTTCATTACTTCCCGAATGGATCGCAAAGCCTATTGTAAGGCGGTATCTTTCCGTAGAGCATGTACTTGACTTGGTCATGGACACACTAGTTCCTGAGCTGAAGCAAATCCAAACCGGAAAATCCATACAGAATGATGAGCCGACCATGATGTCAATAATACTCAACATGCCGAAACCTCAAGGTGGACAGCGCACACCCGAAGAAACCGCATACCATTTTCCCGACACTGCAATGGCCAGTATACATACATCAGTACAGTATATTGTAGTTGCATTGTTCGAACTTGCCTGCAACTCTACATTAGTCGAAGGACTTCGTACAGAAATCGAGCAATTAGACGAAAGAACGCCGGAAACTGTTGTTGAAATAAGGCTTTTGGACTCCTTTTTGCGCGAAGTGTTCCGGTTCAAATCTTCGGTGCTAGCAACCCACACAGGACAATGCAGGATGCTTCACTGTCAACCGCTGAAACTATACCTCGCGGTAGCTTTGTGATTACAGCGGCGCTGGATGCACACTCCAATCCGGCCATAGCTACGGAGACGGCGTCTCTTAGAAATTCATCGTTACCGCTGGACCAGTTCGACCCACATCGATTTGTGAATACTGATGACAAGCAAAGTTCCTCCATTGGATTGAGCTCCTTACCTTTGGACTCTCGGTACATGCGTGTCAAGGGTGCTTCTTTGCCGTCAACGAGATCAAGTTAAATATCGCGGAAATAATCACGCGTTGCAACATCACGATTCGATCTAGAAAACTACCTAAAGATAATGGAATTTTTGAGTGTTTTTGTCACCACCCACTAATCCATTGGTGTTTGAAGGACGAGCCCAACTATGGCTCTGATAAAGATTGTAAATTCGAAATTAGGAATGTTTGATATATCATTGCATCCAGCTCTGATCACTTGCGAAAGAATATTATCCAAGATGAGACTTTGTAAAACGTGAGACAACGCTAATTAAAAGTATCATATACAATGCGGTTTGCTGGAAGTGCGTCAAAACGTGACCATCAATAATGGATTATAATCATTGTCCTCTTCACCAATTGCTAGCTGAGCTAGCGATAAGGCTGACGGCGATGCAGTCGACTTTTTCTGGCTTCTGCAGTATCGGTGGGATTGAATTGAGAAGAATATCGCTCTTCCTCGACTGGAGGCTTTACGTCTTGAACCTCACCATAGATGTATGATTTTGTCCTAGCACGTTCCTTGCGTTCGCGTTCTAGTCGTTGTGCTCGCAGTGCTTCGATGGATGGTGACGCTGAAGTTGACTTCATGGAGGATTTCTTTTATATATATAAAAAAAAGAAGTAAGTTCCATGGACCCAAGAGACAAATCAAAATGCCTACCTCTTTTTTATCTTTCTTCATAATCCGCGAATAGCGCTCCTTGCGTTTTTCTTCTCTTTTTGACAAGCTACTGCGTATTTCCACCAACGGATCTTCATTTATTTTAATCGGGTCTCGTTTCCTTTTCCTTCTCCTTCTCCTCTCATCCTTTAAATTGTCATGCTTCCCTTTCTTGCTATCTTTTGATGAATTTCCGTAGCGATCGTACTCCTTAATAGCATACCAAGGTGTAGATTCTATAAGCTCAGGGTTAGAGAAATACCAGGCTAAACTATAGTAGGTATGGAGTACCTTTGTTTACATCCTTGTCAAGATACATTGTAACTTGTCGCTCCCATTGATCTTCTTTTGCCTTTTGCTCTGCAAGATGTTCCTCGTTCTCAGCATGTTCTTTCGCTTCCTATATAAGTATTATGCACTTAGGAAACTGAAAGGAAGTACAAACGCAGCAAACGACCGGTTGACAAACCTCTTCGAAAAGATTGATATGTTGTGGTGCTGTTGAAGGCTGTGGTACGAGAGAAGAATTTGAAGTAGATCGCACATGCTCTTGTTTTTTTAGTGCGCGTTTTCTTAGTAGGTCTAAACGAGCTTCGCTTTCCTGTATGTAAAAGAGTATGAGCAATGTCTGCACTTTGCTAGTAATGTTGTACATTCTTAACTTACAGCTTGTGCAGCCCTTTCTGCTTTGAGTTGTTCTTCTTCCCGGGCCTTGGCCTCATCGCGGCGTACTTTCTCGATATTCTTTTTATTGTACACATTCCAGCTATACTAATTTTGTTAAATAGCTGATTCAATTAATTCATCAGGTCATTTGAGGATCACCTTTTATGTGGCAGGATATTCATTTTAATATGTTGGTACAGAAATGCAAAGAGGTTTCTAAATTTAGAGACAGACGGAGGGAATGAAATTTACTTTTCATCACTTGCTTTCAAGCTAACCCAGGTCATATATGTTTTCTCTTGTCGATTGGTAGTTACGCTTTCTGGCCAAGCCTCACCAATAAGGAAGTCTCTCCATCATCAATCAAATACATGCACTAATATAAAGCGTCATTGATCCTGTTTCGAATAGCAGCTATTACAGCTGTTGTAGGCAAAAGGATAGCTCGTTTTAGCTGGTGGGAGTGAATCGCCTATGACATCATAGTACAACTCTGATTCGATCTCAGTGCTGGATACGAAGAAAGGATTCAGGCAGCTCTTTCTTTAGTTGCTCAACGCAATCTGATTTCTATTTCAACAATGAGCGTTACTTTTGAATCGCCTTCACATCGAACACAGAACAATGACTCATATTTTACACCACTCAGTATGCCGAGCATACTGTCCTCGAGCAACAACGATGCAACGACAGGCAACAATAGCGGATCTACCACGCCTTATTTTACAGCACCAGTGGATCCTATGATTCACCAAGATTTTCTTAATGCCATTCGAACTCGCCATGCAAATCAGCCAGGGTTCTCCATGAATAGCCCTTCAACACCTCCCATAACTGAAAAGAGTGGCTTTAAACTTAACAGTGGCGGCGGTGGCAGCAGCAGCACTCTGGCAAACCGACGTATGCTGCGTTGCAGCAATAATAATCAAAGTCCACGGCAACAGCAGCAAGCAAGCCCACTAGAGCCTAGACAGCTACACAGTATACTTGCCAACAAAGGCGGTATCGACAAAACTCTTCTCCTTGATACACGGTCATTTGTCCAGTACTCCCATGGACGGATACGAACGGCAATCAACATATCTATTCCCAACACCATCCTAAAACGGCCGACGTTTACCATGGACAGAGTGTACGAAGCAATCGTACAAGAGTCGGATAGAAAGCGACTTGAACGATGGCAGTCAATGGACAAGATCATTATGTACGACCATGGATCGCAGAATCTTCCTGAAAATTGTGCAGCATCTTATATGAGCACGAAATTAAGCCAAGCTGGATACAAGGGGCAACTTCTCTACTTGAAAGGTATTGGAATTGCACACACAAACGAATTTAGGGAGAGACTAGAGAGAAGAGAGCGTCCAAGAAGTTAATTACGTATGTATTGTACTAGGCGGATTTGATACTTTTTCAACCATTTTCCCAGACGAATGTGAAGCAGCTTCAGATTCAAGCCGCGGAGCAAGTGGGTCACTTCCTCAATTGCTATTGCAGTCCCAAGCTAGCAAACCCCAGGGTGCGAAACCGTTTTCATTGAAGCTCCCGGAAGCAGCAGCACCGGCAGCAGCGAACCGCAGCAACACTCAAATGGGCCCCTTTACGGCACCGATGCCGCAGTTTGAAAACCATGCCTTTAATCCTTTTTTTTCCAACATCCGACAAAATATGGAGTTATCTCACGGACCTATTCGCGAGCGATTTTCTATCCGGCTCCCTCGCGATTGCAGCCAGAACACAGAGACTGGTATTGTTGAAGCAAAGCGGCCTCGTTCTGTGGATAATGTGACTCATGTCGATGAAAATGGCCACTTCATTGTACCACGATGGCTACGGCAGACTATTGTTGACGAATCGGGACCGAAATCATTGGCGGAGATGTACGAGGTAAAGTTTGGTAACGTTTCTTTGCATGAAATTAAAGATATTGATTTTGACTTTGTACGTTGTGCCTATACATCGTCAATCATCAGAAATTGGAACGAGTTGAACAAAGACGACTACAAAATATCATGCTTTATCATTCCAAGCATACAAGCACAACTTCCAGTGAATTCCCTTTGAGCATTGTTGCCGGTATCGAAAGAGGAACATTGAACCGGTACACTAATATATGGCCGTTTGGTAAGGTTTTTCCTTTCGCATTAGCTTGTAGTACCGATGGAACAAACTAATGATGTCATTGTGTACAAATAGAGTATACACGTGTCAAGCTAGCGAGCCCACGAAATGATGCAACCGATTATATCAACGCTAGCTATATACAGTATACGCGAGACACAGCTGATGGTGTGGATGACTCACACGTCAGTCAAGCTTCTTTGAGGTGCATGCAGGCACATTCTGCTCGAGGTCAGCAAGAATTTAGACGCTACATCTCAACTCAAGGTCCTTTGCCGGACACATTTGCCGACTTTTGGCAAATGATGGTGGAGCAAAATTCTTACGTTATAGTGATGCTAACTAAACAAGAAGAAATGAATAAGGTAACGTTTTTGTTTTTTTAGTTGGTACTATCAATCTCACCTAATTTGCCTCTTTTTCTCAAAGGTAAAATGCCATCAATATTGGCCTGACAAGGTCAATTCGCCCACGCGGTATGGGTGTGTCACCGTCACCTTGTTCTCAGAAACTGTACGCCCTGTTCGGAAAGATGATCAAGATGATGCTGTTATTATCCGGCAGCTGCTCGTGCAACATCAATCAAACAATACACGACGCACAGTCACCCAGTTGCAGTATACGGGATGGATGGATTTTGGAGTTCCTGACACTCCTGAAGGAACGCTGCAGATTGTTGCGGCAGCAGACGAAGCTCAAGTCTTGTACGAAACACAACAAGAACATGTTGGTCCAATGGTTGTTCACTGCTCTGCTGGTTGTGGCCGCTCTGGAGCGTTTTGCGCGATAGATACTGTTATCCACCGTCTGACGCGGCCCAATACAGGGACACCCGACAAGGACCTGCTGTTCGATACGATCTCGCGGTTCCGAGAACAGCGTGTGAGCATGGTGCAGACACTACGACAGTTTGTGTTCTGCTATGAAACCATTTGGTGGTGGTTGCTCGGGTATGGGTCAACTCCTGCTATGCCCATGGATTTAAGTGATAATTAACATAGGAAAATCTCATCTCGCCTCCTGCTTCCCTTAATTTTTCCTCTCTCTCTTTCCACTGTATAATATTTGATGCTTTTTTAAACTACCAAAGAGTTTGGTGTTGTGTATAAAACGTTTATAAATCTTGATTTATATGGACAAAAAGATATATGTATGTGTGTGCGTATACGGGTAAAAACAGTGGTTTGTACAAGGAGAAAAGAAAACATGCAGTTCGAAAAGATAAAGTATAAAAGAATAAGTAAATAAACTAAATGTACGCATTAGAAGGAGGAGTAAAAGGAGGTTGGGACGAGATGGTGGAAGAAGAGGTAGTTGTAGTATTAGATGTCGAAGTATTGTTGTTTGACATTTGTAGTCTAATGATGCGTCGCTTTGGTATCTTCTTATTGCGAGATATCGGCCCGATTTTCTTGCCAGTGTGTGGAAGGCTTCGATAGGTCGCGTGATCTATAGTATACGCGAATGGTGAAAGGGTATGGTTATTGCTAGCAAGTTGTGCAAGCTTGGCAGCTAGAGCATTTTCGCCAGGGTTGACGACGATTTCCTGGTCGAGTGCCATAAACACTGGCTGGTCTGATGGCGTTGACGACGGTAAACCAGGGCCTTCAGTGACATACCAAGGCGCATCAACGTCGTCTGAATAAATATCAGCTATGGGTGCTGAATGAACAGATGAGGAACCATTGACTGAAGATACTACGTCGTCATCCTCCTCTAATTCATCGTCAGAAAACATTCGGGTAGCTAATTCGTCGTCATCGTGCATGGCGGCAAACCGTTTGCTGTATAATTCGTTAAGTGTGGATAAATTGGCTACAGTGACCGGTTCCGATTGTTGTTGCTGAGCTTCTAAAAATGCTGCCAAGTGCTCGGCATTGTACAGGTCGCTGAATGAACCAAATATTGGTGCTGAAGGTGGCGACCCAGGTGCCATGCTTTGTTGACTATAGTAGTGGGACATGGAATCTAGGAATGAAGGTCTTGTTAACAGCTCTGGCATCGATAGGGTATCTCCACCTGGAACGTTCGTTGGTGTTCGACTGAAAGGTGTGTTTAAGCGACCCGGATCAGAGAACACAGACATTGACGAAGATGCTGAACGTCGTTTTTCTAGCTTTTTTAATCTTTCTAGTTTGAGCCGCTCCTCTTGTTGCTGCTTCTTTTGCTTTTCCTGCTCGCTCTGTAAATGCCGTAGGCTGAGGTTGTGAATCATGACGGGCAAATCTTCCTGGAACAAGTTGCGTAGCTGTTTTTCGATTTCTCGTTGCAGAAAGTTGCGTACACTGGTGATGCTGTCAAATGTCGAGCTTACGACGATGCTTTCGAGTGGATCGTTTTTGAACACGAGTGTAATTCCCTTAGTTTTGGATACGACAAGAACGACGATTCCTCGTAGCTGCAAATCGCTGATCCGTAAAAGCATAGGCACGACCAACGGGCGGTCAGCAGCTAGAATACTCGGTCGTGTATGGCGAGGAAGCTCGGATCGTTTGGCATGCATCGGGTTTGCCTACATAGTTTACAACATTAATAAGTCTTTGACTTATCTGTACGTCTGTCCGTATATTTTTACCTGAACTTTGGTTTGAAGAACAATGTACGCATCACCTGCGTATGTCAGCTTGAAGATACCGCGAAACTTGTCCGTGGCAAGTTCCCCAACTTCGAGAATTTCCAATTCGGGTGGCTAGGCGTACAAGGATTTATTAATATAGGGGCGTGCACTAGAAACGATATAAAAAAAGAGATAATAAACGCTCACCGAAGTACCCATATGGAGTTCCTTGACTGTAATGTGGTCTACGATATTTTTTGGCTTGTTGCCCTTGTTTAATGCAGTCTCAAGCTGCGAACGTGCCTCTTCATAGAACTCTGCATCGAATTCGGGCCAGTTGAATCGAAATGCCATTATAAAAACGGTGAAGAGGTGTGTAAACGGTTTATCAAACAGTAATTGGCTCGTTTACACTTGTAGCTATTTGCATTCCTTAAAAGCGAGGTCGAAAGTGTTTTGGTGGTCGGCTAGAGCTGCGATTGAGCAATCACAGACTTTTTGTCGCTCCCAAAATGTAAATATGTAGAAATAAAACTAATATGGTTTGTGGTAGCTCTGCTTCAAAATGTAGTGGTGAGTAAGGTCAGGCGAACCGATGAGCACACAGGTTCTTCCGATATCAGCCAATCACATCGTCAGGATATTGATTAAGAGCCCATTTACTGTTTGGGAGTGTGCCATTTCTTTATTACTTTGTGACAATTTGGATGTTCCGCACTTCTCCATCAGGACCTATCAAGAGACACTTCGCTAGACATCCGCACTCGCCTTCGACTTTCACCATGGCCGTTCTTCTTCTATCTGCACTAACCATACTGCTCCCAAGCGGTTCGCGACCGCAAGGCACAAGCCGCCACCCTTGGCCAATCCGGAAGATCCCCACTTTAGCACCATGGCGCATGTGGAACACAAGTAAAAGACCGCGTCTCTCCGAATATACGACCAAAAACAGCGATACTCTGGCAGGACGAGTACGTTCGTTTGTGGATAGCTCACTAGCACAGTCTTCAGATACTTCGACCCACCCGCATACGGCATCGCGTATGCCCTTCCACATTCGGATCATCTCACCAGACTGTAGATCCCACAATATCACTCGTCCTAGCAAGTCTGTGGTCGCCGCAAGTGTGCTTCGCTGTGAGCTTGTGCTCGTCGGTGCTACGGAAATACTTGTGATGCGCCGGTCTGTGTCCCCTAATGTCAACACAACCGGTATGGGCGTAGCTTGCTCAATGTTGATAGGAGGAGCATGCATGTCTGGTACAAAGGGTGTAGGCGACGATGACGAGCTACTGCTGTTGGTCGAGCTTCCTCCTCCTCCTGACCACCATGATTTGGCAAACGAGAAAACAGGAGTTGCTACCCTGGAAACAACGTAACTTGCCATGGAAACCGCAGACATGAGCGGCCTGCTTGAATCTGTTGTTGCATAATAGCAGAGCATTGGGTTGCTTCCCACTGCTATGTATCTCGAAGTTGCTGTTGGCGGGAAGGGTATTGTTGACACGGTTGAAGATTGTTCGAGGACAGTGGTTGGAGTTGACCTGGGCGGTGACGGGCCTGTTTTTTTTAATTTAATCAATCAGATGGACACGGGATATTTCCAAAGAGTTAGTGTACCAAAGATTTACCTAAACTTACTACGTCTTTCACTTGATCGTGTTTTTGGAACTCGTACTTTTTGTACGTAAATGCTGTATGCATACGAGAAGAGTCTGTCATAACAGGTTTGAGATACTTGCTGCCTTATAATTATTGCGGAGGGATTTTTTAACTTACCAATACCGCTCTCTCGCTGTCCGTCGCAGACCCTTAGTACCATCCAAAGACTTTGTCCGTCAATGCTGACCACCTTGTTGCCTTGAAAAAGAAGCGTTATTTCTTCATCTTGCCAGGACTGTTTTGCAGCTGTCTTGAATACTGGAGGTGGTGTTCTGATCTTTATGGATAATATTGGTGCGGGTTCCAACAACTGAGCAGTCAGCATGGTCCCGGTCTACAAAGTAGCACACAATTAATGCCAAACCACTTTCGAACAAGTTCAGGCTATGTTTCCGGTCTTACTTCTGAGAAAACCCTTAGCCATCCGGAGTTGTATCCTGCCATAACAAACATTTGGCTATTTGGTAAATTGTTATACTTTAGTGAATACGACATTGCGTAGCGAGCAAGAACAAGAACAATTGAGACTATCCTCACTTTTTACGTATAGATGGAACGAAAAGTGCCAAGCACAGGATTGCAGTAATCTCCTCCCTACAAAGCGAAGCAAGACGGATCAGGTACAGCTTTTGATGGCGAAAACAGTATAATTCGCCCTTACCCTTCCGCTGCGCATCCAGATCCTTGGCCAACTGCACAGTATTCACCTTCTTCCTCGTTTAATTCAATAACAACAAACTTGGATCTGTGAGCAAGGACCATGTATCCACCTCCAGCAGAAGTCGAAACCATATAAGGCTCGGTAAGTGGGCTAAACGCGTGCGCGTAGTCGCTGGTGTTGTTGCTGCTAGTGGGTGCGACACCATCGCCCGTGCTTGGTGACTTTGGTCCCTAAAAACGGTTCATAGTCAGGTCCCTGAGACCCTCAAGACACAGGGAAGCATAAAGATACAAAGTTTTTTCTTACCTCGTCAACACTCCATCCCCAATCCTTATCCCAAAAATCGCCTACACACAAGATTTTAGTGTGTTTTCATTTTTGATTCCTGCAAGCGTAAACGAAAGTACACTGAATTAAGAAAAACCTTGATCGTCCGCTGTTCCGTCTAATTTGATTGACTCGGCTGCTGCTGCCTCCTCTGTCACATCTTCTATAATGGCTGACACTTGTGGTAAACGTCCTACGAGAATGGATAAAATAGGTGGTGGAATACGGTGATGTGGAGCGAGCACACATTTAAACGACATGTCGTCACGAAAAATGCAGGAAGTGCTGCGTGATTTTTCACCGACACTTTCTAATTTGAACACTGCAACTGATGATTGCTCTAAATGGCTGGCGAACTTTATTTTTCAAACAACACCCTTTATAAAATGTTCTTTTTCGTTAGGTAATCAAAACGCTTGAAAGTATAGCCAACAAATGCCAAATCCTTTTGTGCATTCACGGTATCTGATTGGTAACCTAGAACCGAGGAAAAAAACTTAGCAAAATTTCCATCTCGTAGGCTAATTCAACATGCAATATTTTACCTTGAGGGATAGCGGTTTCAACCGCTTCTGGCACCGCATCCAATTCTTCAGTGGGGAAATGGCTGGTGTCTGTAATGCTGGTGAGCTGTGGTACATAAGGTGATGGTTCTGACCGTAACGTTTCCCAGTTGACACCGTAAAAGAATGGATGTGCTTTGATCTCATCTACGCTCAGTCGACCAAGACGATACTCAGAATCACAGACCAATCTATAATGCCATTGTTAGCTTTGCTTTTCACATTGAAATATACAACTAAATAAGGTGGCAAATTGCATGTTTACCGTCTTATGAGATCCTCTGCCTCACGGCTAATAGGTTGATCGTCAGGAAATATAAGCGTCTCGCGCCAATTCATGATTTTGCGATACGTTTCATGCGGATTATCAGAGCAAAACGGTGGGTAGCCGCACAGACATTCAAACATGATTGTGCCCAACGACCACCAATCACATTCTTGGCCGTATCCTTTCTGTAAAAATATTTCTGGTGCGATATAGTCCGGCGTGCCGACAGTTGAATATGCCAATCCTCTTCTATTCTTTTTCCAGGTTGCGATCTTTTCTTTGGTGCTTAAATGGATGCTCTCTGTTCCGCTGGTATTTTGTGCTCCGTCCAATAAGCGTTGATAATACTGCGAATGATGCGTTTTGTGAAATCCAGTAGATAAACCAAAATCAGATAGTTTGATATGGCCATCTTTATCGATCAATATATTGTCCGGCTTAATGTCACTATTAGATAGTAAACAAAGATTAATGTGGACCCTTTTTTTTAATATCAAAGACGGAGAAAATGAACTCTAGCACACATACCGGTGAATGAATCCCAACTTGTGCACCGCTTCCAGCGCCAAGACAATTTCGGCCATATAGAATCGAGTAACCGGTTCGCTAAACGTGTCATATTTAATCAACATGGTCATCAAGTCGCCGCCTGGTAAGAATTCCATGATCAGGTATAGGTATTGTGTATCTTGGAAAGAAAAATATAACTGCGTCACCCAAGGTGAATCGGACTCTGCCAATACATCGCGTTCTGCTTTGACGTGCGCTAGCTGTATCATAGAGAGAAAAGGTACATGTCAAAAAGTGGCAACTTTCTATCGGATTAACTGATTGAAAGGAGTCGTCGAGGTTTACCTGATCCTTCTTTAACATTTCGGATTTTCGTAGCGTTTTCATGGCATAGATCTTTCCTGTATCGCCAGCTTGTACTAAACGCACCTAGTGATTGTACACCAAATAAGTATTTGTCTTCATTATATGTTAAAAGTACACAAAGCAATATACTCACTTCACCAAAGGCACCTTTGCCAATGACTTTGACTGTAACAAAGTCATCTAGTCCTAATCGTGTACGCTGCAGGCGTAAATATTGTGATTCCTTTCGACCCAAAGACTGTAGCTGTCTGTTCTTTTTTTCCTGACTACCAGGTTCTTGTAGTAATCGTTTTTCAAGATCGACACGTCTATTACCAATATTTAATATAAAAAAAAGAACGGATTGTTCTTTTCTTGCTTTCGGCGCAAAGAAACAAGAAAATAAGCTGTACCTTTGGTTTCGTTCAATGGCTTGTTGCAAAGAAACTTTGTAATTATGTTCCAGCCGCAATTTGGCAGCAGCAGCACGATCTAATGCACTCCGAGGAAACCCTTGTGTGGATCGTACAAACGGAATTTCCTGTTGCTGTTGTTGAGTCATCAAACTAGGTAAAGAGGATGATGATGATGAAGCGGTGGATGGCTGTTGTTGGTCAAAAGAAGAGGAGAAAGGTTGAGACTGCATCGAAAAAGATCACGATTCTCCGGACCCTGAATGCTGCTGTTTGCTGCTGTGGTTGCTGGAATGTTGCCAAGAAACAAAGTATAGTTCACAAATCATATATGGCGAGCTCGCCAGTATTTAAAATGAAGAGAGAGAAAGGAGTGTTTGGAGGAGAACTTTTTTAAAGGTGGTGGGGGTGTGCCGTGTGTTCGGCGGGGCCGGATAACTTTTTGAAGCTCTTTTCTGCTCCTGTGGCAGCTATTATGTCTATATCCAACATGTGTAGCCCAACCAGATGCTGTAAATAGAAACACACATCGATGATTGGTCAGCTTGACCCAGTAGTCATTTACGAAGCAGTTCAAATTATGTAAAATCGACTCATAGTTGCTACAGTATCTATGCAAGAAGGACATTTGACTTTAGAAACTCTTTATGATACGCAGAAATGATATTATCCACTCTATTAGAAAGTATTTGCTCCACTATATTAATTTAAAGACACGGAAGCGTCCGTTTTTTCTTCAAATGCGCGGATCATACTCGGGAAATATGTTCGCAGCTAGAATCGATGTTATGGTTTACCATGGCTGTAGAGTCTAATATGTATACTAGTGATGATATCATAGTAGTAGAAAACAAGTAAGCACGCAGTGACTATACATGTGATATCATGAAAACGTCTAGTGTCTAAAAATACCACTGTCTTTAATACATCTAATTTCATCTATAGGAAATTGCATGAAAACATTTTGACCGAAGGTATGCTACAGCGTCAGCTATATAATATACTACAGTTGAGTCATTTTGATAGCAGTTTCGCCCACCATTTCTGGTTTCTCAATCTCAAGTTTAGATTGAACCATCTGTAGCTCACAGCAGCGGACAAGTGCAGGTGTACTTGGTTTGCCATCGAGATATTCGACTTCACCATTAGTTAATTTTTTGACGTGCTTGACCTGGTTTTCCCAGGTACGTCGTGTTACAGCATTCACGGACATGACCACTAGTTTTGTAGCAGCTGCTAATGACGGCGATGATTTTTTCAACTCTTCTTGCCAACGAGCTACGACTAGAGCAGTGAACATGTCACCGGTACCACTAAAGTAGCCCCTATAGGTAGGAAATACGATCAAGTGTTGTCGTGGAGAGCCCGTCTGCGGATCTGTTTGACTGGTTAAACAGTACAGTGACTCGTCGGTAGCAGTTGGCAGACGGATCTCGCTAGGAACATCTTTAAATGGAACCTTGAGCGTGGTGATGATAACGTTGGATACACCGAGAAAATGTAGTTTCTTCGCTGCCTCTTTGGCTGTGACAAGCGAGTCGATCTTGATATCTGCTAAAATCCTTTAATGGTAGATCCATCAGCACGATTTCGATCCGTAAAACATCACACGTTTTCCATGTAGTAAAAGTATACTTTACTCTGCTTCGAATTGATTTGGTGTCACAACGTTTGCAACTTGCAGTATATTTCGATAAAGAGGAACAATTTCGGGCGCAACATATAAACGGCCCCAATCACCCATGACAGGATCGCAAACTATAGATGGATAAGTAATGTGCAGAAACACACTCAATAGAAGAACATAAACTTACCATAAATAAGATTCGGATTGACAGACTTGAGCTTCAATACGAAACGTTTGATCGTATCAAGTATCGCATAGTTACCAATATAGCCTGGCAATGTTATAGATGGCCAGTGAGTCGTCATGATGTTATATTGGCATACAGGTGCGTGTGTCTTCCAATTCACTTACCGGTAAGGATGTGAGTATAATCATCAATAAGCCCATTCTTCTCTAGCCCGTCAAAAAGTTCTTGTACGTCGGTATCTGCTAACCGATTTCCTGTCCACGAGGGATAACCTTTTGCCATCGATATGACATGTGTAAGAGAGAACGTATCAAGATCATGTTATTGTTGCTAGTATTGGCGCGTACCTGTGTGGTTTGAGAACTGGACAGTATTTAATACATCCACGTCAAAGCCTAGTATTTGTAGCGGAAACACGGCTGCTTTGTTACCTAATGTTGGGCAAGCAAAGAGTTTAGCTTTAGCGTTTACAAACATGTAAGTTCCGGAGAGAAAAGAGGAAAGCGCCTTTTTACTTTACCACAGTAGCCTGACACCTAGTTAAGATTCACGGCGATTTGAGTATGTAAAGTGTGTTGTCACAGACGATAGAATATCTTAAAATAAAGTTACCATGTGCGATTGAATGCTAAGCGCTCGATAAGCAACGCTTCGGTCAATCATGGCTTATTACTATACTTTAGAATTGGGTTGATCTTTGCAAAGCAAACGTTTTGAGAGAAAAGAAAAGCGGAGCAAAAATGCAAGGGAATTTATGTGCACTCGCGCTTTCTCTCTTTTCCCGTCATTTCTCTGTACTCCAGATCAATATAAATCTAACAATAACGCAATGGACGCTGACACACGATCGATTCTTACAGAGCTACAAAAAGCTCAAAATAGCAGGCCTTCACGCGGTGCGCCAAACAACCGACTTCTAGACGGCATGTCGACATCCCTCACTCGCAAACTCGATACCATGTCAAGACAAGAGCTAATTGATCTTAAAGAACGAAACGAGAAACTCTTTGCCAACTCGTAAGAGAATCTTTCATCTCAATATGTAGTTTTCAGCAGCAGGTAAAGACTCAAATGGAATAATGGCTCGTGCATTTTGTCTTACACTGTAGGAACCTCATGAGCACATTACCAGACAAAGGCGCAAAACTGCGGACTAGTATCGAACAGATCAACGCTTTATTACAAAAGCAGGATATCGCGAAAGGAATGTCAGAATTATCGATAAATCCTTCTCCGGACATGCGTAAACGATCAGTTGATCAAGCGAATGACCTGGCAGACAAGCGGGATGCTAGCAATAGTTTGCTAGCTGCGAAAACGATGGGATCACAGGTAGCAATAAAATGGGTACAACCCAGTCATCCTTGGTTGCATAATATAAGTCTAACGCCAGCTGCTACTATGCTCTTTTATTAGTCGAAAACACGTATGATGCGCATGGATGAATCCATAAAACTAGAGCAAGCACAACAGCAACAAATTAAGGTAATATGATGTATCATAAGGGTGACGCGTTACATACAACAACAGCCTTGTTTACGCAAATGCTTCTGTGGGGATAGGATGAAAAATTAAGGCGCCAACTGCAAGCGATGAAACCCAAACCACGAACCACTTCTGAGAGTTTAGCAGATGATTTGAGGTAAAGAAAAGGGAGGAAAAGGTGGTAATAGCGAAATGACTTAGTGTTAACCTTCTCTGGGAAACTCTACTGTAGCTTATCAATGGTCCGTATGCAACTTGATCCCGAGACCGGACCCCACAGACCACAAGATGACGACCCAGATGAATATGAAGAGGATAGTGAAGACCAGGATTCAATTGATGAAGCAAATTATGATAGTTTATATGAGGACGATGATGAGGGTTTCGAAGAAGATTACGATAATAATGAACGAGTTTAAAACTTTACAACTTTCTTCTTTGGCTTTTGCTCTTTCTTCTCAACTTGCTTGTCGTTTTGCTGCTCTTCTGTTACTTTTTGCTTTTCTTCAACAAAAATATGGTAGTCGTCGTCATCAGCACCTTGTTCCAAATCAATCTTGCCTACAGCAGTGGTTCCTGCTTCGTTCTTGGTCAGCTTGCAATCCTTTGCCAAATGATCTACCTGGCCACAGAATCGACATCCACCACCGTTTGGATATAATCCCTTGTCATTATCTGGGCATTTACTTGATAAATGGCCCTCCTTTTTGCAGACAAAACATTTGGCAAAAGGCAAAACACCTGATGCGGAGAGAATAGGGTAGAGTTAGCAGCAATCCAGATGACGAACGTACTGCGCTACTATGACTACCACTTACCCTCTTTTCGAGGCTTTCGGCACTTGCTCAGCGAATGTTCAGTCGAGCCACAATTGTAGCAAATACCTTGAGCAGTATTCTTGCCTTCAGGACAGGAACCTACGGAATGACCCTTTTGTCGACAGCCGAAACAGATCTTTATATTTTTATTGATGCGGGTAACATAAGGTCAATTCGTAATTCCTGTGTTTATCTTTCAAGTGTGTTTTTCTTACAGTTGATTTTTCCTTTGCAAATTGACGTCGCTTTCTTCGTTTATCTTGCTCCTTGGGAGAAACTTTGGAAACGGGCCCTATAAAAGATCGGTCAACACACTTGTCCTTCATGTTTCTTAAAGAAGGTTTTTAGAATGCAACAATTTACTAGCTGGTCGCTTCCGTTTGCGATCACCACTCTTGTCATCATTAGCGTTATCCGAGTTTCCAGACGGCTTCCCCGGTTTTAGAGGGGTTACTTTGAAAGATTCATCGGCTTTCACATGCTGCTTCTTGCCCATGGAGGTATATCGTGTCATATTTGCTACAAAAGGAACAAGAAAAAAAAAATTTCGGGGCTTTTGGGATTTCGTTCAGCCACTACTTACTGCATAAAATATGGGCTTCTATTTCAACAAATCAGCTTATTCTTAAGGATGATGATAAAAAAGTTACCCTATACAATCAATGCAGTGCAGACTAGTAAGTTTTTAAGCAGCTGAAGCATAAAAATGAAAAGTGTACCAAGAAACACCGTTGATTATTTACAAACGTGTTAACTGCCTGTTAGTAGTATATAAGCCAGCCAAAGAATTCTGTGTGTGTCAGCGGTGGTTTCCATATCTGGGAAGATAGTAGGTCACGTGACGTGCACCATTACCAGCTAATTTTGAAGCATTACGAACAGAAACTAAATATTTTAGGTTCGAGTAACTTTGTTGCCTTCGGAACAGAAGGCCGATTGTTCGATTCCGGACAAGAGCATGTAATTGGGGTGATGATGGATAAATTTGGTCCGTGTTACTGAGGCGGATTAAGACCCCGCTTCTATGCTGAGAATTATTTGACCTACACTGAACCTTTGATGCTTTTGTCTCATTGTTTTAAAAAATATCTCTGCTATTTGAAAGACACTGTCATTGCAACCGAATCGAGATTCTTTGCTAGATGAAATGGCAAAGCAACGCGTCAAACACATTCACAATTCCATAACTGCAGAGAGCTCTACTCCTATATTTTCTAAGGTATAGTAATTTTTGCTTTGTTCCGTTCAACGCTCGGTTGTTGTTTCTTTATATTATAATCATACAAACGAATGTATTATGTAAAGCAGCAAGCACTTGAGGATGCGCCATTGACAAGTCTCAACAACTTACCAAAGATGCCGCTGCAACGAAAACAAGGTAAACGGCAACAAGAATCAACAGATGCCTCCACTGTCATCGATCAGTTACCTAGCACCAAAACTACTCGCAAAAGATCACTACAACAACCGTCGACGAAGAACACGAGGTTAGCTTTTTCGTAAAAGAAACGTCGCTACTTCTTTGTCATTGATTCGCTATTCTCAATACGAAAAAAAGGATTTCACAGGAACAGAAACAATGGTCCCTTAGTGACTTTGAGATAGGGCGACCTCTGGGTAAAGGCAACTTTGGGCAAGTGTATCTGGCGCGTGAGAAGGAAAGCGGCTTCGTGGTAGCACTCAAAGTGTTATACAAGAAAGAGCTCGCAAAATGTGGAGTAGAACGGCAATTGCGCAGAGAAGTAGAAATTCAAGGCAATTTAAGGTAATTAATCCAAACAACCGATTGTGATTCTATATTTTGATGCTCATGCTATACACACGTACAAAAACAGACATCCAAATATTCTTCGGCTTTATGGCTACTTTCACGACGAGTCACGCGTATTCCTGATACTTGAATTGGCAGCGAAGGGCGAACTATACAAAGAATTACAAGAACAAGGAAAATTTCCAGAAGATGTGGCTGCACGGGTAAGTACAATCTATACAAAGAAAACTATAAGTGTGCTATCTTATTGTCTAAACGAAAATATCATAAACACAGTATATTGCACAAATGGCCAATGCATTGCTCTATCTACATGGTAAACGGGTGATCCATCGTGATATTAAACCGGAAAATCTGCTCCTTGGATTAAAAGGAGAGCTCAAGATCGGTGACTTTGGCTGGTCGGTGAAGACAGGTATCACAGAGTACGTCAAGCATCATCTCCCTTATCTTTCCAACAAAAAAGCATTACGAGCAGAGCTTTGACCAATTTTTCTCTTTCGTACAACCCACAGAAGCCGACGAAGTACATTATGCGGAACTCTAGATTATCTACCACCAGAAATTGTTCAAGGTCGAAGCCACAATGAAAAGGTGGACTTGTGGTCGTTAGGCATTTTATTGTACGAAATGGTTGTCGGGAAGCCTCCGTTCGAGGAAGAAGACAGTTACGAGACGACGTACCGCCGGATAGTAAATGTCGATTTACGGATCCCTAGTCATGTCAGTAGAGAAGCAGCCGATCTCATAAAGAATGTAAGTAGTTGACGCTCTACCTTTACTGATTTTTGAACCATTATTGATCCGCGAACGGCTATTCAGCTGCTTGTGTACAAGTCGATTGATAGACTCCCGTTAAGAAAGGTCGTTTTACATCCCTTTATCACTAAACATATTCAACAAGGGAAGCGCGGATCTCGATAAATCGTTTTAAAATACACTTTCTACTCGTTTTCTTTCCTTTCCTTCCCTTTCTGCGCACACGATCTGATACTCCAATTTCCATACTTTTGCCAGCATAATATGAAACCCCTGCAAGCAAAGCGTTGTTGTGAGCAACTCTCACCCGATAAGTGTATATAGCTACTAAGAAACATGAGGCTTCTCACCAAATCCTCTCATAAACTAACACAAAAATCCGAATGATGCAGAAACCGGGCAAAACCCAAAGCCGTGTTCATTGTTGATAAGCTTCGTAGAAACAACACATAGTCTGCTATAGATGATACCCGCTATACTAGTTGGTTACATGATCGCACTCTTTACTTCTATAAAATGCGTTGAACAGAATACAGTTAGCATTTCCCACAAAAGAAACTGTAAACCCTCTTTTGGAGATGTACTTACGCGAGTGAAGCGGAATCGTGGGGGAGGAGTACGAACGCGACGGTCAACGACGGAACGGACACGAACGACACGAGCGTGAATGGCGCACGAGACGCAGTAGTGGAGCTTCACGTAAAGCTTGGGAATGGCGTATTCCTCGTAGACGGAAGCCTCCTGAAGATCACGGACGGCAGCGGCTTCGACCATGTTACGGACATTGAAGCGCTTGATAGCCTTGTCCTATATAATATTTAATCCCAACTCTGTAAGTAATTCTGCTAAACCTAAACATAAAACATGGTATAAGAGCGCTGCAAAAAACGCACCTTGGGAACGCAGCGAGAGCAGTTGATGCAGCGAACGAACTTGTTGTGGCCACGGCCGTGCTTGTTGCGTCCGTTGTTTCTTCTCTTGCAGGTCTACAAGACAACGTGGAAAGAATTAGAGTAAAATTCCTTAAATTGTTCTATCGTTTCCCTCTGTCTTATTATTTGCGTATATCCAACATAGGTGTCCGTGATGAAAATAAAGTTGTTGACGATGTCGATATTTATCTTCAACTCCACGGACGTATTGATGATGTTGATGGATGGATGGATACGCTGAGAGGGGGATACGATGATTGATGGATGGATGGTTGCCTATACACACCATATTACGGAAAAAGAGGTCGAGCTACTGATGGAAGCAGCCTACACTTTTGACCCAGGTCCGACCCAAAAAAGGAAATTGGCAAACCGTACTTTAATTTTCGCTGCGATCCTCCACCAATTCACGCAGTTGATACCCACGAGACATCGTACATGATGTTACGAAATAAGAATTTTCCAGCCGGACAGAAAATGTATTATAATTATAGAGTTAAATGGAGTTGAGTGTCTATGGAGGTATAAGTGATTGGGTGCTATCCGTTAAGATATTATGCAATTGTCTTTTTTTTCTGGTGTTTCTTCATAAGAGATCAAAGTAGCCAGGCGTATCTGTTCATCTTCGGTTAAACGCTACGGGGAATACGCGTATGCAAGAATATGTTAGATCTTTTCCAATTTTATAGCTATTTTTAAATTAAAGAGCCCTCACCCCATTTCTTGCTTTCTCCCTAAGCCGTGCCATTTCTTGCTTTCGTTGCTGAGCATTTTGCTGTGCCCGGGCAGGTCGTGGCCTAACATATGGCATAAAATACATTATAGGCAGAGAAAACATGAGCACAGAAGTCATTTACATCGTTTCGATTATTTGGAGATACTGTACCTATCTGGTTTAGACGTGGATGGGTTGCCGCTGCTTTTGCTTGACATTAATCCTTTCAAACCTGATATACTTGCTTTAGATTTCGTTCCTGGAGATGTTGAAGCGGCTGGTTGTTTGGATTTGTAGACGCTCGTGTAACGGTTCTCCTTTTTACATTCATGATCCACAGGCAATCGATGTTTGACGCAGTATGCCTTGCCGCAGTCGGAACATTGCATTGGTACTAGCAGCTTTGCTTTGCATCCTTTCTGTCGACAAACGTTGGATGGTTTTTTGGTATCTGCGCAGTTGTTTTGTATGTGACGGTTTACCTTTAAAAGCACTAGTTAGCACTTGTCCGCACACGCTCTCTCTCCTCTTATAAAGTACTTACTCGTATGTTGGGATCTTCGTTTCTCGGTCCAGGCACGGGACTCTCGCAAATAGGGCAAGTAGGTACGCTGTAGAATATAGGAAAAGTTTAAAAGGAACCGGGAGATTAGAAGCCTTGTAGTGGTTACAGCTGTAATAGCTACTACAGGTAACACTACTGCTACTGTTACTAACCGGACATCAAGTTGGGGATCGTTCAGACTTGGACAGCGATGTTCATCGAGTTTAAAATGTTCTTGACTAAAGTGACATAGCAAAGCAAATATTAAAAGATTGAAAATTAAACAATTGCGACGAATTTAAATACTTTACCAAAAGATCTTTTTGCATTGGTAACATGTGTAAGGCAGGAAATCTAATAACAACAATCTACAAATAAATATAAAAAACCACTTTTCAAAAGAAGGAATTTCACTCTTACCAAGCTGTGAACAGCCTTCAAATGTACAGTGTTTTCCTAAGTCAGGAAATTCCATTTCTTAATTATAATAAGTAACAGTAAGGTCAGGGTAGAAAAAAGAGAGAACAATGCGAGAAAGAATTCTCGGATTCTGCTCCATGATAGTACCAAAATAGGTCATCCAATTACGCAATTCGACTATCTGTTCGTTCGGGTTTTCAAGAATGTGCTGGAACTCGATTTGTAAGATGAAGCTCAATTGACAGATAAGACGAGTCCACATCAGTATCTGGGCGACAAAAAAAATTAAATTAATGCGATTTCTATATGGCACTCTAATCATTACGCTGTATTATGCAAGAAGCAGAATAGGAAACAACGGTTTATAACCTTTACAATATTGTTGAAAATCAAAAGTGGGTGCATTAAGCGAAAAAAAACAATATCATTAATGACCGAGAAGATTATTACGGAAACTACTTATGGATGACCTTGATAAGACAAAACTCGCACTATCTCTACTAATAGCCGACTCGTTGCCGCTAAGGATGCTTGCACTTCCAGAAGAGGAGCTAATCACACTTCTTCTGGACGATGATGTTGTTGCTGTTGCCGTTGAGCCACGACTAATGGTACTTGATAATCCCAGTGCAGCGATCCCACTGATTTGAGTGCTAGATGTAGTGCTGGTGGTTGCAGCACTACTACGACTGGTTGTGGCAGATGTAGTTGAAGAATATTCCTTGGTACCACCGTTTGTAATGGAGCTGCGATTGGCCGTCTTCTCCATTTCTTTGGTCGTTTTGGCACCCATTTTACGCAAGTATTCGGAAATCGTTTTGAAGCCACCAGATTTTGCAAGATCCAATGGTGTGGGCGTTTGCTTGACTATATAATGGTTTGGATAAACTCCAAAATCACCAATCAGTCGTGTGATAATCTTGAGACGCCGTTGTCGTACTGCATAATGCAAAGGGGTTTCGCCCTTATTATCGCGCGAGTCGAGCTTGACATGGCAATCCCGGATGAACATGACCATTATCCGTGTTCGGCCATGCTTGCACGCGTAATGCAGAGGCGACGCACCTAAGAGAATAACTTACAGTAAGCTTAAACTGAATAAAAAGTAAGGGCGTGGAGTTTCTCAAAGAGAGAGAAGAAACAATTACCTTCTACATCTACAATGTCCAGTAATGCATATTTCGAAGCGCGGAGGAGATACATGACTATATCATCCGCGCCTTTCTCAATTGCTGCATGTAAGGCAGTGATTTGATTTGGCCCGCGTTGGAAAATATCTGCTCGAGCACGTTCTAGCAAAAGCCGGATACCTGTCAAGTAACCTAACTGCGAGGCAAGGACAAGCGGTGTCGTACGATCCGACTCCTCCGGTGATAAGGCTATAACATTTGGATTGGCGCCAGCTTCAACCACACGGGACAAGGCACTGCTATTTTTGACAGCGATCAAGGCATGGATCAACCCATAGCCCTCCTTGACTGATTTGAGAGTACTGGAGTTCTTAGCAACGTTTGGTTGCCCGCCACGACGAAGATAATTGCTGTATTAAAGTTTGATACATATCTGTTAGATTATCGTTCCTTTGCATATTACTGCTACATGCATATGCATATGCATATGCACTACTATGATGATTGTTATGCTGCATGTTGGGGGGAAAAGGACGATTTTTTACCTTATAAGGCTATCTACTTCAACTTTATTGTTTTTGCCTCGTGCGATCGTGTCCCAGAACCCATCACCACAGGCGAAGGTCAAAGGCATCGTTCGTGTGTTCTTCAAAGGATCTGACGATGGTTCGCTTGCGGAATCATTTTCTGGACTTGAATCTTGCTGCACTGCTTCTGGGGATGAAGGACATGCTGGGACAGTGTATGATTGCAGAGGCGGTGGTGGAGGGGGATCCGTCGGTGGCGGTGCGCTAGGTCCAACACCCACAGTCTGGATAGGAAGGGTCTTGGTGGAGCTCATGGTAGTTTCCGGCTGGTCTTCCATAGCCAATACTGCCATCAAGTCCACTACTTGTTCGTCTTGTTGTTGGAGCTGTTGATATGCAGAGTCGCCGCCGTCTTCTTCGGAGGCTGGCCCAGCAGAGTGTTTGTTGGGATTGTAATGTGGGTGGAAAGTACCGTGCGGAAGAAAAGAAAAAGTGTTGATACTGCTGCGTGCAGATGAGCACGTCCATACCGACCGTGAGCTGCTGCAAGTTGAGCCACAACAGCTTTCGTTGTTTTCTGAAGCATAAGACTTTTTGCGCTGCAGAACACGCGATGACTTATTATTGCTACTAGTACTGTTGTTTGCAGTGGTGACTCGTCTTTGCCAGTCGACAATATCGTCGTCGTCAATAAACAATCTTGACAAGGGAGTCTGATATTGCTGGTTTTGATGCTGTGTTAGCCGCAGTCGTTGGTACTTGGACTTGTAAAATTTCATTTCGCGAACTGCTTTGTCGTAGTGTGCTTGCTGGATCGTGAGCTCATGCTCTAAATTGCTGCGAATTGCTTCGAGATTTTCGAATGCCTGCGCAAGTGTGCTGTATCGCTTGATGTATCTCGCTGTCATTTTATCAACAGCTGCTTTAAGTTTTTCCTGTATAGTTGTGCTGCCAATATCACTATGAATAATATCAAGGATTTGGTTGTCCTCATTGCTGGTGGTTGGTTGTAGCGGCGATATCAATAGGTGTTCAATAATAGGTAGCGGTGGTGAGGACTGTTGAGTGGGTTTTTTATCCCATTGCTCCCCATCTATATCATCGTCTATTAAGCTGCTGTCAGTGGCCGTGTTGTATCTGGAGGTGTCGTCAAAGATTTTCTGCTGCTGCTTTCTATCGAAGACGATATTGTCGTCTATAGGAAGTGCCGCGGCTGTCATTTCGTCATTGTTGTGAGTCATTTTCTCGTTAGGCTTCTCGTTGCCGGGGAGCGATGATGATGGTGCTGTTGATTTGGAAAACATTATTTCTGCAGAAGGCTCTGTAGCTGCGGTTACTTTAGAATACAGTTGGATGCTTTGATATCGTTGCTGGAGTAGGAGAAATGTGTCACCGAATAAAAGAAAGGGAGAAATTAAAAGAACTACGATATGTCCAGTGTCGTTCAACACTAATGATGCGTGCGCCATTTATAGACAAAAACCGGCATCGTGAAAAGTAAACAAGAAATTGGCAGGAAGCTCCTTTTTTATTCGTGCAAAGCAGTAACTCACTGGGGAGAGTGGCCCATCGGCTGGGCAAAAAGTACAACACCCCTCTCTCACGTTCATAATAATGATCGCCCGTTCAATTGTAGCACAGACACGCCGCGGCAAGAACAATGAACTCAAAAATAAGCCCCATCTTTTTGATCAGCTGTGTAACGTCTCTTACTCTACCTTATCTGAATGCACGCATCTGCCTTGGTACTCCTTTGTCGCTTTCCGTCACTCGCTCTTTCTTCTACAATATTGCTGGCTGACCAAAAGGCACTCCTCAGTTCCTTTAGGTTTGAGAACGCCCAGCGTCATCCTCTTCATTGTGCCATCCCCCTCTTTTGGCAGATCACAAAAAGTCCCTGAGGTTGAGAAACCAATCCACCCTGCATCTATTGTCTTTCAAAGCAAGTCAGTCAAACTGGTGTTTTTCGGGTTATATAAGCATATATCTACAAACCATAAGAGTGAATAATGTAACAACAAATTAAAAATGAAAAGTACGTTTCTCTTAATCTCACGGGCGAGCAACGGTGCTGCAGTGAAAAAGAAGAAAGATTCTATGGATTACAACAGATGGTAAACTTATTTTTTCCTAATCTGTCTCTGTCATGCTCATCCCCTGATAGCCACGACGTTGCCGTCCTCTCAGTTTATCCATCGTCGCTAAGCCAGTCGGAAAAAAGCTAACGTTAGAGCTTGATCCGTGAATTACAGATAGGAAAACAAGGGAAACATCCTTACCATTCCACAGTTTACCCAATGCCTCGCGGTACTTGACTTGAACTAACCAAATGGGAACCGCAAGCAGAACAAATGCGAGCGACGTAAAACTCTCCCAAGGTGCTTCCATAAATGGCATAACACATAGGAAAAGTGCCACAATGCAAAACAAAATCGGTGTCGTTAACCACACTCGATAAGGTCGTTTCAACTCAGGTTCCGTGTATCGAAAAACAAGTAATGAGAAGACAGCAAGGAAATAGAAGCTATATATGAAGTAGATGTCAGTTAAACACGATTCCATATTCTCTATTGCTAGTAGCGTCCACTAAGTGATCAGTTCAAAATCTTACATCCATGCACATGTTGAGTAAAAATTGACCAACGCGCGGAATGAGCCAATAATAATCATTATGGTTGTTAGCAGGCCTTGAAGCACGATGGCAGTGAGAGGCGTTTGTCTGCTTGTACTGAGCTTTCCAAACACGCCGGGTATATGACCTTGCTTTGCAGAGACATAGATGATACGAGCACCAGTGAATACACCGGCGTTGGCAGTCTGTAAGGAATTATATATCAGTTTAGGACGAGGAGAAAGCTTGGCTTCCAAGTTGACTTATAACTTACACCAAAACAGCTCAAAGCAACACACACTGCAAGCAAAATACCACCAACTGGACCAAAAACTTTTTTGCCAAAATCCATAGCCACTGTGTTTGTATGCATGACGACCTCTGGACGCAGAACCGCCAAATACGCTATGTTGGCGAAAAAATAGCACACGATGACAACAGGGATGCCAATAATGATCACTCGTGGCAAGTCCCGGTGGGGCTGCTTCATCTCCCCTGAGACGTAATTCAGGTTGTTCCATCCATCATATGCCCATAATCCTTTGAAAAACCCCAAATTTAGCAATGACAGACAAGTTGATAGCTTATTTTTTCATGTTTGTCTTACCAGAGTAAAGAGCTAGTGCATACTGGCCAAAAGAAAGCTTATCGAACCCAGCAAATGGATCACCCTGGAAACTGTTACCAACCACTGTCCCTTTGGCAAGCATGACAACACCGGTAACAGAAATGACAACCGCAGCTAACACTTTGAGGATGGTCAGAAAGTCTTGGACACGGATGCCGGCTCGCGTGGAAAAGGCATTAATGAGATTAACAAGCCATAAGCTGATGACAGCTAGAAGCTTTGGAAGGTATCCAGGAATGACTGAGTCTGCGAGCTCAACAGCTTCTTGCGAATCGTGAGGCACACGAAAAAAGTAGGTATGAAATGCTATTCGAGAAACATATTCGCCAAAAACTGTACAAACAATAGCTAGACCACCAGGCTTTATATAAGTGTACACGTAAGTGTTGGAAAGACAATAATACCATCAGATTAGGAGACGTCAAAACTATAAATCTGCTTACCTTTTGCACAACTATGCTTACAAACTCAAACGTAAATGATACAAGGCTACCAAATGCACGATGTAGATACACTGATTCACCACCATTCATCGGGAGCATTGTACCGAGTTCTGCATAACATAGTGCACCGCAAAGTGCGAGCAGACCGGCAACAAGCCATATCACCAATGCCGTTCCTGGTGCTTCCATCGCTTCTAACACAGGTCCTATAGAAATATTTAAAGGATCTTCAGTTTATTTTTTCACTCATATAACTTTTATGTGATATGTTGCACGTATGGGCGCCCTAGAAGCACCTCACAGAAGTGCAACATACTAGGTAAACAGGATATTACCCTTTTACCTGGAGAGCTAAAAAGTCCACTACCGATCATGGCACCAACAACCAAACCAAGACCATTGAGAAATGACACTTTTTTCTGAAGCTCAGGCCCCCGTACCTGAGTCTCTGTCAGTGGGATCATTGGAATTGATTCAAATGAAAACACCGATGCACTCGAATGATTGGTATGATGAGTCGTCGGTAAAAGCGTTTGCTGGCCATCGTTGTCGTCTGAAAGCAGCGACAAGACTTCATCGTCCGTCAGCTGTTCATCGTGCTTTAGCGAAAACGCAGCATCAAGTTCATAGTCTTGGTTGTTGTTGTTGTCGTTGCGGTCAGAGGGCGACGCTGTCATTTAAGGTCCCTGGAAACACAGGAAAAAAGAGTTTGCCGCAACAAGAATAACTGATTGTGGTCGCACACACACAGGAAGGTTGGAAAAGTGGGCAGCAAAGCCGGCTCGTAAATTGATTGGGCAGAATCAGACAGAGCAACTGAGGCCTCAGTCCTACCGGTTTCACTCGTTTGCTCGCTGCAAGAATTTATGGTCAGTTCATACGCCCTCAAATGGAGTATGGTTTAGCCATCCAGAAGCCACTCCAGAAGCACATCAAACTGTTGGAGGACGCCCAATCGGCTTGCCTTCGGCGCTTCTATGGCAGCTCGAATAGCACCTCATCAACCAAGGTCATGCAGCATCTGGTCAATATCCCTCCTATGAAACTCAGAGTGGCTGTTCTCCAAGCGAAATTTCTCAATCGAAGTCATTGGTTACCTGATGATGCTTTATTATCCAAGCTCGTCCCGCGACTTTCTGTCGTCTCTACGAGCCGATACCGTCACCTGCAACGCACCACATTGTGGCAACGTCTCCCTTCTACAGAGACGCCATTTGACAAGAAAGCCTTATCACATGCTATTCGCAACCTGTATACTACCGATTTTGAATCTACTCTTCTTGGCCCACGCGCTAAATTGCTCTCTGCTTGTCGTCCTACGCTGGGTGTCGACCCAATAGTTTGGCTCCCGATGCAATACCACCACCGAAGTCGTCTCATACGTTGGCGTCTTGGCTGGATGCCGAATGGTCGTCCGGAGGCTATCTGCCGCAATTGTTCAGATCGCCATCACCTATCTCGGGACCATGTCATCATCTGTCTGCAAGCACACGTGCGTTTACAAGTTCCTCTTGTAATCCTAGATCCTATCTCCTTCATACTCAACTCGTTACCAAGAACTCGCCCTCGCAGCACCACCACCAAACGTTATTGGCGCTTTTGTTGGCCCCGACTCACCAGCTTACTCCGAGACATCGATCGTTTATGCCACGACGACGACCTATTCACTGAAGACACTGGCATTGCCACCACCCCGTGCAACGACTTTTTGCTGTGGCTTGATCAAACCAATGCTGATTCACGCCTATCTCTTTCCCCTTCGCCCTCCCTCACACCCTAATTCCTTGTACTAGTTCTTCAAAACACAAAAAAAAAAAAAAAAAAAAAACAAGAAAAAGATTCCCTGTCCCTTGCCGCTTTGTAGCCGCAAGCTCCCGCCCCACTTTTTATCTCTCTTAACCTTTGTGCACTCTTGTAACCCTAGATACTCCCCTTTTTGTTTTCTCTCAAGTCCTTTATCATTTTGCTCTACATTTTCCCCCTCTGGCTCACGGGGTTTTTTGTTCACCAGTCATGGCGACCGGGCTTTAGCGAGTATGCGATTGGCGAAGCGCTTATATGGCCGTTTAATAAAGATTTATAAAGTTTGAACCAGAGCAACTGACCTGCTTTGGGCTTGGGTAACATGAATGAGGTTGGTCAAAATAATTTTTCCACAAATGTAGACAGTGTATTAGTGATGATTTCAAATGTTTCAAAACAGTCATAGAAAATAGATTTAATACTTACTCCAGAGTCCGTGGCTTCCGCGCTGAGTAAAAGCACTGTCCTCTTGGCCCCAAGATACAATCGTGGTGGAATTTTCGACTAATTCCTATCATTTTCTAATGCTAAAATATTGTTTTCCGGTTCCTCCTGTTCTTCTTGATCTTCTTGAAGTTGCGCTTGTTGAGGGAGCTGTCCACCTGGTGGTAGGAATACCTCTGGTCGAAAGTCTGGATGTCCATCATTATTCATATAGGCTATGCCTATGCTTCTTATGTTCAATGCCGCATTTTTATCCCGGTCTACAATCTAGATGAGAAAACAAAACTCTTTTAGCATATGATAGGCAGAATCCTTCTTGGGTTTAAAGGGTGAAAACATACCACAGCCTCTGGATAAAGCTCTGGATGGTTATTGCAAGCTTAGTTCAATCCACATCACCCAATCTATTATGGTATTCCATGCCAATTTAGTACAGCAGAATACAACTACTGATTATATACCTTATTAGTAGAAATTTACCTTTACCTGGCGGTGGTGGGCGTGCCTGTATACAGTCACTTGCCGGATTCAACAAATTGCCATCCTGGTCTCGACAGTACTTTATTTTCCTTTACCTCTTTGAAATGAAGCCGCCTTGAGATCCTTCAACCCAGTACGTTGCACGTTCTCTTGTTTTTCTGCATGGATACATAGGTAAAAATGATCCCGTCAGTCGTTGTAAGTGGGCTTCTCAAAGCGGGAATTATGTATAGCAATCAGATATTATATTATTACGTACCTGTGTCCGCAAACCTCCTCGTCATATGGAATACTTGTTAGTCGTTGCTGACACCCTGCGTGAACTTGAGAAGTGTTGTACTCGTCCGTCAGTATTAGCAGCATGTATGAAGCCAATTTTTTAATTAGTCCCTAAAATATACGTTACTCATAAGTGTATAGCAACCTCTTTGCGCATTCTCTCTTGTAAATATACTAACCAAATGGGGGATCGGGGCCCATCCCGGGAAATGCGGCATTCTGCTGGAGCCATAGAACACAATTGTTGGTTGTTGATTTGGGTGCCAACGCTCGCGTTCTCGCCTCAGGCGGGCAGCTCTTTTGCGGGATCGGTGCGACGATTTGTGTATCCATTTGATAGGCTCTCCCTATGTTTCAGTTTTTCAAAAATGATCATCAGCGTATTATCAGATATCACGCGAGAAAAATTGGAAAAAGGGAATCGCTTACAGCTGGGTGAGGAGGAGTGACACCTAGCAGCTCATCTTTGACAAGATCTTGTTTTCTCTGCCGGCTTGAGAATAACAAGCTCCTGATTTCTCTGTGTTTGAACCCAGACGAGAAACGACGCATTCTATATTCTTGCCGTTATTATATGCCCTTGTCACCAACTCGCCTAGCATTGATTAGCCCTTCTTCTCCTTTCTTCTCCTTCCTGCTACTTACCGAAGTCGAATTCGATTCAGATTAGCGATATAGAAAAGAAAATCTTCTGAACGTGAGACATAGGGCGAGTTCTCTGCGATGGAGTCATAATCCTCTTGGATTTCGGCTTTCTGCCGATTTTTGTTTTCTAATTTATATTCCCAAAAGACACCCGTCTCCGCACTTTGCATTGATTTTTTTTAGTCAAGAGCTCAATGTAGTGTGAGGCTTATCTATTATATACTCTTTTTCAAGACAACTTACTGGTACTTTCGCGTGGTAACTTCAATTGGGTTGTGTACAGGTTCTTCAGCAGTCGATACTCCTGTGATCATCGACGACACACCTATATCATCAATTACAAACGTAAATATCAGTGGGAAAGAAATGATGCAACAAGCCCGCAAACTATTGTACTCTTCGTAGTACGCCATACCAGGATCGACTCCAACAATTCGACTTTCTTCGGCACGCTGCTGAGTTAGGCCATCCGGATTCAACTCGAGTCTGTATACACCATGGTTCCAATTTGTTAAGTCTTGACCTTCGGGAAGGCGTCTGATTTCATCGTGTGTACTAGGAAATAATTCTTCATGGCGTGTACATAGTATTGTTTTGTCGTCAGCGTGACATTCAGCTTTAGCTCACAAACTCCAAATTATTAAAGCAGGATTTATGCTTGCCTGGACTATTCCCGATAAACTTTTCGAACTGGACGTGTACCATACATCCATCCGTAGTCGCTGTATGCTTGAAGCTTAGCGCGTTGTATGCAAAGGGGTTTTGATCTATAAAAAAATCGTATAAAAAGGATCAGGATGCGCATATACATAGAATGTATAATATTATTCGCTAGCCACCACTAAAAGCACTCACAATCTTGACCGTATCGGCGGCGGTTTGGTTTTATGTGATCAATATCGAAAACCGTTTCCCATAGCTCCTGGCACCAGAGCGGATTGCTTTCGAGTTGTCTGCATCTTGAAATCGACAACGGTGACCCGCCCTATACACACACAGAAATATAAGAGTAAGATTACAAACACTAATGTATGGGAGAAGCAAAGATTAAAAAGCTGACCAATACCTCTGCGAGCAATATGAGCGGTGCCGGATTATTTCGATTCTCCATTCGTGCTCTTCTCACCAACAAATACAAAGTACGAGTATCCAACCGAAAGAACCCCGTTTGATGGGAACCTAATGGCAATAGTGGCCAAGGGCGTGCTCGTGGATAAGTTCGTTCGGAATATTGAAGCAGGTCGTACGACAAATGCAGAAGGGAGATGCATAAATCTTCTCCCATGTTGCGAGACCGCACACGAGTTATGTCTGTGTCATGGAGCAGCTCTTGAAAGCGACCATGAATGAAGCTATCAACCAGTTCACAACAAAGAATCAGCATATATTGTAACCTACCTTGTTGTCCCCAATACATTCGTATCAATAAACGGGCTCTTCCCCTTAGTATTGGCTTTGTAATCTACTTGTATCACTATCTGTCAGTTTACTCTCTATCATTTTCATCACAGACTTGGTGTAACTATGAGTGCAAATTTATCTCACACCCGCAACAATACGCTTACTGCGCAACACCACTCTTACTGCGAGTGCAAAACCAACTCACACCAGGTGCAAAACCATTTCGCACTACTGCGGTATCCATTGGATCAGGCACCAATTAGATTAGATATAGATAGTGTATTAGAATTAGTATAAATAGACCAATATTTTGTATTGAATAATAAACAGTTCAGTTCTTTAGCTTCTCTTTCTCTTAACTTAGCTTTTCCCTTTCCTATCAAAAGGATTGTCTTTTGTGGCTCCAGACGTAATAATTCCTGGTTGTTGAACTCCCACACTTCTATTTCATCTCTTTTGCTTAATACTTAGCATTTCATCCACATTTATCAGCTTTTCTTATACTATCCATCCTATTAAACGGGATTCGTAACTCTTACACAAACTAAGACGTTACATTTGGTGCTCACTAGAGGGATCGTTTTATCAAGGAATAATTCAAGAATCCCACTCCAACCCTTTATTATAACAACTTTACAACTCTGAAAACACTTCCCAACACATGATGACCATTCACGATTCTGCACACGGCCCTACCAGCGACTATGACAACGGACCTTCATCCTTCTCACCTCTGTTGGCCCATGGCACCGACTCACTTACCTATAAACCCAGACTCATAGACTTCTGCGGCTATGAAGGCGAAGATTTCCGTCATTTTAGGGATACCCTTGAGTCCTACTTCGCTATCGCTAATATCAAGAATTCAGCGAGACAGGCCAGCATTCTGAATGCTCAAGTCAAGAAATACGCACGTATATTCCTACAGAAAGAAGGACGCAAGAACCCGGAAATTGCAGTTAAATACGACGAGCTTATAAGAAGACTAGAAGAAGAGTACGTTACCGCAGACGTTATCGAATATTATAAAGACGCTTTCGAACAAATCACGCAAGGCGAAGATGAACCCCCTCGTATGTTCCTCGGAAGAGTTCAGCAAGCAGCTGACCTAGCCGAACTCACAGGCAAAGAGGCCGAAGCCTTAATTGAAGCCAAATTCAAATCTGGATTGCTGCCACGCGTAAAGAAACACTGCTACATGATGGGTGCGAAATCATTTAACGACTATAAGCAATTTGCTTATGGCTTCTGGAGAGGCCAACACGGAACGACCCTCTATCCCCAAGATAACCCATTCGTACCTCAAAAGGCTGAGGATAGAATCCATCCTCCTGGATTGACAAAGCACCTCATTCTAAAGAAATAATTAGAAAAGCACGTACCAGAGCTTTTCATCCCCCGGATCTAAACCCCAGCGACGGAAACGAATCACCCTCCATCGATGCATTGACTAAGCAGATGCAGAATCTCGAGTTGTTCCAACATGAAACAGTAGGACAGCAAGGTCGACAACGCGATGAACGTCCGCAAAGCCTAGAAAACATGCTTAGGCGATTGATTCAAGAAGAAACGCGTAAAGCTGCTGAATCCATGTATCGCCAAGATAACCGTAATAGATATAATGGAAACCAATATAGAAACAATAACTACCGATCATATAATGATAACAACCGTAACAACGAATACCGTTATAACCGTAACGAGGAACCGATTAACCGCAACAACGGAAATAGGCGATATCGCAACGAGGAATCGACCGATCGCGATGAAGGATATCAGCGTAACGAAAATAACAGTCGAGCCGACAACAGGAACCAGGCCTACAGAAACAACGAACCCCAGACAAACAGAAGAACGCCTCCCTCGCGACCTAATTCACCGGCGGCAACTTTAGCATTGTTGGAAGAAGAGAACGATGATACACGATATGAAGACGGAAACGGCTATGGCGACACGCGCAGTGATTTGTACGAATACGAGAACGATCACGACGCGGAAGATGCAGACAACGAATGGTTCGATGATAATGAAGAATTGAACGAACTTGACGAGTTATATGCTGCACAACCAGTCGTTAAGGGAAAGCGACCTCCGCGACAATTGCGACCTCGGAATGAAACAGTAAGGTACAAAACATAACGTACAAAAAAGTAGAATTCAAGAGCCCCGTTCAACGAGTCCAACCTAAGTCGGCAAATCGCAACAAGCCACCTCTTCGACAACTGTTCCCATGACGACTCAACCTCGCGAGGAACCAATCCCATTGAGAGTTCCCACACCAATACCTACCGTGGATTCTCGTGCTGGTCCCAATCAACCAAGTCAGTTTGCCTCAGCATCAAACGTAGTAAACCTGCCGGCAACCGGTATTCAATCGGCATTCGGAAAGACATCTTTCACCAATCAACAGACGCCGAGTTGGCAACCACCTAATCTTGTCAGACCACCTACGGTGAGGAATCATTGGACAGAAATGAGATCAACTTTGAACGATATGGACATCGATTCCCCAGAAGAAAGAACGGAGGATAAAATAATACAAAAAAATCAGCCCAACTCCCAAAAGCAACACAACACCCAAAATAAAGGGAAGGCGGTAGAAAAACCATCAAGATCAAAACCAACCACTCAAACAAATACATCACCCAAGAATTACCAGAAACAACCAACCGGGCGCAAAAAACGGTCCAACCAAAATTTGGCCTTAATTAAACGTAGTCCTTATGATGTTTCCTCGGACATACTGAACAGAACAGCAGACATCAGTTTCGCTCAACTACTAGGATTAGTACCATCGCTGAGACGACAATTTACGAGTGCGTGCAAGACGGCTCGCTCATTAGCAGTATTGGATGAGGATCCTAAACCTTTGCCTAGTACAACAGCTCTATATGCCGAGTTTTTCATAAACTCGACACCCATCCGGACTCTTATAGACAGCGGCGCTTCGAAAACCTGTATGTCACAAGGACTCGCCCAACAGCTCGGATTGAAGATAGAAGCCCCCTCGACAGCCGTATTTATGTTAGGAAATGGAGACCGACACGCTTCCCTTGGAGTTATTAAAAATGTGCCGTTGCAACCCAATGAAACCGAACCAGTCCCAGCGACCGTGGAAGTCTTGCCGAGATGTCCTGTCGACCTCATTATTGGCAATAATTGGTTGAAACACGCGAAAGCTAAAATAGACTATCAATCTAAACTCATGTGGGTCTACCACGGTAATATTCGATCCGTTCCCGTCGAATACGAACGACAGGCCTTGGACCTCCAGCATCCTTGGGCGCCGTTGACCCAAACAAATGACAATATACCTGTGACGGACATTTCAGATGAGGAATCAGATTCAGAAGGAGAGGAAGTCGACTACAGTGAATCAGAATCATCCTCACCTCTCGAAGAGATGTTGACAAACGATTATTGGCTGCAAGAAGACGAGTTGTTTCCTATTATCGAATCTAACCAACCACTTGAATGGGATGAGATTGATGGAGGCACGTGTCTAATCCTCAAAGAACCCATAGTATTACCTGCCTCATCATATCAGACTTACGATGTACCGGTGCCTGCTCTGTTACGCGGTTCCAATACCTGTACACTCGATCCAAACATAGCCATCCCTGAACACATTGGCATATACAGTAGCATTTTATATCCTTCAGAAAAATCATACCGAGTATCCTTAATCAACATGTCTGATACAAAAGAAACCACTTTACAACGCGAGGACATCCTTGGCGATCTAATCGCAGTAACCACGTTGGATCAAGGTTACGAGGTCGTCAAACTACAGCCTGGCAACTTGCCTGTATCTACCGCAGTTAACCAGCCACCGCTACAGGATTCGCAATTGCAACAAATTGACATTGGTGACATTGACAAATCATTGTCACAAGAATTTTTCTCTCTTATA